GCCACTTTCTCTTTTTTCTTGGATATCCTTGGCCCAGATCAGAAGGATTCGCTCCTTTAGCTAGAACTCGGCGTGCTTGTACGTACAAGACAGATAGATAGATACCTAAGGTGGACATACATGCAGGATACAATGCATCTACTTGTCTGATACTTCTACCAGACGACCTACCACGCATGTACCATGCATGCAGCAAATCCATTCGCCAGGAGACGAACAAAAATCCCTCGAGTCACCATCCAGCCCGTGCTGCGCCGCTCCCCTACACCACTTCTACTAGGTACTACTTCTTTAGCAGCCGGCAGACTTTCCATACCTACCTCTACTCACGCACATGCAGTAAATAGGTACATCGAGGGGCCAGCCTTTTCTTCTCTTGGCTCTCGTCTTGTCCAATCCGTGGGCTTCGTTTCCGGGGTCATTTCTGCAAAGTACCTAGGTTGGTGTAGGTACCTAGCACACGGCAAAATATGCGGTACCATCGGTGGGAATACGAACCACAAGTCCTACGCACCCGGGTACGCCATTTTTTTTTCTTTCTGTTTTCCATGTACGCGCTCGCGCAGCCCAAAGCCGAGCGTACATACATACATAAGATCGACATGTGGCTACGATATATTGGGGGCCAAAGAGATCGTAGCGTGTAGAATTGTTAGATACCTACCTAGGCCGAGTTGTGGCCGTGTATGGAAACGGATCGTCGACGGTTCCTACGGCTATGGGAATGCGATGTGATAGGATGGGATGGGATGGGATGGGATAAGGGAATGTAGATAGAAACATAGATGAGTAAACAGGTCGGGCGGGCTGGTCGGGCAGTGCGTCATCGAGATTCTACTGGAGGGCGCTGTCGCCCTGAAGGGGACGAGCTGAACCACTAACCGCGAGGAATATCCCGGGGGACGTAAGGATGACGGAACGTTGATTTGATAGACATCGGTGCTATGGCAGTTATGGGTCGGGAGTGCTTTAGCTTGCGTCTGCGCTGCCTTCGATGAGTAAGACCTAGAAGAATTCCAAGTCTTCTAGTGCCGGTGCTCCCGTCTAGTTCTTTTTTCTGACTCCCGTCCCGGGTTGGTACTGCCTATCTATATATTATTTTATACCACCGCCGGTGCCGAGCGGATCTTGGGGATTCCGGGTTAAGCTAAAGCTATTACACATACGCATGCACATAACATACAAACATACCTACTAGGTATGATACATAGCGCCAGCAGCATCAGCTATGTTAGATGTGTTTCACGTCCCGAATCCTAGCACCTACTATGTATGACATTCGCACCATCGGACTTAGCTAGTCTCGGGTGAACCCTCACACAGCCGGCCCGGCTGTTGGATATGACTACGTCTACGAAGGATAGGATGCAGTCAGCTTATCGTATTACCCGCCACGTGGAAGACGCATTTTGCCTTCGCGATATACCTACGTCGTCTACGGAGATTATAACCTCAATTCCCGAGCGGTAGGGTCTCTTCGCTGTCCGATTATACATACCCTGCGGGACCCGCAAGACGGGGTTGATTCGTAAGTGTCTTGATAATCGCGAGCGCGGGTACGCGGTTAAGTACCTAGTTGAGTGGACACTCACGCGTCTTTCTGTATACCGATCCGTCGCCGTACTTATTCTATTAGGTACCGCGATGCCTTCCCAGATTGCATAGCTTCTTCTATGGCTACCTACCTACCTAACCTACCTAAACCTATTCCTGCGGTTTCGGCCGAGTTTATGCGGAGCCCGAACTTCGGCTTTCTCCCGGGTTTTTTTTTTACCTGCCGTTAACCTTCTGGGACTTGTCGACAAGAGCTGACTGGTCGCCAGCTAGAATTGGATCTCCTCCTTCGGGCGGCTTCTGATCGACGCACGTGGGCGTAGGACTTCCCTCTCCATCCCAGCGGAGATCTCGGGACCAACAATCGACCCAGAACTTGCAGGTAACATGCCGGCGGATTTCCTCATGACGACGATGATGTTATCCTCGTGCCGCGAACTTCGGACGGAACGGCTTACTATCGCGACAAGAAGACCTAGGTCAGGTTAGGTCAGATCAGATCAGACGGTTCCTGTACAGATAGGTTAGGTACCTACCTAGGTATAGACTAGACTGACTTGAACTCAACTGCCAAGGCACGGGGGGAAAGAAACAGGTATGTAAGGGAGGAGGTTAGCAGAGACATGTTCCCCCTGCTTCGGTGAGGATTCAACAAAATCCGCCTTACGGCTTCGAGGACATATCGTATCGTATCGTATCATCTTATGTTAATCGCGCTTATATCCGTCGTAAGTCAGTTCGGACTAGTCACTGCCGACGCAGGGTCCTACTCGGCACAACAGTCGGTTCCTATCTACTGCTTATTCCCCGGCTCGGGGATGTAGACTACCTACCTCCCCTCCTCCCTCTTTCTTTCTCTGCTTAGGTACCTATTGTAAGTACTTGTCTAGATATTCCCGGTGTCGATCCTGAGATCTTTGTTGTGATACATCATACCATTATTACCTTCCGCTCGGGCACGGAGACGCATGGTTATACGTAGGTAGGTTCAGAGTTAGATGCCACCTATCCTTACCTAAGCTGAGCGAGTACTGTAATTGATGAGGTAGGTATCGGGACAAACAAGCTACCGTAGTCTAGTCTAGTGCGTGAAACTTGTACGTCCCGGGCCGTGGCGGTCTGGGAGACGTCGGTATCCCAACCGGTTTGATATGTGGGAAACACAGACGTAACGCACGTAAGCTGTCGTATTCGGCCCGCGTGGATGTAAGTTTAGGTACCTGTTGTCTACTATGTAGTTTGGATCTGATCCGCTGCGTTTTATGGACGAATCCCGGTAGGAATGGCGGGTTGTTATTTCGCTGTTTGGCGTTTATCCGCGGAGAGGGAGAGTCCTGCTCGCTCTTAGTCGGTGCCGAAGGGAAGATGAATAATGGCTGACATTTAGGTACTAGGTATTAAGGCTAAGGTGGTACTGGCACATCTCGCTTGCGTTAGAAATATCCCGCTGTCAGATAGCCCATCCTAGTTAGAACGTGTACCTGTCTGTACAGATAGATAGGTCCATGATCCCCCCTTTACGTTGGGTCCCCTGCCCGCAAGAAATCATACCTATAGCAAGCCGTGCCAAAGGCACAGTTCCTGACTTAAGTGGCATATAATTCCGATCCTATGTGGGTACAGGGTAGTAGAAATATACAGCCAAGCCAACCCAGCTTCCAGCTCCTAGTTGTTACACCGATGCGTCTCACCTTAGGGCATCCTCACACGTATGCGGTAGGGCAACGACACTAGGTCCCTGCGTGGTTTAGGCATCGGCTTAAGTTGGACGACGTTTGACAGCAAAGCCGTTGGTGGTGCCTGCAGCCCAATGTATCGTTGTTGGTGTAGGTATGTAATGGCGACCCAGATCTCCGGGTTCTCCACGTTACATCATCTTGTTTGCAGAATACCTAATCTGGGTAGATGTGAATTAGTAGTACTACTATAATTTGATCAGACATTGTGGGTGGTAGGAGACGGCTCTATATGCCATATAATAGGGATAGAAGACCACGTCATTCGACTTTGATCATCGTTGTAAATAGAGTCAATACTATTGAGCTCGGCTTTATCCGTGTAATTCGAATTTATTGCCATATATACAGTTTAAGAATTAGGTACTCTTGCTTCTTGAAAAAGGGGTATATACATAATAAATTATCTAGCCGATAGATAAGAGATTATACGAGCGCCTCTGAGATCTTAACTGTCAGAGGGTGCCCGTGATGGATGTCGTATACAGAGTGAGTGTCAGAGGGCTAGTATGCAGTATATTGTAGATATCTAGTAACGCCTGGCCTTCTAACCTCCTTCGAGAGAGACGGCTACCCTTTACATAGACGATATGTCCCTTGTAGTATCCACATATCCACATATTCATGACATTAACTACCTAAATTTTAAGCAAGTGCTGTCTGCATTCATTGCTACAGATATAAGAAGAAGCTAATATGAATACGCCTAAAAGTTGGACACGAAATACTTCGTTATACCTCTAAGGTATCCATCCATATTAAGATTAATATGCACGGGAGAGGCAGATAGTATTGTCTCTTGCGAGAGCGTTTTGGGTTGGTATACTTAATAGGCTTCGTATTTTACAGCATAGATACCTACGGAGGCAGTTATCTCGACCCAAAAGACCTCAAGCATATGGGACAATTAAGTCCAATCATACCCATACCTGGGCAGGTACATGTTCATATCACGTTTAAGTATTTTATATGTCCCCCAGGCTCAAATCACCGGAACTTAATGATATTAGCAACAACTTGTGATACTTAAAAAACAGGGCTCACTGGCTTGTTCGTAGACGGTATATAAGTTAAAAAAGGTATTGGTAAACGGACTTGGATATAAACCCTACGTTAAATTTGAAGAGTTATCTCCTCGTTGTAGGACTCAGCTAAAGGGGGAGGGGGGGTAAGGGATACACGAAATAATAATATATATGTATGCCTCACCTTAGGCATTTATATGTACATTTATATGTATCCGGGTCACAGTCTTTCTGGTTTAGGTACTTGCGTTGCGAAGGTAACATGTATAAGGTACATATGGGTTGCCAGGCAGCAACAACCTGCAACCAGGTTTAACATAAGTAGACCTTTAAGGCGGCATTCTCTCATCCCTTGTCGGCGGCCACAAACCCAACATGGCTCTGGTCTAGTGGTTAATGAAGTAGGGCTAGAAATAACCCTTAGCCGGGTTTTTCGTAGGACTCTCAGTTCGAGAGCACTCCAGGGCGGCAGTAGGCCAGCTGTTCAGGTCAAATGGAGGCGCTTGAGAATTGGGTTCCGATCCTTTTTTTTCTCGTTTGATTGAACATCGCTTTTTTTTTTTATTTTTTTTTTTATTTTTTTTCCTCTCTACAACCCGATACTATTTTTCTCTTCTTAGAAGAGAACATGGTAAGACAGAGATATGGTAGTTAGTGCACGAGAAAGGTCTAATTAACAATACGACGTTACTATAGAATCGGATATTCTAGGGTTATTCAAGCAACTTGCGATAGGAAGACCGAGTCGTCACTTCAAATAAAACTGATAAGTTACGGGTAGACTATCGAGCTTCGCTTTTAGATCTAGTCAATTCATGCTATCGATATCCCTGGTATCTGTAGGTTGACCGTCTATATCCGCGTCCAGTCCCGATATGTCCCCAAAAGACCCTAAACAAGCTTTTGTTTTAGTCTTCATCCCAGTTGGGGTTGGGTCCCGGAGGCTTCGGTCCACCAGCTTGCCTGGCCACAATGATTTGGTCTACAGAAAGCACCGTCCGTGCTGCCTCTGTCGCCAATTTGATGGCCCAAGACTTGGTGACCATAAGGTCGAGGACGCCTTCCGCCTTAGCATCTAGTACTCCGGTGCCGTCGTTGTTCTGCGACAAGATAATGTTAGCATTATGGGTTTAATATAAACAAGGGGGCTGAAGCCCTTACCTCTATATCAACACCTATGGTCAAGCCGTCCTTCTTGTTGTGCGCCGTGTATAGCCTGCTCAAGACCTCGGTAGCGTCTAAACCGGCGCTCTCTGCTATAGTTCGTGCTACAACCTCAAACGCCTCACCATATTTCCGGATAGAGTATTGCGGCAAGCCTGATGTCTTGTCGGCGAAAGCTTGTATCCTTCCCACGAGTTGTATTTCTGTGGCTCCTGCACCGGGGACTAGCTGTGCGTCACGGGTGATAGCTTTCACCACGTTGACACCATCATCCACTGCTCGCTCCACGTCGTCAAGATGGTTCTGTGTAGCACCTCGAAGGACGATGGTTGCCGTCCTTGTGACTTCGTCTTCTTGCCTGAATACCGTCACGCGGTCTCCTCCGATTTCGAGAGTCTCGACAACGTCTACGGATCCCATCTCATCAGGCATGGGTGCACCTAACCTTGCAAGGGGCGTAGCGCCAACAACTCTGCAAACTCGTCGTAGTTCAAACTTGCTGAGAATCTTGATGACGAGTATGCCGTACCGGTTGAGGTAGTGCAAAGCGAGTTCTCCTACGGTAGAACCGGCGATGACAACTCTCAATCCAGCGTCATGTAACTCCTTGATAGCAGCTTCTAGCTGTTCTTCCTCTCCCTTGGTGAAGTCCATCATTTCCTTAGCATTGTGTAATAGCACGGTGCCCTTGGTCTCGGTCTGACTTATGTCGATGGCACAGGAGAAAACTCCAACCTTAGCCTTGGTGGCCTTCTTGACAGATCCATCCGGTTCCTTGGGGAAGACCATGCCCTTCACTACTCTGCTCTGCTCCAAGCTTCCACCCAATATCTTTACTACTCGAATGTTGTCGACATTGAAGTTAACGGGGTTCTTGGGCAGCACGGCCAGAACAGCCTCAGAGACGAGAGTAGATAGTGTATCCTCGTTTCCGTTCTGCTTGCTGGCCACCACCGTTCGAATTGCCTTGCTTAGCTGCTCCTGGTTCCTGATATCTTCCACCTTATCCACCACGAGTTCCTCTAAAGCCTCAAGAGCAAATGCCTGAGCGCGCTCGTAACCTGTGACTATATCGGCAGTCTTCAGGCCCATCCGTAGCAGATCTTCGGCTTTCTTAAGGAGCTCGCCGGCAAGTACTATAACAAGGTTTGTAGCATCGCCCATCTCGGCCTCCTGCTGTTGACTAGCCATAACTAGAAGCTTGGCGGCGGGGTGAACGACATCGAGCTCCTTTAAGATGGTTGCAGCATCAGAAGTGAGTATCATCTTTTGCAGATGATTTATAATGATCTTATTTCGACCAAAGGGTCCTAAGGAGGTCTGGACGGTAGAGGCGATAGCACGGCAAGCATCGATATTTCGTAATACGGCTCCATCTTCGGCGTCGTAGCTAGATTATTAGGGTTATATGGTTAGGCATCTTTTTTTTCTATTTACTATAGATTACTTATAGGGTGAATGATAACGTACCTGTTATAACCTTGCTTGAATAGGCCAGCGTTTGGCGCGTTTGGAATGTTGAGAGACATTTTTGGTGATTCCTCGCTGGGTTAGATGTCCAACTTTTATTATCGAGTCGGAAAAACCAGGGGTGAAGAAGTTGAGGCTATCAGATGTATTAAATGTAGTATTAAAGTGAGAGGTTCCAAAGTTCAAATGTTGAAGCTTCCACTACTAGGAAAAAAAGTTAGTGGGGCAATACCTACCTAGGTCCTAAAGCTTGCTGGAAGTATATTATACATCCCTCCTCATTCCTTCCGAGGTTCTCACGTTCTTTTGAACTTTATTTTAGCTTTATTTTAGCCCTTGTTGCACCTTATGTACCTAGGTATATACCGATGTATCTAAGATGTCTGATGTATTTTTTACTTCTGCGGAGCTAAGCAAGCAGCCTTGCATCAATAAAATGGGTCACTACGTGCGTATTATCCAATAAGCCCTTAAAAAGTTACTACTATGTTACTATGTATTGTACATAGTAGGAGGTAGGTATGTAAAATAGGTAGCCTCGTTCCTTAGCAAAAAAAAAGGTAAGGTACTACCTATTTCGTCGCGCCTTGTTATCTGCGTCGTCTTTTGTTCTCTTCGTCATCTTATTTTCAACTTCACCGTCGCATCTTCGTCACACACACATACACACATATCCACCCACGCAATCAGTTTTTTTCTTTTTTTAATTTTATTAACTGTGATCTAATATCAGTACCTTCCATCAATCAATTCTCAGTCTCATAATCAGATCTGAATCTATGTGTAGTTGCGACTGCTGTCGCATTCTATTATAAAGATGGCTCCGCAGAGTAGTAAGTACACTTTCAATTATCGCGACTTACCAGCGCGAACAAGTTTAATCAGGATGCGTAATGACCACCACCTCTGTGTTTTTGTTTCGTATCCCTCTTCCAAATTAATTATCTCCCATTAAACCTACTGGTTATTTTGCCATTGTGGTTTTCTCTCACCACGCCTTCTCTCCCACGTCAGTAACCAATAATGAACCTTCCGCCCTTATTTCGATTTAATCCCCGACAGGGAAACTCACCGGTTCCTATTGAACATACTGAACCTTCTGAGTCTGCTGTGTCTGCTGAATCTACTGAATCTACTGAACCTCAACTGTCTTCGGAAATTGACGATAATGCTGCTCAGGGTTGGGATCACGCATTGCTAGAATATACTGCGGACGGCGAGCTAACTATGAAATTTCGCAGTTAACCCACCTGCTCTACCTCCCACTGTCGAAGAAGCCTACCGACGCAAATGTATCCAACTAAAAGAGCGTACCAAAGAGATCGAGGACGAGACAAAGGCCTACCAGTTGCGACTTAACCGGCTCCAGCGACAAGTCCAAAAACTACGTCTTGAACGCGCATTCCTCCTCGAGCAGGTCGCCAAGCGCACAAGCACTAACGTAGAGGATTCCGAGGGCAGCCCTAGTCCACCACCAACTGTATGTGCTAATTTCCTACTTATTGTAGACGTTTACATTAAACAGATTTCTAACCATCTAGCAGCCTAAGGACAAGCCGCTTCGAACGAAGCGTGGGCATAGAAAGCCGTCCCTGCTCCCAGTCTCCGAGCCGGGCACCGGACCTAGCGCACCTTTTATCGGCCAGAATATAACGACACTCTCACCAAGCTCCGACGCTTATTCACACTCCCAGCTCGACCAAACCCGCCTGAATGGTATCGCTAAACGGCCCAAGCGACCTAGCAATGCCTTCGAAATTTACTGCAACGACACTCGACCGGTCCTCCAGGCCCAACATAAGGAAAAGATTGCGGCAGGAGAATTCCGTCTCGAAGAAGAGCTCGCGCGGGGCTGGAAGGATCTACCGGAGAAGGAAAAGGAGGAGTTCCAGGTTCGGTATGAGCAAGAACTAGCCCAGTACAAGGAGGCTGTCGAGGAGTACAAGCGCGAAGCCAAGAGCGCTGCTCGTGAGCGCTCGCGCAACCGAGATCGAGACCACTTCGGCAGCATCTCTAGCAGTAGACGCGGCGGCGGAGGTGGTGGACGTTCAGCTCGCTTCGAAGAGGTCCATGACGAAGAAGGAGACGAAGACCAGGATGTCGAGATGGCGGACCCTGGTGATCACGAACCGGCAGGGGATCAGGATACAGACCCGGAAACAGAGGTCGACGAGAATGACGGCGCAGCGGATGATTAGAGGCGCAAACGCCGCGCCTACTGGTGGCAGAAATGAGAGGTTTCTTTTTCTTTTCTTTTCTTTTATGCCGGCCCTTAAAAAAACATTTGGCGTTTATGGTTAAAGGGGGGACTTTGGTTTATTTAGCACCGGCCTTTGGCCTCTGTAGTGTAGGATTAGGATCCCCCAGGTGGTATTATTATTATTATTATTATTACTACTACTACTACTATGCTAGGCTGGCAAAGCTAGGAAGTTTAGATTAATACCTAGCGTTAATGAGTTGCGGAGAATGAGATTGAGCATATTAATGAGAAACCGATGAGAGTCAGCTGGTGGGAAAAGATACTACGTGCTTTGGTTTCTGTTGTTGCGTCGAGTGCAAGGGAAGTGCTATGTAAGTAAAATACCTAAGTAATTTGAACTTGTCAAATTATTAGAGATAGATTTATTCATATACGCCATCTTTTTCATAGAGCAACGTTTTGCTATGAAGTTTTCACAAGGTCAATATTGTCAAGAGAGACTGTGGATGGAAATAACGTGAAGAGGAACTATAGCACCTGATGTAAATATCGATGAATATATTATTTATTACTGCTACTGCCGCTTAATTCCGACATGATTTTTGACTTTATGTACCTATAACCTATATACGATGCAACGATGCCTATCCTGTTATTAGAAGAGGAGGAGGTATTAGAAACCCGTAATCTAGTACACAGCCCAAACGCCAAAAGCTGTGATGTGCGTGTTCTATACTGTACGTACCTAATGTACACGATATGAGCAAGAGCAAGGTGACCTAATGTATGAGGTATGTGTGTATGCTATCTAACCTATGCGCCCGAACACCGCTATTCCTTGCTTGATTTGTATACCAATGTAGAGACACACGCAAATTAATCTCGCTAGCTCGTCTTGATAGTGATGAGAGATACGGGATGGAATGGACTGGACTGGGCTAGTCTAGGTAGTTTAGTTAGTCTACGCCCGCGTAGAGGTCGACGACGATGTTGACAGCTGCGACTAGGATCTCGGCGGCGATGAGGACGATGACTGCGGAAGTCAGTTACTGAGCTTATTTCATCTGAAGAGCTAGTAGACCATATAGGAGGGGAGAAGGTTGGCGGGAATAAAAGAATATGTTAAAGTGCTACATACCGATCCATTCAAGCATCTCGCCATGGCCATGGCTTAGTTGGTCCTTGAGCACGGCGAGCAGGTCAGCGATGACGTCGAGCCGCTCCGTGAGCAGACCGACGCGCTGGTCCATCTCGAGGTAGCTACGGACGGCCTGGTACACAGGCTCGAGATGAGGCTCGACCCAGAAGAGCTCAGGGGTATCGAGCACGCTGCCGTTGAGGTGGATGCTAATACGCAAAATGAACAGCTCGCCGATTTGCATGTTGATTTGCGATCGCGGAAGCGAAATCTTGCCAGTCAACGCGATCTGAGTTGGAATATCCTTGCACGTATCAATTGTAGACGCGATGAGCTCCTCGAAAAGAGATGTCTATTTTTTGGTGGAAGGTTGGTTAGTATAGGTATATTTCAAAACCACCACAACACACACATGGCATAGGATATGAAAATAAGATATAGCTTACCTTGACGCTTTGCGCCAACGCGTGCGATATTGCTAGCTTCGTCATGTAGTTCCCTTTGTCTCTCAGCGTAATAAAGTCGTTGTATATTCGTGGTTGGTACTCGTTAGTGTAGTAGAAGTTGAAGCATTCCGTTTCCACATTGTCCGGGTCTAGTTTATCGATTTCGAATTTGGAGATTTCCTTCAGGAACCGCTGCTCATGCGCCAGTGACATTCCCCATATCACTACGACACCGTAGTCGAATAGGAATACTTCCGGCGTGTGTACCTGGGTATCGAAGTTGACATCTTGCTGTTGGTGATCGTGATGGGAATCGTTTATGGCGCTCTCATCCTCGGAACGTGTCGGGTAGGCGAGATTACTATGTGCATCCCGGCCACTACTGAATGGTTGCTCAGTATCTGATGCGCCATCTTGTTGTGATTGTAGGTTTCGTAAACTTTCTCTCTTGTACGCGTCTGAGTGTTCCTCTACTTCACCCGTAGAATGTCTCCTTTCGTAGGTCTGTATCGGCGTTTGCCGTACTTCCTCGACCGGCTCAGCTCTCTCTACGGATTTCCCAAGCGTGTAATTATATGGGGTATATATGCACTCGTCAATTAGCTTCGGATTTGCTCCCCGGCTCTTAGCCTTGCTTTTGAGGAACCGCATCAAGCCATCCATCTGATATCTTGTTGCAGTACAGTAAGCCGTCACACGTGGTAGCTTTTCACGGTCTGCTTTGCCCAAACGCGCTGCATCTCTTCTTGCAGTAGGATCTTTTATGCGTGTATATTGCGAGTAGACGTCTCTACCGCTCTCCTCGTCTGGTCCCTCTTCGTCAAGCTCAGGGTTCGGTAACAACTTAAGCTTCTGTGCATTTTTAGAGCTTCGTTGGGGTCCAATTTTTGGCACAGGGCTGGCTGCTGGCGGAAGAGCACTGAAGACGGCGCCGTGGCTGTTACGTCGGCGCAGTCGGTTATTCAGCGCGGAAAGCATAGGCGGTGGGCCAGCGGAGCTGGTACCCGAGGCTGTAGAGCCGACGAGGCGTGCATGGCCGAAATGGCTTGGTGTATTAGGCGACGAACTTAAAGATGAAGGATCCGGGTCGATGGTTCTCGTTACGGGGTTAGGGTGGAAGGTTACGTTGCGCGAGCTTCTGGGACGGGTTGCATCTTGTCGTAAGAGAGGAGTTCGCTCAGAAGTCGAGCTAGAGCTGGTCGAAGCTCTCGGTGACGAAGCCATCGTGATTCTAATCTACCTAGACGAGATGCGATTTCATATACCGGATGCTACCGTGTTGCCATATATGCAAGCCGAAATTCGTAGCCTTAATTATTTGCTCGTCTTATCCTGGAAATAACAATAACTTCAATTTAGAGAAGTAATTAATTCCCAAGAGCTACAAAAAGTCGTGAGAGAAACAAAGCGCTTAAACTTGCAATCAAAGTCGGTGTGATAATAGGAGTAAGAGTGAATGGTTTTACGGCCTAAGAGGTTCTAGAGATGCAATTCTCGAAGCTAAGAGGAAGCTTTGTCTTATGACGTTTGACGAATTGACTAAAAGATCCAAGGAAAAAAAAAAATAACTATGTAAAGCTAGCCCGACTTTATTAACTTCAACCCCTACGACTTTTTTTCTTTTTGCGGAGAACCTACCAAGAGAGCTTTAGTATTTATATGTATACACAATGAAAAATATATATCGTAAATACATATCAGTACCTCCTAACCAATGCAAATCACAACCTTACCTTATCCATTATGCATGCCTAATTTTGCTCCCGTGAGGTCCTCTTAAGCATTTTTATTATGCACAACATCTGCTTATTGCCTATATACATGTACTTCGTGAGGCATAAAATAAGAAACTATATCCCATTATGTACTGTTTCTTAAGTCTCTTTCATCCACAGATCTTAGCCTCGTCCTTAGAATACCTACTTACCTTACCTAGGTACCCAAGGTAGCTATTCATTTATTGGTACGGCCCCTGACAGTTTAAGAGTTTACCTAGGTAGCTCCGTATTATCTCCCGAACTCCTACAGCCATAGATGCTAACTCATAACGCTAGCTACATGAAGCTGATACGATGCCCCTCCATTCATTCGGGACATTAAACCGAGGAGAAGATTACGCGTCGATGAGCTTCGTCTCTATTGTGAAGCCGGCCTTGTTGAGACGATCAATATATCCCTGACCTAAACATGCAGGAGTATAAATGCCTCCTGGAAGATCGAGGTCGTCTTGTAATATTGTGCAAGCAGCTTGGCTAACAAGCACTCCAGTTACTATGCCAGTCATCCAGTCATTAGCTTCAAGCTTCAAAGTCGTACGTAAGTAAAAGGCGCGTAGGAGGATGCTTACAATAATACAAGCCACCACTAAACTCGGCTTTACACCATGCCTGCTTGCCGATGCTTGGTTGGATGTCTGGCGTTGCGACTCCTCGGAACTGGATGTACTCCTTTGCTTGGTTGTCTTTACTCGTTCCTTCGCCGGGTTGATAGGCGTATTTAAGCACTAACTTTCGAACTGGTGGGCAGAACATGAATAATACGGTACCGACTGCGAGGGCGTAGTGCATCGCCATACCACGTAGGTGACTCTTGGCTCTTACGAATTCCCGATAGGTAAAGTTGGGGCCATAGAATTGCTTCTGCAACGACGGAACCTGTTTGAACAAGCCCCAGGTACGTTGTACAACTGCCGTGTTAGTCCCCGCAGTAAGGGACGTTGACATAAGACCAAGCTTGGGTATGGTATATAAGCCTGTTAGTCTTGAAAGGAACGACGGTTTGGGGGCTTCCTTCGAGTTCGGAACAGGCGATAGAGCATATGGCTTATGGGATTGAGCTATATCTTTCCAGTGAAAGACGTCGAAAAGTCCCAGGGCCGTATGGATAGTGCCACCCGATAACGCACCGCTTTAACGTGTTAGCCCTTCGCTTTTGACCCCTCCAATTGGGTTGACAACTTACTGTACCTCATGTATACCAGCTACAACGTCACCAACCGGAGCTGAGAGCTCGGAACGTATGAGTGATGCCATGGAGAAGGTCATCAAGTCTGATGGTGCAGACTCGATAGCGGCTTGGGGAAACATGCAAGCACCGCTTGCTTTGGCGGACGCTTCATACTTCCGGATCATGGACGCGTGCCAAACAGCCTCGCCCGTGCAATCGAAATAATGTGTCCCTGATTCTGCACAAGCCTTGAAGGCGAACTCTCCGTATTTTGCATACGAACCAACCGTCGTGATGAGCGCGAATGTCTTTTTGGCCAAGGTTGTAACGTCTTCATCATTGAGGCTGCATATCTCAATTTCTGGAGGCTGGCGGACAGTGTTCAGAGTTTTGCATCGTTCAACTACATTTAGAAGCTTGTTATAAGATCGACCTGCTATCGCCCATTTCAGGTCTGTCGGAAAATTCGTTGTAATATGTTCTGCAATCAATGACCCGGTATAACCTAGGTACCAAACAACAATTAGTCTTTCGAATATGTCAACTTTTTATATGGTAGCCAAGGTCAACTTACCAGTTGCGCCGAACACCACCAGGTCATATTGTCGCGAATGTTTCTTGAAGGGCATTTTGACTTCGGTTTGACGGCGATGCAATCCGGACGAATCCACACTGACGAGTAAAAGTACGAAATGACGGTAACACCAGACTAGATATATATATCAGATACCTATCGACTTTAGTCTCGATTTCGAAGTCAAGCACTCCTTCTATAAATCGAAGGACTATCTTAGGTAGGAGGTAGGTATTATACGAGCACAAAATACTTGGGAAGCATGGAGTATATATACCTAAGGTAACCACTCTCCTTTTTTTTTCTCCCTCTCTTAGGGTTTTACATACATTAGCTACATACATTAGATAGATACTAAATACAGCGAATGCAGATCAGAAGGTGTTTGATATTTCCTTACTCCATCTCCGGGACCGCCTCTGATAAACTGGGTGATATGCTAGGATACATACAGGAGGTTTTTTGCAGGAGGTAATCACGGAGCGCAGTTTTAGCTACGAAAGGAATCAGAGCCGTACATGCCTCGGCTTCACATCTCCAAACGAAAGAAAACTCCGGCGTTTCGTCAAGAACCATCCGGTTGAGAGCGCCGTAGGTTTCGGCAACGAGCCTAAAATGGTTTAGACTGAGAAGTGATCTACACAAGGATCATCCTGTGGCAGCTGGGCAGTTTCTCTCGGCCCTCTATAAACTTCTAGATTAGCCAATGGGATAGTGAGTTTCTAGTACGTGCTTAACAGGTGCCTTATGTACCCTGGCGGAATCGAGAATTAAATGAGCAGTCTTGGCATTTTCCCTAAAAAATCTTAAAAATATCTTACATTTTAAATAACTTTATTAAGAAAATTATAATAATTGAGAAAAAACAATTGCTATTTAAATTATTTTCTAAAGAATAATTTAATATGTATATTTAATTATTCATGTATTGTTCAGAAAGGTCAGTAAAATCGCAATGCCAAGACTGCTCATTTAATTCTCGATTCCGCCAGGTACCTAAGTATGTTTAAACAAATCGGAGGATTTTCTCAAGTTCTAAACCGTAGGTACACCGTACCTACCTTAGGTACCTAGGTTCCCAAATCTTAATTGGTTGATTGGCAAGTGGCTGGCTCGGTTTGTCATCCGAGTCACCTGACAGCCTGATTAACTATCTTATCAGCTTATCTAAATCTATTTCCTCCTTTTCCGTGTTAACACTTTCTTAACGTGGTCCAAGCTTCTGTTTCTTTTTTTCTTTTGTCCTAGGTTCCCACTTCGCTTAGACCCTAGTCTGGACCACCACCAAAGCCGTACTTTTCTCACAAAATCAAAAATTACCTAACGAGCTAGCAAAGCCCACTCAGCAAGCAAATCCAAACCTTAGATTTTGACTTGAGGAAATTTCCAATTTCGACCACAACCGAAAACACCCAACCCTTCTATCGTCATCCGCACTCCACGAACAAACCTCACATCCCTCAGACAAAATGACGAAGCGCACAAAGAAGGTCGGCGTTACCGGCAAGTACGGTACCAGGTAAGTAAATCATAGTTTTTTGTTGATATCTAACTACAAGAGTTTCCCTCGAGCCGTTATGTTGTCGCCGGTGGTCCAACGCGAATTGAGTTATTGGGACAAAAAATCCAATCTATTTCAATCCCTCAAAATATGGACATACGATATACGACATACGACATGCGGATATATATATATATATGTGCTCGAGGCGACGTATTTTCATATGAAGCAAACGACTAACGATTGCCCTTCCGGATAGATACGGTGCCTCGCTCCGAAAGCAGGTCAAGAAGATGGAAATCACTCAGCACGCCAAGTACACCTGCACCTTCTGCGGAAAGGTCACCGTAAAGCGCCACTCCGTCGGTATTTGGAACTGCAAGTCGTGTGGAAAGACTGTTGCTGGAGGAGCCTACACTGTCTCGTATGTTATAACTGCAATATCAGACTGCGCCGGAAGGACGAGATATATTGGTGCTAATACTACTTGTGTTACAGGACCGCTGCCGCGGCTGCCATGCGATCAACGCTGCGAAGATTGAGGGAGATCCAGGAGGTTTAGATGTGTGGCGAGGGGGAACGGCTATTTTCTTTGCATTTGGCTTCGGTGTACAGGAACACGGAATTTTCTACGCAAAACCATGAAGGGTCATGACAACGATCGATGAATCCCTCCCCTCAGTGGGCGTCGGTGAAATCACCTACGGATCATCGGTCATAACCAAATGCCAACAAGAATTACTATGAACAAAAAAAAACGTCCTGATTGTCGGAGTCACATTTCTACAGCTCGGCGTTATCCAATAATGCTCTTATGTGAAACCTACTTTCCAATGCCCTGCCTATGGATCCATAACGTCTTAAGCTCTATTGTCGAATTTGCGCTTTTCGAGTCATCGATTCGATCGAGATTTATTAGCAAGGGTTGGTCTAATAATAATAATAATATTCTAGGCACTCACTTTCGTTCAAGACGTCGACGTCGACTTGGTAGCCTTACGCAACTTAGTACCTATTGAATGTGTGGATATCTGACGTTAGAGTGGTAGGTGCCTATCGAAAAGCGATGGTGCGATTCGAGGACTTTTATCCCTGCCTAACTACTATGTTGAATTTGAGCCCAGCTGCCCTGGTGTAGGTATGTCGTCAGTTCTTTTACTTGCATGAGTCATTTGACTATCTACTAGACTCATTTCTCAAGCAAGATTTGACTTGACGCAAGATCGCAAGGCAGCACTTACGGGACAAGTGTCGCGTTAGGAACAGTCGTCTTCCGAGTTGCATGCGGTTAAACCAAACTACTCAGGGTTGAGCTACCTAGGTATGAATTATCAAATTCCAAAACGGGTATTAAAAGAACTGATCTGATCCCCTCATCCCGTAATCGGCTTTCGAGGTCCGAACCGAGCAGCTCGTTTACCTAGTACCTATCCTGCTATCCCGCCACACCAGATCTTCTATCTGGTGATATACTAGACTACTAACATGGTCTCCAACTGGCGTATATTTCATTTCCATCATTGGTCTGCTGGGATGTACCTGAAATCGAGCTTATTCCCCTTCCGGTAAATTACAGATCCCGTGGCACGTATACTGCTATTTAGCATCTTGGCTTATGAACCATGTACAGCATACCTATTGTCATAGCCGAAAGAACCGGAATCAGGAGTTTTCCCCTCCTTCAGATGGATGGAAGTACATTGAGATTTCCAACCGGGTATCGGTGGGTTTCCAACCCGGTCGTGCGTAAGATGTACTAGTAAGTGGGTAAGAATTACACGGGGGAACATATTACGTCCACAACCGTTTTATTAAGGGGAGAAGAAAGTTATGGTCGACTATTCGGAAGATCAAGGGGAAGACGAGTGATGCAGCATAGTGCATAGTGCACACATACCTACCCTCATCATACCTTGTATACCTTGTATACCTTGCATAGGAGGTAGCTATTTCTACAGTACTATCCAATAAATCGATGCAAGCACCTAAGGTAGGTATAATTTATACTTATACCTATCCCCCTTTCTACACCGGGTATTCGTACGTTCTTGGTACGCTTGAGGGACCTTGTTGGCACCTGGCAAAACGACGTTAAATTTGGAAAGTCGCAAATGCGCTTTACCCAGTTTACTACTGTGTATTAGCAGCAACCAAACTCTCAATGTTGACTTTCCTTTTTTCCTCTTTTTTACTCATAATTTCACGAACCTCTTCGGGAAAACATTTTAAATACGTCAGCATCTTTTTCCAAATACTTCCGTCTAAACTCGGAGCTGATCCTCTTAAGTGTAAGTGGTTTACTATCGAGAAGTTCCGGTGGGTTGAAAACGAAAGTACCTAGGTACTTACCACCCGTTTACGACGGAAAGGCATTAAGGTTCCAATAGAGGTACCTGTTGTACGACATCTACGTCTACTTCTACGTATTGTACATAGTCATAGGTACTATATACAAATCCGTGCACGAGATAACAACAGCAGCATCTATTCGAGTCATTTTGGCCCGCTCTTAAGTCATTGCTTAACATCATTTACTACTATTATTAAAAAGTCAGGTCTTTTTTCTATGAAGCCCTAATTATCTCGAATACGGAACAGAGTTGAGACCGCCTACGTTCAGCTGCCACCGAGAAAAGTACCTAATAAAGTACCGAATACTTACTTACCTGATTCACCCCACTAAAATAGGGTCCAGGGTTCAGTTGGCGTCATCTGATTGGGTCAGGCACGGGGAACGCTTGGACCAGTTCGAGGTGGCAGCGCTAAATGACAAAATTCCACGCGCTTTCAGGCACCCCTCTATTCTCTTTCGAATCTTTCTACCTATTGCCAACCACCAAATCCACAAACCCATAAACCCGCCCACTTCAGCGTTTCTAGTAACTCGCCTAGCACCCATATTCCCATATCTCATATCCCATACTGCCATATATCGAAGCAAGGCAACGGGGAAGAAAAGTACATGTGTTCGAGTCATCTGTTTTTTATTATTATTTTTTTTTGCCTTCCCTCTACGGAATAATTCATCGATCACCTATTTACTTTACTTATTCTCTTTTTTCTTCTCTTATCCATTTTTAAAAATAAAATAAAATAAAAATCCGCGCCGAACGAGAACCAAACCGAACTTGCTAGACCCAGGCCATCCTTTTTTTTTTCCATCGAAATTCCACCCCCGGTTCTTCTCACCTTGGGGTGTAGTATCTACGCCACAATACGATACCTAGTACAAACATTAGAGTTGTATAAGCTCCAAAACTCCAGCACAACACAGCACAGTACAATACAGTACTAACTCATTCAAACTTTCCGCCACATCAAGTTTGGGACAAAGATCGACTTCACTGGTTAACCCAAGAATATAGTTTGTTTCTTCCAAGCTTTCATATACATCTCGTTTATGAGCAGCGTTGGAACTTCTTCGGAGGCGATTCCCGAGGTCATTATTCCAAACCGCAACGTCTGAAAAGAGAAGGGGTGATTTTGAAAGCACTTCCTAGTATCCTCCAATAAAATAAGGCAAAAGCACTTTACGCACCTTACGCACCTTACGGCAACATAACATATATGTACTGGATATAGTACTAGACATAGTACAGGAGGGCACGCACCTGCAATCACCGTCATTCACAATTGACACAGCCATTTATCTTCCGGACCCCATCTACTATTTCTCTTACTATTTACTACCTTTCACTTACCTTACACTTTACCTATCTCACACTTACCTACAATCTAGGTACTTATTTACGTACTGCACTGCACTGCACTACACTGCATTGCATTGTACTCTTACAGTGGGCATATTGCTTTTGCTTAACCTAACACCCCCCTCGAATATTATCATATTATTGTATCATCGACAGACAACCTCCCACTCCCCATTCCTACTCCCACCTTCACCTTATCAATCTACGAATCCACACAGTCCGCTTCAAACATCGAATCCACCCACCCAACTCTCTGCTTACATCCTGCATATCCTACTTTCAATAACGAATTAACGATCACCCGTTTCGGAGTCATTTATTGCTCAGCCTACGCTCCGGCAAAGATTTAAATTCAGACTTACTTCAAGTCACTTATATGTTGTATTCTCAACATCAACAGTCCATGAAAATCTGCCCTGATGGCTGATCAATGTATTGTTTGTCTAGAAAATCTAGACGTTCAATCGTCGCCACCACTGTCGCAATTGCCGATACCTTTAGACGCCGACGGGGTGTCGAGTAACTCCTCCCCCATAACAACGTCTAAAGTTACAAGTGCGCTGGCACGATTATCATCAAAGTCCCCACTTGGCAGCACCTCCTCTAGTACCGCCCACCACAATGACGAAGGGCATAGGATTGCTGTCATTCACGTTTGCGGCCATACTTTGCATGATGCTTGTTTACGAGAATGGACTGGAAAGGCAAACAGCTGTCCCATTTGCCGCCAAGCCTTCCACTTGGTGCATGTTTACGATAAAGTCGGAGGTAAGTTGAAATGCCTTGCGATTCTAGCTATACCCTCTCGGCGCAAGCAGCTAACCAAAATTTACTAGGCAACCAACTATCCTCGTATAAGGTAGAAGATAAGAAACAAGTCGTCGAGTTCGATCCCCAAGCGTGGTTGGACGACAATCCCGAGATAGAGGAAGCGAGACCATGTCCCATCTGCGACCGAGCCGACCATGAAAATGTCCTTCTACTTTGTGACGGCTGCGATGCGCCCTATCATACATATTGCGTAGGTCTCGACGATGTGCCTCGGGGGCATTGGTTCTGTTTGGAATGCGCAGATACCGGCGCACACGTCGCGGCCACTGAGCTACAGGATGCGGATCTCGCAGGAGCCAGCTTTCCTGCCGGTAATTCCAGCTATTTGCCACGGACTCAGGCTAGCATGCGACGGACTAGGCAACAAGTCCGTTCGAACGAATGGCAGGGAGCATGGGGTCAAATCGCAGGCCGGGTTTGGGATGTGCTAGACCTTGATCTGGATAACCATGATGACGATGAAGCTCTGAGTACTTTCCGGCGATCTCAACAGCGTCTTGCAAGAGAGCAACGTGACTATCAGGAATGGCAGCAGCGTCTCCGTATAGCTAGCCACGTTGGAGCTCGCGATGTGTTCGTCAATAATATTTCGAATGTGGTACCTGTGCAACGACCCACACCGCCACCACCAGCTCCTCCACAGGAGACGGTGGAGGAGAAACAGGCCTGGGGTGCGCTAGAAAAAGCCATGGAGGCCACCAATCCCCCTAGTTCGAATCGTCCGACTTCGAGTCACCGAAAACGAAAGTCTCGTTCCATAACCGCATCTCCCGTTGAACCACCTCAGCAACCCGAGCGGAAGCTAAAGCGACCTCGGACACGTAGAGCTCCCACGACAGGGGAAGCTTCAACATCTAGTCGCCCCTCTGTACAAACCAATCAACTTGGAGCAGAGGGCTCAGGCTCAAATCCCGCATCTGCCTTATTGGATAATGACGAGCCTCCCTCTTTCCTTTCCTCACTATTAAAGGAAGTTGAGATGAGTACACCTTCAGACGACGAGAATATTCGTCCGCTCTTCACATTCTCCAAACCAATACCGGACCCGTCATCGCCGGCTTCGTCCCCGTCTCCGTCGGCCTTCAGCAGTCCTCGGGCCTTATCAACTACGCCACCGCCACGTGCGATTAATGATCGCCCTGGCTCGCCTGTCCCTCTCAGTTCACATATCGAGCCGATCTACCCACCTATGAATTTCTTGGCGAACCGAGGTAATGGGGAGCATAGTGATTCGGATTCGGGATCCCGCCGGAGAACACACCAACAGCCGGTCAATAAAGCGAGCGGTAGCTGCCCGGAAATTAGGCAGCCCCGGCCTCAACGACAACAATTAACACCTTCTAATGGGTATCTATCACGGTCACAAGATACGAGCCCCACACGTGCAGGATTGCCGTTCCAGATGAAGGAGAGCATAAGTGGAATCGTTAAAGACGCCCTTAAACCTCACTGGAAATCTGGACATATTACGGCGGATCAGTATGCTTCTATTAATCGCGACCTGAGCCACAAGTTGTATAAGGAGGTTTCGGATGAATCCCTCGACGAGGACGCTCGACAGCGGTTCGAGAAAATTGCAACCAAGGAGGTAGCAAGAGCAATCGCGGACCTCAAGGCGTGATAGGGTTTAATAGCGATTTTGTCACGACGAAGAACAAGAACAAATGGACACGGACACTGGGCATTTTTGCGTGGCGTTTTTTTACGGCTTACTGGGCATCATTGGAAGTTTGGGGCGACCTATAGAGCCATTGATGTTATCAAGATACCCTTGCGCGGAGTACTCTGCTTTAGCTCCTGAGGGGGTTGGCCCTCGGATGCGCCTCCTTTTTTCTTGCATACGCAGCGGCGTTTGGCATCGGATCAGCAAGCCTCGGAGGATATACGGGCGGATAAGAGCATGCATTATCTGTAAGGTTTGAGCATTTTCTCATCTTTTAATCTGGGATGAGGGGCCTTTTTGGGGGGGATGTGCTTCTACTGCTATTTCATAGCAATAGGAGGGTTTTTTTTTTGGATTTTTGGGACGTGTATAGCTATGGCATTAGATTATAGTGATAAAAAGAATAGGAATTCATGCACAACATATACGCCGTATCCTTTTCTTAAAACAAAATATTGCTAGTGATTCATCGAGTTATTTAATGCAAGCGAATATCCGAGTACCTGTTTGAAAACACATGGCGAAGTGAGACTGGCCGCCTTGTGCTTGTTTCATAAGTCTCGGGGTCTCGGTTCAATGAGGTGCATATTACTATTAATACGCGCCGAAGCTCATATGGATGTGAGTACCTAATCCAGGTACGTATGTACCTACATTACAGACTTTACATACATAGGTACATCATGTAATACGCACACAAGCCACACTTACTTAGCCCGCACCAGCCTTCCGACCCACTTAACTCTTTTTTTTTTTCCATCATATATTTTCACTTTGGGACATGCCCTCGACCTTCTTTCTTCTTTTTCCCTTTTCCAATACCAAGGCACCAATCCTTATCATCAAGACTTTCTCTCTCAAGAAGAATATACTCCCAAGACGTCCTGATCATTTACGCGTGCCGAGAACGAAATTTTTTAGGGCAGCCTTTTTTCGCTAGCAGTACCTGCAAGAAAATAACTGGGTTCGCTGTTAGATAGACGCTGCCGACATTCCTTTTTTTCTTCTTGGTTGTTTTTACCTATGTTCTTATTTTGGGGGGAGGGCTTTGGAGGTTAAGGTCATGGGAGAAGATAGACGCGCCGACTGACGGAAGTTTCTTTTCTCTGTATCCCACCCGTTTGGCTAGAGATACCTCATACATACATACATACCTACCTGCCTAGGCAAAGATCATGTGCATGAGGCTTTGGAGTAATCTGAGACCTTACTTATGTTATTGTCAGTGCGGATCTGTAGCAATAGCCTACCAGATGTATTAGATACCAGGTACCTACCAATGTTTACTCTGTAGATCGACATACTTGCATGTACGTATGTGTGCCTTTTCTGGATATACGTGCTTTGGACACTGCTTCATACCTACGAGTAGCATGGCTGACGATGCTATCTGGTATACGGGTGGGTTGTCTCGTCTACCATAAGACTTGCTATACATAAATAAGGTATCTGCCGTGCAAGATATCGTGTCTTTATCTACAAGTGTTTTTCGTCCCGGGAAGCTGGTTAAAATCCCGCCATTCAAGAGGCAGTAAAACGGATAGCCTGGAGCGATAATGCATCTGCAAAGAGATGACATCCACATATCTACGACTAAATACTGCGGAGTTTAACAAAAGCACCCGAGGCTCATCTACACAAGCACGGATATTCCCAAGCTGTCGTTGCCCCTTTCTTCCATACTGACCTCGGGGCCTTCCCCCCGATTTTTTACAGTCCGCTTGTTTCCATGAACACGCAAATGCAACAATGACCTCTCTGCCTCTATATACACGTCCAAAGTCTAAATTACCGACATGCATGCTCACTGGAATCTATTACAAGTCCCAATATCGATCTGTTGTAAACCAGTCCCGTCTCGAGAAAACGACTAAGCCCGTTAAGCGATTGTCCAAGACCGTCTATGGATTTTGGTAATGTCGGTCACTCTCGCCTGTAACAACAGACAGACACCAAGGACAAGAGCGGCTCGAGCTTTTGGGAGACAGTTTCGACTTAGGCAGATATGGAAAATTCCACCTAGGATAATACCAGTTCGCAACATTTATATCCTAGCAGTAATAGTCTTCCATTAGCCTTGCCGTGCAGTTTACTTCGTTCCGGCTTTCAACGGGATATGATAGCTACCAGGTAGGTGAAAGACAACATGGAAGAAGCCAATGTGCGTCTCGATACATCGTACCTCACGTGTCTTCAAGAATGAGATTAAGAGCAAAGCGTATTGGGCTATACCGTGGAGAGAAGAAAATGGTAAAAGGGAGAGGAGGAGCAGTGGATTGGTACATACACACATACACACGTAGACTTGGGTGTAATAGCTAGATGGGATAAAGGGGTAACAGTATGTTAGGTACCTGTTATACATCATTACACGATGTTAATACTCGATTCAAGCCAAGACTACTATCCTGCTACGTATAAAAGAGTCGATTAGAATTAATCTTGTGGTTAAAGCTTGCAACTAAAGCAAAATGAATGTATACCAATATTGAAGCTTATCATAATAGATAGGTACCTTAGACACACCCATACTTCCCATTAACCCCCTTTTTCTCTATCCCATCTGTATACCTACCTACCTACCTGGTACGTACGGAAGTTACACACATCACAGGTACTGTATTGCATCGTATACCCTTCTCGCTTTAAGGGCCTATTTTCCGTATATATGTCGAATAGACTGAGTGGAAACCAACTCTTATGGTCCTTGTATTACTACCTATCCCGCTCTTGTGGACTATGTCAGACAGGAATCTGTGGCATCCTACGTTGATTAGGTGGTTGCCAGCCGAGAGAAAAGCCGACGCCTCTCGAACTAATTGGAACGAGGTCGTGTTTGATCACATGTATCTTACCCGACAGTTTGGCCCAACTGACCTTTTCCGTTGAACTCCCCCCAATTCCGTGGGATATGTGCTCTGAGGTACCTATGGCTTCGCGGTCTCCGGCTCTCCCTATTCTGTCGTCTACCGTACACATCATAAGGTATTTTCTATTAGGATAACCAACTAAAACCCCTGTGACAGGCATGGATGCAACTCATACTTCGACCCCATCATAAATTGGAAAGAGTCGTGTTTTATTCATGATAATCGCTCGAATCGCCCGTAATACAAGCTCGCGCTATAACCTATCTCGAATGCTCTCAAAACTTCAGCCTGGGTATTCCTCAAAATATTACGACTATGACTTAACGCCGTGTTCGTTGGTTCTTGTGCAAGTGCCTCGCCCAGTATAATAATAATCATGACGATGATGTGACAAAAATTCGATATACCACCTGTCCAACCGTCCCCGCGCTTTTAATAATCAATGGATTTCCTTGCCTTGTTCCAATAAAGAAAAGGCCAGAAAGTCCGTATGCAAGTCCCTCATATTGGTTCCTCATGTGCGACGGTCGCGTCACGTCTTGGCACCCCCTCCACCCGGCGGATCTTCGTCGCTATCCGCAGAACCGGAACTCAGCTTTCTAGCTTCAGCTCTGAGCGCGGCTCCCTCATTTAGCTCCATTTTGTGAAGTTTCTCTCTGAGGAACTCCTCGCCCGGCGTGACCTCGAACTCTCCTTCAGAATCCAACTCGGACTCTTCTTGGTCAGGCGACTTCTTCTCAGCAGGTAGGCCACCCTTGTTGACTATTGCAAGGGCTTCCTTCGATACCTCCGGTGCAGGTCGGCGACCAAAATTCTTTAGCAAGCTAGTGGGATCGATGGGCTTGATAGTCGGATCATATGCTGCTGGTAGCCCAACAGCTACTGCTACATGATGCGCTTCTTCGTCCGCCGTGAGGTTGGGCTCTAACTCGTATACGCTGCTATTCTCACTGTCTGCTTCGTGGGGTTGCCCTAGCAGCATCTGTGCGTAGCTTTGCCTGGATGGGTCATGCGCTCGCTTCGCCTTTTTCTTCACGCGCTTCTCATTCGGACGTACCACAACGACAGGCACTGGCGAGTATTGCAAGCAGTACTTCGAAAATGAACTACGATTTACGAGGAACCCCTGAACTCCATCAAGACTCCTACCCTTCGTGCCAACGATTAACATGGACGGCTGGTACATCTTAATCTAATAAAAATTTGGTCAGCACTGTCATTTCAATTCGGCTAACCGAACGGCAGAATGCGCGGGGATGCGTGCGCATCAAGCAATGGGGGATACTAACAAGATGCTGGAACGTGTTATGTAGCTTTCCAACAGCGTATTCTAGAATCAGGCCAATCGCCTTGTTTTGGGTGTTCTTCGCCTGGATTGATTCCATCAGAGCTTTGGCATCTTCCTGGTAAGCCTTGTCCGTAAGGCGGACCTGAGTCTCGATAACGCGGACACACACAATCTCGTCCCCATCATCTACGAGCTCATCTAGTAGCCATTGTAAAGCATGATCGGAATACGAGTTGTCGTCCACACCAACCATAAAGGTGCGATGCCGGCGTCGGAATTGAAAGCCCGCATGACGATAATTAAGGGTGAAAGATATGGGATTATACTCGGTTGATTCACCGAGGGGGATGTTATCGAAGGCTACATGGGACTCGAATCTTTGCGAACGAGGAGATTCGGTTAGCGTCTCGGTTGCCATCAGCTAGAAGAATGATAGGAAAGGAAAAGAAAGGAACGGAGAGTAATAAGTAGGAAACAGGAGAGAAAGGTTGATGGTGATACAGCAAAACGGGGTTCCTTTTGCGCGAAATATTCGGCCAGCAGCTGAAAGGGGGAAGGAAGGCTTGGTGGTTTCCAATCCAATGGCCACTAAAAGGCAAAGCTTGCTGCTTCTGCGCCTTTGTCGTCTAAAGAATCAAGATACGTGCTAAAGTACGGGGTTTGGCCTTGGGAAGTCATTGACATGTGGGGGACCACTATGTATAGTGAGCGGGGTAGGATCGGACAAGTTGACGAATAGGGCCAGCGTTAGAGTAAACCACGCGAGTCAGAAACCGGACTAGCTTGACGATCCTCACTGGAACGACATTCGACCAACATTGGAAGACCACAACCCCTTATCCCCCTTATCATCTCTGAGCAACGACGTAGGCTTATAGACACCATCATGTTCAGGAGCCCATACGAAGGACAGAAAAGCACCCGGAATGTGTTACATCTCTTCCACTTTCTTAAACGAAGCCATTGGTCCTTGAAGGATTTAGATCCTTTGCGGCTTCGGAGCTCCCAAGCGGGCCTATGATGTAATAGCAGACGAAATTTGCTCTTCGGTCGCAAAAGAGTTTCCGCCAAGAAGTGCGGTCGCGCCGGTTCTCTCGCTCTCACTCTCGCTCGAATAGCCTTGGGAGCTATGGCGCAGTAGCTTTCTCGGCAACCCTTTGCATTCGAACAAGTCTCGACGCAAATGGAACGTGATGTGGATTTGCGTGCGTGTAAAACGGAAATACAACAAAACAGTTAAAAAAAATATCTTGGCTTACCTACGATGTGGTGGAGACGCTGCGCGGATTCGACTTCCAGCGTGTGGTTTCTTAATGCCTTGGGGAAGCGATGGGTGTCGAGGAGGTGCAAATGATATAGACGATATAGATGCTTTTCTAGATGGAGGACCACTACTCCCTGCACTAGAAGCTGTCTCGCCTGGAGTTGTTGCGCTAGCATCTCCCGTGCTTTCGGCAGTCTCCTTCCCCTTGCCCTTGGGTTCGGCAACGGCCCGTTGTACCAACCCTGCGTGAGGAGTGCTCTTTGCACTATTTTGCGCTGAAGCAGATCGGGAGAGGGGACTCGTTCTTCTATCGAGGGAGAAGTAATCCGTCTTCTTGGTGCTTGTTGGTTGCGATTTGGGAGAGCCGTCGCTCCCAGGGCTTCTAACCGGGGTAGGTAGACCCCCAGACATATTTTCTCTCCCCCCTTTTTTTTCCTTTTTTTTTCCTTTTTCTCGTGAACCGAAGTAATTAAGATAGCGCCTTTACAGATACTGTCTATACCTTACTCACGTTTCCTCAGTAAGAGGGCGGAGGAGGCAGTTTCGTACCGACGGCATTGAGCGCAGATGGACCAAAGTGAAACTCAAAAGGGATAGCCTCGGGGCTATCCGTCTTCGAGATGGTCTGATAACCGAGTCTCGAAAGATCGAATCGACAAGCCACGTGGGAGAACAAGGATGACAGACACCGGGAGATATTGTCAGTGGAACACGAGACGGATGATTGGCCGGTGGTATGTTTAGTTATGTGACAACAATATAGGCCTTGCCGCACCTGTGTATGAACTGTATATGGGGTCGCAAGAAGCTGAATTAGCTTGGGGGAGGGCGTAAAGAGTGATGGTATTGGTGTCTGTCGGATATAACTACCAAGGAGGACGAACGTATTGAAAAACCAAACGCTTCGGGTTGAGATGGCTAAGGTGTTAAGGGTCTAAGGTGCCAAAGTGAAAGTAGTTTAAGTGAGGGTACGTATATGGGTTATCGTACGTTTTGGCTAAAAGTATTCCGTACTTGGCTCTCGTTACAATCGTGGGAGTTTTCGAGTTCTTCAAGCCGCCTTTTGTCTTTTGTCTCGAGAAAGAAAAAGCTTGATTGAGGAAAGAAAGCTTGGCCGTGTTAAGTTTCGGCGGGCGGATTGGCGCGTGGGAAGAAGAAGGGCTCCAGCTGTTTTTCAAATGTACATAATAGGTAGTAGTAATCTTTCGAGAAAAAAAAAAAAAAAAGGGAAGTGGGGACAAAGGAACTTCCAAGATTAATGTCTAAACGGGAGAGTAGGTATTAACTTAGGTACCTCCTATAGGGGTTAAGTAAGGGAGTTATCGGTAAGTCATAGCTAAATTGCTAGGTGAAACAACCGTGATGAATTGCTGGCCAAAATGGTAGAAGTAGCGTCAGGCTTCTTTTTAAAAGAAGTGAAGGACCTCAGTCTGGATAAGGCGGCCATGACCCATGGGAGGTGCGGGCTAGATGGATTATTGTATTGTACATAAAAGTACAGAAGAAGGTACCTAGGACGAGTAAAGAAGTACCTAACCTACCTAGGTAGGCACCCTAGCAGGGCTGCCGTAGGGCCTGACGCCTGGCCTGTAGCTAGGCAGCTGGGCACCTAGCTGGGTTCCGGATGATGCTCTTTTCCCAACCTTGGTACGCACAAAAATGGGAAAATGAAGAAGCTGGAGCCAAGAACTTTAAACCTTGCGGCAGATGACGGCGCGTTTCCAGATTTTCCTATTTTTACACGCTACCGCAGGAAACTAGCAGGTACTTTTTACCACAGCCCATCTTAACGCTTTACCTTAGGTACCGAGATACTGCATGGGTAATTCTTGTAATTCCTCGTACTGGGCTAAGGTACCTAAGCTAAGCTCGTAGGGTACGTTAGCACCTCGTTAGGCATGCATTAGGTATGCTGAAAGCATGTACACTACCTACTATGTATATACATTATATGGCTGCATGCATGTAAGTCATCTCGCCTCCGCCCAATCTAAATTCTAAGGAAAAACATCAATAGATCTTCCTCTCACGATTCGACCTCGTTTTTCGTCTTACCCTTTCGCTCTCTCTTTTTTTCCCCTATTATTTCTTGGTCCAATCGCAACATCTCGCGGCAGACACTTCGATGCGACGTCAGGCCAGCGTAATCGTCAGATCAGCCAGCAAAAGCTGTTGTTCGAAGCCGATATCCCGTATCCTATATCCTAAATAGGTATCTGAAATCTACTCGTCTAAACTCCCGTTAACTTCTTGCAGCGGCATACGACAACTGCCAACTGCCTTAAGTGCCTGGGTATCATTACTCTTGCTGTACTCGTCATCATGCTTCCCTCGTGCTGTCGGTATCTGCGATGGACAACGAAATATCGACGACGTTGGCAAATAATCACAATGACAGTCGTCGAAAGTATTGTATCACCATGTAACTATCCATCTAAATTTATAATACCAAGCCTTCGTCTATAACATCTGCGGCTAGAAGCCAACCGCACTCCCAGACCGGCGGGTTAGGGCCAAGAAGGGACATTCCCCCCTCTTCGCCTTGTCGTCTCCAACCCTTCCATCTCTTTGAATTCTGGACGTATCCAGAAGGTAGTTCCAAGGACCAGCCTTCCATGTATGTCCCGGTTGTAAATTTCTTCCTATCAGACACGCAATTCCAGAAACCAGGCGTCACGGCAACATTAACTACCGATGTGGCTTACACACGGGCTATCCTCGCGCGCGGCCATGCCTCCGCTTTTTCCTTACCTGCCTGCTTGAATAGGTATTCTATGTATGATGATGATGATGATGATCAGGATCCGCAATGTCTTCGTTCTAACCGAGAAACATACACATATGCGGTACTATGGTAGATACTTAGGTACCCTACACAAGAATACATACGACCATACGGGAGTAGGTAGTACAATCTCGTGCTCTTGGCGAACTTGGCGCATAGCTCGCGTAGCCAAGACGTTGATGGGCAAGGATGGCTTTCCTTTCCAACAATTTCTACCGTGAACTGCCTGATGACATATATGTGCAACTCCTGCGGGAGAGATAACAAGGAAGTCTAGGCACGTAGCACGACAGTCGTTCTAGGTAGCTGGGAGGGCCACACGACATATCTCCGTATTTTTCAATGTGTCTAAAAGGAAGAGGAGGAAAAAAAAATTCATTAGGAAGACGCTCCACTCGTATGAATTACGGATAGAATCATGCGCATCTCCGCCTCCAATCTCCACCACAACCACCACAACGTAGCAGTATTGTACCTGGCATTACGTCTGACGCTACTAGACGCGGGCCCCAAGGTAGCGGATGAGATGAGGAGCCACCGGGTCGAGCCGTTTCACACCAACCATCCCTCACGATCGAACACTGCTAGATGGAGTTCCCTACTTAGGCTACATTTCCCCGGTTTGCTTCTGTCGGATAGGGCAGAGATCTAGTCGCATCGGCACTGCTACCCGTCGGAGAGGGGAGTGGAAGCCTCCTTCATCATCAGATCCTTCTTTCGTTGCATAGGAAGTCGAAAGGTGTGGGGGAATAAGACACCTATTCGTACTTTTTTGGTGTTCTCACATGTCAGGGATTCTACGAAACGGAGAGACCTACGGTTTAAAACAGCACGAGGTGAGATGATGAAATCCCCATCCTGACCTTGGGATTCGATAAGACTCAAAAGAGATGCACGTCTTTCATGCTGTATCAGCCACAGTGAGATGCAAGAAATCTTGGCTTCCTGCAGCCTCGTTGAATACATCACAGATTCACTACAGCATGAGCTCCCAGCTCCTACATAGCACACGGGCTATAGCTTCGCCTGGCTATTTGCTCACGTCGAACCCGGCATTTCCCTAGATTTCCAACTAACAGGCTCTCACCGCACACCTCCCCACGATGCGATAACCGAATTAAATATCTCTAGTCGCAATTTACCGACAAACGGAACCAAGAGATTGGCGAATCCCGCCATCGCAAATATGTCTCCTGCCCTAAGACAAAAAGATGCTATAGGTATATCGTTCTGACCGACTCGCCATGCTTGACCGCCTTTAATCAATTGTCATTACCTACCGACCGGCACCGGGTGTTGATGATGCTGATGTTGCTTTTCTGCTCCGAAGCAATACCGCTTAAGCATGATTTGTCAAACATACTTGGCAATTTAATCTGACAGGCAATGGCTGTAAACGGATTATACTCCGCGGCTACGTCTGCATTCAATATCGAGATCCGATAAGCTCGAGTTTCCGTGGCTGCATTTTCTTTAACTATTTCTACTCAAAGCGAGTGCAGCTTTAACGATGAATCCCCGAGCCAACTCAACCCCTCAGTAGATTTCTCCGAGTCAGCACTTGTAATCTGATCTGTTTCTGAGCTGTCAACAGATCGACAAAGCGAGCCTATCAGCCTAATCGTCATCGTTATCTTTTCCCCTACTACTACCTATATATATACTACCTTAGGTATGGCATGTAGACAGCTGGCCATATGAACCTGGTAGAACATGTAGGTGGTATTGAGGCTCTACGTATAAAGCATTAACATGTATGTTTCAACGCCACGAAATAATATTTTAGTCCTGTCACAGACTTAGTTTCTTGGCTCTTTTACTTGGCAACTCTCGATACCTCCTACCACGGTGAGCTATAACACGCGATCGAAACGGGGTCGCATATTGGTATAGGTAGGACTAAGGACTAAGGACTAATAGATGGAATAGGGAATATCGGCGTGACCATTTGATCATAAGAGCAACAAGGATAACAAGGATAATGGCGATATTAAATTGATACCCCTGTAATTCCCGTCAAAGGTCTATTGGCACAGCACAGCGTAACAAAGCTTGTGAATACCCGGGCATTACATACCTAGTATACACGACCTGGCCTATTCGTCTAGCAAGAAAAAGATTAACTAGGTAGGTAGAAGATTAGCTAAGGTATAACTTGTATAGCATCTACGGATTACATAGTATTCTCTCCTACCTTACATAGTATGTGGAACTCACTGCTGTTCGATAATTCCCCGGCTCTTGTTTACAAGGAAGGAAGCTGGCTTATTTCAATGCAGCAGCTTATCCGTACAAGATGTTTACTGCTATTCCCATTGCTTATACGGGGGGCTGGGATATAATAGGATAACTCACACAGCATGCCCGTTTAGGAAGTTTCCAAATTTCTAACCTGTTGAAAGGCCGTTGAGTTTACCTAGTGTTAGAGAGGTTGTAGGGAGATACGTAGTGGTGCCCGAGGGTTTTACTTGCGAAATCCAAATGCTGGGAGGTAGGTAGGAGGTACCTAATAAATTAGGCTTAGCGCACTCGCCGCTTTTGCTCAGCTTCAACTTAGGCGTAGCTCAGGCTTTACTTATATATCTCAGTTAAATGACAGACTTCTGCATAAATAATCCGTTACGGACAACTTATGCAATGGAAGGTTTAAAAAATAAATAAAAAACGGTTGTACTAGGTCTGTAAAATTGCTGTATCTAACCCAAACGTATCTTTCCTTCAGCTAGTATAACTCTCTAGGTAGGTAGGTAGGTAATTTACTGGTCCCCCCTTTTGCCTTTTTGCCTTTGCATCACTGCGCTAAACTGTATCCTTCCCTCCGGATTTGCCAAAGTGACGCAGGATCAATGACTTGACAGGGCAGTTCTAGATGATAGATTGCATCTCCGTGGGATTTTATATCCGCTTGAATATACTCGTGCTTTACTTGAAGCTCGGAAAATTCGGAACGAGGCAGCTTCAGGGCAGCGAGTTGCCATAACTTGACGACACGAGGACTCAACACTAGATGCCACGTTCCGCGCCAGGTAATCGAAGCACTGTCTCTGTCTGTACGATATATGAACGCACAGGCATGTGCCTTTCCACCATTCCAAAGCACAAATGTATGTAGCTTGGGCATGTTCTGTACAATGACCCTGGCTCGGCATAGCAAAGCTTCAATCTGCTTGCGCTTTTCCCAATCGTCCTGCAGGAGCTGCGATGTAAGCGCCAGAGATTGCAGATGTAACCAGCTCCACGTCGACTGACAATGACGAAAAAGTTCTTCGGCATTGATCATGAAGGAGATAGAAAGGTGTTGTAATATAAGGCTTTTAGATGCGAAAACCGCACCAAGACCTTGGCTAGAATCAAGCAAATTGAACCAGTGTATATGGGCCAGTCGCTTTGGAAATGAATCATAGAATTTATACGAATCCTCAAATACTATTAATTTGTCGAGAGTATCCGGAAGATTATTTCGCATTGCAAAATAAAGACCTATCTCTAAACATTAGCCATGGATCATCGGGATATATTTAACATGGTACATAACAAGATGAAATTCTTTGTTCGCAACTTCATACGGCGCCCATGGCTCGTAGGATATATGCTTTAGACGATCAAAGCTGCTGAGCAACAGGCCCAATTCCAATGGAGAAATACAACGCCGAAGTTGTCGACGGATAGGTCGGAAGAGTTGTAGCAAAGCTGTTCTTGGAGGACCTTTAATTTGCTGACCGTGCATCCAGCCATGCTGCGGGTCATGATACTGACTTCCAGTTCTCCACGCATTCGGCATTGCGTCCTCATGGTGCTCGACATCATCGGAGGACAAGTATATGTTCTTAAACCAATGTTCGCAGTCGCTAGGAGAGTATACATTAATCTCCAATGCTAAGTTATTCGCTGGTCCCCAAGTACTGAGAATAGAAAAAAGTTTCCATATCCCATCACTGACGATAGAGCTGATCCTTGCTGATGGCGAACGTCGTTTTGAGCAACATGTGGACGTGTATCGCGGTAATTCAACATTGAGACAGATGTGGCGAATCAACTCTCTCTTTTGCGGCGCAGCGATATGTTCGAACTCGTCAAGACAAGGCACTCGCAGCTTTATCTTGTGGAAATTGGCCTTCTCTAAAACGTGCTGCCATTCTCTGCATACAGACGCAGGAGAAGCCCAGCCGGGATGTTTCTGATTTGCGATTGTCGCCAAGATGATGAGGCGAATCTCTGCCGGGAAAGATGTCCATGCCAAGGCCTTTGACCTGGTTTGGCTGCGGGTTGTCACAGGCATCAGAAGAGGCTGAGAGTTGTTTTATATAGCAATCAAGGACTGAACTTGTTGTAGTAGCCGCAAGCAGGGTCGTTTCAAAGTACAGCAGAGATTAGGAGGATAGTTAAGGCTGCGTAGCATGTATAGTATAGGGTATATATCTCGCCCGACTTACGACTTATTAACCTTTCGACTGGGTATTCTATCCTTACCATATAGTTAAAGGTGTTCACAACTTTGTCGCAAGTCCGATCCCCGCCAAAACATCATGCTGTTTTTTTTTTCGTGACCACCAGGTCCGTCTCCTTTTGAGAGTCTCCTATTTTGGAGTGAGCCAGTGGGAGCCTACATTGACATATGTATCTATAACGGTTTCCTCCAAGAGCACAATTTCAAAATCTGCTTCTATGACATTAAATCCGACTACTTGTAGATTAAAGAATCAATGTCTTAGCCATTTAGCCACCCAGCCAAGAGAACGACTTGCTAGGAAGTCGTCCACAATAACCTTTAAGATCACTACCTAGGAGGAATACTTAAATCCGTTTTATCAAAATATAAAAACGGTTGCTTTTGTTACAGTTATGTTACGTACTTACATAGTAGGGATTATATATAAATTTATTTATTATTCTAGCTTATGCAAAATCGGGCTTTGCTTGAGGGCAGGCTTAGAGCAGGCTCAGGCTAAAAGCGGCATGACAGTGAAACCTATTTGTGAGGTAAACGTACAGACGCGATGCCAAGCTGCTTTTCCTGCAGGTATATACCGGCTAACTATTTCATATTTCATAAGAGCCAAGGTGGATTCACCCCTATAACAGCCCCATCTCTTCCATCGTCGTCCCCTGTTTCTCGTGCGAACCAACCCCGGAGCTAAACTTTTGGGGAGAATCACCTGAAGTCTGTACTACAGCTTCTGTCAGGTAACACTACGCGTACTTCTTACGTGCACTGAGCTGAGCTGTTACTCGCGGCGGCGTTCTGGGCTAATTCGCCCCATAGCAGACTCCTTACCAAGCCAAACCCAATACACAAGTCATCGAGACTATGCTGAGAAAGCGCCACTTGTCGCCGCCGTGTAGAATGAGCATTAGGCGTATATGAGATGTATCGCCGCAATATACTGGAGACATGCCAGCGGCATGAATCGTCGGGATCGGGGTTGCGAGGTACTACTACATGCCCAACTAGCCGTTCCCATCACTTAGATGGTGACTCTATTTTAAAGCATTGTGAGCGATTAGCACTACGCACGAAAAAAAGAACAGCTAACCCCCAGTCCACCACGCAAAATTTCCATTGTCTCCACGGTGCGTCCAGGAGAGTCCACATTTATATGCGGTCAAGTGGCGGGCAGCCGGTATCTGGGTCTGGAGCGGTCCCTAATCGTATGAAAAAGCTGTGTCACGAGATAGGATACCGGAAAGGTTGGTGGCTCTGGAGATGTCTACTGACGACAAATTACATACCTCGAACCAATACCTGCTGCATCTTTCCGAGGAACCGGGGGATAGAATTGGGTTGTCCCGGATTTACAGCGCATTAACCAGGTATGTACATATCTGGAGAAAAAAAAGGATGATAACCAACCTTAGCTGCCACCAGGTACACCATAGCCTAAAGATCAGGAGTAGCGGGCATCGATAACATATTAGATACTAGTACGTCCCCGATGAAAGTCACCGTGAGGCCTCACCAAGATGCCAGGTACCTAACCTGGCCTAACCTCAGTGGTGCTACTCAGAAAATCGTATTCTTGAAAGGCACTAGGCACCCCAGATGCCAGATACGTGAGAGAGATCAGCGGTGTTATATCGACTGGGGCACACATGACCCCCGTGTTATCATTTTCTGACGTTAAACTGCATAGACATAGCCAGTTATTATGTAACATGAGGTATTGTAATAGTACAGACACACATAGATACCTAGACTTAGGTAGAAACCATCTCGCCGACGACGATGCCAAACCTAGAATTTCTGGCTCCAGACTAGAAACTAGAGGCTAGCAATGGGGCGATGCCGATTACCCGCCTCGCCGTCGCACTCGGCACGCTGATTCCGCCGGGGAGGTGGCTATGCGAAACGTGATAGTGTTAATATCTAGGTGACCGACCATCTGCCCTGCTTAACTACTCCGTGAACTACCGGGCATTGCAACAACAAGAACAATAGCGTAGTAATACGGCGTACTCGTTCTAGATATGCATCTAGACAGTTCTTATAAGCATGTTGCGACAATTGCAGCAAACGAGCGGGTTTACCGGTATACTATTGTACCTTGGATACTTTCTTGCCTACCTAGTATCCATCCTACAAGGTCATCCGCTACCGTCCCTTCATGAAAACCGGACAGGCCTAGGTTAGGGCAGCGTATGTGGGCTGGTATTTGGACATACTACAAGAACAATGGCGATGGAGACGCTATGCTATGCTATGCTATGCTATGGCCCCTCTCTTCTTCCCCTTTTCGGATAGCAATGTATTGTACATACATTACTTGCATAGAGACCCATCAACATAGGTATCGGTATCCATCGGACATTAGGTGTACGGAGCCCTAACACTTAAAACTACCTCTTAACCTGACATAGTATGTAAGATAACGTTGAGGGTGACATGTAGTTTGGGTACTTGTTATAGGTAGTTATATGTAAGAACTAACACGAACGCCTCGGTTCTCCAACACTACCCAACCTTACCATACACTATAATATAATAGTTCCTTGCTCGACCCCCCTCTCCCGAGTCCCTTCCCCCCCTTCGAGGCTCTTGGCTCTTTCTCAGCCCTGCGCGCTACGCGCGTTGTCACACCGAGCTGGTGGAGGCGGGACGAAACCGACAAGACGAGACGACACACAGCACACAAGTCCTGCATACACACACACATACCTACCTACCTACATATAGACACAAATATCAAGCAGCTTTAGAAAGAACCACACATATATATCCATATGTGTACATATATCGGCGGCCAAGAACGACGCTACATAATATAGCTAACCTAGCCGCTTGGCAAACTTCCCAAAGCCCGGCCCCAGTTATCCGTTTTTCCAAGACTCCAACACCGCCGCCGAATCGCATCGTGCCCTAGCTGGGAGGCCTCCCTAATAACCCACTTCCTAAACCCACCACTAGCTAGCTACACGCACGAGCACGAGCACACACATTTACAATGCGTGCCATATAGAAAGGGAAGGAAAAAAAAAGCAATAGAACAAGAAATGGGGATACCGAACTCTTCTGTTTACCTTAGGTACCTACCTTAACATATACACACAAGTACATCCACATCCGCATATGTACAATAGTGTACATATACAGTAGGTAGTAGTTAAACATGATATAAACCGCAAACTACAGCAAGTTAGGTTTAGGTTAACTTGGCTACCTAACCTATGTATCTCCAGCCAAGGCGGCTGAACGTATCCAAGACTCCAAGAGGCGGCTGCAGAAGGGGACTCTGTTGCTTGTCTGGACTCTGGACTCTGGATTTTGCCTGCCCTCCCTCCTGTCTGCGCTAACCACCTCCTAGTACCTAACCTCTAACCTACCCCGTTGCCCTGTGCCGCGACCTCGGAGCCATCATCAATCACATCACCCCTTTACCTCCTTTCCTTACCTTACCTTTGCACCTATGTACTAGTAGTAGTACTACGACGACGCGCTTCCACCGCCTACGTTGCACCCAGGTCTTGGCTGCGGCGTTGCAGAAAAAAAAAACCTCTCCTCCCTCCTGTTCTATGTAAAATCCACACATCGTATTATTACGTAGCACTAGAAGGACAAGACCCCTTTGAAAAAACAAGACGCCAATTTTTCAAACTACAGCACACACACACACACACACGTACACGAGGTCAAAACTAGGTACCTATAGGTAGTCGGTTAGTCATTCGATTACCATATCTGTTCATAAAGACCTTCGCATAAAAAGACGAACTAGTGAGTGCGAACTGTCGCCCCCTGTTCGTTTTTTTACGTACATACATACGTATAGCCGACCAGCCGATACTTCCTTCTTCCTTTCTTCTCTTTTAATACTTTGTCCGGTCACTTCTTCGCCTGTCAGCCCGCCTAGGTATCATCTCCTCGTTATTGTTGATGTTGTTGATGTTGATGGAGAGAGTGACATTACAAAATATTCCCATTACGCCTGTGCAATGCAAACTGGAGACGAAAACCTTGGGAGGACCCGTCTCTCTTTCCTCCCCCTTGCGTTCCCCTTTCTAATCCCTTTTTGCCTTTAGAACATCCCTCTGTCTCTTTCCGGATGGACTTAGTTGTACGTCCGTGACAGATTGCGGAGGTACCAGTCCACCAACTTGCGTCCGACCTTGGCTTCCGAGATGTGAATTAGATCCTGAGGGTTTCCCGTTAGTACTCTGGTTTAACAAGGGGTGGTCACGTATAAAGATTAATCCGTAAGTGACTGAAGGATGGGGGGAAAAAACACTTACTCCTTGCATGGCGTAGTCCAGGTCGCTCACATTCACCCATTCTCCCTCCAGTAGGGCGTGGTCGGTCCACCGTAGCTGCTTGGTGCGCTGCTTGTTGACTAGCAGCCAAGAGCGTAGTTCTTCGGGCTGCACTTCCAGGAAACCAGCGAGCTTCTTAAGATCCATAGTTGTGTAGAGGCGCAGGTAAGATTTTACGGTAGGGTTCCACATGTTGGTCTTGACTTCGTCCATGAAGATGGAGAGGTGGTGGTCGATGGGGTCCACGTTGGCCTCGGGGTTATCGAAGTCAGGGGGAACCGGTGAGATGAACTTGGGGCAAGCAGCCTTGAAAAGCTCCTCGAAGATGGGAAGAGACTCGGGTCCACCTCGCTGCAGCTTGAGCAGCTGGTCTCCGTACTTCTCCCTGAGAGCGGTGTGGATGGTGTCGTCTAGACGGGTGGGCTGGAAGGCTACGCAGATGGCAATAAGAGCGTACATCTGATCGTTCTTCTTGGTGATAGAATCGTACTGGGCGTTCTTCTGGAAGTTCTTGGTACGCGATACGTAGACAAGGATGTGGCTGAACATGCGGATGGCATCGGCGTACCGGTGCATCATCATGTAGGAGAAGCCGACGTAATAGTAGGTCGTGAAGTGGGCGGCCATAACGCGCGCAAACATGGCCTTCTTGTTAAGCTCGATGTCGTCGAGGGTCTTCAGCGCAAGGCTGAAATCTCCTAAGAGACAGTGGACGCGTAGTAGACCGATGATGGAGAAATAACCGAGCATTCGGTATAGGGTCTTGGAACCGTACTCTCCAGCAACAGCGGCGGGGTCCTCGTTACGCTTCATGGCAGCTAGCTGCTCGGTGATTTGCGATCGCTGGATCAGAGAGTAGAGTACGTTTAGCACACTATAACAGCCCCATGTGTTGGGGTTTTCGCGTAGAATCTGCCTCTCTTCTTCGTTATCCCTCGCTTGTCTGGCAATTCTCAGTCGGTAGGAGGAGAAGCTGTTGAATTGGTAGATGAACTCGTCGATGACATCCCAGGCCCAGTAGTGCTATGTTTTTTAAAGTAAGGTCAGCAACTTTGGTCGAAGACAAATGATGATGATAATAATAACTATTACTATTATTATTATTATATAACAAGGCTGGTGCAACTAACCGAAGGAGGTTCCAAATCAACAGGGCCGTCCGAGTTGAGGATGAAGTGGAACAAGTTGCAGTAAGAATCGTAGCTTTGGAACTTGACTTCGAGGGGAGCAGAGAAGTCTAACGGTTGAGCGGCAGCAACAAGTCTGGACTGGATATCATCGGTTTGCTGAGCCATGGTCAGGGAATTGACCTGCTCCAGCTCTTCCATGCCGTCTTCATACTGAACCTGCTCTTGGTAATCGGCCACGAGGGCCTCCTCCTCGACATCGCTGTCATCCTCGATGGTGCGCACAGGCGCAGCACCGTTTCTTAATCCGCTCATCGTGTGAAATGGGGGGAGGTGTGGCACAAGGACGATGTCGCGAATGGGTTATCGTGGGGGATCGTGGCCGGGTGGAGGGGCTCGTCGCAATTTTTTGGCCCTTGGTTTGTATTGGAAAAGATCTGGAGAAGGATTAACTTCGCAAAAAAAAGGCACCGAAGTTTTGGCGGATTAGGGCTTCCCGTTCTTTGCTCAATGTGTGGCCCTTGCGCATTTGCCCCTCCTTTTTTTTTTTTACCTACCTCCTAGGTACATACAGACTTGCAGAATCGGAATTTGGCGGGGCCGCGGGGCAAGTAATTCCAGAAGCTCTAAAGCTTATCGATACCTACCAGGTATTTTCTGCCCCGCCAGAATGGCGTCAAAAAAAGTGCCTATTCCACTACCAAGCAGGTCATTTTGCTATCCGCATAGCTTTACCGAATCGTCTTGTAGGCTATCAAAATGACTACTAGAATAATTATAAAATTTTGCTCTATATGTAAATAATTTTTCTAAATTTAATTTGTCTTTCTATTTGCTAAAAAAGGTTGGTAGAAAGAATATTAGTGTTAGGCACTTATTTTGACGGCATTCTGCCCGCTAATCAGCAAAGGACTTTGAGAAAGCGGCAATTAGAAATGCAAAGGGAAGTTCCAAGGCTATGGAACGTCACAGTATTTTAGTCACTTAATAATAGATTCTGTACCTGAGGTGCCTAAATTAAGGTATATACAAATATACAAATTATGATTCATAGTGACTTACGTTACGGAGACTCCACAATAGAAGCTACTATCATCTTAGGATTGGTTCGAAAGCTGAGCCGTTGTGGATACTAGCTTAGGTACTTCAAAATCATACCCAAATTCATTGCCTTCAAAGGTTCCATGATTCTAACTCAGATATAGTTCCTATGTCAGGTAGGAGGTAGTTAAAGGATACCTACCTATAAATACCTTTCATTGTCTCGTCATTATTCCTGTCGCTGCCATTTATTGATTACCTAACTAATTAATTTGCAACCGAATACTTGAACGTATCTTGATGGTCAGCGCCGTTAACTTCTTCAACTTCATATTTCCTCATTTTGGAATCCCAAGACCGTCGGAATGCCTGTTGTCACTCCCGAGAAACTAGCTGCTCTGCAGCATAATGCAGATGATATAAGAAATGTACCTATTCCCCTTCTTCATCATTATCACCAGTTTACTTATGCGTACTAACATAATTTAGATCTGCATCTTGGCTCATGTCGACCACGGCAAGACGTCTTTAACGGACGCCCTCCTCGCTACAAATGGCATCATTTCACCAAAGCTTGCCGGAAAGATCCGGTATCTTGATTCACGGCCTGATGAGCAAATTCGGGGTATCACTATGGAATCATCTGCTATCTCTTTATACTTCTCCATGCTCCGAAGACCAGCTCCCGATGCTGCACCCGTCCCCAAAGAATACTTAATTAATCTAATAGATTCACCCGGACACATCGATTTCAGCAGTGAAGTGTCGACCGCATCAAGGTTATGCGATGGTGCTGTCGTGCTGGTCGACGCTGTCGAGGGGGTTTGTAGTCAGACAGTCACAGTTCTCCGTCAAGCCTGGACGGAGAAGTTGAAACCTCTTCTGGTTTTCAACAAGATAGATCGACTAGTCACGGAATTGAAAATGACGCCTGGCGAAGCTTACATCCACCTTAGCAAGCTTCTCGAGCAGGTAAATGCTGTCTTAGGAAGCTTTTTCCAGGGAGAACGGATGGAAGAAGACCTGAACTGGCGAGAAAGAATGGACGAAAAGGTCGCTGCGGCCGCGGCAAGAGAGGCAAAGCTCGGAGATATGGAAAGCGAAGCAGGCGACTTACAATTCGAGGAACGAGATGACGAAGAGCTATATTTCGCCCCCGAGAAGAATAATGTGATATTTAGCAGCGCTATCGATGGCTGGGCTTTTACCGTGCGGCAATTTGCCAGTTTATATGAGAAGAAGCTCGGCATTAAACGGACCATCATGGAAAAGGTCTTATGGGGTGATTTTTACTTAGACCCCAAGACTAAGAAGGTCCTCGGACGAAAACATCTAAAGGGCCGAAATTTGAAGCCTATGTTTGTCCAGCTTGTGCTTGAGCAAGTTTGGGCTGTATATCAAGCAACCATAGGCGGGGATCATGGAAAGGGGTAAGATGTTTTTTTCTTTTTCTTTTTCTCTCATTTCATATATCGTTCATTTTACCCCTTATTTTTATCTTAATATGATTAGGATGATATATAACCCATCGATACTCTATGTTCGGATAATCCCTATATATCATGGGGAAAATATACTAATTGCGATGTAGCGACCCGGTTCTGCTTGAGAAAATTACAAAATCACTAAATATCACAATTCCGCCGCATATTGCTAGATCAAGAGATCCTAGATTGCTACTTACGACGGTTTTCTCGTCGTGGTTGCCATTATCAACGGCCCTCTTAGTGTCTGTGGTCGAGTCTCTGCCATCTCCGAAAGTGGCCCAGGCTGAACGTCTACCTGAATTGCTGGAAGACTCCCCGGGTTCATCTCATATCGACGCGCTAGTTAAAGATGCGATGGTAAATTTCAAAACGTCGAAATCGGACCCCGTAGTTGCATACGTTAGCAAAATGGTTTCCATACCCGAAAGCGAACTTCCAGAAAATAAAAGACGAACTAATCAGCTCAGTGCTGAGGAGGCGAGAGAACTGGCTAGGAAAAAGCGGGCGGAATTCGCTCGTGCTCAAGCGGCAGAAAGCAACGGCGTGGATGATCTTACCGCAGCGCTCGACAATGCGAATTTGAACGACTTCGTCCCAGAGGAAGAGAAGAAGATTGACCCAGAATACTTGATAGGGTTCGCACGGATATATTCCGGTACTCTGTCCGTTGGCGACACACTCTACGTTCTCCCGCCAAAGTTCTCTCCCGCGAATCCCCACTCAGCTCCTGAACCCGAGAAGGTGACTGTAACAGCTCTATACATGCTTATGGGCCGCAACCTGGAGTCGCTTGATTCTGTCCCAGCTGGTGTTGTTTTCGGTATTGGCGGCCTTGACGGCCATATCTTGAAATCGGGAACTCTTTGTAGCCAGTTGGAAGGCTCCGTTAATTTAGCGGGTGTTCACATGGCCGGTAAACCTATCGTGCGAGTCGCACTCGAGCCAGTGAATCCAGCTGACCTGGACAAGATGATCGAGGGTCTTAAGCTACTTGTCAAGAGCGACCCGTGTGCAGAATATGAGCAATTTGAAAGCGGTGAACACGTTCTGCTCACCGCTGGTGAACTACATCTAGAGCGGTGCTTGACAGATCTAAAAGAGAGATTTGCGAGGTGCGATATTCAGGCTGGTGCGCCTATAGTACCATACAGGGAGACGATTGTGCGCGCGGAGGAGATGCGACCACCCGCGAACAAGGAATTAGGACGTGGTGTTGTCGTTGGGGTCACGAGTTCAAAGCAGGTCAGCATTACCGTCCGAGTACGGCCATTACCTGAAAACGTCACCGAGTTCCTCCTTAAAAACCCTGGGGCTATCAAACGTCTTTACTCAGAACGAAATGCGCTCGGAGAATCCCAGCAAGAGAATGAAGTCGACGTGGAACAGGAAATCGAAGCGGATGATGATTTACTCGAAGGCAAGGGCCTATCCCTCGATGAGTTGAAGAAGCAACTACAGGCGACTTTGGAGAGTGGCAAAGGACGTGAAGGGTGGAAGGGTGTTATCGACCAAATAACAGCCTTTGGACCGAAGCGGACGGGACCAAATCTACTAATCGACGCGACTAAAGATGGTTATTTTCCCAAGGTATTCGCTCCAGCGAAACAAGCAGACGACAGCAGCCCGAAGGCAGACGAGTCACTAAAGGCCTCGCATCTTTGCGATAAGGTTACATATGCCTTCCAACTAGCTATGAACCAAGGCCCGTTATGTAACGAGCCAGTACAAGGCGTAGCTGTTATAATCGAAGACGTGACTGTTGCACCAACAGACGAGGAGACATCTGCACGAGATCGTCTCGGCCGACTTACGGGTGAGGTTATCAAGACGGTGCAACAGTCTATTCGCCAGGGTTTCCTAGATTGGTCTCCACGCCTTATGCTCGCTATGTATTCATGCGAGATTCAGGCAGGAAGTAAGTTTTTTCTTTCTTGTTTTGATACTTCTTATCTCTTTTCCCCATCTCTCTTTTTTGGGCGATATACTAACAAAAGCCATAGCCGAGGTCTTGGGGCGTGTATACGATGTTATTACGCGACGTCGTGGTCGTGTTCTCTCAGAACAGATGAAAGAGGGTACACCGTTCTTCACCATCCAGTCGACAATCCCCGTGGCGGAATCCTTCGGATTTGCGGAGGAGATGCGCAAACGCACATCGGGTGCCGCGCAACCGCAGCTTATTTTCCAGGGCTTCGAGGTTCTGGTCGATGAGGATCCATTCTGGCAGCCCTTCACCGAGGATGATCTCGAGGACCTAGGCGAGCTTGCTGATAAGGAGAATGTTGCGAAGAGATATATGGATGGTGTCAGGAGGAGGAAGGGTCTGCTGGTTGAGGGTAGAGGCGAGAGGGTGGCGGCTGAGAAGCAGAAGACTCTCAAGAGGTAAACAGACTGACTACCTTAGGTATCTCCTAGGTAGATAACAGGTACCTATCTAGTAAGCGGGCGGTTGGCTGGCTAGGAAATGGGCGCTGGATAGCGAAGGAATTGCTGTTGGTGTATAACAGTATTCGATCTGGTATTTTGGTTATTGGAGAGTAAAAGGCTAGGAAGACAGCTGAGGCTCTCGTGTCAATTTGGTATATAAGTCAAACGATGTATAAAATTCGGCATACAAGCAATGTTTTGGATAGGTGCCTAGGTACTTAATGGTTTGAGTTGCTGTGAAGTAGGTTTGTTCCCTCTGTCTTGTCTAATGTAGTCTTGAATGTAATATCAAAGCAATATAAAATTTGCAAAATATAGTCCTATATGATACCAAAGGTTTTAAGAAATCTGCTGTTACATGACTGGGGGTACATTAAGTCCCTGGTATTGATATAATAACTTCACTCTAACAGATACCGTTAAATCTATAAATCCCAACCGAAAGAGAAATGAAATGTCCTTTAGTCGTTTTGTATCTTTTTATCAAAGAGAAACCTCTTTTTACACCCCATCAAGCTTAGGTATATGTCTCCTGCTCTAATCCGTAGAGGGCGTGGGTTTCTTCCTTAGGTAGGGTAGAGGAGGGGCCGAGAGAAGCGGAACAGCAGCTTGGAGCTGTGCGGGGGAGGGGCAGCTGCACGGACCGGCAGGGCCTAAGATAATGGAAGGAAAAAGAAAGTTTGCAAGAGCCAATGGATGGTACGTCGCGAATGTTGGAAGGGTTGGGCACAATACGTTGGGGAAAAGGGGACGGTTGCATCGAGGGCTTGGGTACGATACGACTCAGCCGCACCTGTGGGGTGCACAATTATCAGGAACGTCGTCGTATAGGCCGTAGAAGTTCTCGAGCCAGATATCTGGTCCAGTCAGGTGTAAATATGCTTATTTAGTGGATTGGTATCTTCCAATACCCAACGTCTATTGCAGGACAGATCGGACCGGGGTGCGGATATCTGCCTCGATTCCTGTCGGTCCACGTAGGTAGTAGTTTAGCAATGTTGCATTTAGACTACACGTATCTAGGTGGTTCAATCATACTTGTGTTCAATGCTCAACCAAGAGAGGCCTACGCGTGGAAGACTTCGAGTTCTGATCCCTGATAGGGAGAGTTCCGGGAAGGACCTGACGTATAAGGTGACCAAAGCATGAATGTTTCGTCGACTCTTACACGCCTCTTGTCGTATATGATAAAAATTAGCTATCGGCAGTTCTCTGGTAGGCTTTAATAGAGTTATTGGAGCGCCTACGGTAGCAAAGACTGCCCCAGATTCGAGTGCAGATGATCTAACGAAGTGATTGGAAGGGTTGCTTGGGTTTCCTCGTAGTAGTTGGGCGTTACATTGACGAATCAACCTCGGGAGGTACTTGATACCTGCTAAGATACACATGATGAGTACGGACACAATCGCAATAATTGACTCGGTCGACAACGCCATCATCAATAAAATTAAAGAGATTCTTTTCGGAAAGAAGACGTCTTGGAAGAAGAAGAAGGGGAAGATGTGACAGTTATCTCGAAGTCTGTTTCTAAGCCTCAACTGGGGAAGATAGGATGGATGTATTATGGTCTTAGTAGAACTATAGGGGGGTCCACATACCAGACGGATAGAATCGAAGCGATAAGCATGTTTATACTTAATATAACCTCCCCGAGAGCATTTTCGAAGATGAATTTTCGAAGATGGATTGTGGAAATAGGTTGTAGAACATGATTTGTGAAAGATCGATGTTAGAAAACGGATTCTCGACAGTATAGTAGGGCATATGGGAGGAAGATTCGAAAGCATCATTCCGAAAAAAACATGAATTCAACTTCACGAATTCAGTTTTCCTGAATCCAGTTTCACCAATACAAGCGTTAGTTGGATGCTACTGTACTTGAGTGCTTGTACTGATCCGCCTGGCTACACGTACATCATCTACTTATGCTATGCGTCATATTATGTACCCTCTGCGTATACGCCTCTCGTCTTTGATGCCCAAGGCATCCTATAGGTTACCTGCTTACACCCCCCGTCAGCTTAAATATTTGAGTATAGCAAGCTCTGCTGTCTATATAAAGGGTAGTCAGCTCCCTCGCAAGAGCATAGATGGCTAGGCGTTTCGAGACTTATGATAATATACTATCAAGAGCACCAAACCTGACAATTATTATCACTCTTAAGTCTCTTATATCCCTAAAAAGTTTATATCCCAAAAAAGGATATGAGAAGGTCTCGGAGCATATCTTTCAACTTAGCAGGAAACGTTTTCGGACTTGGATGCTGCTAGCCTACGACGGGCTATCTTTGCAGCGTCGAGCTGCCGTACAGATTTCTCTTCTGAAAAGGGGTATAACAACCCTTTCACGGCGAGGGCTTCTTGTAATCTAACGAGTTGCTGAATGTTTAAGCACTTAGTTGACTGCGGTGCTGTATTGTCATATCATGCAGACGACCCGAATACCTTCAATTCTTGTGCTATTATTCTTTGGGAGTGCATGGTCATTGTTTCTCTATTTGAAATGATGGGGTTTCTTCTGATCGATATTGAGCCTCCAAAACTCAGTGAACCTTTATAATTTCAATAAAAGTCTACTAGAAGCTTGCCGCAACTTACCAGTGGGTAAGCATACGGATGAAGAGTAAGCCAAGTCGAAATGCCAACAGAAGTTATGGAGGCAGACGAATTTCTTCTTCAACTTGGCATATTGTGCGCAATTGGATCCAAGAGCTGCTTCGGATTTGGGTGAGCCGGAAACTGAAACTGAATTATCCTTATTAGAATCTGATATACTATTCCTGTATCCTCTCTGGCACTCTTCGAAGCATTGGCTACCAGTCTTCGGGCTGTTTGGTGGGTTTATTGGCATAAAAGGTCGCCTCTGGGCGTTTAATATTTTATGCAAGATTCAATATTACCCGCTGAAATAAATTAAATGACCTTACGATAGCTCTATGATATATTTATTGGTCCAGTCGACAACGCATGAACCATTGGATCCTTTTCCTTGGTGTGCCAATCCCAAAGCAACATAAGACATCTACCTGTCTTATATGTATGCTATAGCCTATTGGCGAGATCGCTTACATACAGTTCTATTATAACATGCTACCTACGTCTTTGACCCCCCTAGTAGTCCTACCTGGACATTACGCATACACATAGAGCTCTAAGATACCTGTATCACGAACAACTTATGAAGCGGATATGAACCCAGTCAGCAGGCATTTCCTATACAGTTGCTAAGCATTTATCTAATATCCAACCCCTGATCAACGACCAGCTTCTAATGCCTTGTCCAACTCACCGTCTACCGCCTTTACCTCTGGGTCGGATGATATATCTCCATGTTTTTGTTTGGTTTTGTGTTCCCTATGACTTAGAAAGAGGATAGCAAGGATAGCACCGAGTTGTGCTACAGTCGTGGCTAGGATACTTATAAATCCTCCGCGAAAATTGGGTGCATGACTTGCAGGGAACTGGACCACCTGCGTACCAGCCGTAATAGCTTGGCCGATGGCATTCATACTGGCTGTCACTACAGCGCGTTCCTCCGCATCTCCAGCCATGACCACCGATGCCCATCCCATAGTTAGAGGCGAACAAGCTAGGTAGTCAAGTCGTTAGTCAGACCGTCTTGAGCGAACGACGAGGGTAAGGAAATAGGGGCCGTGAGTAACTTACCAGCCTCGAATCCGGTGAGGATAAACCCAGCTAGACGACCGCTCTCGCCAACGTCCCAAGCTACAAGCAGTATCATACCCACGAGCACCGGGAAAGTCACTGCGATCGCAGGAAGCCAGAACCGTCCAGTCTTATCCGCAACAATACCGCTTAGCAGGGCAACAACAATGCTCACCGCCGTGACGATAGTCGGTATCGTGTTGATCTGAACGACCGAGTATATCTCACTCTTCGCTTTCAGGTAGAGAGAGAACGGCTGGCCTCCCGGGAGGAAGTTCTGGTCCATCAGCGTCCATTGGAGAACGAAGAGGTACCAGTGCCAGCGGGAAAAGACCCGCTTGAAGATATTGCGCGAAAGTTGCAGCTGCGGCGGAGCTACGAGCCCTTGGATGCGTTTGCGCGCAAGTGCGTGCTCTTCGCTCGTGATGAAGCGCGGCTTCTTCCTCGTCGGTACGTCGGGGAAGACGAAAAAACCGCTGGGATGGAGTTATTATTCGCTACAACGCAAGGACTTATACCTACGGTCAAATAGATAGACTTACAATACTGATATAGCAAGCGTGATGATAGCATCGACGATAAATAGCCATCTATTATATATTAGTTAGCATAACGCCATCCTGGAAGAATTGCACCATATAATGAAGGGCCATACCTCCAGCCGGCTAGACCGTGCACTTGGTTCAGGTTAGTATAAGCCGCGGCCTGCAAATATCCAGCAAACATAGTGCCCAGCGGGCTCGCGATGAAGAAGAGCGCGACGCGTCGGCCGATCTCGCCCGGCTTATACCAAGAGCCGATGACGTAGATAGTTCCGGTGAAGGAGCAGCACTCGAAGACTCCGGTGAAGAACCGCATGGCGTAGAGCGTCTCGACGTTCCTCGCCCAAGCCAGGCCGAAGGTCGATAGCCCCCAGCCGATTTCCAGAGCCGGGAGAACCCGGTTGGCGGGGTAGTGCGTCAAGAAGTAGCAGGCGGGAATCATGAAGGTGCAGTAGGATGCCCAGAAGGTGGCCGTGATGTAGTTGAGCTCGTCGCCGTGCATGCCGAGCTCTTCTTTCATACCGCTGATTATTACATGTCAGCGCCTATAGCTAAAGTGGTAGACTGATAGTCGGTACTAATAGTTATATATAAATGTATTAAGTACATACCTGACATATGCGTTGGTGATGGATTGTTGGTCCAAGTACTTGGTGAAGAAGGACAGGCAGCCGAAGATCAAGATGCTCAAATCGAGTTTCAAGATCAGCCATTTTTCTTCTTCCGGCATGCCCTTTGGATACCACCCGACATGGCTCATGAGCCTGATCCATAGGATTCCGATGCGAGACCTGCCGTGACTACTGTCCCCATGGTGGCTAGGCGCTTGTTGTGCGGACGACCATATGGTCGTTTTGTGGTTCTCGTTTTCCGCCATCGTTAAAGGAGAGAATAAGACCTCGGCGTCGCGTTGTACCACTCCAGAACTGCTCAGGTGATATTGGTTACATGCGAGTTGCACTCAAGCTGGATTTAAGGATCAGCAGAGACACTTTATCGGCTGTCGCACGTGGTATATGAGGAATGAGGAGTGTTACCAATAACCAAGCGATGTCGCGATCAACCTTTCCTATGATAACACAGCACTAGCAATACTGCAATATCGGAGAGCGTATAAGAACTGAGCGTGCCAGCTCTCATTATGTTAGGTAGGTACCTAGATAGCATCTTCGCATTGCGCTACGAGTGCCTGGCTGCTTCTTACCAAATCAAGATCCCCCCTCCCCCAAGCCTTATCTTGATAGTCGCGTCAACGAGACCTAGTATGACGTGACAGGGATTATCGAGAGAACTCACGATAGCTTTAAGAGTAACCTATCACAGAGATAGTTGTCATTGACAGATAAGTTTTACCAGTGCTAATAAGATACCTGTATTTAACAACAAATGACAATGTGCATATTATCATATTTATACTTACAGAGCCGATTATAAAAGAGCTGTTAACCCAGAAGTTCGACTCTCTAAGTTAGCCCGCAGACAACTTTCGATATCATTTACACATAAATACCAAGACGAAAACGAATTTAATAGCGGTTAATTGCTCAGTACCTACCTAATACAATGCATAAAATAAACCCTTTGGCATAGCATATGATTTCGCTTTCGTCGTAGTTGTACACGGCTTTGGTTTTATACCCAAAATATCTCTGCAAGTTCCGCGTTTAATTCTCTCCATCAAAATAGATGCTTACCTAGATACCCAAGTACAGCCGAAGTGTTATATGCTCTAGTTAAAGAGGACATACTTACCTCATCCTACGGCGGAGAACTCTTCGAAACAAGTTATATAGTATATATACCTCTTATGTACCTATAATTAACTACCCAGGTACGGCATTAACGTTGCGCTTTAGTCCCTTTCCCTATTGACTTACATAAAATTAGACTTACTATTGCGTATCAGATCTAAGACCTGTCTCTATGAGAAAGAAACTGGTATTTAATTCTCACAAGTAGTTGACATCGGCAAAAGTATAATAATGCTTAGAATTGAGTACAAATTGCCTTTTGAAAGAGTGTTAACTGACAGGTAACAGGTAGGTAGCTATTCTTCTATCTTATGTTCAAGACATATGTCTAGTTGCCGACCAAACGAAGTCTTCTTGTTGTGACTTTGCCATTAAGAAACTAACTAAATGATATATCCTGCACATCCAAGAACATAAATTATTGTCAGTTGTTTAGAAACTCGTCATCACTTATATATTAGGTGTTATGTATGTTACACCTTAACTACTACATATCCTCCCAAGTCGCATACTACCCTCCTTCTAGGTAGGTTGTGTAGATACTTCTTAGCATATGCTAGATTTGCAATTAAACCCTAGCCCCCTAGATAGGTGTAGCTGGCAACCCTGTCCTGTCTCCGCCGACGGAGGGGCGGCTTAGACATCGTTCTCTTTCTTTCTAAATAACACTATTATAACGACTTACGTGTACGAACAACGATCTCAGAGGAGGCTTATTAGATATGTGTTTGTTATATACGACGGTGTATATACAACGAAGAGGTTGTTTTTTTACGACTTCGTTAAACATGTTCTTAGGTTAATACTAATTCTCGACAGAATAACTTCTTTTCCTTTCCTTTTCTTTCTTTCCTTTTTTTTAATTCATCCCATCATTCCTTTGTCTTTAGTTGTCCTACTACCCCGACTTGGTGGTGCTTCCTAGGTCTCCATCTCCGCTGCCCCATCTCTTTCTCTTTTTGTTCTCCTCTGTTGACTTTTTTTTTCTTTCTTTCATTCACTTGCCTAGATACCTACAAACATCATACACTATTTTGAAGCTCTTAAACCCCTTCCACTCGTTTCAGCAGCGATGAAGATCCGCTTCAAGGCCCCTTCTGGTGCGGGCTCTGTTGAAGTTCACGATGCTTCTACAGTCAAGGAGCTGGTGGAGGCTATTAAGTTAGCCACCAACTACGGTGACGTCACAGTCAAATACGGTTGGCCGCCAAAGGCTCTAACTGCTGAGCAGGCAGAGCTCTCGGCGCAATCCCTCGGTCTTCACCGAGAAAACCTTACTGTTGTCCCCGTCGAGAATGACTCTACTACAAGCTCGCAGAATACCCAGCCGACCCCCGAACCGACCACCACCGCCGGCACCGCCGCCATCACCACCACCACCACCATCCCCGCGGCCGCTCTGCCGGGCCTCCAGACGCCGTCTTCGGGTAAGGAGAAAAGCACAACTACAACTAAAGGCATCAAGGACCAGAACATCAGTGTTCCGATGCCTGAAACAGGTTCAACTCTAGGTATGTCGCATACTTCCCACTGCGCCACTTAACCAAGACTACCCCTAGGTGTAGTTACTTGAAGAAACGCAAACTAACCCCAGCGCGCTCTCTCTCTCCAGTTCTCCGAGTCATGCCCGACGACAACAGTTGCCTGTTCACGGCCGTCGGCGGCGCGCTGCGCGGCCTGCGCTCGGACCCGTCGGAGACGTTCACGCCGGACGCGCTGCGCCGCCTCGTGGTCGAGCACATCCGCGCGCACCCGGAGAAGTACAGCGCCGTGATCCTGGGTAAAAGCCCCGGCGCGTACTGCGCGGGGATGCTGCGCCCGGACACCTGGGGCGGCGAGATCGAGCTAGCTATCGTCTCCGAGATCTTCCGCCTGGAGATCGACGTCATCGACGTCAAGACCGGCACCGTCTACCGCGTCGGCGAGGGCAACGGCTACCCCCTGCGCTGCGTCCTCGTATATTCTAATGTACATTATGACCGCGTCGCTGAAATCTTCGTCGAAGGCCAGGAGGAAGTCGATTTTGACGTTACTCGCTGGGCTGCGGACGAGTCGAGCGATCATATCATCGTTCACGCGCAGGAAATGTGTCGAAAGCTCAAAGAAGAGCATCACTATTACACGGACACTTCGGACTTCGTCGTCATGTGCAACGAGTGTGGTTGGATCGGCCAGGGCCAGACGGCTCTTGCGAAGCATTCTCTTAGCACCGGCCATTCGGATATCAGCGAGATTAAGGACACCGCCGCATAAATCCATACCACCTTACCCACCTACTTACTTAAGGTAGTGGGCCCGTCGACGACTACGACTACGACCACGATGACACGATAATGATAGCATGATACTTTCTCCAGCAGGGAGTTTAGGAGGGGGAGCCCGTCTGGTTTTCTGGGTCTCGCGAAGATTCTCTCGTGTTCGTGTATATAGTAATGAGCTGGCACGTGGATGCTTCGATGCACAGTAGGGTTGGTAGTACATAGCATGCGGAGGGAGGAAAAGTCGGGAATTGATACCCCCTTGGTTCCTACACGAGAGAGGAGGAATAATAGCAGGGAACTCTGATATTGCTTGACGATCAGTCACGCTTCTTCGAAACCTAGGTATAGCACAAGTCCAAGGTCTATCTATATAGGTACTTGGTTGAACGCTTAACAATAGGGATAATTACATGCATTATCTGCTACATTGATGCCGATGATGGCCCTCTGTTTAATACGTAAAAGAGTGAATGCTTCGTCCTACAATTGATGTCAATAACCCAAATGAGTCTATACACTCAAGGAAAAGATATGATCTTCATAGGTTCCCTACCCCAACGGTTACTCACTGTGCCATAGGAAATTCGAGAATCGCTTTAATCTCACCGGGACAACATTAAAACACATACATATATGCTACTTTACGTATTTATATTGTGGTATCTACCGTAACTAAAAGGAACTCTATCCCTGTCTGAGGGAGTGACTTTCTCGATATGCTGCTATCGACATCAACACCACCACCACCACTGTCGCCGCCGCCGCCGCCGCCACATCCATTACTAGCTAAATATCTAGAAGAGAGATTCTCCTATCCCCCCAGCCGGTTGAAATTCCCGGTACCCAATGCTCACCCCAACCGGTTCCAATCCAGTTGGGGAAAAAAAACCCAAGCTATGTTCGAGATGGATGGTTCCGCCTTAAACCCTACCTCCAACTCCCTACCCCTTTAGCCAACCCATGCAATAGATCATGCAAGCCCATATCTTCATAAAAAAACAAAAGAAACAAAAAAAACCGATGCTATAGTACATAAAATTGCAATGCAGCCTGTCGTTTCTTCTCTCACTAGTCAACCTCCCAGCGGCTGTCCTCTGATTGTGAGATGCTGTTGCTGCTATTGTTGCTGCTGCTGTTTTTCTGTTTATTTCTTGCCGAAATGTAGGAGTCTTCGTCGTCGCTCCAATCGCTCAAGTCGTCATCGGAGTAGTCCCACTGGACCGGGATCTTCTCACCTCCTTCACCGATGCCGAAGAAAAGACCTCGCCACTCACCGGCGAGGATTCTAGCGGCAACTTTCAACATAATATTTACGAGAAAAGTGGGCGGGCTCAGGATAAGCTCCACCGTCTTATTTATAATGGTGCCCGGTAGTCGACGGACAGTATCAAAACGACTCTGAGGGGTTTGCCTGGAAGGAGGCGAGAAAAAGTTAGCGGGAGGGGGAAGCGGCGACAGCGCTCGTCGGCTCATAGATAAACTATGAGGCCGTGGTCGTGGCCGGATCTGTGGTTTCTCTTCGACGCCGGACGCATGCGATTCCTTGGAAGATTCGGCAATAGTCACATGGCTGTCCCTCCTCTCGGTTGGAGGACGCTGGATGGGCGAGGCTGGTTCGTTAGCATGGTCTTTGGCCTCTGTAGAGCTTGTATTAAACGTCCTATCCGTCTCCGGCGTATTTGTATACGCTGGGTTATCCCCTTGATGCGGAGACTGGCTAGGAACAACGATATCATCGCGTGGATGAGGATCGTGTGGATGAGGAAATTCAGACTGAGAAGGCGTGACTGGGCGTGATGATGGCGGCGACGGAGGGAGCGGGTTGGCTGGTAAATTCCATGACTGTACACTATGAAATGAGTCGCTTGACCCGGCAGGAGAACTTTCATCCGATTCTAAAATACGAGAATGCGGCAGAGGACGGGGTTTCGTAACGCTTGATGATCGTCTTGACCTTGAAGGGATCGAAGACACAGTAGTCACCTGTGGAGGAGCCGTATATGTACGACCAGCTAACATCCGGCTCATCCGCTTCTTCTTTAGATTAAGGGGTGCGATACGACCGGATCCCTCAAACGATGAAGGACCTTCGTCAACCTCTTTACCTGTGGCTTTCTCCATTTTATTGCTAGTAGCGGGGTTTTCTTCCAGCGTCGACTCCCACTTTTCGAAATCGACAGCTTGTGATGTTCGAGGTTGCGTCAAGATACTAGGAAAGTCTGTCGGGCCTAATAACTGTTCAGCGTCTCGCACGGCTGAGGTTGCCGCCTCCTCTTGAGTTCGTATGGCGCGCTGATTTTGACTTGTACTGGTAGGGCTAATGTCGCTTTGTCCTGATATTGACTGCCTCGTATTATACGAAACCACGTTATCCTTAACAATATCCCACGGGATATTTGCTAGATCTAACACAGGACCAAAGTTGGAAGCCAAAGATTGGCCACCTTCCTGAAGAGCCTTTAGTGCCCCTAGATCTAATTTTTTAGGTAGACTACTATTTTCTTTCTCCTCGGTAGCTGTCGACTCTTCCGACTCGGACATTAACTGTCTAGATTCTGGCCGATAGTTATATTGTGATAAATCACGGGGCGAATGAGTTCCGAGATCATCCCTGAAAAGGGATATGTCGCTTAAAGTACTGGAACGCCTATCCATATACAGTCTGGCAGTCGGCGATGATTGCGGGGAGGAGTCGGAAAAAGGCGACGATATTAAATTCTTCCCTTCCGGCGTCCAGGCCTTCTTCTTGATCGGCGTATGCGGATCTTCAGGTATTTCTACAGTAAAGCTCCTCTTAAATGGACAATGCGTCTTTTCAAATGACAATGTTTTATCCAAAACTTGTTTTAGTAATAATGCGCGATCCTGATCGTCGGGGGTTAGGATTGGAAGCTCGATTCTCCAGTATTGAGGTCGTCGGATCTGTAAGACGAATCTGCTATTATCCTCGTCAATGCACCAGCATTGACTTTTCGGGAGGATGGGCTGAAGGGCAGAGCCACAGCTGAGAAAAGCCACGGACCCGGGGGCACGGTATATGCGGAATGGACCTTTTTTTTAACAAGATTTAAGATTAGCTAAAGGGGTAAAGTTAAGGTTGTGTAGACGATCTGTAGGGCCAAGTGCGGTAAACCTTACCAACAGCAAGAGTTCTTTCTAGTCGCGATGATGCTGGTAGGGTACCCGGTCGATCTTCATGGGAAGAAGAGGGACGCGAACCAAAAGAATTACTTTGGGTGGAGGTAAATGATATTATCTTGACGGAAGGGTGGCTATAAAGAGTCTCGACCAGCTCGTCGGATTGAGATGCAGTTGATGCTGATCCCGGAGCTGGTGCTGGTGCAGAAGATGATGCAGGAGAAGAGGGTCTGGCGATGGGTTCGGTAATGGCTCTACGGGGCCGCGGCATGTCTGGTTTACTAAGTGGAAACTTTGGGTCTTCAGCCATGATGGTCACATCTCAGGCTATAAGTAGAGTGACGTGTCCGTGCTTTCGTTGTGCACGCTATGGATATGGATGAATGAAACTCCCGGAAAAACCAGACGATATGACGTCTAGGTCATGGCGTGCAAGGTGTGCAAGGACGCGAGAACGCGAGGGTTCGCGGGGTTGAGGATGGGTCGTGGGTCGTGTGGATGGATGGTTTGGTTGGATTATAGGATGAAAAGACGGTGAGCTGGTTTTTTTAAAAAAGGGGGAGGGGAAAGAAAAATGACCCAGGTTAGTAGGCACCTCATAGAAAAAAAGAGGAAGAAATGGGAAGATTCCAAAAAGCTATATTAAAAGATCAAACGGTTTATCCAAAAAGTCATTATATCCTCAAACGCTACGCCCTTTCTCAAACGCGGTTCCATGCTTAATTGTTTATTTAAGCAGAACCTTTAAGTGATTGATTAGATGAGAATGGTAAGAGAGAAAAAGGGAGAAGAAACTAAGGTATGCAAGAGAGAGAGAGCCGAGGGCTGCTGCATTCGGACGGAGTCGTTTGTAATATGCAGCAAATGTACACAAAAATGCACGACAGACATCGAACGGTACCTTCCCCGCGCCACAAGAGACCTCAGGAATTATGGCGTGTACGGAGCACTTTAAGGCACTTTGGTATTGTGCATACGTACTATGTAGTACGATATATGGGCCATATCCGCCAATATCCATATGGATGTGCGACACTGTATGTGTGACACCGAAAGCGGTGGAGATGGGAGACTGGGTATAGTGGAGTTTCCCGATCCCAATATCTCATCTGACTCCATATACCAAAGCTCCATTAATTTGATTGGTCTATCTGCCTATTAAGCTTAGACGCTCATGCAACCAGTAAGAAGGGCTAATGCATCCTACCGACCCACCTACAAGGTACCTATGTATAAAATGTATACTCGGCATAACTAGTATAAAGAATAGTGTAGTTTAATGAAGATGCATTCAACCTGAATATGGCTTCCTTCACCTTTTCAGCTATTTTCAGCTCAAGATGTCTTATACGTTAATCCTCCACCAAAGCTTCGCTCGCTATTCTTACCTCCAGCAGTAACTTCGCCCTTCGCCACGCCTGTTTCAAAGGCACAACTGCCCATATCTAACACCTTGGCCGGCCCGGTGGGCATAATGTCAAAGTCGAAAATATCGACAGGCAAACCCAACGTAGTGCACGCGTTTGGTATGTCCACAATGCCAGCTACATGGCCCTGGATAGGCGCCGACGATAGCAATAAGTAGATCTGGTAGTCGTCATATCCGAACCGGCGGAGATATTCGATACATCCTGTGTCCTGTTAGTTATTTGATAGCCTGCCTACGCATGCCCATTTTCTCGTTTTACTTACGCAGGGTTGTCTGTCTATAAGCAACTGCAACGTCCATATAGTGTTGTTTACCATGCTCATCCACCGAAAAGCCTTCAAAGTAAATATGGCGGCCCGGTCCGAACTGTGGCTCTACGGGTCCGGGTAGATAGATGGGCGACTTGAGACCCAGATCCGCTACTCCGTTCTTAATGACTTTGAAGTTGATCGTGATAACACCGGCCATCTCTATCGCTCCGCAGAAAGAGATCTCGCCGTCGCCCTCTAGTTTCAAATCAGCACTTTCAACTTGTCCAGGTATAGTAACGACATCAAGAAGTCCAACTCACGGGAGAAATGCAAATCTCCGACGCTGAACTTCGCGCCGGGGACGTGAACCGGGAGGTAAACTTTCGAACCTCTGCTTAAGTTCTTGATATCACAGTTCCCGCCGTGCTCCGGCCGCCCCGGGATCGTCCTAGCACCTTCCCTGCCAACTTTCTCCTTGATCGTCGCGTCCGCCGCGCCTGCGTGCACGCTCTTCGATTCGGGCGGCAAGGCGACGTCTCTCTCGAGCTTGTTGGCCGCGATAAGCTCGCCCTCACGCTTGTTCCAGGTGTTCAGGACCTCGGCCGAAGGCGCGCAGCCGAGGATGCCCGGGTGAATGATGCCCGCGAACTTGACGTGCGGGATGTGGCGCGACGTCGCGAAGATGCCTTCGAAGTCCCATATCGCCTTCGCGGCCGACGGGTAGATCTCGTCGAGGAACCCTCCCCCGTTGTCCTTGTGGAAGATGCCAGTGAACCCCCACGGCTGGTCTTGGAACGGCTGGACGTCCATGATTTCAACTAGCAGGATATCGCCCGGCTGGGCACCTTCGACCTCAAAAGGGCCTGTAAGGTAATGAACCCTGGTCAGATCAACATTGCGGATATCATCTGCGCTGTCGTTATTTCCAATTTGACCTCCTGTCCTATGGCTATTGTTAGTGCTCGAGGACGTGATTTATAGTAAACGTCTATGCTTACCAGTCAAGGCATTCGATCTTTACCGTTTCTCCATCCTTGATAGAGCCGGCGAATGGAACTACACATACATTAGCAAGTAAGCTCCCAATAGTGTTATTCATCTTGGGCTCATACTATCAGGATGCCATCTGTTCTTGATACGATATTAGTTTACATGTATAAATATTAGAAATCTACCTCGTTTTACTTACATGGATGTTTGTCTGTTCTGTTGCTGGCTTGTCGCGGCTCACCTTGCCAACAGTACGAATTCCGGTCTTTCCCATTGCGACTTTCTAGTATTTTGATATTTGATATAACTTCCAAGTATGATAATAATGATGGCATCCACCGAAGTTATCTCTCAGCTACATCAAGGATAGGTATTGGTAATTGGCATGAAGAGGTCCTATCGTATCAAGACTTACATCAAACTATATAAGGTATCTAGGGACCTATACAGCTTATACTGGGATCTACTTAGATGTACCCCGCATCATGGTCTGCGGAGAGGCGCCTATCACAACGAGAAGAAGCCTGCGTCATGTTGGTGATAGCAAGCGTAGATATGTCTAATAGTATTACCTACCTCGGTACATATAGTGTAAGTTTGGCGTATCAAGACCTCCAACTAGAAGTACATGTACCTGTTATTCACACCCCCACTTGGGAATCTTCTTATCATGAGTCTAAATACCTAGGTGCCTATCAAATATCTAGGTCAACAAGCGGAGCTGCAGGTGTATGCACCCCATCTACCCGTTTGATAAGTTTGATAAGGGGAGTTCTGAACAAATTGCGTATGTTGTCGAATAATGGATAACGGGGAACATCTCCGGGAAACGTAATTCGCATATGAACGCGGCTTTATATCTTATCTTGCTATTCCCCTAGCTCACCCGATCCAAGTAACTATAAAGCGCTTAGTACGAATATCTTGGACACATTTCAATGATAAACGAATTTTAATTCGCAGTCGATTTAGTTACGAAACGATAACTGCTTCCCACAATCAACGGATCGTGGTAGACAATCGATACGACTGCAAAATCATAGTTCTTTCTTGCGTTCCTGCTTTTGCGACTCCTCGTATGATGGCGGCTTATCACCATGTACAGCGTCCAAGTTCGCTAATGGCAGGTTCAGGAACTCGTGCTTGTTCTTCCAGACTTGTTGGCTCGCCACAAATTCCTGCATTTCCGAACGGGACACATTCGGTGGCGGCGGAGGGTCTGTGATCTTGGTGATGAGGTACGCCGTCGACGCTTCGGCAATGCCATATATCAACACGCCCAGTAGCGGGACCCTGAGGAGCGTATAGAAGCCGATACCGAACCCGAAGAGCAATCCTTCGCGGCTCCTGAACCAATTCCGCTTCTGCTCCTTGGTGAAGTAAATACGGGCAAAGTACGGCTCGAGCAATTCTCGCATCAGGCTCCGCGAAGCGAAATAAGTCTGCAGAAAAATGACGAGGTAGCGCCTCGGGAGTAAAATACCCGTGCCGAAGATAACTGCTGCCGGTCCTAGGCCAACTGCCTTGTGAAACGTATAGAAACTGGCTGACGGGAGCACGAACCGACCAATATATGGGACGTATGATAGAGCGAATACGGCTAGGGAAATTAGGGCCTTTCGCGTAAATTTCCATATAAACATGGTGATTGCTTCGGCGGTGCTTCCCGACTGCGTGCTTCCATCCATATGCTTTAGCTTGCTGAGATTCGGATAGTACATGTCACGGAGCGTATCGGGATTCTCGTGCTTATGCTTCTGAACATATGTCGTATCTACCCATCGTAACGAGTCCATGAACCTGCCAACCAGAGAGGAGTTAAATAAGTACAAGCCATAGTAGTTACGAGGGGATAACGACGTACATGTTGTCTAATGTCGGCGTGATATACCTCATGAGGGTCATGAGAAAAAGAGGAACTTGAAGGACATGGTTGGCGATCAAGTCAAGACCGTTTACCAGAGTATCGTCCCACGTGGCTTTGTCGAGATCGAATATCAGAGAGAGGAAGGCGAGAAGAACCTTGATCCCGATGATCTAGTATTTAAAATTGTCACTTATAAGTCTAATCGAGTAGGTATATTTAGATATTTGGACCCTTACAGGAACAGCAATAGCTATACGAATGGCGATACCAGCACCGACGGCTATAGCAGCTTGCTTATAGTGCTCGTTCGTGAATATAGCAGGATTTTGTAAGGCTCGATGAGCTATAGAACAAATGTTAACAACTCAGTAGGGAGAATAGAATCCCTTAACTAGCATATGAACAGGACATACCACCGACGAGTGTCAATTGTACACCACGTATGATTGCATTGAAGTCGAAATGAGAGAGGTCGAAGGCTTTCTTCAGCTTTTCCTTATCAAGCTTGTCAGGTAGTTTATCTAGTTTAGACATCCTTCAGTTCGGATACCTCGTTTGACTCTCTGTTTCGATATATAACAAAAAGTCAAGAGTGGGTACATGTGAAATCTGAAATTTGAAATAAGAAAGATAATTAAGGTTTATTGTGTTCAAACGAGAGCTCAAGAAGCATGAGACCATATGGAGCCGCTTACCCGGCTGAATGAATGGAATGCATTGGTGACGACATCTACATCTACGTAGGTTAGGTACCACCTACAGGTACCTAAGGTCCCAAGCTTTGTCAGGTACAATACATTAGGTAATCTCAATTGGCTGCTAATCGATACGGCGTATTGCGCCACAACTGCTCATCTCTTCACCCCGCGTATTTCGCAAACGCTTTTGATTCGTTGCTCTTCTCTAGGTGAGCACTGCCACAATGCATTCCTGGCATTATACAGACTGACAGAGCCTTAACATGCACTTTGAAAAAACAGAATCTCAATTCTGCCTTCCTGGCCGGATGTCATATCCCCTTCAGTACGAATGAAAGAAATTAATGACTAGTGTGGGTAAGCATAGCTGTAGGCTGAGTCCAGCCGCCCGGAGCTACGCAGTAAGAAGTCAGTACTGGTAAACTGGCTGGTGAAAAATATATAGCATTGAAGCTTATTAGTGGTAACGCTAAGGTTTTACTTCGCTTTTTTATTTACAGACGAAGCATACGCCGTATTCCTGTAAGTAATGCGATTGGCCGGGTCTTGTCAATGGGGCTAGGATTGCTTCACATACAAGGAAAACAAGGCAGATAAAGTATATTTCTAGAAGGTTTACCCAAGAGATGATTACCTTATATATAAGGAGACATCATGGACGACTGTCGAGGTTGCGTAAGTTCTTCATTGCGAATGCAGCTTGAGTCGATCAATAGGACGAATAACGACAATGGTTAATTATTAAGTTAATCACACTTGAACGTGCCTTACGTACCTACCTAACCTATACATCCTCAAACGAGGCTCCTCATCCATTAGCCAATATGGAAGACGGGAAATACGTCGACGGCAGTTTTTATATATACGCTCCGAACAAGGGGGCACCGGTGTTTTTCGCTGTTGCTTTTCTAGCTAGCGGTGGAGCTCACCTCTGGCAAGCAATGTAAGTGCCCTTGAGAATAGTATCCGTGTTGTCGACCAACATAGTTTTTTTTTTAACGATATGAATCAGTCATTATAAGAGCTGGAGGCTTACCGGTTTATATATTTTATGCGCGCTTCTCTTCGCCTCCGGTTTTATCGTAAGGGAGCTAGGGGCTTTCGATTATACGAACCTCGCCTACTATATCGCTAGTCAATGTCTTATTTATTTCGCACCGTAGGTTGAACTTACCCAACGTTCTTCGTAAAAAACGAACCATTTCTAACCCATGTACTAGGCCGCTATACGAGCTCTGCAACTACTACATCCTCGGCCGCATCCTTTACTTCGTCCCCTATTACTCTCCAATCCATCCCGGACGAGTACTGACGACCTTCGCGGCTATCTCTATGGTAGTTGAGGCGCTAAACGGAAACGGAATTGCCTATATGGCTAATAGGTCATTGCCGGAGGAAAAGCAACAGATGGGCGAGGCCCTGTTAAAAGCTTCGCTGATATTGCAGCTCGTGGTTGTCTCGCTTCTCGCCGCGCTTGCCGGCACATTCCACGCGAAGTGCCGACGAAATGGCATCGACCATGCCAAGGTAAACCAAGCACTCCTAACGCTCTATATCAGTACAGCCATCATCATGGTCAGGTGCATCTATAGAACGGTGGAGTACTTCGGCTCTACCAGCGTCGACTATGCGGACCCGAACTTCGACTTCTCGACCCTAAGTCCAGTCGTTCGGTATGAGTGGTTCTTTTACGTGTTCGAAGCGACGCTCATGCTGTGCAATAGCGTACTATTGAACGTCCGCCATCCGCGCCGCTGGCTTCCTAACTCCACCAAGGTCTACCTTGCTAAGGATAATGTGACGGAGATCATGGGACCGGGATACAAGCAAGAAAGGAACATTTTGGTCACTTTCATTGATCCCTTCGATATCTATGGCATGATCAAAGGTAGAGATCAAGCAACGCGCTTCTGGGATGAACACGAACTCGAGGACAGGAAGGCTGATGTCGATCTAACACTACCGGCCGCGGAGAGACGGGTTTAGCAAAAAAAAGAAAAAAAAAAGAAAAAAAAAAAGCTGTCTGGAAATAGGAGGACGATTTGGATTAGTTAGGAGTTTATTGGGATTAATTGGGATTATTGGAGTTTAGTGTATATTTTGGGCTTTTTGGATATTTCTGAACATATATCCACATGATTTAGTTTACTTAGGTAGGCAGCTTAGCGGTAGTTTAGACGGCGCAGTCGATTTTCAAAAGAATAGATAGAAACGAATAAGTTTCTAGAAGGCTTCCTTTCGCGACTAAATTAGATCATAGGTATTGCCAATTACCAAATATTTGAGATTGACGAATGCTTGTCTATGCGTTCCTCGTATGAGCTTCCATTTTACTAGAAACGTACCTAACCTAACCTAACATAATAAGGGGGATTGGCAGAATATTGGATCCGCCGGGAAGAAGAGCCACATACCGCCGCAATGAGTGGCTGGGGCATCTATACGCTTTCGAGGTTAGGCAGGCACTTTTGTGTTTCTTTCTCGTTTCCGTTCTATTCGAAACATCAATTTGTTCCCCGCTTGCAAGATGAAACAATCTTATGCAATTCACGTTATTAGAGTTGGCATTGGAAGTTAGACAATAAAGCCCTTAGCGTTGGAGGAGTTGGTTTGATTTATGTAAGGCAATTGATATCTTATGAACGTACCTACCTAAGGTGTAGGTACCTACGAGGTACATAGGTGTAAATGCAAGCAAGTCGGGTCGGAACCAGCATGTTTCTATTTCCAGAACAACGTTCCACAGAAGGCTATGCATTTACAGGAGGCATGTACGCCATACCTATTGGAGGTACATAACTTAATGTTTACGATCAGGTACATGAGCAATAGCAAATTACACCTTTCCTTGTTCAATCTCCGCATTCTCTGCAAAATGTATCCCCGATATTTCATGCAATACAACTATTGAATGCTCTCCTATTTCGTGAGGTACAGTTTTATTACACGTTCAAGCATTTCCAAGCGTCATCGTACCTCGTCATCGGTAATATCCTGAAGATGAACTAGGGTTCGATACATACAGATAAAGTACCTAGGTACTCATTTATCCACCTGAAGTTGCTTACGATAAAGAAGTATTCCCAGATCCCGTCTTACCATGATTCTATTTAGGGGAATCGGCCGAATTAGTAGTAGAAGCGAGCAAAAGAAACGTCATAAGTGCCCTCCTACCATAGGTAAGTACCTAACCTACCTAAGGTACCTACCTACCTAGGTAAATATCTGTGGACGCGGTGCGTATTATTAGGCATGTAGTCGTACAGCATCGGCATCAACATCGACATCGACACCGACACCAGCATTTGGCATCAGCACTGTATTAGGTACTACCTATCTTGTATGCCATCCTGCTACCTATGTCAGTTACCGTCTTGGCGGCCCAGTGCGCTACTAAACGTTAGGTAGCTAGTCCACGAACCGTCGTGATGTAGCTCGGTTGTAGAACCCGCTGTAGAACCCGCTGATCAGAACAGCACCTCATTTACGATCCAAGGGAAATAGCTTCATATTACCAAGGTCCCTAGTTAAGGGGGAAATGCCAAGACAAATCTATTCAAATTCTATCGTCGAGTCGAGATTTCCTGACTGTGTACTCAAGTTTTATGCGCGATCGGGTTCTCCATCAATTGTCAAAATATTGACAGAATGATAGACCAAATGATAGACATGGTTGCAGGGTTCCTCCTCCTTCAGACTTACCCATTCTCGCACCCACAAGCTGTCAGTCAAGGGTTCTGACTAGGGATCTTCTAGTATTTTCTTTTTGGCTGGGGAATGGAACTGAACATACTACCAGGTATGCTAGGTACCTGGTATTGCACCCTAACATACCTCTGGCATCCGGGCCATCCAGCAATCAAACAATGTACACGGCTGGTATGTGCTTCATTACCTATCTTCGGGTTTGCAACAAAATGTACAGTGTGCACTACTTATGCCACAGTACGGGTGGGGGGCAGAAAATCAAGGAGGGAAGCACATCTGGGGATCGCTTCGCCATACAACAAGCCATCTAACCGTCGTACTGACCGTCGTACAATACAGATGCTTTGACCATGCCTGGGACACCGCTGTTCGTGCTGTTAAGCTTTGCCAATGAGCTCGTTCATTTGGGCCAACCCGCAGCGGATGCAGCAAATCATCTCGTTGTTCCACCCTTCTTCATCAGGTTACTAACTGATTAATTATTCTCATTCTCCGATTCTATTTGTCGTCTTCTTGCTTATACATTAACTACCTGCGCACTGCTACATACTTCGGACACTTCTCTACACTACGACCCTACCTCAACACTTAGCCACCCACGACTTACACGCAATTCGACTAGACTTTTAACAGCAGGGTTGTCACTTTGCAAACTTGCACCTTGCAATTCGTATAGTTACCTTTAGTTATGCTTCTCAATCTCTTTCTTATTGTACGCCACCGCCCTTAAACCGTTCGTTTCGCCGCCGGGCTAGGTACTCCTAGCGGATTAGTCGAACCTGGACTCTCTCCTGGATTCTTTTTTGGATTCTTACCTGAGGCCTATTATATTATATCACTCCACCTCGCACCTACTCAGATCATCTGAGTTCCTCCTGTTACATACCTAACTAGAGGTTGTCGCATAACAGAGGAACAATCTCCACTGCTAACGGGTGGGAAAGTACCTAACACAATTTGAAGTATTTTTGGTATCTTTGGTTGCACCCAACTGCCCTTTTCGAGCGTCTCGCGTTGAGGGCCTTGGCACGCTTCTAGCGGCTCATCCGTTATAATCCTGGAGACAAGTAGCGTAATTGCAGCTGTGCTCCAGGTTTGTTTCTCATCGAATCCCAATCAACCCTTGTCAGCCAAAGTGGTAGTATACCTCTTTATTAAGAGCCGCCCTCTCTTATTATTTCCCTCCTGTCCCTACATTGCGGAGGCTAATACCTAGCAATATGGATCACAATCGGAACAAGGCAATACGCAACGAGCGTAGCAATATCCCCAAGCCGCAGGTTTTTGTACAGCTCGCCTTTGGCGTGTCTTGGTCTGAACGACACACCCCACAAATGCATTCAATGACTTACATGTCTCGCAATTTGAAGAATGCGAGGGATTCTGGTAACTTTCCTCGCCAAGTACCACCGCCGAATGCGAATTTCTTAGGGCCCCCGGAATCGCTCCAGCAACGGAGCCGAGAGCACCCAAGTCGACATCATCGTCAACATAATCATATACAAACCCGAGAGCCCGGACGTTCTCGAGGTCAAAATGGCCATCAGCCTCACGACCAGGTAAGGCCTCGGCCAAGGCGGAACTCGCTGGGTGAATCTCGAGGAGAAAGAGGAAGGTCAGCGCCACCGCTGTTCAGCGACAGTCCGTGGGATATTCCTCATGTATCGGCCTCTTTATTTCCGCAGTGTTCACAGAAGGTGGAAGATCAATCGTCGAAAGAATTACCCGCAGTACCCAGTCAATTCCGCCTTGGTGAGGAAGAGCTGCCATGGTCTTCATATGCATGGCCTTTTACAGGAGACCCGGAGAATGTCGAGGACGAGGACGACGAGGATGAGGACGAGGACGGCCGCAGGGACCTACCGTTTCAAAATCGCCCTACGACAATCCCCCTTGCTTCGGAGCGGCCTAGCGGCGAGGACGCGGATAAAGTTAGGGAGCTTGAGTCGCTATCGACAGCTATGATGACGGTAGACAACGGGTTTGAACATCAGTGGTGGTACCAAGGGCCTCGGCAGTCTATGGAACGTTGGTGGACGCGAGCTTCAGAGGAGGAAGATGATGCGCGATCGGCCGTCAGTGCGCAGGCGGTGTTATTATCGGACATACCACCACCGTCGGCCTTAGACCCTGATGATAACAACACTCTCCTGAATTTCAACGATATCGTATCGCCAATATCAGAGGCGTCAAGCCCGGCGCCAAATTTCGCCTATCCACTTCACAGATCATTAACGACAAGATCGGACGAGTTATGGTTGGAAATATAATGCATTGATCGATAATCGGCGTCAAAGGAGTTCGGTTTAGAAAAACTTCGCGATACAGATCAGGGACTCTGGGCTGGTACGAGGAAGAATGGAGCATTGCAGGCGATGCTTGAGCATTAGATATGCTATCAAGCAGGCGGAATCATCACAAAGCATTTGCATACTAAACGGCGTTTGAGTTATGGTACCAGTACTCTAATAATATCATCATTAAAGGACATGATGCGGAGGATATTCCCAGGAGGCGCAATGGATTTTTAGGATTGAGCGTTATAGGGAAAATTGGTCGTAACCAATATCGCCCAATATTGAACATTTAAACACTTCTCTTCTATACATTCATAACTGTGCTTCAGTTGCGGATTTATAAGACGCCTTGCGGATTATAGGCTTATTAGTTGTCATGGTAGACTTTCGCCGTAGTATGTTAATATTATCACAATTAGCTACCTCTTTGTAAAAGACATTCCGCCAGATATACCATACAGGACGAACATGAACTCAGTGTTTTATTAACATTGAAGAGATTATACTAGATTAGGTATAGGTACCTGTTTTCGATATTGTATTCAGGCTCTTTTCTCGCGTCGCGGTGTTACATGTAAAATGAGATGACTTAACAACGGCCCTATTGTTACCTCTAAATACAAGACCTTAACCTAGGTTAGGTTAGGTTAGGTAGGTACCTGATACCTAAGGTACATCCTATGTTATAACCCGGGGTTTCTTTTGGACTTCGCTTAATACAATCTACATAGCAATGGACCCAAGAACGGCAAGGGGCGAGCAGCGACCTTCTAAGCTGGTAATCAGTTGTGCGAACAGAATCGTACAACTCACCTAAACCGGTATGCAGCTACCTATCTCATATTGACTTCATTTCTTCTTTCTCCTCAGGATTTGGCTCTGGGGTTGTTTGAAAAAGAATACGGATTAGTTGGTGGAGCTATCGTCAGGGGGAGGGGTTTAGCTTCTCACCGAGTCCGCACGGGGCGAGATCTGGGGTTCGCTGCTGCTATTAGTCTTTTTACGAGGCCCTTTTTGATCCTCCAGCGGTAAAGGTGGCAGCACCCCATGTAATGTTGGACTTGGCTCATCGGGTATTATCTGCTCCTCCACAATTAATTCATAAAATAGCGTTCACTACTACGTATGTAGTAGCATAGTATACCTGTTATGAGGTGTATCTATATGGGGGATCATCGTCGTTAGTACGGATGGACTGGCACGGATAGACCTGACCTGCATGGCGGTCGACCTTAAATCAACAACTCGAGCTATATATAGGATGTAATGGGCTGGCTGGCTTTATGTCGTGTATTGTATGTATCAGACACGTAAAATAGCGGAAACATCTAATGCCTATTTGTTGACTGCTGCAAGGTCGAATCGTACCTTAGGAGGTACATAATGTTTAACGTAACTTATACACAAGGAAACAAAACAACGAAAAAAAAAAAATAGTTAAACTCGCCCAGGAAAAATCAAGATCTACATACAACGGTCCCATCCGAGAAGGGGCCGCCTTGGTTTTACTCCCCCGTTTTACATAAAATATAGTGTGGTATTGTACAATACAAGTACGTGAGTGATGCACATACATACAATATTGTAGAGCCGCCAGGGGTAAATAACCCAAATCCCATTCTCCTAATGTGCATTTGCTGCTCGCCTCTCCTTAAAATGTGATAGGTTACCTAGATACTCGGTACAACACCTACCTAACGTAGGCACTCGGCTTAGCTAGGTAGGTACAGGTAGGAGGTATCTACTACTAGGTACTACTTTTACTAGCAGGCATCAGGAAAGCCGAGATCAAGAAATCAGATGAGGTGTTGCTGCGCCGCACCAGAAACCGAACCTTGTGGCCGGCTGGTGGCCCGGAAGATATCAGGTAGTAGTAATGTGTCCGGCGCGTGATACAGGGAAATAACAAGACTGATGATACAACCGCTTGGTTTATATATTTAGATATATCATACCCGCGCATACATAGGGGAACAACGTGCTCTTTACCTCCAAGGCAGGTAAGTAGGCGAGGCGTTGCTATCATTCATATATTGGAGCTACTCCGGCAGTCGAGTGTTCTTGGTACGGCGCAGCGCGTTCTTACGTGCAGGTGAGGCGGCAGCACAATGTAACGTGCTTATATGGCCGACGGCTCGCAACGGATGGTCGAGAGATCTGAACCCCTACCTAAGTTGAGGTTAGTAGGTAGGCTGTGCGAAAGCTTGTCGAATGAAGTACCCGAATCTAGACACCTGCTGTATTTATTTAACCTTTGGTACTTCTTACCTAGGTACCTACCCATCCACCTTAGGTAGTAAGTGTGATCTCCTGAATCTGGAGATGGACCTGGAGCCGTGCCTCGGTCTTCAGCTGCCGTTCGATCCGTGAGGTATGAGGTCTAAGGTAGCGACGACGATTGCATGTGTTGTTGGTTGACATGTAATTGACTTCCGTGCCGCACAAATAAGGCTGCCTACCTACCTAACCTACCTGGTATACTTGATACGCTGTTGGCGGCAAGGCATCATTGTAAGCAGGTCGGATAGCTAGCCACATCTATAACGACGAGCAGCTCTCGACAATACCTATCCCCGGCGTCCCCGCAATGACGAAACGAGGCACCAATGTAAAGCAATGTAACCCCTCCAAACTCATCTTACATACATACATACATACCTCATACATACATAGACGTAGCCTTGCCCTGCCTTACCTGCTCGCTTCCGCTGCTACCCAGGAGACAAGAACGGAGATAAAGCCGCGAGGCAAAGCCCGTTGCTAGATTGATAACTATGCCGTTGGGCAACTATTCCGGACGCAAGCACTCAGCCCCCAAAGATCTGTGATGCCGACTACCATTTATAGCATGTTGGTTGTAACACGTGGGGGAGCTACTAAATTAAACAGGACGAAAGCGCCTTTGAAGTAATGGCTTACTATACTACGCTACCTATTATGGGGTAGTATGCCTACGTCCTACTATGTGCTCATTGCTCGCCGTGCGCGGTGGCGGTCCGGGCGATATTATCTTTACTTTAACCTCAAATGACACGACAACCTTAGCATGAGGTTACTTCTGCAAGCGGTCTATGTCCATGTCAAAAAATGTTCTTAATATTCGTGTACGTCGTCTCAACATAGCAAAGCGCGCGGTGGACTAATAGCAATCCGTCGTGCGAACAAGGCAGAACGAGATACATGAGGCTTTTGCCCTGTCATACCCGTGCTCCACCAATGCAACCGTATATTCCCAGCCAGATTTCCGAGCCAAACCTAACAGCATATAATTCTCGTGCCAGTTTTCCCCATCGTTTCGTACCAATCCGACCAGCCGACTCCCATTCATCCACCAACCTAGCCATCTTTCGAAACTTAACCCGCTGATAGCCCTTAGATGTACCCTTCCACATAGGAACGGATGTACAGCCCCCATAAACTACCTAGGTTAGGGCACAACAGTCTTCAACAACCCACCAAGTCGAGAGAAGAATAAAATAGCAATAAAAGCACAAACCGAGGACAGCCGACGCCGCGTTTATGCATCCCGCCTCTTCCATAATAGCCCATCAAGGGCAGGTATCTCTGCAGAAGCCTCCAAATCCGTCTATCTAACACTTGCATCCGATTTTGCCGCTTGAGAAAGTAGAGCGAGAGAGAAGATAAAAATATAAGAAGTGTGATATGGTATCTCTGCACAGCCGTGATTTGGATCAAAAGAGAAAGTGAACCGAGATTGACGAAAAAAAAAAAAAAAACCAATAGAAACCGCTATTACATGCTGACCTCCCGTTCTTCTTGGATAGCTGTCATTTCGCTGCCAACGACACCGCCCCCAAGGAGGGATAAGCTCGGCGGAGGCATCGAATAGCCCCGCGAGCCTGATGGCGTCGTACTTATACTACCAGTACTAGGAACCACGTTCGAGCCCGATGACCTATTTACCGTTACGCCCGTGTCTGTTTCCGAAGGCTGCTCAACGACGCTCATCTCGCTCGCAGGCATTTCTCGCTGTAGTGGAGAAGAATGTACGGGGGAATTAGACTTCTTACTCGTCGCATCGCCGTTGCCACCACGGGATGAATTCCGCGGAGAGACCCTGCCCGTCTGCTACATGTAAGTAATTCGTATATAGGACTATGTAAAGGGGTTTCACCAACCTGCTTTGCCCACCTAAGGCCGCAGCTGTTACACAGGTCTCTTTGACCGCTCGGGCCTCTCCGCCATTCGGGCGTGTTGCGAGTATGACAATTAGCACAATCTCGGACGAAGTTCCCAACTCCCTTTCTACGCTTGCGTTTCTTTTTGTTAGAAAGAAGGCCGTGAAGCTCCTCAGCTAGAACCCGGTTTACTTTCTCCATCTGCCGCAATTCATACTGCCAGCTAGTACATCTCGTGGTTTTGAGCTCGTCAAAAATATTATCATCTGATGCAAGAGCTTTGTCTTGGTTACCAGGAGCCATGGCGCCACCTGCAGCAGCAGAGAGGAGACCATGGCGTTGGTCATCTGAAGGTTGACCACCTTGTGCCACGGCAAAGCTGGACATGGACTTCGGTTCTGTAGACGAATGGCCTACAGAACCCGGTCTATTAGACAGAGCGGACGCAGCCGGTCCGATTGCCCGAGAAGAGGCCTTAACTAACTTCGTCTGGGCAAGCAAAAAGGTCGGTTTCTGTCCCTTGCACGCATCGCCTGGGTACATGATGGTATGGGCTTGTAAAACCTGGCCGCGGCGATTTTGTACCTCATGCTTGCATGTGACTATGCGTCCTCTTCTAGCTTTTTCGATCGAACGCCCAAACTCCGCACGGGATTCCTTGCGCATCAGCTCCTGGATGCTAGTGCCCACAAGGTTTTCTGGTTGCAAATCCAATAGAGACCTGACGTTTGCGGATACGAATAGAAACATTCCAGAGGTAGAGAGCTTTGTCCACAACTCGCTGTCGCCTATGCCGCCGTTTAATTCTAGCTCCCGCCGACTAAGCGCAAAAACAGGGCGTTTCCGTCCAACCAGGATTATGCACTTTCGGCCTTTTCCTTGCTCTACGAATAGTGAGCCATGACTTTCGAACCATGTGTAGCCACTCTGCTTTCTTCGTATACGGAATACTATGTTTACCGAACTTCCATTTGTAGCGTCTTTGAGCTCTCGGGTTACCGGAACGATATCGGAAGGATGGGATATGGACGAGATGGAGCTCCCAACGAGCTCAGTAGCGTCGTACTCGAGTATGCGTTTACAAGATGGTGAAAGGTAGAGAAATAGTCCCTTCAAGGATAAAACGTGAACGACATCATCGGCATTCTCTAGAAGCATCTTGTCCCAGGACTGCCGGTGCCAATCAGAGACGGCTCCTTTGGGGTTGAATTGCTGTAACAGCGTAGACACGTCGTCGAGTCCCAACGTCTGTCCGTTCTCTGGTTCCCACTGGCTGGAAGATGGCGGTGTCCAAATGTACTGCCCGATATCACTGTGCTTGTAGTTAACCTTCATGGTTCCCGGACCTTGGTGTGAGGCGATGGCGTCGGGGCATTCTACTAGGTCAATCTGGAACCCAATGATATACCTGATCTCGGAGGTGTCCCATGGGATAGGGATCATGGTTAGTAAATTCAAAAAGGGCTTGCCTCCTTTCCGGTAGTTAATTAAACTCTGTTGTACTTCCTTACCCTCTGCAATCTTTTGCTTCAAGTTATAGACAGCTCCATTATCGACAAACTCTCGTTTCGTACCCGCTTCGACCTTGCCATCCGGGGCCTGCAGAAACCGACAATTCTGGCCAACAATCTCGTGCTGGCTATAGCCAGTCAGGTTCTGAAAATTGTCCGAGACGTATATGATTGGACAATCGTTCATTGTAACATCGCAGACGACAAAAGCACAGGACATGTCGACGGCACCGAGATTAACCTGAGGATTTTTCCGCGTAGCCACAAGCCAGAGGGCTCTCAGCATATCGAAACCGCTTTTGGAATAAATAGTTTTCTCTTTGGGGGGTTGAGGATTCATGACGGCTGGAATAGACGGCTGAGGAGGGGCCGCGCTCTCTGGAGTCGTTTCCGTCGTAGTTGCGATGGGCGACTCATACGAGGGCGTGGAAGATACGAGGTTTTGGGACTGAACCTGTGATACAGGCTGCGGCGAAATACCGGGTTGAAACTCGGTCATGGTAGCGTCCATATCAAGATTTGCCTGAGGGTTATGTTGGCTGGTAGGAGAGAACTGCGGAGAAGTAGTCATAATGCTATCTTCGCCAGTGTCGACGGACATGACGCCACCAGGGTTGTTAGCGACAGCACCAAGGGCGCCGTTCTCATTTGACAAATCCATGCTGAATTCTGCCTGCAAGCCATCCATAGAATTTGGTTGAAATGGGGTAGACAGGGCAGTTCCAGGTGGGAACATGTTCATGGACGGGTCCGCGCCCATCGGGTCCATGTTCATATTAGAGAAGGCAATCATATTCCCTACCATATCAGAAGAGAGTGACGAAAAGTCATCAGCTAGCATAGGAGGTGAAGTAAAACCCGAAGTTCCCTGAAGGGCTATGTTAGTGTTAAGAGTAGGATAGCCGTTGTTCATAGCGCCAGCTGAATTTGGCATAACCCCAAACTGATAATCCCTAAAGGAGTCGTCGTCGCTACCGAATTCCATCATCGACATCCTTCGATCGGTATCCACTTGGGGCATCTGTCCTTGATATTGCTGTGGCAGGCTTCGTCGCCGTTGTAGCTCTTGAGAATTGCTACAGATAATGTCATCGAGGGTATCTGTACCTACCAAGGACGGGTCCGGGTTTGCGGCCGTGACAGGGCCATATTGCGCCTGCTGGGAGGCCTGGTTTATTGAAGCTGAAACGAGACGTCTCTGGTTGCGCTGCAGGGAATGGCGGCGCTGCAGCTCCTCTTGGGAGAGCTGGTTGCCGAAGAAGTTGTCCATTTCGACTGCATCTGTTATAACTGAAGTAGAACCGACGTTCGATTTTCGGGTGGCTATTGTATCACCTAACACAAGTTCCGTCACAACAAATAGTAACTAGGCCTAGATGTGGAAACTAGATTCGAATCGAATGATAAATTGCGGGAGCATCAGAGACGTCGGACAATATGGTAGGCGATCAAGTCATGATATGCGAAGAGCTGTTGACGACTGGACTTGATTTGATTTTAGACGTAACTCGTGGGATATATTATTAGGCACCTAGGTAGGTAAGGTAGGTAAGGTGGTAGTTTAGACGGTCGGGAAGTCGTTGGAGACTATGCTACACTTGAATGAAGCGGAGTATTCTATCAATATAGAAGCTCTATATAGGCGATTACAGGAACTTCGTCGGATAGATACATGCGCATTCGAGATTGGTATTTTAAGACGTTGCCTTTAAGGCAAGAGATATATTAGACGAGGTATCAGACGAGGAAAAGCGAGCGAGTGTATTCGGATGAAACTGTGCGCATAGTAAGTTATAACTTTGCCGAGACACGAGGATAATGTATCCGTTGTTCTAACCCCCCTTCAAATGGATTAACTATAGGTACTTTTGAGAAGTTGGTTAATTTTTTTTCTTTCTGTGAATATTGAATATCAATGAAATGGGAGAGAGAGATTCCGATTTCGAATTTGGAAGAATAGCATCTATGAATGACCCAGTTTGGCTAGCTCTCTCTTTAAAAGTGGGAGGAGGGTCGAGGGTGAATTCGACCGACCAGAGTCAAAAGTTGAAAAGAGGTACCCAAAGTAAAGCTTGTCGATCAGATGGTTTTTTGGAGCTAGCTGGCTAGTGCAGGCGATTCCTCTCCGTTGGGTCCGTCTCTCACCGTACCAGCCGTACTAGCTACCGTCTAATACGATGGCTAACGGCTAACTGGAAGTGTGACTGGTCCGGCTGGTTTGCCGCCATGACTAATTCATAGCTTTAAATACAGGGGCAGAGGGGCTGAGGAGGCAACTCCTTGCAAAACTTGTCCTTGCTGTCTTGCAAACTAAGGCGGGGAAAGAACAAAAACTGTCGAGGACAGGTACGGACCACATTAGAAACGTATTACATAGAGGTAGGTACCTAAGGTATGTTGTACAGTAAAGATGCGACCGTTCCAATATGCGGGGTTGTCGTTTCTGGCCGCGCTGCCGCGCTCTTGGGGGGGCAGATGCAAATGTTACCCAAGTCTAAAATTCGTGGTGTATTTCTATATGGCATTTTTACGAAATTATATTGTACGAGGAGCTGTTCATAGTAAATTTTAGTTGTTCATTAATCAAAAACACGCAGCTCTTAGCTCGGCCTTACAAAGGTTGTTCCTCAATAAAGTCCTGCGGTAGACCCGGCTGTTCAATGCATATATACCGGGACCAGGAACATTGCGAAACTACCAAAAGTACTAAAAGTATCCCCCAAAAGAAACTCTAAAATATCATAAAGAGATCGTTTATGATATGGACGTATTACATATAGTTTGAGTTGGAACGTTGTCGAGAATTACGTCGAACTTATGATTTTATCTCAAAATCTCAAAAAGAGGTGATTGTCAACAAATTACCTGAGGTACTTCAAAGTTTAGCACTTTATAGTCACTGCAAAAGGCGATACTTAGAACCATACCTGGTAGGCTAGGTACCTGGTAGGTAGGTAGAAGCTGAAAAGCCCAGAGTTATCGAAACATTCTACATAGTACCTCTGTAAATACAAGGGAAGGCTCTCTAATGAATAAAGGCACGTGACTCAGTACTTTATTAGTCTTTGAGGCCTGAAGGTGGAAACTTGCCGCCTGGTGGAGCACCTTATCGCGTGGAACATTACATACACTAGTACTATTGAGGCTAACTCTGCCAACTCCAGCCACTTCAAGTAGGTACATGTAAGCTACCTCATGTACACAACTCATCAATGTGCCTACCTAACCTAACCTACCTAAGTTAGTTCTTAGCCGGTAACAGCGCCTCAACGCCCCCCCCAAAACTTCGTCATTCATTCCACCATGAAATCGTGACTTCTAATCCAAAATCCAAAAAAAAATAAAAAATAAAAAATAAAACACCACAACCAATTTTGAGCACCGCTTCCCGTTTTATCGAAAGTCTTCCGGTTGCCTTATCTTTGGTTCTTGCACTATTTTCCCCCGACAAAACCTTTCTACTGCAGAATGGACGAACCGACAGAGCTTGTCAACTCATCCAGGTACTGCAATCAACCAATATCATTATCTTGTAAGTCAACCCAGCTTTTCCATCCAAATCCTGAGTATCCCCTCATATCTCGTTACATTTTCTGTAATACCGACTAGTTATTTCGGAATAAATTTACCTGCTTATTGTTACTTGAGATTTCGTGCTTGTATGGCTGCACGTCAACATCTTCTCCCCCCTTGCCGCCCAACCCAACTTCCCATTCTCATCTGTTAATCACTTTATTTGGACTTTCAACACATTGCACACCACTAACGTTTGACAGAATTTCACTTCTGTATTCACAATCAACTTACCGGTTACTGGAACCTACAACCCATCTCTTTATATGATAACCTTACATCGTTTTGATAATGACCCTTGACATCATGCATGATCAAGATCTCAGTCGATCAAGGACGCCCTCAATCATGAAAGCAACTCCCCAACGACCAGGGCCAAATGGCTCGCGTGTTGTTAAGAAACGATCATTACCTCGCCTTGGGGATGGCCTTTGCGATGTCTTCTCAATTACACTTAATTCTCCTGCTCAGACCGAGGATATTTCCATTTCTTCCGTCGATCATGAGACTAGTAGCTCAGTATTCACTCCATCAGAGGAGGCTTCTACTGCCATGTCATCTACGCCTGATTCAAGCACTGGAACCTTCAATTTTGATATCGGATTGGATTCTGACGACTCTACTAAAATACCCGAATATTACATCTCTCGGACTGTCTCTTACGAGCCGTCCCTTACCACTCCTTACACGCCCAGCCGTGTCAAGCCGACATTGGAGACACGGCCTCAAGTATCTCTACAGATAGGTGCCAGCCCTACTTCTAGCCCGTCCCCCAAGTTACTACGCCTTTCAGACATATTCGAATCCTTGGGGCCTCTACCAAACGATTCGCCTCCTAAGACGCCCGAAGGGCAAATTGCCAATGAATCTCTCGTAGCCTGCTCAAGTGTTCATAAGATAGACGCGTGGTACCACAATGAAAAATCGCCGGTTCGGGGAGCTGACGGCTCGGCTGGGTCATCCCAGTATTTGGATTTGTTTGAGGCATCTATCTCACGAGTGAAGTCTCCCGGAGAAGATGAACATGTCGCCAACCAGCTGCGTTACATGCTCCAATACTCGGGGCTGTGTTCCCCTAATACCTTGTACCCGGATATTCAACCAGTTCCTCAATCACCGCTTGAAATTATGCGTGAACATTTCTACGCGAAGCTAAGGCGTTGCACTGATGTCCACCATACTGGTTCGCCTTTAGAAGCTGAGACTAATGTGCATATTTTTGTGGACATGTCTAACATTTTCATTGGTTTCTGCGAGAGTTATAAACTTTCCAAGCAAATCCCACTTACCCGCAAGATAAGCATACCTCCATTCTCATTCAAAACGTTGGCACTTGTGATGGAACGAGCAAGGGATGTGCAGAAGAGAGTGCTGGCTGGATCTATTTACGGCGTAGCAAGCAATAACCCCCGGGCGTCCTGGCCAGCGTACTTCTTGGAGGCAGAGCAGTTGAACTATAAGATGAATGTCTTTAGTCGTGTTCGAAAGCGGAAGATCTCGCCAAACAAAACAAAGGGGAGAGGTCGAACTCCAACCGAACGTCCCGACGAAATAGGCGAGATTTCTGACGACTTCACATACGAAGTACGGAACGGAGAGCAAGGTGTGGACGAGAACCTTCATCTAAACATGATGGACAGCATGTGGGACAACATGTCACACCCTGGTACAATGGTGTTGGCCACCGGAGACGCAGCCGAAGCCGAGTTTTCCGGGGGGTTCTTGCAATATGCTATTCGCGCTCTCGAAAAAGGATGGAAACTTGAGTTGGTAACATGGAAGCGACCTCTCTCATCCGCTTGGACAGACCCGAAGTTCATAAAGAAGTACGGGAACCAGTTCAGCATCATCTTCCTAGACGACTTTCTAGAAGAGTTGCAGACCGGCTTTCTCGCCTAGGACGCTGCCACGTTCATATCTAACTAGGGAACTACTCCTAGATTTTTTTTTTCTAAAAGAGGGATGGGAAACCCTCTATTGCATTTGGCTGCTATATTTCGCTGTCTGTGTGGCAGACATATTTTCAGCTCCTTTTTTCTTCACCTTTTGACGCATCTATGCATTCAGCAAGCGGTGTCTGGCGTATTACGGTCATTCGACTATCTACACGTTTCTCAAACAGCTTGATCTCGAGGCTATGGAATGTGCCTTACCAGGCGAGCTGGAACCATCTCGGAGCAATGATGGAAGTTGGAGTTAACTGGAGCATGGCTGAATTCTACCTTTCAACGCGTTGGACGGTAAATATTTGTTTTTCAACTGGCATTATAAAGACTAGACGACACGACACGACGGCGAAATGATGCATCATGACACGAAGGGTTCCGAATACACGACAGGCTTCAGAAGGATAGACCGACGTTGACATTCTAATATTTGGCGTTTTCTACATGGATGGCAACAGTTTTTTTTCTCTTTTTCTTCAAAGTGAACCTTGGCGATTGGACCCGGTTTGGACCCCTTCACATCTTACATTGTGAGGAGTTTTTATTCGCATCGTAACCGGTTGACTGTTAAATCAGACGTTAAGATTAAGATAACCGTTTGTCCGGGCAATCCTACGCATTTGTGGAGTTCTGGTTTGCATGGGGGATGATCTACGTGGATATCTCAAGAGCAAGGAAACAGGAAACCGGCTTACACTAAAGGCTCAAGGGTCGGAAGACGAAGCTGTGGCTGATGGCCTATCCAGCTACCTACCTTTAGGTACTGTACACTACATCCTTGAGCAACGTACAACGTTATTTGAGGATTAATCGGCTTTTAATTGGCTTTGGTAATAGGTCTGTAAGTGTAACGGTTACACTACGATCGACTCTACGAAATAGTTAATAATAACCATAAAAGGACACAATTAAACGGCCCTGAGTTTAAATGTGCCTACCTAGGTACCTAATACACTATTAGTATAAACACTGACGTCATGGTGACTACCTCTAGGTAAGTACCGATGATAAATTGAGAAATGCTACATTACACGGGTAAAGATAAAGAGGTATCTATTGTACCAAAGCTGCAAAGATACTATATACCAGGTACCTAGGTAGGTACTTAAGGGATTGCAGCTACCTATGTGATGTGTTGGACCTGATGTCTAAGTGGTTAATATAAATAAGCAAAACCATTCGGTTTCGGTCTCGCCTTCACAGGTACCTGGTAGGTAACTAATGAGGTAGGTATTGCATGTTGGTTGGTTTAGGTACAAAGAACTTGTTCTTCTTCCATCTTACGTTGACTTATTTCTTCTGGTCCGATTTCTTGCCAACCACTTACTTACCTTTTATACACTCAGGTACCTTACCTAGGTAGGTATCTATACTCCTCTCTCTTTCCATTATTTAATAATAGTACCTATTAGGTGTGCTTGGGAACCACTTACATTAACTAAATTAGTACATACGTACCTAGGTTAGGTCCATATCTCCTCTCCTGCTGATCGTAAGTGGTGGTTACCTATTAAACACCGCATTCCCCGAACCCGTGGACCTCGGGGCCGGCCCGTCGGGTACACCCCGATCTACCTACCTACTTAAGGTTAGCACCATGGCAGCCCTTACCCAGCCGCCGTCGTCGAGACAGGTCGTCACGGGGGCACTAGCATTTCTCCTCGTGGCGTGCTTCGTGCTATTCACGCCGCGTTCATCATCGTCGTCGTCAACGGGGGCTTTGCCCTCGTCTGCTTTAGACAGTGGGCAGCTGCTGTCGCACTACAGCAAGGGCAGTGCGTCGGCGGGCGATATCGACCGCCGGGTAAGTAATAAGACGCTGGGGTTCGAGAGGGTGTTCGCCGTGGGGCTCCCGGAGCGCAGCGACAAGCGGGATGCGATCGCGCTGACGAGCGCGCTGACCGGCTTCGAGGTCCGTTGGGTCGATGGCGTTAGGGGGGAGACGATTCCCGATAAGGCGGTGCCGTTTGGCGCCGATAGGAAGACGTTGTGGGAGACGAACCTGGGGAGTTGGAGGGGTCATATGAATGCTATTCGAAGGTACGTCGAGCGCTGATTACCTACCTAGGTACCTAGGTACCTACCTAAGGTACTCAGGGGTTGGTGTTGGGTTCCTGTATCTAGAATACATCTTGTACGCGACAGGAGCGATTTTTCTAGTAGCTCAAATATGTTAAGGAAGGCGGTTTTATCACAGGGGCTTGCGGAGGAAGTCGATGCGGTATACTTATACCTATAAGGTGCCAAGGCTAGCTAACCTCTTATTCTCATTAGAATTGTCGAAGAAGACCTCGGATCGGCTCTTATCATGGAAGACGACATGGACTGGGACGTACGACTTAAACCGCAACTCGAAAGAATCGCCCAAGGCGCCCGAGCTCTCTTTCCCCCTTCGTCGTCGTCGTCGTCGTCGTCCTCTTCGTCATCCTCAAAGCCCGATTCCCCCTACGGCGACGACTGGGACCTGATGTGGCTCGGACACTGCGGGGAGGTCTTCCCGGAGACGCTCGACGAGAACAAAGACAGGCCCGCGGAAGACCCCGGCGTGCGGCGCATGTCGCGCAAGTTCGTCATCGCGAACGACCCCACCGTGCCCCCGCGCCACCAGCTCACGGGGCTCGTCGACTTCCGGAGCCACCCCGAGTTCACGCGCTGGGTGCACGTCACGGGCGCCCCCATATGCACGTTCGCGTACGCGCTCTCCCGCCGCGGCGCGCGCAAGGTCCTCTTCGACCTGTCCGTCGACCACCTGACGGGGCCGTTCGACAACGCGCTCGCCGGGCTCTGCCGGCGGGCGGTTTCGACGACGATGACGACGCGGGGCGCAGAGGATGACGATGAGAAGGTGGGTGACCGCGGGCTCGACGCGAATTGCGTCAGCGTGACGCCGCCCGTGTTCTTCCACCACAAGGCGCGCGGGTACGTGAATGCCGACAGCGACATCCAGACCGTGCACGACGGCCAGGTACGGGAGAAAGGGAAGACGGAGAATATCGTGTGGAGCGCGAGGAATAATATTAAAAATATGGTTATGGGGACGCAGATGGAGAGTCAGTACGAATAAAAAGAAAAAGAGCGTGTTTGATTTGCGGCGTCAGTGCTTGCTTGGGCTTTGGGTAGAGTATATGCTGTGACTAAATGATACCTATATTGATTAGAATATACGAGGATTGACCACGAACGAGCGCCTTGTTTTAGATTTGCTATGTCGAGAAGGCGAATCCGGTATGGATTTAGGTTTGCTCATTTTGATATTGTATGGGTCGAGCGAACATTCTACCCTTTTTTTTTGTTCGAGAAGTTGTCGAATAGATACAAATACTAGGAATAATAAGAGACCGACAAGGCAAGTAGATTAAATTCGCACCCATCACTTCTGAAGGCGTCAACCCTCTCAAGTACAGTTTCTTGTACAAACTCAAATGGCTTTTATTTACCCTTTTCTCTACCAGAAGGTTTTTAACGCCTAGAAATTAAATAAAAATCTACCGAAGCTACCTCTTATGCAGGTAGCCGGTTGCACAACCTAAGATGTGATGTGATAGATCAGGAAGCACCACCACGTCCACCTATGCCTCCCGCAGCCAGGGCTTGCACAATATCCGCACTGATATCAGGTAACGGCCGGCCCCTTTCGGTCGGCTTGCTGATGAACTTAATTTCCGCCAGATATCGCAGATACCTCCCTACGTCGTCCCTATTAATACCGTAGCCGGAGCTCTCGTCTACTCCTGTCCACTTGTCGCCATCTGCCTTTAGGATAGCGACGGCATTTCTATCGTCTAATTCTGGAGCTCGAGTATTCGCTGGCAGGTCGTTCATGCAGAAGTGTGCCAGAGGCATAAGCGCATGTTGCTCTTGGTCCTTCTCAAGAGCACCGGCGGACACGAAGTTTTCTAGCTCTTGCTTCCAGGAGTCGTAGCTAATTTCTGGCGCTTTGTAACCGTAGTACTCTAGTATTGACAGATACTCGTTCATCCGGAGACGCGGGTGACCGGTGACATGAACCACGTGCACTCCATCTGGGAGGGGATTGAGGGCGGCGGCAACGACTACTCGCGCGACGTGATTTACGGGGACAGCGTTGACGGTATTGACTATGTGTGGACGCGCTGCCAACTGGATGCAACCTTTCAGCATCCGGATGAGGAAATCATCAACGTTGCAGACACCAGTTTGGTAGTCACCGAGGATATAACCCGGTCGTACAACAGAGCCCTGAAGGCCTCGCCTTCCGGCTTCTCGAACGAGTTGCTCAGATACCCATTTGGTTTGTCCGTATCCTGTTCCTAAGCCGGTACGGCTCCCGTTCATGTCATCACTTTCCATGATAGCACCCTCGCCTGTTCTTGTCTGTTCCTCCGATAGTTTAATGTAGTGGTCTGTGTCAAGAACACTAGTTGAGCTGACGAAGCAGAAGACCTTTGCCTTGCCTTCGTTACATAACCTCATAGCATCAATAGTTGACAATACGTTTGACGCCATCATATCTTGGTACTTTCGGATCCAATGGACGGTTGCTCCGTTATGTATCACCGCGTCAACTTCTTCTGACAGCTTCTTCCAAGTCGAATCATCAATGCCGAGCTGAGGCTTTGATAAGTCGCCCACAACTGCACTTAACCTCTTCTGCCACTCGTCCTTCCACAAACCATAGCTTTGAAGGGAGCGACGAAGTCGCTGAAGAGCTGCCGCTGAATCCTTGACACCACGGACATGTGCGATCAACTTGACCTCACGAGAAGTACGGTCAAGGATATCCTTCACGAGATATGATCCCAAGAATCCAGTCGCTCCTGTAAGGAAGATCGTCGGGCTTTGGGACTCGTCAAGGGCTTTGAGATCAGCGGATTGATATTTCTCAGCTAACTGGTTAGTTAATTCGTCGAGAGACTTCGCATAAACAGGAGTGGTCTCTTGCGCTTCGGTGGTGGCATCGGTACTGTTGGCATCGTGAAGTCTTTTCTCAATGTGAGCGCTGAAACCAGCCAGGTCGGGGTGCTCGTAAAACGTGCTGATAGAAACGTCTGCTCCAAAACTCTTCCGAATTTCGAATAGGAGCTGTTGGGCCAACAAACTGTGTCCACCTAGGTCGAAGAAGACGTTTTCTCGTCTAATAGTTTTCGGATTTAGACCCCGGATAAGACTAGCCCACTTCTGGGCCACCTTCTGTTCTGTCTCCGTTAAGGATTCCCAGCTCTTGAGATCCTCCTCCGAAGCGTCTTCAACGCGCTCGGTAACATCCGGGAAAGGAAGGTTAGGCTTATCAACCTTACCATTGGGGTTTAAGGGAAGCTTCTCGAGAACTATGTATATGCTCGGTACCGAATATGCCGGTAGTCGAGACTTCAAGTGGTCTCGCACCTCGGTTTCCATACTTCTGTATTTCTTCAAGAAGACACGCGTAGGGCCCATTTCGACACCCTCATCTTCGACCTCTTCTATTCCTCGAGCAGCAACCCATCGGCGCCACTCAGCTGCTTCCGGAACCAGGTAGCTTACCAGCGTAGGCTCTTCATTACGATCTCTTCGCACTAGAGTCTTGCAGTCGCGAATAAGTGGGTTTTGACTTAGATTGCTGTCAATATCGTTGAGCTCGATACGGAAACCGCGGATTTTGACTTGGTCATCGGCACGACCGGTACATTCGACGTCACCAGATTCCAGATATCGTCCTAGATCACCTGTTCTGTAAAGTCGATCTCTCGGCCCCTTATAATACTTTCTCCAGGGCTCATTTTTGTTCGCCTTCGCGTCTGCTTCGACCCACTTGTTATTGTCGACGAACCAGTTCATTAAGAACTTCTGTTCGTTCAAAGCTTTGTCTCCTAGATAACCCCTAATAACATCATGTTAGTAGAAATGATGAGAATGAGGAGTAAATTTACTCACTCGGCGAGACCTGCGGCCCGAACGAAGATCTCTCCCACTTCGCCGACCTGGCATAATCTGGACCGGTTCTCCCTGTCGACAACTAAGAGTTGGACATTTTGCATTCCTTGGCCAGCAGGGACTGTGTCCTTGAGCTTCTCCAGAAAGCCCGGATCCCTGGCTCGGCTAGGGACTTCGTAGTAACTGACAGCCCTTTGGGTCTCGGTGGTACCGTACATATTGATAATGTTAGCGTTCACGGCGAGTTGCCTAAGGGAACGGCATTGCCTCGTTGTAAGTACGTCACCAACAAAGAAGACGTGTTCTAAGCTAGGAAATTCAGCGGTAGCGCCGCCAACGAGGATTTGACCCATGGCTGGAGTAAGATGTGTGACGGTAGGCTTCATTTCACGCATCCACTCGGCCAGTTTCTCATGTTGAATGTCCTCCCTAGACGGGACGAGGAGTTGAGCACCGAGGAATAGGGGGGTGAAAATATCCCTCTGGACGGGATCGTGGGCTAAACCGGAGAGAAGTGTAAACCGACTCTCAGTCGACAAGTTGAAGCGCTCGGCCATCCAGCCGAAGTATCTAGTTAGACTGTAATGTCGACCGAGGACTCCTTTTGGCCTTCCTTCACTCCCCGACGTGAAAGAGAGGGTAGGGTTTGAGTCAGGACCGACTATCACATCAGGCGGGGCAGACGCAAGACTTCTCAGGGGCTCGAAGATGTCCTGAGAGTCAACCTGACCTCCGGAGAGAGTACCATCATCAAGGAGACGGAGTTCAGGGACCTGGGCCTTCAATTGAAGCTCCTGGTCAATATAGCTTTGCACTAGGTCAGCTAGTGGGCCGTTCTCATCAGTTGCGCGGCCAATCTTGATCAGAGCACGTGGCTGAGACACTTCTAAGTAGATCTTCTGTCTTGCTGGGGGATATGCAGGATCTAGAACTGTCATAGTAGCACCGGAAGCCTAATTGGACGGTCAGAGTTATTTTGAATAGAAGTAGAGAAATATATCTTGGTATATAGAAATAAATTGAATATTATTAAAGTTCAACATCAACATACCAGAGTACCCATCAAGGCGATGACCAAGTCAACGGAACGATGGGCCCAGATCATTACTACGTCGCCATTGGTAATACCAGCCTTGTGCAGGTACCAGGCGAGGGTATTAGAAGCTTCATAGATCTGACGATAAGTGAAGCATCTCTCAGGATGCGTGGAAGACTTGGTTTCCAGAACACAAGTCCTATCAGGATATTTCTCAGCGGAAGCCCTGAAGCGCTCGTGGATTGAACCGACGTAACCAGACCAGTCAAGGTCGATCGTCGGATCGGGTAAGTGGTCCATCACGACGATGATATTGTATATATCCAATTCTACACGAGAGACCTCAAGGTCAAGGTAAAGGGAGGAGGTACCTTTGAATGTGTGAAGTAAATATAAATATTTTAAAAATTATGAATTGATGGTGGGGTTTTCCATGTATTCAAAGTACATAGTACCTCTTGCTAAAAAGCGATGCGTCATAGTACCTAACCAGGTACCTAACCTAGTACCTTTTCCTATGTACCTCTTCCGAGAGCGGAGCAGGAGGTACCGAAGTACGGAGTTAGGTACTTGAACTTACTAAAGCAAGTACCAAAGTACCTTCTCCTTTTCTTTTCTTTATTTTTATAAAATTATAATCATGTTTCCTAAATAAAGATACATTTATACACCAAGAGGTAGATAAACTAAATTTCCAACTTATTAAACCGCTTCCTTAAACTTGAGAACCGCATCTTTCACTTGAGCATTCATATCCACCCCATTCATGTATCTGCCTCCCTCTCCCATCTGGGTCTTCATGCTCTGAATATCTCTCTCTTCCTCGTTCAAGCTGTACATTCTTCCAAATTCCCTCGTGATATCTACAATTTTCTGGCTCCGTGGTCTGCGAACCTGGTCGAAAGCCACCAAGGCCGCGCCGATGTCATCTTTCGACTTGACCTCGGCGAAGATCCCGGTGAGAACCGCCGCATCCTCGATCGCTTGGGCAGCACCGTTGCCCGCGTGAGGATATGTGGCATGCGCTGCGTCGCCCGCTATAGCGACGTGGCCCCGGTAATAGGCCGATGCGTGGTCGTGGTCCTGTATCTTCCAATCTTCCTTCGGGTTTCTCTCGAGAAGCTAGAATACGGCCACGATTAGTTTTTTTTCTTCTTATATACGTTATCTCCAAGACAGTGCGCCTGCGTCTTAACTTACAGATACCAACGAGGTAACTTCAGGACAGAAGCGTTTCCATTCGTCTGCATCGAAACCAGAGCCTTCACGGTTGGGTCGTTTGCTATCCCTCTGGTAACAGGAGATGCTATATGTCGCTCCTAGATCTACGGGGAGGCCGTTGATGTACCCGATAGGCGTGCAGAACATGCGGACCTCCTCAATCGACTCCCTAGGAACCACCTCCATTGCTTCCGCCATCGGGACATGGATGTTGAAGCAGCGCCAGGCATCATGATTGACTGCTTCCACCGCAGGGTCGTTGGGGCCCAAGATGAATCTTCTAGCGGTGCTCTTGATACCTTCGGTGCCAAACACCAAGTCAAATTCTTCCATCGTGCTGTCGGTGAAGGTAACAGCGACCTTGGATTTACTGGTGCTCGTATCCCCACGCTCCTCGAGGCTAACCACACGCTTCGAGAAATGTACCCGGTGTTCAGGGATGACGTCCTCGAGAAGCCCCTGGATAAAGTGTGCCCTGTGAATAGTCCTTCGTCCTCTTGCTTTACCCAGTTCTGCCACGAGGGTTCCGGCGTTCGGCCCGCTTCCGATGATGATCTGGGTTGCCATCTCTCTGTCTTCCTCGTTCGCCATGAAATGAGACTTCTTGAAGTAGGCTTTCTTAATCTCCGGCGAGATCAAGTTCATGGCATTTATGGCATTTCCGTGAAGGGCGACGCCTGCGCCGCGAACGCCGACGTCCGGGTAGGCCTCGTAGAGATGTACGTCAAGTAACGGGTTGCTGGAGAGCCCGATAGTCAGACAGCATCCCGCAATTCCAGCGCCGATTACAGCTACCCGCAGCTTGGCGGGTTGACTTCGGGGTTGGGTTTCCATATTCACTGTTACTGTCGTTGGTGTTTGCTGATAATGGACAGATCTGCTGGGAGGATTTTACTAGTCGGTTTATCTACTGATAGAAGTTCGGTTCCATAGGTTAGGTATAAAAAGAACACCAGGCAACATGGGTTTAAATATAAGCAGATGCCCAAGATAACGAATGAATGAAAGTTTCCCAAGGGTACTGTCTAGTCTTGTCGCTGTTAGCAAGACACCCTTGTTAGTGACAAAAACATTGGCCTAGCATCACGACTTTGCGTGACAGGCTTTCTATCCCTTGCCTTTCCCATTCAGGTAACTCTAGCTTAGCCCATTAAATCCGTACACCCGTGAGGGACCGGAAGAAACCGGTTAATATGAACTCGTATAGTTATGTGTGATGGTGTAGGACTTTTAAACCGCTAGTCTTGCGATATGAGATTCATAGATAAAGACTGTTCACACTTGTAAAGTGAAATCTGGCTATCCGGTCGTTTAACATGTGTGTGGCGACAGTGGTGTTGACTATACATTAGGCAAGTAACCTACCTTAAGGTACCTAAGGTACCTAAGGTTGAAAGTTTTAGGTCAAACAGTTTCATCGGGAGTGAAAAGCGTTTCGCTTTATCAATGTTTATAGTAGAACCACTAACCGCAAGTCTTTGAGTTCAGTTTGTCAAATTTTTACAACTTGCGCCAAGGATAATAGTAAAATTGGTACGGATCAGATGACAAGTCTTTATCCCTTCCATCTTCCATCCGGGAAGGATTGCAGCCTGTGGGCATTTGGGATAAATCGAAAAAAAAAAAGTACCTTCAAAGAGATAGGTAAGCTTAATGTTGTCATTATAAAGTCTTCAACCGCAGCCCACATGTGTCGGTTAGTGTGCAATGGGGTCTTACGGTCTTACTACATGTAGAATCGTAAGCGGATATCAGCTTGGTGGAGATTTACCTCAGAAGAGAGAAAGAAAGAGATTGGTCTCATATGAGATTCAACGGCTATAGCCAGCCTAAAGCCAGCCTATAGGGCTTTGTTTCTCGGAAGGAATCGCGATTATGTGCCAGGGATCTTGCCGAGATCACCGTGCTTTTAGGTATAACGCATTGTACCAGGTGATTTCTAAGTTGCCGTAACCAAAGAAAGAAGCCGATCGACCCAATTTACTTCTCACGCCTTGTTCCTTGTTAAACTTTCCCTAAACAAACATTCATTTTCAAATTGGTAACTAGAATGGCGGCAGCACAAACACAAACAATCCCGCTCACAGCGCCACAGCCCGGGTCCGAGTCGGACACAACTCCAGCACCGGCTCTGCCGCCGATCTCGCGCAGGAAACAAGCCTCGGTGCTCCTCTCGGCCTTCGTAACCATCGCTCTCACAATAGGCTACAACCAGACCTTTGGCGTCTTCCAGGAGTACTACCTCTCGCCGGACCAGAACATCCTGTCGCCCCCTCCGTCGTCGCAGGCCTCGCCGCCGACCGCGCTGCTCGCCTTCGTGGGCACCCTGTGCTACGGGCTGACCTGGGCGGGCGGCATCCTGGTCAACCCAGTGATAGCGCGCATCGAGCACGGGACCTGGGGCTTAACCGCCGCAGCAACCACGCCCTCGAGCCGCCGATGGCGCCGCAGGATCCTGCGTGTCTTAACGCCAAGGTCGATCACCACCTCTGGCGTCGTCATCATGTGCGCCGGCTTCGCGCTCGCTTCCCTCGCTAGCTCCATATGGCAGCTCCTGCTTACCCAGGGCTTCCTCGTCGGCCTCGGCATGTCCCTCTTGTACTTCCCGCTCCTCGCCCCGGCGCCTGAGTATTTCACTAGCCATCGGGCCACGGCTATGGGCTTTGTAAGTGCTTCATCCGAACTTTTTTTTTTTAGTTTTATATTTCTTCCGAAATAGGCGCATCGAATCCTAGATTTTTTCTCGGTTGATAAAAGTCCATATCCGCTGATTCTTCATTCCATACGCCTCTCAGATTCTAGCCGGTGGTGGTACGGGTGGTCTCATCCTGTCGCCTGTGATTCGCGCACTTCTTAGCTCCGTCGGCGGCCGCTGGACCCTTCGGATCTACGCTGTCTTCAATCTATTTGCCGGACTGCCGATCGCGTGGGCTGTACCACGGAGTCGGTTTGCAACGACCCCAGCCGGGGGAAGGCCTGAAAGGCGAAATACCCATGTCTCGCGCTCCTTGTCCGTGAAGCCCACGTTCCTCTTCTCTGTTGTGGCCGCGTTTCTCCAGGTGGGTAATCTCTTAGAGGCTTTTCACTCCTTGACGATACTACATTATTATTTTTTAAGACTCCTCCTCTGCATCTCTTGACCGTAATCCGTCGCGTCCATAGCTCCTCCAACTAATGTACTGACTCTTATACATAGTCGGCTGGTGCTCAGCTTCCACTCTCCTTCATCCCTTCTTACACAGTCATCCTCGGGCAAACCGCATCCAACGGCGCCAACCTCCTTGCCGCTAGCAACGCCATAAATGCCGTATCTCGCGTCTTTACCGGATACGCCGGCGATCGGCTCGGCCGACAGAACACGCTTCTGCTGACGCTGTTCCTCGCCGCGTGCAGCGTCTTCGCCTTCTGGCTCTCCAGCATCCTCGCCACTACGTCGTCTTCGTCCTCTCTCTGGATAGCTTTCATCGTACTCTACAGCATCTCCGCAGGTGGGTACTACGGACTGTTCCCGGCACTTATTGCCGAAGTCTTTGGGATCCAGCAGTACGCCGCCGTGAATGCGTTTATACTTTTCGTAAGGGGCTTGGGGACCATGTTTGGTAGTCCTGTTGGCGGACAGCTGTTAGGAAGTTCGGAAGAGGGAACGGGGGCGTATGCTAGCATTGCGTACTGGGATGGTGCGCTGCTGATGGGCGCTACCGTGTGCTGTGCTGGGGTGCGGTGGGCTGATGGAAAGGGAAAGGGGTGGAAGTGGATTGCTTGACGCTGATACGACCTAGAAGGACACAGAATGTTAACTACTATTTGTGATTTATATATCCAGGTAGCAGAACCGAGTAGAAGCAGCTGAACAACCTAACCCGTCTAAATTGAAGAGCGTTAGGGTTAGTACAACAACTATTGTTATTTGACGGCTCTGGTATTTGACGATAGGCTGTATATGTACCTCATAGACATGTAATAAGGCAACAGTAGATCAGCTGACGCCAATATATTAGGTACCTGGTTACCTAGGTAGTTTTATTCATCTTTAACTCTTTCATTGAATTCGCTCTTCGAAAGGGCTTCTCCAGTAGTAACCACCCACTTCGCCCAAGTGGTCTAGCAGAGACTCACAATTGCCTGGATAGGTACCGCGCGTGTCGCATTAGGAGAAGTAGTCTGTGGTCAATATGAAAAATAGAAGTAAACAATAGATTGCCGATGTCGAAAGGTTGATGGAAGCACCGCCTAGTCTTTCCAAATATCTCGGAACAGCTGCTGAAGATAATTTAAGGCTAGGTACCTAGGTACCTACAGGTATCTACCTAATTAATCGATTAAATCGAATCCGAAGTTTGAAAATGCCCCTTTTTTGTACATAGACTTCTTACACATTAAAACATTAACTCATTCCTATCATCCCTTGACCCCGTACCATTACCCCCTTTTCACGGCCATTCATGACGGCTTGTAATACAATGGCTCGTTGAAAACATGATACCGGTGGCCTCTAATACCTTCGCCCCTAAACAGGGCTGGGAATCTCCATCCTTCAGGGACCTCGTGCTCTTTAACCCTGCGGTTTCTTTTCTCTGAATTTGTTTCTAAAGTTGCAATCTGCGCCTTTTCAGCCTCGCTCTTAGGGACGAAAAACTTCGCAACTTGCAACTCGGTATCGGTGATTGTACTTCGAGAAACTCTCGCGTAGCCTATTCTTTGCAGGCGTTTATATAATATGTATTCGCACCAACGATCCCAATCGCGAGGATCTACATCGTGCATTCCTGAAATATCGGAGACATATGTGTTATAGTTGCCTTGGAGGGGTTTGGTCACTAGGTAGGAGAGCAAAATTGCCGGTCGTGGTGAAGAACCCATAAGTTTGGAAAGATATTCGCTTTGCAGGCGACGGTCTTCCGGATCCTCTTCCTGCCCAGAATGGAACACAAAGACGTCCACCAACTCACCGTAGACGTCAAGGGTCGCATGTATAGCAGGTGCCAGTTCGCCTACAGGCGACGGAAGTAGATGATGCGTAGAATTCATAATAGGAAACTTTGATAAGAGTGCAGCGCCCCAAGTGTGCTTGTTCGGGCCAGGACCATAGTCAACATACATACCCAAGTCTTCGGCGAGAAATTGTGTGGTATCCCTGTTTCCCATTATAATGCGTTGTAAGTCCGACTCTAGCAGACCGACAACATCGATTTCAAGTTCTTTAATTAAGTCGCGCATGCGGTACTCAGAAGACCACATGTCATTGTCTAGAGAGAAGTGGATAGTCCAGATTCCAGCAGTAAGAATTCTCGAGTCTTCATGATAAGGTTTATAATCGTTGGTCGGAAATCGGCGGAATGCAGCAGCAATGAAGAAAAGGTTTATAACACTTAACGCAAGAGAATGATACTTGCGATGTCGCGATTGAGATGGCGGTGTGTATGTTTCGTGTTGCCGCGAGTGAATAGATGTGAGATTGAATATGCCAGCGCCAACGAGCAACATCATGGTGGCCATAATCCAATCCGTATGTTCGCGAACAAGGGGTCCTCCAGGTACGAAAGCGTAAGCTACTACCCAGACGTGGAATAGAACCATCAAATTGTATAGGAAAAATCCAAGACCAAAAGTAGTGGCGGGGCTTTTCTTAGAAGCTGCGATGATTAAAGGAGGAGCAATAGCTGTTAAATAAAAGGCGATGGTTAGACCACCGAAATATCCGAACCATCCAGGGTAGAGAGTGAGAACGGCAGCTCCGATACATCCAATACCATAAACTGACCAACTGCTAACGAGTCTCGGTAGGCGAATTCCAGTCAGCAATCCGGCCGTCATTGCGACTACCGTAAACCAACCATGGGGGCCGGAAAGGGGACCTCGGACTGGATAGCCGTCCCATACCCACAGAATCATGGTGCTGGTATCGGATAGCAATGAATGTAAACCAAAGAAGAGACCGCCAATACCCAGGGCAGCCAGGAGGGATGAGCCATTCTGCTTGTCGTCCTCAGCAACGCCGGTATTAAGAGGCGCTCTGCGGGTAAATCTGAGTGTCGCGAACACCGCTAGTAATAATCCAGTCACGTTATAACCACCGTTGGCTGCGTGCATAATCGGCCAAATTGGGTTGTTAGTTTGCCATGCATACTTGACAGCGGAAGACATTATTAGGCCGACAATCCAAGCTAATACCCTCGACTCAAGACGGACCGGGTGGACAGATTCAGAATACAAAGTGGCTGCCCATGCTAAACAGGACATCGCAACGCCAAAACCGACTGTGAAAAGCCTATAGGCTGGGTCGTGGACCTTCCAGGCGAGAAGCCCGGCGAGTGACAGGAGATGACAAGCGCGTAGGTTCTGAGTAACAAGCGAGCGGAATGATTTGATACCAAGAAATAAAGGCGAAATTGTAGACATCACGAACGCTTCATAACCAGATATACCCATGTGCCAAAGTGGAAAGTACCATATGACTATGCCCAGGCTTGTGAGCATTGACCAGAAGACGAAGCCATGATAGACCTCGGCAACAGTGTCGAATATTTCAGACCAAGAGAATTGAGTGTCAAAGATGCCAGCGGTAATCTTTCTCTTTTCCTCCTCGAGAACGGCGGTCGGTTGAAATGATACATTGGCCCTGCGAAACCGATCAGAAAAAGTGACATGGTAAATGCCAAGTCAATCGCATGATCGCGCCAAAACTCGCCCGAACAGATGCCGCTAACAACCCCGGATAGTCATGAAATAACTGCATTAGAAAGATAGGACTATCTTCAAATATAGGGAGCTATTATAGGGCGCTCAACTCAGGAAATAAGTTGATTACCAAACTCATGACTGGTTGTTCAAGGGAAGTAGTGTTGGCGACAGGCTGTGCCCATCATGGAAGCCCGACAAACCGATATGGGCCAATAATGATCTCAGCGCAACGACGACGTTCGTTTAAGGAGTGAAAAATGCCTAACGTAACGCATCTTCTTTTGGTCGGCTCGGAATAAGTGACGACTTCGATTACTGCAAACATAAGGCTCGGGGGCGGAAAACAAAATAGGGGGGAGCGCAGCATCTAGTCCAAGCGAGTATGCACATCACATTGAATCTACTTGGGAAGCCGTTGTACGTACCCCTTGCTTAAACCTTTTACGTCCCTCACGACAATTTCAAAAGTATCAAAGTCGAGCGCAGTGACGGCGTCAAATGCGACATCAAAAAGGATAAGAGACCACTCGAAAAAGGAATAAGTAGTATAAGCTATAAATACGTAGTGAGTGATGTGTTTATTGAATAGAAACCTGAGTTGACGTGAACTAACCTCCTGCTACTCGATGAACTTTGTGCTGAATAAAGAAGTAGATCATCGGAGGGATGGCGCCAAAGAAGGCCGTTGCGAGATACTTTCGATATTTGATAGCCTTTGGATTCGGCGGACTCAAGGCGATACAGCCGAAGGTCCACGGAATAGTGGCTACTAGATAGGAAATCATGAATATGTCGTGCCAATCATGGTCGTCGGTCGAGGTCACGTAGGTCCAACCGCCGCATGTAAGAGTCCTGAAAATACCCACCCCAGCGATGAACTTGGGGAGGACCTTTCCGGGCTTCGCGGTAAGGAAATACCATAGAGCGACGAGCGCAAATCTAGGACCTGAAGTCAAAGCAATAAAGACCATAAAGAAAGATCGCTCGGGGTATCGATCGCCTATCGTGGCAGAAACAGAAGGGAACCATTCTTGAGGATAGCCATAGAATTCGTTTTTAACAATCTTATGGTAATGAAGGTAAATCCCAACGGTTAGGGCGCTCAAGAACGCAGCTGTTCAATCGCATTGATCAGTTGAGCAGTCATCTCCAAAGGAATGGCGCATATTTCACCAACCGTACGCGGTAGCAGTATGAACCCACGATATCCATTTCGCATTTAAAGCGACTACCGTAGTCCCTGTATCTTTATCCTTATACCTGGATGACATGTTCGCATTCCCAGTTTAAAGTTGGAAGAACTTTGCGCGAATGCTGAGGTGAATTTTCAAGAGAAGCAATTCAAGGAGTGAACCAAACAACAGAAATAGGCGCAAGGAATGTCGAAAATGTCGGAAGAAGAAAAAAAAACAGAAAGCGCTCAGAAAAAGAAAAGCTGGACTGGAAGTTGCGTCAATGTTCCAATGGAGAGGTACAATACCTTCCTCCGGATTCCTCGGTGGCCGTTAGGTAGTGCTAAGGTAGTGCTAAAGCGCTAAATCAACTTGCTATGTGGGTCGATGAGCCAAGTTAAAATCCATGTTCATCGCGTGTGTCATGCACAAAAGTGCTAGATCCCCGCAAGTTAGGTGGTCCAAGCTTCTACAGTACCTTGGTATTTTGTAGGGGTTTGTTGCATATGAGCGGACCGAATATTTTTTCAAGCTCCAAGATCCCACTAGCACTCACTAAGATTAGCTCTGGAACGGGTACCTATCTTATCTGTAAAAATCCACTATAATTTTATTTAACGTTTTTGAAACTTTTCTGAACTTGCGCTCAGTCTTCTTCTTTGCTGAGATCTACCTCGAATCTATTCCAGGGTCTTAGCAATTCACAAACCAATTCGCCTCCAGCACAATGGCAGGAGTTCCCGAGAAAGCTCGATTCTTCCTCGAGCAAGCGGTTCCCCAACTACGCGAATTCGAGGCTAAGGGTATATTCACCACCGATGAGATCCGTTCGCTAGTACGAAAGCGTACCGACTTCGAGCATCTCGTCCTATCACCTGGGAACAAGCCAACAGACTGGCTGAACTATGCCAATTGGGAGAAGTCCCTTGAGACCCTGCGCGCGAAGCGATGTCGTAGATTACAAGTCCGCACTTCGTCTAAACACACGGGACAGGGTCGAGTTTTCGGAATCTTAGAGCGGGCGGTGAATAGGCACCCAGGGAATCTGGGACTATGGAAGGAGTACTTGAATTATGCGAGAGATATGAAAGCTACAAAACGTTACCGGAAGATCATAAGCAGAGCATTGAGAATGCACCCAGCGAAACCAGAGCTTTGGGTGATGGCAGGTAGGAGGTCCGCCAACAATGGAGACATGCAGGCGGCGAGAGATTTCTTCATGCGCGGCACTAGGTTTTGCACAAAGGATGCGACTATATGGCTCGAATATACCAAATGCGAAATGGAGTGGCTAGAGAAGATGGATGCTAAGAGAGGGAAGAAAGGCGGCGCCAAAAGAGCGATCCAGGAACAGGCCGAACAGAGTGATGATGAGATCAAATTCGCTGAGGAGGGGAGTGACGATGATGAGGATGATGTTGACGAGAATGGTCGACTTGTTTTCCCAGATCCGGGAAATTTCGCTGGAAAAATGGTTATTGACGAAGACACTGCGAAAAAGCTTGAGGGCAACTCGGAGAGCAATCCTGCGCTTGATGGAGCTATCCCCTTGGCTATTTTTGACATCTCCAAGAAGCAACCCTTTTTCAACTCGGCAGTAGCAGAGCAATTTTTCAACCTGTTCGCTACTTTCAACACTACTTCTGCCCAGGCTCGACTCGTCCAGCATGTATTGGACAGTATGACAGAGCTTTATCCCAACGACCCCGCCACATGCTTCTGTTATATCCGACAGCCATTGGTTAATGTTGGCATAAATACACCTTCGTATCCTAAAGCTCTGCGAGACGCTCTGGCTCGTCTCAAGACATCTCTATCCACCACCACCGACAAGACTAAACTAGCCGACAAGGTGAAACTTTGGATAGAGCTCACCTTAGCTTCTGAGGATCTCGATCCAGGTATTCGTACAGTTCTAGAGCATACTATCGGAACGCTACCCAAGCCTTAATAAAACCAGTTACCCCGAGACTCTAGTCTTATCGAGTCTCGCCGCCTCGCTGTTTCACTACGTCCATCAAATACTCAAATTCAGAAGCGCTCACGCGACTCACGCTCAGCCGACTCTGCTTCAGCATCTGCATATTCTCAAGAGGCTGACCTGGTTGGCCCATCTCACGGAGTTCCTTCAGTCCAATTTGGTTGCTGAACTTACTACGGAACTTGACGTGCACGACGCTCCATTTTGGGTTGTCGGATTTGGAAGAAGCGTCGTAGTACGGTGCTTTGGGATCGTGTGCCGATACTGGCATATAAAGTAAGAAGCAAATCCGCGCAATAAAAGATGGGGTAGACTTACAGTCGGGGGAATGTTCCTGCACGATCTCCATCGTGCCCACGATACCCGGCTCTTTGCAATTGGAGTGGTAGAAGAAAGCTACGTCTCCTTTCTTCATGGCCCGGAGGTTATTCCGGGCAACATAATTACGGATACCTAATATGGAAACTCGTAAGCGTTTAATGGCCATGTGTAGAACGGGATGTAGCTTGTTTTAGGTATAAATTAGAAATCTTACCATCCCAGGGCTCAGGTTCTGTTCGAGATGCTAGATCATCGATGGAGAATTTAACATCAACGCCGTTTTCAAATCGTGACTCGGGCTCTGCTTTTAAGAGCCAATATAACCTCTCCGAAGAGCCGGAAATCTCATCGGATTCGGCCTTAGAGGCTGTGCTTAGTTGTGCAACATTCTTCGCCTTTTTTGACTTTTGACTCTCCTATTATTGTAAAATTAGGCACCTAGGTACTTAAGAGTTATCGTGGTCACTTAAAATGCGACGAGAATCAACTATCCATACTACGATACTACTATAGGTACTAGGTAAATATAAAAAAAATCTTAAATCTTACTTGGAATGCCTTAGAATGAGGTAACTTCTGAGAAACCTTCTCAGGTTCCGGGGGTTGAGTCGCGCTCTTTTCCGTCAACTCGCCTTGGCTGACTTCAGTCGCTTGATCCGGAGTTGCTGATGGTGGTTTGCGACGCGTCGATCTTCGTAGACCCGTAGTGTCCGACGCGGTCTCCGATTGACTCGCTTTGCGTTTTACCATTTTAAAGCGAGTAAGCGTATCTTGTTTGGTAATGAATTGGGAATAAAAGGTATGCGATGTGATCCCTCGAAATTTTAATAATAGTTCGGCGAAGATGAGTCGGGACTCGAAGTTATTCAATCTCAATTTCATTATGTGAAGTATGTCAAGACATACTATGTGTAAGGTAGAGTGCACGGTCCAAGCGCACGTGTACGAAGGGAAGTGGTTTTTGAAAACGTTGTCATGACATCAAACCTTAAGTCTCAGAATATATTTTCATCCACGTACCCACCAACCAAACAAAGACATAGACATAATAAGAGGTACCTAACATAGCCTATAACCTATATCATTCTTTATGTAACCCACCCATATATATACATATACCTAGGTAGTAATATAAATGAGAAATTAGCGTCGATAATGTCAATTCCACCAGATGCCCCTGAGCGCATCATGGCCGTGTTCAGGGGGACTATTGTGGAATCTCTTAATCGGTTTCATGATGCGCTTCAGACATCAATATATGCCACAGCGAAAGAGATTAGACGTGATATAAACAAACGAGTGGACTCGGAGGTTCCCGTAATATATGGTTTCAATCCAGATAATAAATATAGGAGGAACATAGCCGGTCGCCAACTACGAACTACCACTGACTCACAACCAAACGAAAGTATTTCGAGCACGTTTTTTAACACCCTCTTCGACCGGCCTTTCGATGCTGAAACTCAACAGGCGGACATATTACCTCAGGCAACCTCCAACAGTGGCCCTAGTTCTATATCAGGGACACGTCTAACGCCACACATCCGGCATTAACTGAGCTACTAAACAACCTAGGACTTATCCCGGAAGCCGTGTGAGTGGATGATGCTTGGTGGTATTAACCCGTGATAGACAGCCCAATCGAAAATCGGAGTTTATAATTGGCAGTTATATCCCGTATTCCGTACAATATTTCCGAGGCTCATCTGAGGCTGTCCGGCTTGTAACATGCTGTCTTAAGTACCGGGGAGGTAAATACCTGGTAAGCGGGTAGTGTTTTGCATGTTTTCTATTGCGGCTGAGATTAGTGTTTGGATGGACATAGCTGGAGTATACGTGTGCGGTCCTGTCAAAGACACACCGCTGAGCCAAAAGTGTATTTCTTAATAGCACAATTGCTGTTACAGTCTATCTGACCTGAGTGGTATTACCACTCACAGGTCCCAATTTCGACCTACAAATAAGTGTGTTTTTTCGTGAGCTTTTTAAAGCTTAGGTATCCAGCTAGGCCATCCTCAGCCTTGTTGTTGATCCTTCGTGCTTACGGACATTACCATCTCCATAATACAAGGCTGAGCTGGCCTATCACGTCTATTTTTTGACGTCGAACTTGGTACTGCTGGGTTGAGTAGGCTACCAACCCAGACCCAGGTTTTGCTTTATTAGGTTGGTTTGTTGTGCGAGCCAAGCCAGCCAACCCTGTCCTGTGCCGCTCCAACAACGCGTTGCCCGCTAGGTGACCATTCAGATATTGACTTTCGAAGTTGATATCGCCATTTTCTAGCTTTCACCCAAGGAGCAGCACGAAAGAGGATGGGGAGGCTTGTAGCTCTCTACATGGAACAACAAGCTGCCAAGCTGCCACCCATGCGTGGTAGCAACTGTCACAGACCAACCTGGGCCTGTCTTGTTTTTGCTTTATCTTCTGCCCTCAAATTCCTGTACTCTGACTTGATTTTCTCTTTTGTAAAGTTTTCCAGCTTCAAGATCAACTAGAAGTACGAGATAGTCGCCATGAAGTCGGTCGTCTTATTGATCGCCGCCGCGGCTAAGCTCGCGTCGGTCTATGCTCAGACACAGACCACGGGAGGGGACGAGCCCACCTCTGCTCAGTCAAACGAGGCGGTCACACATACTGTCCGGGTTGGACTGCAGCATGATTTCTCACCCGATACGATACATGCGAATCCAGGTGACACGATACGTAAGTTAGAAAGATAGACTCCCACTAAAGCAGTGCTTCTAACAACAGTCCTTCTCACATAGGATTCAACTTCTACCCGAGGAACCACTCCGTCGTTCGAGCAGCTTTCAAGAAGCCCTGCATACCATGGGAATTGACAAACGGCCCCGCCGAGACCTTTTTCAGCGGTCCGATAGAGCAGGACACGCTGGAAAGTCCAATTCCTAGTTGGGACTTACAAGTAGACAGTACAGACCCGGTCTTTTTCTATTGGTACGCGTAACAAAGATCCCGAGCGTTCAAGTATAGCACTAACATGATCAAAGTTCCGCGCCTGGTTCTTGTATAGATTGGAAAATGGTTGGCGTTATTAATCCGGTATGTGTCTAATATCTAGCTATGTTCAACAATATGAATTTCTAACCTTGGGTGAAGAACGAAACATTCACCTTGGATATTCAAAAGGCATTCGTCCAAAACGCGACGTTCCAGCTCAGTCCTGGTGAACAATTTCCGGACGAATCATCGCCTTCCAGCACAGCCGGGTCAGGTAATAACAGTCCGACGTCGACACCCGGAGCTTCATCCGATAATTCCTCTGGCAGAGCAACACTTTCAAGCGGGGCTATTGCCGGTATCGCTATCGGAGGTGTGGCGGCCATTGCTATCATTGCCGCTCTCGTTTACCTTTGCGGCAGGAAAGGCGGAATTGAGAAGGGATACCGACGAAGCACGTTGATCAACACGGCACCGCCGCAGGTCGTCGAGGCGAACTACAACGACTACGGGCCCAAAAGCCCTGCCATAGGCTCGCCTTACCCTCCGTCGTACGTGGACCCATATAGGGCAGCTAGTCCGGGGGCCATGGTCTCTCCGGTAGGGAGTCCGCACAATTCATATCTAGGACATCCGAGTCCGGGATATCCTGCATACGCTCCTGTCAGCCCAACTTTCCCTAAGCAAGATCAGCCCGCATTATAGTAAGGATACCCTACCTAACTCTCACGCAATCTTATTTAAGAGCTATCAAATCTAACATCAAATAATAGTGAGGCACCTGCTGATACGCAACCCAGCGCGGTCGCGGAACTCCCTGGAAGCATCGATAACGTACACGCACGTTGAGAAATGTCACATAGATTATGAGGTAGATGGCTAATTGAATATCCCAAGTTGTTTCCGTATGAAAAAAAAAATGGTATTATAATGGCTGAAAAGAGGGTTTGGTACTAAAGGTCGATGTTGTATTGGCATGGCGCAAGGAGTTTAGTGATGTGTCGACTAGCTCTGTTTCCAAGATACCTGAGCACTCCGATGCCGTACTGGTAAACACCATAATGGCGTCTACATTATAATGCCGGTGAGGGGCGAGAATCGACGAAATATAAGGCTACGGTTTAGACGGGAATGAAACTATCGTAGGAAATGTATTGGTGAAGGATATTCAATCGGGGGACGAGTCCATACCACATACCTACCTTCCTCCTAACCTAGGTAGGTAGACTTTCGAGAACTCCCAACGAGTCATGAAAGGTCGAAGATCCTACACCTCACTTTTCATCCTTCCCACGTCCGTATATAGTAATAACAGTAAATATTATAATATAACGACTCACTTATAATACCGTGTCTCTTAGGTTTGTTAGCTTCTGAATATATGCCAGGTACCTACCATGCATACCAGGTGAGTACCTGAAGTAGATACATAGAAACATGCAAGACTATAGATAGATCATACAGATGCGAGGAAGATCCGATGCAACAATTATACTAGATGATGGAGGACTGTGGGCCTAACTGCGATTCAACTACTATCGACGCAAGTGAGAGAAGTTGAAAAGTCGATAGATAAATATCTTGCAAACAACATATCCATACCTGTCCATAAGCCGAGTTCAGGCCAATTAGTTTCCTATAACAAATACCAGTCACCCACAGAATTCTCGTTTGTCGAAGCAACACAATTATCCATTGACTTCGAAGGTAATATCTTATAATTAGAAGAGCAAAAGTTTGAAGAATATGGGTGCCTCGACTCCCTAATAGAATTTTAGTTGGTAGAGCAGTACTACTTGTACACTTCCATGCTATGTCCTTAAGTGCAAGAAAGACAAGGATACACACTCTACCAACATCAATAACCCTTCAAAAAGATCAAGATATACTATTGTAGGGATATTAGAGTAAACCATAACAAACCAAATTTGAAAGAGCAATGTTTCTGTGCCTCTCTTGTACTTGAGGATTTACCTACAATAACCCTTATTAACTCAACGATCTATCGAACATGCGCACCTCCAAACGGGGGCTTATTTTACATTCCAGACAATATAGAACTTATCAAGTCTTAATTACTTTATATACCTATTTAATCGAACTTTCTAGATACCTACACAGATTTAACTATTCAAGATTGATTATAAGACATTGTACATTGTCCTTAAGCTCTACCCTTAAATCGTACCTAATTTCCGTCAATCTGTAATACCTGAGTTGGGTAGTATATGACTCTTGCAAGGTGGGACTAAATAGTATGGAAATAACAAAGTTGTTTCGCAAAGAAATCCGACTTGTCTAGCCATCGGAGCCTGTGGCTACACATCGTGAATATCCCCTTTGTTCTACATGTCCCATCCAGAGTTCCGATAGTTAAGTTACATGAGGACGACGCACAAGAGCGGGTGATTCCATGATTCTAAAGCTACTACACAACAACATAGCAAACGAAAGGAAGCTTGCTTAGAGCCCTTGGAGCCGAGTTGACTTTTACTAGAAGTCTAGTCAAATATCACTAAAATTTAGTAATTACAAAGTACCCTCATGAGGAGTAGGTAAAGAAGCATGGCACTAGAGGCTTTGAAAGAGGAATGCAAAAGGCTGGGTGCGTTACCTATTAGAGCCATAAATTTTCATTATTTACTATGTGATCTTCCCAACAGTAGTGTTGTAAAATTGCCGACTTTCTCTTCTCGGGTTTTGAATCCGAGGCAGCGTGTTAAGTTCTATTAATTTCATGTCCAGGTGACTTCATGAGTCATAATGTCACATAAGGGTGTATATATCAGTGGGACTATCTTAGGTACCTACTTAAGATATATGCCGAACATATGAGGTATACTATGTCTAAAGGGATTATTCGACTGCTGGTCATCGTTACCTAGGAGGTAGTTATCAAAAGAAACTTTGTGGGGGGCCTAAGATAGACGCAAGGTTCCCGAGGAAACATCAACGAATCAAACCAAGTTGAATGGCACCTATTCTTTGTCTATTAACATATAGAGAGATGTGTTCGAAAAGCGCGTGATATGAAAGAGGTATCATCCTAGGCCATCCCAGTGTTCACCAACCCTACGCCCCAGTCACACCGAGAAAAATTGTATCGGGGAAGACCATATACAATACTCAATATCTGGCACACACGTCACCAATAAACTTGTGTTCATGGAATACGAAGCACAATACTGCCTACGTTGTATTGCTTCACATCTTGTTTGTTAAAACACAAAGTTAACGAAAGTTTATCCAATCCTAGCAATATCTAGCAAACATATAGGGGAACGTGAGAGAATAAATACACTTCCTAGACGAGTCGTACAATGTTGAATGAATGCTTATAGATGTTAAGAATTCAGGAGCTATGACGAGAAGGCTGCCAGCTTCAGGGTAAAACGAGATACCCCTTACGGAGATTTAGTCAAGCGTGATTGGTAGCTAGAGTCTTGTGATCGCTTTTTAAGCTTGATACGATCCGCATTATTACACATAGAAAGGCTTTAAGAAAGAGCCGACAGGGCAGTTAGCCGAGTGCCCAGTATGTGCCATGCTATGATCAGTTACAGGAAAAAAAAAACATGAAAATTATTACGCAAGCATCGGACGACCCGGTTTGAGTGGTGCAAATCTGGGCCGCCGTGGGAAGCTAAGTGGCCTGCTCTGGCGCCACGGGCCAGTCCACCCCTCTACACGATGTAGGTACAATATCTGATGCGCTTTGGAAGTTCACCGGTACCCTCAATCTATCACGAGACTTTCTACCCCGAGTACGTTCTATTCGCTGCCGCCTAGGTAGGATGCGATTTTCTCCTGAGTTTATTATAATCTCACCGCTAGGTATCATGCATACCTAGAGGCATGCAGCCTCCGTCGATGCTTCGCATGATGCATACCTGGGTAGTTGATAATCAAGGCAGTGACTCAAAGATTTGAGGTAGTTCCAGTCAATCAGAGGTTTAGGTTAACTAGATCCTAATAGCTAACCCCCCTCCGATCTGGGCCCTCTTGACCGAGGCTTAGTTGCCTGCAATTGAAGGAGAAGAATTCGGGAGCTGCAGATTTCGGCGAACAATTCGTAGGAATTGATCGGAGCTCCCGCGGCAGATCTTTCGCTTCGTGACGAAAGCGTTCTAAGCGACGCCGTTTACCTACCTACCTCCTAGGTACCTTGGAGATAAGGTGGCGAGATGACTTGGGGGCCAGACTTAGCAGGGGACATATTGCACTTTTCTAGAGCTAACCTGGAATCGGGATACCATTCCGGCAGGGCAATCATACCTACATACAATATTGATGTCTGGATAGCTGAATTTGGATATGTAGGACTTTTTTCCTACCATGGTCTCATGATATCACGGGTGAAGTTTTCGTTGTTTCTTTGAAATGATTTTTTTTTTTTTTTTTTTTTGATGGTGACGATGAGGCCAGCCTGGATTCGTTTGATATTAGCGTGGGATCAACGTCGCGAGAACACACCCTAACACCTCCAGTCTTTAAGCTGCGAGGTTAAGTTTGTGGCCGTCCCATATCTCCATGTAGGACACAGCCACTTCAGCTGCTTAGCCTCATGAGTATGAAGCCAAGTGGGTTTCGTTTCGAGCTCCCCCCCTGGCGCTTCTTGCAGTTCTTGGTGGGCGATGCGAATCTGCCTAGCGTAGGGCTGAATCTTGGGAATTCGCCTATCTTCTAAAAGTCCTAGGCGGAGTTGAAAAAAAAAAACCCCCAGGTAGGAACACGCGATCATATTTGTTCCCTGTAGATAGATGTCGCTATGACCAAATATTTCTGAAAGGGTGATGAAAGACTCCCATATTCTTGCGTCGAAACCTTGGCTGGCTGCCTCTCAGAGAGGTTCTAGAGGCAGCGAGGTCTATTTTTGGGGGCCACCAAATCCTTCTTTTCTTGATTCAAGGGTGAGCGCTTTATGTTACAGATAGGCGCGAAGGCCGTCGTTATGGGCCCGTGGCGCGGATGCTGTCAGCACCTTCGCATTACCAGTAAAATAATGGTGATACCTTTTACATCATTGGGGAGATTCAACTCTAACAAAAAATTATATGGGTATTCAACGTGGACATGCTGACGCAGCGTGTCGTCCGAAAGTGACACTAATGACATGGCGCGTCAGCTTTTATTCACTTTTATTCAATACCTGGTTATTCATTTCGCTTCAAGTTGGATCCGAATGAGTTGGAAAGGGTTGCGATAAAACATGTATATTTCTGACGTTATTGCCTACGTAAGTTACCAATAAGGTAAGGGGAGAGAAGCAATGGGAAAGAAAGGAAGAAGAGAAAAAAACGGAGAAAGATATTTTGGGTAAAAGTATTGAACTTGCGACAATCTATTTAACCCCGTGCACGCGTAACACGGTGGTGTCTACGTAAGAAGTTTGTATTGTGTTGAAAGGGGGGAAATGTGTATTAATAGCGTATTAATTAGATACCTAAGGTAATAGGGTTGGCAATAAGTTGTAACAGGTTGTGACAGGTTGTGATAGGGTCCGGGGGCGTGCGGGAAATGTTGCAAGAATGTCGAAGCGAGGATTGGGCATCGACAAGCGACACACGGAGATGAAAAATCCTTCATCATGCAATCGAAGCTTGTCAAAAGCTGAGCTGAGCTGAGCTATAATGCTATGTAGTATGTTTGACCTGTCCGTTTTGGTACCCCCCCTTTTTCATTTCTTATGGGTATCTGAGAATTATCGAGAGAGTGTGTGTCTACAACTTATCCACAACTTCTAGTAGTTCATTGATTACGAGTTCCCACTATCGTCTCACTAATTGATGATGTCTGAGGTACTATACACCATTTTAGAGAGTATTAAGTCCTATATACCTTATATCGGACAGACCAACTAAGAAGGTGGTTAATGTGATACGATTATTCTTTTTGCTGCCTACGCTAATACGAGTACCTACATTAGTTAGATATTTAGCTTCAGGTAGTTGATTGATAATACATAGCAAGAGAAAAGAAAAAAGTAATTGAATTGTAGCCTAGAATTGGCACATAACACGTGATATTGATCCCCTTGGCTACCTAGGTAAGTTCTTGTTAATGGTCAATTGAAGAGGGGTTTTTCCGAGAGAATGACTCTTTCGTTTTTACACTTCTGCATTGTCAACTGTTTTTGTACTCTCGACACCAATTGTATCGCACAATTAACAATCAGGGTATCATGCAAAATTTGGCGGAAGCCACCCCGGACTCTCTTACGGTCTTACCAAGAAAAAGGAAAAGGAACAAATGACGAATTGCCAAATCGTCGTGTTTCCCGTGAATGTTTGAAGGTGTAACTTTTTAACCTTTTTACATATATATATACATATATTATATTAAACTTACCACTGTACACAAACGGCACGTGTCCACGAGAAGCGTCGACGTACCGATTGGTGTTCTAGATCCGTTTTCCTACTTTCTCTTACTAGTCTAAAGTGGCTGAGTGTCTATTGTACCTTGGTTTTCATTGCTGTGATATAATTCAGATCAACTGCCATATCAGCCATCTCAGCTATCCAGACCATCGCTGTATTGGGCGTACCAGGTAAGCCACCTAAGCTATCTACCCTACCCTTGCCCTAGTATCCCATCGCATCACATCGTGCACTTTGCCACGATGCGACTAGCTACCCTGGATTTTGGGGCCTTGCATTCAACATGCGGGAAGGCTATGTCCTCCGCATTTTCACACCAAATCATATCCGCGTCGATGACTCGTCCGGGAACCCATTTGATCGATAGAGATGCATCATAGCAAGTGCCAAACCCTCTGCAAGTCACCACTCTCATTATGCATTGGCACCTACCTATCCTAGGGCTTAGGGTAAGGTAACTCAGTCTAACCCGTCTAGCTACCTCCTAGGTAGAGCCCAGAGGTAAGTGAAGAGGTAGCTTGCATTACTGCACCATTGCATTCCGACAAAGCCGAGAAAGAGCTTGTTCAGTTCATGCACACCCTCCCCCCTCCTCACCAGTCAATATCGGCCTGTGTTCTAGGGTTCCGAAGTTCTAGAGTTACAGTTACAAAGTTTGTTCTTCTCCGGCAGAACTACTTGATTCTTAGATACACTCCCCACGCTTGTCTCATGTTGCTTATCCCTACTTGTTTTTTTTATTTTATTATTTTTTCTTCTTTTCGCTTCGTCGACAATTTCTTGCTAGTAACACTTTTAACGAATACTATGTACATCTTAACGCGCGCATATTGAACTGACCTTTCTAGCCTTATGAGAGGTGAGATTAGTTCGACGGTCGTTTGTTGGCGGCCTTTCTTTGGGCTACCTCTTGCGTAGCCTCCCGCCTCGAGTCTAACGGCGAGAAGAAGGGAAAAAAAGACGAAAACAGATTGGCGTGAATGGCACAATAGGTGGTCGATCAAAACTGGGATCCCCCCATGGAACGAACCCATGCGGTCGGTCTCTTGTCATGGGTGTGAAGCTACACACTCAGCTACACACCCTCCATCACATCCCATCCCATCCCATCCAAAATTCACCTTGTACCCCAGTACGGTCACCCGTCTTCCTTTAGGCCAAACACTGCCTCTTCCAGACATGAAATATCATTGGCTCCGTCAGGAAACATACCATTCCTTTCTGGTATGCTGCCAATACGGAAGAGAAAAGAAAAATGATTCATCGGCCCTGGTAACGCAGGCACCCAAGGACCGAACATGGGTCGGGAGGGAGAGGGATGGCTTGAACCCCTGTCCCAAAATTATTATTACACCACAAGACAAAAAAGATGAGGGACGAAAAAAAAAAAAAAAAACTATTACAATGTACGTACATAAAGTCCAAACGAGGAATTTCGATACTCCCATACTTAAAGCACCGAACCCTACCCCCCCATTCCTGGTAGTTTTACCTCTCTACAAGTACTACATAGGTCTTGTTAGATCGTGTTTCTTGAACCACCCTACGGAATTCAACAAAGCGGCGTCATATACCAGGCACCAGTCACTTTTCGAAATCATACAAATTCCCCAGGCTCCCCCCATCCATTCCAACCTGAGATTCCTTTCCCGATGCCCTCATGTCTCTAGGCTCAGAAGTTAAACTCCCTATCGATTGTTCCGTCTCTGACACTGCCGACTGACCACACTACCGTGGCATCTTACCCAAGGATTATCGTCAACAACTCTCTCTACAACCATAAGCATTCACCCGGATTAGTCTCGACTGAAGTTATCCCGACTCAGGCCAACGTGTCGCTCGGATCGCATTCTATCAGCAATTTACAAAGGCACCGTCCGAGACCTCAGGTCATCCAACCTAACCCACCGCGCATTAGTCGCACTAATACATTCAACACCGACACGATGTGCCACAAGAACATATACACCTACATCTACCCTGATGGGAACAACGCTGAGCAGATCAAGCACGACCTATGCGACAACTCGCGACACGGTATGCCGTGCAAGCTCACCAAGACGTTCCAACACCCGCCTGAATACGTCCGATCTGGCCAATTAAGCCCACCTGGATACAGCCTTGGCCAATTCCCGCCGACTCCACCACTCTCGTCCCACTCTGCTTCTGACTCGGAGCATTCTTCTTCCAAAGGGCGATCAAGCATCTACATCAATGGCGAAAAGGTGGTCGATCCTAGTAGGCGCTCGTCGCGACGCGACAAGGGCGAGCGCACTGGTGACCGTACAGTCTACGTCGACAGCTCACCGTTGTCGCGCACACCACCCCGCAGATACAGCATCTCGCGCAGCACGCCTTCTACCCCCCACGAAGAGACCATTCGCGTGAAAGAGCCGCGACAACACGAGACGAGCCCAGACGAGCGCGAAAGATCCACCTCATCGCGCCGCCGACAATCTATCGAAGTCAGAATAGTCAATGAACCGCGACATAAACGACACGAGTCTAGCAAGTCGAGCAAATCAAGCTCGCAGGATAGTGATGATGACGAGGAGCGTCGCCGCAGGCGCAGGAACAGCCACGTACGGTTTGAAGACGAGGAGGAAGAAGACGAGAAGAAGAGGGAAGAGAGAAAGAAGAAGATACAATCCGAAATCCAGCGCGCAAACGAGGATATCGCCAATCGCCCTCCCGTCCCTGCTGCAACAGCCCCGGTCAACACCAGATACCGTCGGGGCTCAGTCGCGGTCGATCCTAAAGATGCTGCACTTGTACTTCAAATGGACCAGCTAAGCCTAGAACGCGAACGACAGGCCAATCTAGACCGCGAAAAGCGGCGGCTCGAGAAGCGAGTGGCTGAACAGCGCAAGCGTGAGCGCGAGGAAGAAGAGGCGCAAAGGCAGCGATTGAGGAACCGCATGGCCCCTGACCGTATGACACCTAACCGGCGGGCCACTATCAGCGACAGCCGAAGCCTTGGGCGCGCTCGACAGAAGATTGTCTACGAAGATGGGAGATACTACTGGGAATAAAATACCATAAAACAACCGCCAAAAAAGGGTGAAAACAGTGTAAAAGAAATTACCAAGAAAAAAATACAAAAATATGGCATGTAAAGGATAATGATACGGATTCGGATCACGACTACGGCGTTGGACTAATGATACCTGGGGCATTGGCAACTGCGATGATGACTTGGGTTTGTATTGGATGGTTCTGGTTTTTGGTTTGCTTTTTTCCCCTGCTTCGATAGACAAACGCATGGCTGTTTTCTTGTTTGGTTTTATTTACTATTCATTGTTCAAGCCTGTATTGTCATCGCTCATACGCGACGGGTTCATCACCTTTTGTTTTATGAGATTCTCGGGAACTGCAAAGCCGATTTTTTTTAAACAAGCATTTTCAACTATCTGTTTTCAATATTCATATCATTTATACCTGTACTTAACCGTACTCACGATGTTACCGATATGCATGTAACTTAGCTACCGTAGATAGGATTATTTAGACTTGAGATACCCAATAGTTATTTTATTTAGGTAGTTATAGCAGTACCTATTCAGGTACATAGGAGGTAGTTATAGCATTGCAGCTGAGCTGATTTCACACATCCAATAGATTACTAGTATGCATCATGTTCGCCTGGTCAACGTGGGGAGAAAGTTGTTGATATTACTATTTCTGTGCGACAAACAAATTGGATCAACGGTATTTGTCAATGAATGCTACTGTCTGAATACCCAGGCAACGACGGGAGCTACCCCTCCACGTTTCTCCAAGGAAGGCGAAGGGAGGCGACTCGGAATAAGGTAGTCCAAGGTCAAGGCGAAACAATAGGAGAGGAAAGAAAAAAAAAATTGTGTGGGACACATGTTTTCCATTTCTCTCTACAAAACTACTTACTATGTAAGATACAACATACCTGTCTTCCAAATCCTACCCCCTATCCCCAATCTCCCCATACAAACTTCCCACTTCCCCCCCTAGTTCGCTCTTTCAACCCAATGCCCACCCACGGACATTGTTCACGGCCTATTGCTGCCTGATTGGCCCCTCCATGACATACTCTTCCCGGTCCAGCCCGTCAAACCCGTCCTGTTACCCATATATTTTCCCCCATCACATCGTCCCAGCATTGAGGCCGAGGAATATCTACCTCATACTTACCTCGTATGTACCTAAGGTAGGTACCTAGATAGTCAGCGATCAGCTCCCGCTCGTCCCGTAGATCTTTCACCTATGGCTTGGTTCGGAATAGTGACGGCTATCTATTCTCTCTGGGTTAGTTACCTTTCTTTCTTTTTTTTTTCTTCTTCTCTGATAACCCCTCCGATGTGCGTGCGGTGCCCCTCACTTAATCTGTCCTCAATTTGGATCACCTCCCCGTCAATCATAAGGAGCAATTCACCACTTGGCCGTCTATTGGTCCGTCCACCGCCTACCTACATATGTGCTAGATTAGGCAGATCTGGGACTTCCTGCTTGCAGGCTGTACTATGTAGTAGTCCCCATCCTCCCTCGTGGGGATTGCATCGGGGACTGCATCTTCACTACCACGGCATAATGCAAGTACTCGGCTACATACCTAGGCAGCCTCGGTAGGTACCTAGGTAACAGGTATGTAGCAGACGGACTCCGACAGGTTTTATTTTCTTGTTTCTTTTTATCATACCGGACTCGATGCTTCCCATCACCCTGGTAACCCATAATGTCTTACCTATGCCTACCTATGGCGAGAGGTTGCTGGTCGGTATCGTAGGCGACTGGATAGCCCTGGGAAGGCGGACAATACGAAAACCACATGATACCATCGTAGGAATGTCCCCGCGTCGCATTCCGTTTGTCGATCTCGTTGGCGAATGCAATTCTTGGGCCTAGAACAGCGTTGCCATGTCGGCAGGACCTTCGCGAACCGTGAATTTCACTGGTATCGTAGACATCTAGGCGGCGATATTTGTGTGGCGAGATAATGATAATAGAGTGATAATGAAGAGTGATCTTCTAGACGGATAGGTCATGTTGATCAGTCGCCTTTTGCGCCTCGGGATCGGGAGGGAGATCCCTTACGTCGCTATCCATATGATATTCACATGCACGCACAAACTTTTTTCTTCTTCTCTTTTCATTTCTCATGATAACTATAGCTAGTAGCTACCCTAGATAGGTAGCTACCTAGTAACAGGTAGCTAGCTTAGCAGTCCTACCCATTCACATCGCCGGCGACGTTCCCACTGGCTGGCGGCATGTTACATCGACGGGCTTGGCGGCCTTGAGAATTTGACAGAAATGATGGCATGGGATTGTCAACTTTCATGATATCGCATCCACACTATGTTAAAGAGAAGTTGCCCCATCATCATCTATCTCTTCCTCTCTTTTCCCCATACATACCTACCTCTAACCTAACCTAGACCTAGCAGCAGTGAGCAGTACCACTACCACACCCAACCCAGACTGGGGTCACTTACATGTAGCAAAACTCGAAGGGTCTCGTGGCTTGATAATTCGCCCTGACACACACACATACACACGCACACACACACTTGGGAAGTTATGTAGACGGATAGGTGGGTGTGGTGGAGTGGCGCATGCCCCTTCGGCGAGAGACGAATCGACCGTTTGCTTCGCGCACCCGGTCTCGGCTCGGGATCCGGGGCTGTGACGCATGGCTAGCTGCAGCACACCTAGGATATATACAATCTAGGTAGGTCCCTAGCTTACCCGTCCTATAGGCCCGTATACCTATGCACGTATACGGACACCAGCAGTGGTGGTAGTGGTAGTAAGGGTAATGAAGCCCTGCTCCACGCGATCAGTCAAAAGAATAAAAAAAATAAAAAAATAAAGGCCGGACTCCATGCGGGGGGTGGGGTTGTGGAGAAGATGTCAGATACTCGAGGTTGAGCTAAGGGTGTGTATATGCGCACATGTATATGATGTATAAATGTTTGTTTAGCGTGGTGTAGTGTAGTGTGGTCGTTCTGAGACATGCGTATCTGTCGAGTCACGCCGGACCTTCGTTACGCATACGCATACGCATACGTTGCATATATCCATGTTGGAGATCTTGTTGATCTGTCGCTATATTCCTCCGTTATTGGTCATTTTTAAGTAAATAGAAGGAATATTAGGGTTGGGAGGAACGGGTCGAGGTTGTTAGTACCACACCTTTAAACTGTTCAAACAGGTGAGTCATTATAAGTGGCCAGCTGTTGTTTAGATAGTATGTATTGTAAGTTGTCGTACACGATGGCATTGACTTTGACGCAACTATCTAGAACATATGGTTATCTCTGTTGAAAGGTTTTATAGTATTAAAGACTTCTGGTGGCTGCTTGTCTCACAAAACCTTGGAAGTAAAAACGATAGGTGTGGTATACTAGTCTCACTATGACTCTTTTCGGTATGTAAGCGAGGGCTTTGTGGTGCGTACTATAAAGAGTTAAGATGATAGAAACTAGTTACGAAAGCAACTACCGTGGGTGCCAAGAACCCTATACTAGTATTGAAGCACTATCTTCCTACAGACTTTTTTTTTTTCGGTGAGTAGAAAGTACTAGGCCACATGACTCCAGTCTACTAAATGATCCTAGTCACCCACATCCTTACTCCGGGGAAGCAGGCCACGACAAACTTCTTGTTATTAGTCGATAAGTTCCCGGATTTTTGACGTCGTTAGTTACAAGTATGCAGAAGCTTAAACATTGGTAGTGTAATCTTAATCCCGTTGGGCTTATACTATTGCGAGGGCTCCTATTCCCTTAACTGGCATGAGACAACAAGTCCACTATTTTCAGTATAGTAGGTGAAGACTAGCTAAAAGAAAATTTGGTTCGTGAGTTACTAGGCTAACCAATCATATCTATTACATGTAACTTCGACAAGTTATTTTGTAATGTGTTAATGAGTAATACCTAGCCTTGCGTACTTTGCTAAGTTGCAAGGGAGGTTGTTGATTTATGTGTAATAGAGAAGTCTTAACTATGCCATGGAAACGCCAGAATTCCCATCGCGCGCCATACCTAGACTATCATCTACCAAAGGTTTAGGACTGGGCGGTGTTTATTAAATAATATGAACTAGTTTTGAGCTTCGCCTGACTTGCGTCCTTAGTCGTTGCGTACCTGTTAAACCCCTTGGCGCCAAGAGTCTAAGACTTGGGTTTGGTACAAGGAGGCTCAGCCGCAGATGGGTTGTCAAATTGTATCAACGCTCGCACTTTCGTATAAGCAATGTAGCTCTCAGTCTACGAGAAGATCCTCTGGTTCCAGCTTCAACCTGAAGACGCGCTTGTGACACCACACCACAACTCACGCCGCGCCCTAGAAGCATCAGCGCAGTCATGTCGTCTATGTTCCATAGTTCTTCGCGTCGCGATATCCAACTATCGAGATTCGCGGGAAAGAAGGGAGCGCATGGGCTATTGGAGACAATTCAATGCCATAAACTACCATAAAGGCTCCGATGTGCGGCAAATCACGTACGTGAAGGAGCTTGGAGCATCCATGCCTGCTACGTCGACGGATTATAATCAGAGCATGGGAAGAGGAGTATTGGCGGCGACCGGTAGCATTAAAGCCGACGGCAATCATGTAGGAAACGACACTCCAACCCTCGAATCACTTAGTGTTAATGAGGAGGACTCGGCCGATCTGCCGGTCTGGCTTTATGGTAACTGGTGGGCCGAACGCGAACTCATTGACCCCGGCGATACAACCCATATACGACTCATGGGAGTGGGAGCCCGGTTTGGAAAGACAGAAAACCACTTTGATGCCCTTAATAATAGACCGAATCAAGTTAGCCTGCGTGGAAGCTCCATTGGTATCTGTACAACCGATGGTATGTATGTCGATGTTCTTGGAAGTGCTCGTTGATGCTAAGGAACTAGCTAGCCCCTTGAAGACAGCGTTTTCAGCGTGATACCGGGTCGACTACGCGAGATGGAATCAGACTCGGATGTCGCAATTGATCGTCTCCAGAAGTGGATGAAAGACTGCGAGTTGAACCATCCCTTCTGCGGACGTCCGCAGCCGAACCCCCTCCTCCCAACGCGTGTTATAGATGTCTTCGCTTCGGACCGTGGGGTATCAGTGGTTGAAACTGTTGGTCAAAAAGGGAGATATGTAACTCTCAGCCATTGCTGGGGTACGTCATTAAGGTTGATGGCAACTAAACAGCCTATTCAAGATCTCAAGCAAGGTATTGCCGTATCATTCCTTCCTAAGACGTTCCAGGACGCGATCAAGATAACGCAGCGCCTCGGGATCAAGTACCTCTGGATAGACTGTTTGTGTATCATTCAGGATGATCCCGACGACTGGGAAAAGGAGGCGGCTGCCATGAGCCACGTCTATCGTAACTCCTACCTAACGATATCAGCGGCGGCTTCCAAGGATAGGTGCTCTGGGTGTTTCCCAAAGCGTGAGAGTGATTCGTACGTATCCCCCGCAAGCATCTCGCTTGGGTATGACAAACCTAGAGAAACAAGAGGACCGAGAAGCCACGAAATAGTGTACGGATACACATCCCAACCGGATAAGAAGAGCCCGATTTACCTGTTTGAGGAGTGGTTGCCGGGATCTAGCTTTCATTCCCCTCAGAGGATGGGGATGGGATCGTTCGGCAAGCGATACGACCCAATCGCCGACGAGCCTCTCAGCTCGCGGGCGTGGACGCTGCAGGAGCGCATCCTCTCAGCCCGTCTGATACACTACGTCCGCGACCAGATGTACTTTGAATGCGAAAGTTGTATCCTGTCCGAAGATGGATTCAGGTTCGGCGACATATACTTTGGCATGAAACGCCTCTTAGAGACGCAGTGCATATCCGACTGAGAACACGGGCTCTCCCAGGCATCGGGGATCTCTTTCATCGTGGGGCAGGAGACCGGCGGGAAGTACCCCGGCGTCAGATGGCAAGGGGGATGGATCTCCCTGATTGAGAACTGTTCTATGCGTAACTTGACGGTGCACCGAGATAAGCTCACCGCGCTGGCTGGCGTGGCGAGAGCAATAGCAGAGAAAACGCGAGACCGTTACTACTCAGGTCTGTGGCAGAGACATTTCACGGAGGATCTGTGTTGGCGGATGTATCCGTACGAGGAGAAGGAGAACCGGAGGGATGCGAAGATCACTCCGCTGACGGGCAAGTGCTTGGGGACTGTCCGTAGGCCGCCTGAGTATCGAGCACCCAACTGATCGTGGGCGTCGCTCGACGGACCTGTCAATTATATCCCGTTATCTTTTAGGAATGTAGTCTCGAGAATCATCAATTGTAAAATCATCCCCGCCGGAAAGGGCCCCTACGGTAGGGTGTCTAGTGGTAAGCTGGATATTGAGGTACGTAAGACGGCTTGTTCCAATAATAGCAACTCAGGCACACACACAACTTGCTCACGCCTATCTTACTCAATAGGGACTTATATACGAAGTTAGACCACATACCCCAAAGAAGACATGGGATCGACACAAAATCCCGGTGGAAATTGATCTAGAAGACGGCCGTGGAATATCGGCCGGCAGCTTGCATCTGGATGTACCAGAAGAGTCGATCTTGTACCCCTGCTACGCGCTGTTCCTAGATCCGTCCAAAGCTCTCATTCTGCGAACCCAGGACCTAGAAGCGAAGCGCAGCAAAGACGGAACCGAAGACCCGGATGCTGCTCTGGTCCCCAAGCCGGTTCTGACGACGTCCGATGTCAATCGCAGCATAGTAGAGCACCCGGAGATGAAAACGTTCATGTTTCAGGCCATGTACCCGGTCGTGCGCGTCGGAGTTGGTGTATTCATTAAAGAGCCGACGAAGAATCAAGAAGACCGACCCGACGATGGAGATGGGGAAGAGGAGGAGAAGCCGAAGGTGTGGCACGAGGCGAAGCAGGGGAAGCTGACGCTAGATAAGATCCTACACGTCGAAGGAGACCAGTCGTGGGGGCCGGTTACGAAGGATGATCCCAAGATATGGGTAACGATGTGTAACAGTTATATTCGAATTAACTTAGGTTAGGTACCTACCGTTATGTACCTCCTATAGTAGGTCAATTGTAACAAATGGTTCAACATCTTAACCCCTTGCCAAGAGTAATCACATCGCTAGTGGGATTGGATATTCAATGACTAGTAAGTACAATTGGGTATGTCAACTAGATACTTGCTGGATGAGTGCAACAACTGGGGTATTACGTCGATAATCTTTCAGCACTAAAGCAAGAAAGGAACTGCATCCACTCCCTTTATTCCTCCGAAACTCTCCAGACCAGCTTCTCTCCGCTCACCCCTCCCGATCGAAGTAGTTCCAACGCCTTAGTAGCTCTCTCCAGCAGGGTACTTCCTTCGACGATGCGGGTGCGGTTAGGAACCACGTGTCCCGCGGCGAGCATATGAGGCATGATTTCTAATTGCAGCTTCTCTTTGAATAGCGGGTTCTGTAATTTGTGGTTAGTTACCTACCTAGGTACCTATGTAGGAGGTAGTTTATGTCTGACACTTATTTCTAGATAATACAGAACCTGGGAAAATGGGGCCGAAAACTTACTTTCCAGTAAAAATGCGTTCGCACCCCGCGGACGTTGACGCCTTCTGCCCACTGAGCGCCGACGCTGGCGTCCATCGAGTACTCGGGTGCTTCTTTCTCGGAAGCGTGCTTTAGGATGACAGGCAGCATAATCGCGACAGTCGTACCACTCTTGGCGATCTTGGAAATCGGGGGGATGGTACCCTCTAGCGAGCCGATGCAATCGACTATCAGGGGGTATGGTGGTGCATCACCCCTCTGAGATGCATTCAGGAGGTCGTCAACTATTGTCGGACTCCTGTAGTCGAAGGCCTGTTCGGCACCTAGTTTCTTCAGGGCCTCGTGGTGGCGCGGCGATGCGGTCACGATCAAGTGGTGGTAGCCATAGAACTTCAGGACCTGAAGGGTAAGGCGTCCTACCGAAGATGCGGCGCTCCAGATCAGGATTGGGTGGTCAACCTTCGGTGGTACATAGCCATCAGGCTTCGGCCACGGGGTAGGGAGTCCCAGGTCAGCGGAAATGGTATTAAAAGCAGTAACGAAATTATCGGGGAGCGTAACAGCTTCCTCAAACGAGAAGTTATCAGGGATCTGTCGAGCCAGTTAGTTCTTATAGCATAGACGAGACTAGACTGGTTTTTGTCTTTAGAGATTCCTCATACCTTTCCGAACACCCATTCGGGAGCAGTGGCATACTCTTGGTGGGCCTTCCACTTCGGCTGCTGGTGAGCAAAGCCGAATACTCTATCGCCAACTTTCAGGTGCTTCACATTAGGCCCCACTTCGACGACAACACCGGCTGAAGTTGATCCAGTTCTGAAGGGGGTCTCAATTAGAAGCCCACCGTCAGCCTCATGAAGGTCTAGAGGTGTGGAAGCCGTCCACTTGACATGTACACGAATTTCGTCGTCTACTGGTGGGATAGTGGGAAATTGATGGATTTCGTAAGGGGCTCGGGGAGCTACTATAACAAGACCGTTGTGAGTTGATGTCGCCATGCTAAATTTTGGGTTTTATTAATAGTTATTAGAATACCTTTTCACTAGAGTACTAGCTTCGTCGATGTGGTTACTACACACAAATACGTTCGTTTTGGTCTTACGGGAATGCCTTCACTTTTTATATTCGAGAGCTGCTTACAAATGCGAACTCCTTTCTACAATGAGTGGTTGTATTTATAATCGACAGTACGGAGCTGTTTCGCATAGTAACTAACAGACAGCACTAAACTTGTTTTAGGGTATCTTACTAACACGATGATTGATTAACTTTGTTGTTGTTGGATGTCTACTATTAACGATTAGGTAATTTAATGAAAAAGAGGCATCTCGCGACGGCGAAGTCACGAAGACAAGGATAAAACTTAGTTTAATGCAAGAATGTGTAAAGGATTCACTTGAACTATTATTTGTTGGTTGGTTTTGAGTACACTATTCTACGAGGTTCCATTACACCCTGAACCGGTTGTAGAACTGCTGTCTTGTTACCATACGATGCCCCACCTCTGAGTGACTGGTGGAGGGGAAAGGAGCGTCGTCGCGAGCACAAGTTTCTATTTATGATTACTAAAAAATTTAATATTTTAACCATTGAAGCCTGCCACTTTTACTTTACTTATTGTGGGAAGCTTAGTGTCTAATTTGAAGTATACGCAATTATAGAATTCCTTCTTGTAGCTATGAAGCCTGATGTTGTAGGGCTATCATAACAGCACCATATGCTCCTGTGTTAGAGAATAGGGGTTGATATGCAAACAACTTTCAACTAGGTAACTACGAAATTGGGTTGGCATTTTAGCATGGCTTGATTTAAGTACCTTAGGTTAGGTAGTTTTTAATTCGTTATCTTTACATATATGTTGTACAAGTGCTATGAGCAACGTAGTATGAGGAGTCCCTGTAGTACAAGTACCATTCTCCCTGCTTTCCAAACTCCCTCTTCGCATCCCGACATCTCTCTTAATACGCGACCTGCGAATTGAGTCCAGCCAATTCTCTGTCAAAGTTCCTGTGTTGCGAAACTTGGTACCAGAACTTCTCCAAGAACCCCGCTCCCTCCTTGGCAATTTTAACAGTCTCCTTCAAGCTGTCAGCCGACACGCGTGACATAGTAACAACACCATAGGATTCAACTGCTTTGTCGTTTGTCGAAACTTGAATTTCTGGTAATGCGAATGCTATCTTGAATAACTCGACAGCTTCACCAGTACCGCCGATGGCCTTGAGATGGCCGAACGCTTCGCGGAGCCAGTGCAGCGCTCGTCCGCTCTTAGATAGAGTCTTAACTGACTCAGCTCCTCCAGGAACGAATACCGCATCGAACAAGGTGGATCGCATGCCTTCAAGGTGGTGGTCAGGTTTAATTCCGCTACCTGGCGTCTTTGGTACACCCGCTGGGAATATCTCGGACCTGCGAACTCCAATTGTGAAGGGCAGTGCGCCAGATGTCTTTACAGCAGCCTTAACTGCACCGTAAATAGCGATGTCAAAGCCGTCTGCGATGATAATAGCAATTCGTCGGCTCGCAATTGTCGGGTTTGTGGACGGGAATTCTAACTGGCTGAGCTTGCTAGCCTTGTTGCCGTGGTTCGGTTTGGTCTGCTTCTCGGGCTTCGGTCCTCCAACCATCTCCGCTACAGTCTGAGCAAGTCCCAAGTCAATATCGGCTAACCGCTGCGACATGCGCTCATATACGACGGGGTCGTCGCAGTGGTCTAGCTCGAAAGAGAAAGCTGCGGCGACGTGGTTCTTCTCCGGTTCCGACAAGCTGTTATAGAACAACTGTGCCTGGTTGAAGTGTTCGCGGAACTTGGCACTCTTGGTTCGCGCCTTGATGCCTTGGACATTGAGTGGGGGCTCGATATACGCTCCTTCTTGTGCACTAGCCGGTGGTCGTGCTTCGAACCTGTTAGGCCAGTAGTTAACTTGTCCCTTGGCAATAGCGTGTCTGCCTTGGCCGTCACGGTTGAAGTTCAGGACGGGGCAGACGGGCTTATTAATTGGCAACTCCTGCCAGTTGATTCCAAGGCGGGACAGTTGCGTGTCAAAGTAGCTAAAGCTACGGCCTTGCAGGAGAGGATCATCCGAGTGAGCAATTCCTGGAACCATGTGCGCCGTACAGAATGCGGCCTGTTCAGTCTGAGTGAAGAATTCGTCGACGTTCCTGTTGAGTTCCATCTCACCGATGTATCGGACCGGGACAAGATCTTCGGGCCAAATCTTCGTCGCGTCAAGAATATCGAAGTCGAAGTCGTGTTCTCTAGACTCCGGAATGAGTTGAATACCAAACTTCCACTTCGGATAAGCACCGTTCTCGATCGCCTCCCACAGATCCTTGCGATGGAAGTCGGGGTCTTGACCTCCTATCTTCAAAGCCTCATCCCAGACTAACGAGTGAACACCAAGCTCAGGTTTCCAGTGGAATTTAACGAAGTGACGCTCGCCCTTCTTGTTAATGAGAACAAAAGTGTTGACACCGAAACCCTGCATCATTCGAAACGATCGCGGGATCGCTCGATCCGACATCGTCCACATAAACATGTGAGTAGCCTCGGTATGCATAAACACGAAATCCCAGAAGTTATTGTGCGCTGACTGAGCTTGCGGTACCTCGTTATGAGGCTCGGGCTTGACAGAATGAATAACGTCAGGGAACTTAATGGCGTCTTGGATGAAGAAGACGGGGATATTGTTTCCGACGATATCCCAATTACCTTCTTGCGTGTAGAACTTGACAGCAAACCCGCGCACATCACGTACGGTGTCGGCACTACCACGAGAGCCTGCCACGGTAGAAAATCGAACGAAAACAGGTGTCTCACGAGACGTATCTGTGAGGACTCCTGCAAATGTAACGTCTTCGGCACTCTCGAGTAACCGGAAAGTGCCGAATGCGCCAGTACCCCGCGCATGAACAACCCGTTCGGGAATACGTTCATGATCAAATCGATGAATCTACAGAAATTAGTAAAATGTCAGATACTAGAAATTCGAGTTTCCTCACTCTTTCTCTAGAAAATGAGTCCTCTAAAAGCATAGGTCCTGTCTTGTCGTTGTTGGCCACTCGCAACCATTCGTCGACATTGCCCATCTTTACACCAAAGTCAGACGTAATCCTGTCCTTGGGCGACACCGTCTGAGTGACGGTGTCGAGATCCGCGATCTTGCGGCCTTTCTCTCCGCCAACCATGGTTCTGACTCTATCCGCTGTATCTCGAATAATATGAGACGACATAAGGGCTATTGAACGATTTGGCGATGCCGAGTTGTGAAAACAAGGCAAGCTATACCGTACAAGTGTGAGACGGAAAATCACCAACTTCTTTTCAAACGTACCTACATCTCCTTCTTGTACTTAACCTGTAGGTTTCTTAGTGCCGCCTCTGACCGCACCTTCAAACGGTTCTCATCATATCTGCAGGTCACCATCGCACGTTGGAATTGCGTAGCACAACATATCATTGACGTCAAGAAACTATCACGACTACGAAAAAGGCTTGGTTGAGACAAAATGCTGGTTCAATAGTGGGGAATATGGAAATAATATAGTAATAATATAACTAGTGGGTTGAGGTTCCAAATTGGCAACAGAACCCCAAGCTTTTCAACGAAATAGTCAAAAGTGTTGATGTAATACATAAATACCCCGAAGTGCTATATCGTCATATCCTTGTCATCTTGAGCTAGGTCGCTGCGACGACGAGCCAATCACAGAAGCCATATTAGAATGCGAAGGCCACATCAGGAAAGCCCGGTTTTATTTACGGAGACCACGCGGGATCAAGGTTGACGAATTGCCCACTAATTAACTCTGAAGAAATTATTAGTGATGGTGACAGATCTGGACATAGCTTCAACATGTAATAAACACGAGGCCAAGAAGTTCTTAACTGATATTGAAATTGACAGGTACCTACTCTAATTGGCTACTCCCCGGATACGTAACGCTCTAGATGCTAAGGAATTCATTATGTCCTGTCCAGTGCCGCTTTTTCGATCCGGAGAGAGCAATGTTGAACGTGATAGACAAGTACTGGGGATTGGTGTTTATGGACCCTTGATATATCTTAGCGTTAGGTACCTTACATTGTCGAACCGTCATATGTTCATCTCTGTGATTTGATAAACTCATGAGTCTCATTTACTCGAAGTTTATGTTGTGCCCATCTAGGTACCTAGTCGTGACCATGTAGCACTTTCATATTTGCAAATTTCGGTCTACGGGAATAACCTCTGTTTGTGTTTATACGGCTTAAAAGTTAATAAACTGCTTCTGGTCCTAAGTCAACGAATATCGACAGATACAGAAGATATTACACGTCAAATCAACATTTTCACTAGGTACCTTACAAGTCTATCATATTTAAAATGCGTCAAGAAGCACAACATGTAATAGAAAAGAATAAACTCTAAATTCGGACTATCACGAAACGAGTGCTAATAATAAGTAATAAGTGTCCTCCATTCCCCCCATGCCATGAATATCGTCCGAAAACGCCAGCCTCCTTCTAGGTCTTGCCCAGGTATAATGATAAGAGCTTGTCACGCTAGATTCAACCGTCCATGAACGCCCACTCCCGCTTTTCCAGGTTTCCGAAAATGATCATAATCTCGTAGAGGCCGTCAAGATCCATTTATACTTGTGTGCCTACCTACCTGTTTCGGAAAGCTCCGAGGACCCCGTCTCCCATCGCTTTAACACGATCCACCATAGCCCGAAGGTCCCGGAAAGAAATACTGATTTTGAAGTTGTGGACCCGTGTAAGGTGCGAAATTCGGCGACTCGGATTGCTCTTGGCCCATGGTCTGGTTAAGTTGGCTATCGAAAGGAACCGACGCCGCAGGGTTAAACTGAGAGAAGTTTGTGGCGCCCTGGAGTTGGCCGTATTGAGCGCCATATTGATTCTCGATTTTGGGTAAGTCCAAATTAAAGTCGAGACCCGTAGACGAGTCCGGGTAGCCGGCAGTCGGTACTGTATTGCGAAGCCATTGACGATGCGCATAGTCCGGTGAAGCATTATTACCCTCTTGGAGCGAGATAGGGAAAGCCACACCGGACGCTACATATGAGTTAGGATCTTGACCGTAAACATTCGCCTTGGGATTAGGGGAGGGTTGCATCAGGAAAGCATTGGTGTTATTCGGAGCATTGGGAGCGTACGCCATTGCAGCCTCTTGAAATTCCTGAAACATATCTTCCCCATTTCCGGCAAGATTGGGACCCGGCGGTAGCATATTGCCAGTATCCTCTCCGCCATTGATCATGCTGCTGTCGTCGTGGTTATCCATGACTTTCTGGCCGTTTTGAGTGCTCGCGTCGTCGGAGCCCTTGAGACGTTTTAGATCGCGACCGCGCTTTCTTGCTTTCGAGATCTTATCCTCAAATGCCGCGGACCGCTTCTTCACCGTTCCGTAGGACTGCCCGTTTCTGTCAACAAGCTCGCCATTATGGGTCGTCTTGATGCCATTCTCCTGGGCAACTCTAATACCGATGGCATTCTGGACGTCTCGCTCTCCATTCAGTTTCCGGTTGGTGGCTTTTTGCTTTTGGTACGTTAGTTGGGTCTTCTTCAAACAGCCTTGGACTAAACTTACATTGAGCTCGGTTCTCGGGCGCCAAGCAAGACGGTGCTTGAATGTAGCGTCTTTAAAGAGGGACACTACAACATCCTTGGAGGACTAAATCTGTGAGTATAAAGATGGAAGTATATGTGGTTGGGGGGCTTATCAGCATACTCTAAGGGCATCGCAGACCGCTGCGAATCTCTCTACGAAGGAACCGTAGGAATTATACGGGGGCTCCTTGCAGTAGAGGTAATTAGGCAATCGACATTGTCCTGCCTGGGCATCACGGGTCGACAACTAAGGCGCGTTAGATTTCAAAACGGCAGGGAATTATACCTACGTATACTTACCAACACTGGCCATAGAACTAACTCGAATTCTATGTCGCTATAACTTCCCGATCGAATACGCCTAACGCTTTGCGACCCTTCTGGTTCGTAAGTTTGGCTGCAATCATGAGCAGCCTCAAAGAGCACTTTGACCAGTTGCTGCTGTTCTTGAGGGCTCGACGGGAAGTCAGAGCAGTTTCCCTTCGGTCGGTTGTGCATCTTTAGGTATTGATCGTGGACATGGCGGAAATGGACAAAATTCTGGATCAACCCTTGATAGCTGCCTGTCGTCGCTGTCATCATCTGCTCCATTTGCGGCTGAGTGACACTGGGCGTCTCTTCACGCGGGGAAGGCTGTAAAGGGATATTTCCGCCCGATGTAATTCTCCGGTGTGTCTCGAATTGCGGGAACGGGGCAGGAGCAAGGTTTTGGGGGACGGTAGGCATAGGAAAAGCGAAATTTCTGTACTGAGAATCCAGTTGGCGAGTATATCCTGCCTGGCTGTGATACATCTTCAATTTACTTGGGAGCAAGTAAATAGCAAATTTGGAAAGCAAGGTTGGTAAAGCAAAGGGGTTCTGGTAATAAATAAATATGAGTGAAATGTAACAAGAAGCGAGAATGGCGGCAGAGTAGAGGAAAGGAATGTTGGGATGCCTATTCCTGTAGATGTTTGGAGTAGGGAGAATAGGTAACGTTCAGTAGAGACGAGTGGTCGAAGATGTGTGGTTGGTATTAAATGGAAAAGGGGAAGACTTACTTTAAAGGGATATCACGCGAATAGCAGTTATGCTATGTCGTGTAAGCAAAAGCAAGTAGTAGAGCAAGTAGGAGAGCAAATGGAAGAGCAAGAGTGAAATCTAGAGAAGCTGGTGATAGAGCAAAGTTGTGGATGTTGATTGACAAGATGGGATGAAAAAACACGGGACATACCTGGGTTTATATGTGTGACCTCTGTCTCTACGAGACGGACAGAGGAGACAGATTTCAACTGGGAAGCTATCGTGAGTAACTAGAATAGGAGCAAAATGATACTAGTAATGGGCATGACGCAGGAAGTTTTCAGGTGTCTGCCAATTGTAAGGCTGGACAGGCGTTATAGAATACCTTCAATAGGTATAATTCAGCAGTAAGAATGATAGGGCGAAATAGGTGTTATTGAGTGACTTGGTACTTTATCTGAACAAACGAACCCATCTTCCATAATTGGGAGGAGCGAAGGTACACTAAAACCCATGGACCCACGCGCTCGCGACAACACGATTTGAGGGAGTTACATGCTCATTGGATGAACTCAACAAAATTGTAGCAGGAATTAGTTGATGGAAGGTACACGTCTGGTTCAACAACCAATGTAAAGGGTTAGAGTGACTTCAATGGCAAGTATATTTCCTCCTCTATAATGCCACCGAGGTAGGTATCTAATGATTCTGTCTACATGCGAATACATCAGGATGTACAGGTGACTGAAAAGATTGCTGTATTATTCCAAAGGGTGAATCTTCGTTAAGACAAGACGCTGACCCAAGAAGGAAAGAGGACATTGGATACAAAGACCAATACTAGTTTTACAACCCAGCTCTGGAGCGAGGAGGTCAAGGCTGAATAGGTTTCTGGTATACAAATCGAGTTGACAGAAGTACTGCCATACCAACACATCGGGTAAGGCATTGAAGAGCGGTCACACTATCTAGACGGATAAATACATTGTGGAATCACATGTACATGGCTTATACTAGACAAACATAGGAATAATTATTACAGTAGATGATAGATAAATTTTAACAGCTGTTGATTAGGCTCGGCCCTTGCCAGTTGCAGGAGACAGAAATATTCAGGGGCTCTGAGGAGGAATTTCTCTTTCCTCTTTTCCCTTATTTTTTAAAAAAATAATATATTTGCCAAGGTAGCAAATCTATAGCATTGCGCCTTAGGTGCTTAAGGACTTTGAAGGAGGAGTGTGTGGTATTGTTTCAACAATATCGTAAGAGGTATTTACCATCTTTGGTGTTTTCCCCTGAGAGGCCGGATTGGAAACGTACTTGCATTTTCGATTTTCCTAAGAAATTGTCCACTAAAACAAGATCAGCTTATTCGAATCTAGTACATCACTCCTTCCCCTTCCCCTTCCACTTCTCTTCCAGACTTTAGGTAGGTACCTCCTATGTATGTCTCTATAGGTACATAGGTACCTTACATGTAAATTTCTGGTTCGTTTAGGACCGTGACCTGTGAAGTTGTTTTAGCGGCGTTTTAACTTCACTAGGCCAAGTGTGTCATCAGCTGCTAACAGCTGGTAGCATTTGACGCATACTGTAATTCACTCTGTCAGCTGTTAGTACCACTCCCCATTTTGGAATCGAGCGATGTTTGAAAAAAAAAATAATAATTTTAACAACTTCATCTTTTTTACTTGCTTTATTCTACATTTAAGCCCTAAATCGGCTTTAACCGAAATTTCATGGAAGGTGTGCATTTCTCTACCACAAGCGAGTCTAATTTGTCTTCCATTCTACCTCCCGGCCTCTTAAACCACCTTGGTCTCCTATTATTCACGGCACCAGTCTTATCATCTATACAGATAAGGAGTTGCAATTTGTCCATTTATGAGGATTCACGTTCCAACAAAAACAAAACGCTTCTTTAAATCTTCTTTGCTAACGATTTGAGAAGTATCAAGTAAGTCCATATCAGCTAACTCCTGCATGATATCGTGAGATGAGCATTTTCGTCGCAGACAGTGACAACGATAATGAAGAACCCCCCTTTCCCTCCTCCCTCCCCAAATCGAAAAACAAGAATGAAATAAAAGCTTTACCCTGACTACCTTGATATTAATACATTCGGCGCATTTCACAATCGAAAATCATTCTGCTTATCGTATTCTAGGGTGTGATAAAGAATGTATTGACTATCAACATTCTTCGTTGTAGCAATATGGGTATCCAGTGACTGCAACCCCCCGTATAAGTAAGTGTAGATCTATGAAATCTAGTTCTGGTCTGATCCAGGTCTATCTAACCGAATCTACTATCCGAATTGGTCTAGGGAAAACTCAAGCCCCAGAGAGCTTCGTCGATTGAAGCATCAAATAATATAAACACCCGGGATTTAGTCATGGTTGGCCGTATTAATTGTACCAACTAGAAGTACTACCACGAGTCAATGAATCTTTAGTTCTCAATCTCCTCACGACTTCCAGCCTCATCACTCTTCTCGCCGCTCTTCTCGCTAAAAGCCTTCTCATGAACGACACCAGCAGGACCGGCAGCACGGGCAGCACCTCTAGCAGCGACATCAATGAGTCCGTACTTAAGCGCTTCTTGCTCGACCTCCTCAGGAGTAAGTAAGGGTAGCTCCTCCGCAGCTTTCACGTAAGACTTTTTCTCCACGAATCCCTTAGCGAAGATGATATCAATCTCCTCAAGTGATCGTCGGGCTGTTTCGGGGTAGAAGAACCAGATGATAGGCAAGAAGCAGGCATTGACAACAGCAAAGAACAGATACGTGCCCCAACCGATGTTGCTGATCATAACGGGCGTGACCATGACGATAAGGACTGCAATTCCATGTTAACTACTGACACTCGTAGGAAGGGAAAGAGAAGTTGGTATCGCGAGCAATCGACAAGCTTTACCCGACCCGGTAGTTATTCGGGCGACAAGACAGTCTCACAACGATCAAAAATAACAAAATGGTACGTACAGTTGAAGAGCCAGTTCGTGCAAGTTGAAGTAGCGTTCGCCTTTGCGCGAGTCTTGATCGGGTTGATCTCAGCAGGGTACAACCAAGGAAGCGGGAGCCATGTGGCGCCAAATGAGGCAATGTATGTCTGTCGACCGGGTTAGTGTCTCTTATATCATTCACAGAATATGTCTAAACAGGAAACTTACGAAAAGACCAACGGCTGCACCCTTGGCTGCGTTCGAGGCTTGACCAGGAATATGAGGACCGGGAATAAGACAAGCGAAGGTGAGAACCATAGACAAGCATTGTCCGACAGTTCCGTAGAGGAATAACTTTCGTCGCCCAACACGCTCAATGATAAACCAGGAGGTTGTAGCGAAAATTGCATAAACGATCATGTTCACACCACCCATGAGCAATGCCATGTTTCCATCGCCCGGGGTAATGCTCTGTTCGAACAGAATAGGGAAGTAGTAAATGACTGCGTTGCAACCGCCAATTTGCTGCATCAGCTGACTGCTAGAGCCGAGCAACATACGTCGGAAATGCTGAGTCTTGCCACCAGTGAAGAGGGCTTTGACAGGGGTGCTCTTCTGGCCGGAGAAACCGCTGGCACGGATGGAGTCCAAAATGATGTCTCGTTCTGTGTGAGTCTCCTCGCTGCCAATCTGGTAACCTCGCAAGGCCGAAATAACGTGCTCGGCGTCCTCATATCGTTCGTGGGTGAGGAGCCAACGCGGACTTTCGGGTAGGAAAATCATGGAAATGCAGACGAAGAGACCGAAAATGATTTGGAAGGCGATAGGGAAACGCCATGAAAGGTCTTCGCTACCATAGCTACAGCCATAATCTATCCAATATGCGATCACAGTACCGAAAGCGATGATACCGCCTTCAATGCAGATGAGCAGACCTCTGTTTGAGGTTCTACTGCATTCAGCTACAGAAGCGAAGCGTTAGAACCAAAAATGTTGGTGCTGGTGTAGCAGCATCGTTGGAAGTTACATACCTTGATAAGTGGGAATAGTGGAGGTGTTGATACCGTTGCCGACACCGGTAACGACTCTGCCGATAATAAACTGAGCCAGCGGTTGGTGGTTCGGGAAGGATGTCACTTGAATTGTGGCGCCGATGATCATAATAAATCCTCCCAGTATCATTGCCTTCCTTCTGCCGAGTAAATCGCCGACTCCGAGAATGAATATGGCGCCTATAAGGCAACCGATCTCGTAAATGGCAGTGACAAGACCTTGCATAGTCGGATTATCTTTGACTTCTGTGAAGACATTCGCAAAATGGGGTGATCCAATAATACCGCTCATCCTAAAACATGGTCAATAATTCTGAATTTTTACTGGATTTGTTATTGGGGGTCTGATGCGCGCCGTGCGCAAACGAGTATCGGGAATCGTGGGGGATTTTGATGGTATCACAACATACACTCCTTGGTCGTATCCGAACAACAAAAATCCGGTGGTGGCTACCGTGCTGACCATCATGGACAGCGACCGGCCCTGAAGGCCCATGTACGTTGGCGTTGTGCCCTCCGCCATGTTGAATTACACGCTCCGGGAATTTAGTAACGGAGCCACGCAGTGTGGTGAACTTCCCGACGGTTCACGAATATGCAGGCAGATCTAACAAAGATCCCTTTGATCTCTGTGAAAAATACCACTCTGAAATGGCCTCGGCGAAAATGAGGGGTGAAATTTGACCGACTCCGGATTTTCAATCTAGTACCAGATTGAGGGGACGTATGGAGGTGTGGGAGCAAGACCTGGGGAGTCCGGAGAAGGGCGGGCCTGACCCTCATATAATGATGGAGAAACGAGCCCGGTTTGCTGCTGACAAAGGCCATGCGGGTCTATATACGGCCTATACAGTCTATAGTCTATACAGACCGATACAAGACATATACACACACGCAGACACTGTATGCAGACAAAGCCAAAAAGGCTCCTGAGAGGTGGAACGAACGCAACAAACCACGCTAAGTTGAACTTTTGCACGGAGCTACTTAAGGTACTTAATCACTACACCTACCAAGGTGGCACTAAGGCTGGTTCTCAGACTCATCCTGGATCTTGAACCAAGCTTTGCCCCCGGCGTTAACAGTTGGAACTACAACTCTGCAAGGCCCTGCATGCTTGTTGGACCGGGGCCGAACCAAACGCTGATCGTGCCGATCCCTCAAAGGTTTCCCTTTTGGCTGCTCTTGTTTAAAATGCTTGTTGGTGGGGTCGAGTTTTTAGTTTTTTTTTCCCTTACAAGTCTACAGGTCAGGTACGGCTGCTTTCTGTGTCAGGCATGCTTCATGCTTCACACCTGTCAGGGTATGACGACCCGAAGAGATGAGGTCATATTTCAGTACGTTCTGGCATTGTCCGGCATTGTCCCATTATTCCCTCGGTTCGGCTAAGAGGATGCCCAAAGTAAGATTTCGCATTGGGCTAAGCTGACTGGTTGGATTCAGGGGTCCAGCGGCAATCCCCCCATGTAAGGCATGCAAGGTTAGCGGAATGGCTTGCCTAGTCCTCACTGCGTTTAGTCTCTCTCCAGTCTCTCCAAGTCCCTTCACCTAGTTGGGCCAATTATAATTTAATTCAGCAAAATTCGCCGAGAAAGCTTTGTAGCCCAAACGATGTTGTGGCATTCGAAGAACGTCACATACGATATACTCGATTGTCCTTTAATTTTTTTTATTCTTTTATTATGAATACGTAAATGATGGAATCCCTACGTCATCAAAGAAAGCAAGACGTCGTGGCTTTCAACAATAAGTAATAAAGAAGTGTGCGTGGGATCCTGGCTGCTGGCTGGCACAGGAACGATTATATACTTGGTATTATACCAGGTAACTACCTCAGGTACCTAGTCGGTAAGTATGATTATACGTACTAACAAATATGTATCAACTTGATAAACTTGTACGACTCTGTGGCGGATTCGGCTTTCCTAAGTAAGTAGAACCGATCAATCAGATGTCTGATCGTCACCGACCATTGCCGCTACCGTATCCTTGAATCCTTCAAATCTCCAAATTTTACGCGGGGGTCAGGAATGGCCTTTTCCCCTCGATGGGTCGTTTACTCCATGGGGTTAACCCCAAGCTTTTTTTCTTCTCCTCGAGTCCCAAAAACCCAGGAATTGGCAAGGTACCCAGGCCGGCTAGGGCATGGAGGCCCCCGTCCCATAACCGTACACCGTGACTTTACGTGGGGCTCCATTGTGGATGATTTAGTGGAGGTTTATTTCCACTACACGCGCCATATCCAGCCATATTCAGCCATATTCAGCGTCCTCCCTCCTTCAGGGTCCACTATCGCCATCTAATAACCCTACCTATTACCCGGCCAGGGCTCGGTGAGATATTCCAAGGTCTTACCTCATTAGAAAGATGCAGCGCGGATAGCATATCCTGCACGAATCCCCAGGTGATACAGCTAGGTAGTGTAAAAATTCCCGAATGCGTCACATGAATGAGAGCTGAGGAGAATTCTCGTGAGAAATTTGTTGTTGGCAGGAATTCGCAATCACTTGCCTCTCAGACACTAACAAATAAACCTGCTCATACTCGAACAGGAAGATGTGTGTCGCTGCTTATTGACCCGAAGGCTGGCTGGCTGTAGGTCAGCGCGGCTGCATGGGGGCTAAAGCACGATTTACTCCGGCCGATATCTCGCGTCGACCTGCGAACATGAACTAAATTCATACTGATCGGCGTCCATCATGCTGCGTGACTCTTGTTATTTGCCAGGAACGAGTTAGGGCAAGACATATAATTACAAATAGATTCCACAGAGGTATTAGCTAAGAAGGTTGAAAAGGGATAACCAATAGCAATTAACTAGGTACCTAGATTTACGAGGTTCGCAAAAATATCCATAACGTATGAGCCAGTAATAGGTAAGGATAAGAAATGAAAGGCATGATTTCTGTCGAAAAAATTGGTAAGAAATATCATCTGGCCCCGAAAAAAATTTCGCGTTTGTTAGGACAGATAATAAGCAAGTTTCAGCTGCTCGAATTTCTTGTTATAGTAAGCCGGAAGATAGATCTTCGTTCCTAACCAACGACCAAAGAAAGGGGGCACACATGGCATATATACACTAATACGAACCACTGGCGACATGCGGCGCATAGATGAGCTTGAACAACATGAAAATGAAGTCATTGTGCATACGAAGGATTCTGACGAACATTGCAACGCAAGAAAACAAAAATATTTGAGCTATCACATGCTTATATTAATGCTTTTTGGACTAAACTATATACGTGGAATGATGTGCGGTCAAGGGCTTGCATACGCAGATCTAGATATTACGAATACAATGCACGTGGAACTCGAAGCCTGTCTTCCCTTACGTGTCCTACGGCGTGTAACGGCCCACCAAACTACCCCAGGACCCTTCGAAGTTTGGCTGCGTGGCGATGCTGGTTCCGTCTCCGAGCCGGAGTGCCGTACGAGTGCTCTTGGAGCAGATACCGTACGCGTTGAGGTTTGCTGGCGTCTGGGCGATCCAGTGCATGTAATCTGTCGTAAATCGAAAATGGAAAAATTAGTAACGGATACGACAAGGAAGATTACGAAAAGGAAATTAAAAAAAAAAAAATTGCTGGTGCTGGTGCTGGTGCTGGTGCTACTCATGAACTTACCCTGACAATCTCCCGAGCATCCCTGGTATGACGGGCCGCTGAAGAAGGCCCAGGACGCGGACGCGTACGTGTATATATCGGAGCCGCCCTGGATGTAATTGGCGAATCCCATGCGACACCTCTTGTCGCCGCCGTTGCACCAGGAGAAGTCCGGGTCGCCCCAGTTCTTCGCGTCCGCGGTCCAGGGGGCCGGCGGGGTCTGCTGGGCGTTGTCGCCCTGGTCGTAGTTGGTCTCGGACTGCAACAAGGTGACCAGGACGTTCTTCGCGTTCCGCAGGTTCAGCTGGTACAGCCACCAGTGCTCGCTGCCCAGCGCGTGCAGCCAGATGCCCTTCGTCGACTCCACGAGCGCCCCGCCCTTCGCCGCGATGCTGCACCCGCCCCCGCCCTCCGTGAAGTGGTCGGCCACCCAGTTCCACACGTTTTCCACGTACACCGACGAGCTCGGCGTGAAGTGCAGTCCCAGGAAAGCCGCTTGGCATTCGTTGCCCGCGTCCTTGCAAGCGTCCGCTAGTGCGGAAGCCCCGAGTGTGCCGCCGACGGTAATCAACGAGTTCCACAAGCCTACGTCCCCGGGAGATGAGCCGGCGATATTAAATTGTACGATGATGGCGCCGGGAAGGACATCGGAGACGGTGAACCGCATATCTTGGATCTGGGCCGTGCCAACGTCGCCATTTTTACCGACGGAGACGACCGGCCTCGGGTTAGTCGAGTCTTTGAACTTAGAGCCGTTACCAGTGATCGTAGCCCAAGCCTCGCCAACGATGCGCGAGCCTTTCGGTATGATTAGAGTATCGTCGATCCTGTACTTTCCGAACGGGAAATAAGCAATCTTGTTGTGGTCCGCCGCGTACTGCAGCACTTGGTTGAGCACCTCGGACTCGTCCTTGGTGTTGTCTCCCAGAACTTTGTGGCCGCCGTTTTGGGCAGAGTCCTTCACGTTGATAAAGTCCGACACGGGATTCTTAGCGTAGTTGGGGGCGGGGATAACTGGATACCTGCCATTGGGCGCCAAAGCGGCGGGTCGCTTCAACGACGACGATACTGGGCCGTAGATGGGATTACCGTTCACGGTGTTTCCGTATGAATAGTTGTCCACATGACTCTTAGGACCCAGTGCTGTTTCTCCCCGGACACGGGCAATATCCGAGTTCGTGTCTTTCTCCAGGTTCTCGATTAGGAATGATGGATATCCTATTAATTTCCTGTCAGTATCTCGTTCAATCGAACACTGTGTAGGTAGGTACTCTTGAGGAGGGACCGCTAAGGAAATTTTAGGTCTCGAACAACGTGGCATTGCAGGCTGGTCGAGTGGAGAAATTAAGAGGGTCGACCCCGTGGAGTCAACAATTAGTGAAGGCGACGATCACTGACCTGAAGTTACAAAGGTTACCCCGGAATTGACTGATTTCGCGTCAACAAGCGCGATCCACGGCGCTCCGCCGTCGTGGTTGACCGCGGTTCCAACAGTATCGAAGGTCGCGCCGACAATGCTGATAGTATTGCCGCCGTTGATCTTCATACCAACTGTGTTCTGATAGAAATAAATACTCTTGTAGAGGGCTTGCTGATGGCCGTTATGCCAAATACCGTTCTTGGTTTCATCAGTATCCCCTCCGCAATGCCAAAAGGAGAAGGGGAGGGTGGGTGTTTGCTACTTACCTGCCCACGTTCGACTCGAACATCAGCTAGACCAAGGGTAGAGCCTCTCGCAAGTTGGATACCCGTGTGTCCCTTACCGTTAACAGACGAAGCCATGACAATTTTGACATTCTGCAGCTGGGCTGCTTGAGCGACTGACCAATCGAGCGCAGTGAACTCATTACCTAACAATCGTCAGAAGAGTAGATCAAGATGTTATTCGCGATGCTAAAACAATCTTACCCCTTGGGATGCTGGTGGTGTCAAGTATGATATTTTTTACTCCAACCGCGAAGGAAAGCTCCCCCCTCCCACCAGTTTCTGGATCCTGACCTGCAACATACGGTCAGAAGTTTCTCTTATTCCCTCTTCGGTGACAAGGTTGGCCTACCGGTCAGAAGGGTCTGTTCTCCCGAGAAGCCAGATGCGGCTTTGATTGTAGGTGGCTGACTGAAGTTAGCGAGTATAACCTAAACGAGGTAACTTTATACACTTACGTTTGTAGCATCGCCCATAAGAATAGTATCGGTGTTCATGCGGATGGTTTCGCTGACTTCGTATGTTCCAGGTGGGATATAGACGACCTAGGCGGATCACACCTTAGCGCACGATGAACCAGACATAGTATAACATATACCTACCCTTGGTTGAGATGCCAACCATTGAGAATGTCGCTTCTTTCCGTTGCCCGCATCATTTATAGCCGCCGCAATTCCAGGGCCGTCACCTGGCTTAACAGCGATATATACGGGATAGTTGTAGTCATCGCCTAGGTCCGGCGCATAACCGCGAGCCTGGCCTGTGTGGTCCATGTTAGCATACCAGAAACTGGTAGCCCTTTTAGCGAGATCTTCAGACGCCCCCGTGCTGGACGGGATGCTCAAACACGCAGCTCTCCCCAGTAGAGCCACAGCAAGAAGCTTAAGGATAGCCATGTTGGAAAAAACCAGCTGGATAATACAGGTACGATGAGCCAGTGTCAGGACTCAGTCAGTCAGCAAAAAGGCTCGCTATGATATTCGCATTGTGCAAAACCGGCGAGTGAGGTTATATACTTTCGACGTAGCATTAGGTTGGACGCCAGCGACATTTCTAGCAAGGCTTGTTGAGCATGGAGGGCCGCATACGAGCTTCGCATCGGGAAGCTATCTTATGATGACGCCAGCGAAATACCTAGGGCCTAGGGGGGGTTCGCTAATACTCATATACAATGTCACAACAGACACAGCGCTCTTGAGGGCTGAAGGTTCGTGATAGTGTCAGATATATTTGATTACAAAGATGCCGAATAAGAGATTCAGCTTTGAACCTTTATATAAGGCCTCAAGGCTTAATACTTAAGACTTAAGGCTTACGGCAATTGAATATGACCATTTCGCCTCATGGAGGGACTTTCTGCATTGCCCTTTCCCCTATGAGGGCCATAATTACGATTGTCCAATTATCGTTTCCACAACAGTGAGCTACATTATCCAGTCAGGGGCAGGAGGTAACATTGCGCCCGATCAGCTCAAATCGGTTCCAAGTCAGCTTCAAGTCAGCTTCAAGTCAGCCCGCGGCGCAACTACATCTCGCTTTTAGATCTAACCAGATGTCGATTTTATGGAAAGTTTCGACTTGGCGAAAACAGATCGATATTCTAATGATCTAGCCCATCAAAAGTATTACGTTATTTGGCTTGTAAAGCGTAGGAGTTACCCCGAGTCTACTACGCTTCGAGGGTAGCTGATACCACTACGGACGGCGTTATGAGGTAGGTGGATTCGCGGTAAGCCAGATATAGAATCAGACCTTCCTTTTAGAGCTGACAGGACAGAAACTATGCTAACTTTAGAACAGCATTAGATTAGACTCACCCCGTCCTTGGCTAGTATTTATCTAGATTTAAACAATTTTACTCTAGGTAAGCGAATGCAATTCCTACTACCTTCAGCTCTGCAGTTTTCCGTTCAATTTTATTCTTTAAACGTTATTCGCAGGCTCGTAAGCTTTAATGCAAGGACTGCACGATTCTAGATGATAGGTACCAAAGATAAATCTTTTATGATGCGAACCTACCTCTTATTATGTAGGTAGTGAGCATCTTTAGACATCTTCAGTTATGACTTAGACATAACACTATTATCCTTGGATGATATAGTGTGCTCGATATCAAACACAACCTTAGCTATGAGATGATGACAGGTGGAGAAGAGCTTGTTTGCACCTGTAGCAAACGCATACCTATCCGTTTAGCAAGGACCAGCGGTTCGGTATTGCACCTTTCCTTGTTTCTCGTGCGACGACGAAATGATAGATCTGCACCACGCTAATCTATGCAATATAGACATGTAAGGAGAACCGTGTTGAACCCAGCGTCTTTCACTTGGCTCGCCGGCTGCTCTCTGCCGAAGCAATCATTCACGTCAACCACAGACTTTCCTTGGGATCCGCTAGCCCCTTTCTCATTTCATATCAAATTTCATCTCAATTTACAACGATGTTGCCATCATGCATAGTATATAGAAGGGGACCTAACCCAAATCTAGAGTCGTACCTAACCTTAACCCAGCTACCATACAGCATAGCACCGCGCCCGTCTCCGAAAAAAAAATGAGAACCCACCGTCATTTAATAAGTATGCATTAGTCCATATTGGTCCATGTAAAGTGACTTGCCAGCCGTAACCAAGTAGCTGTTATAACGAAGTTAACATCACGAATGACTGACAGTGAGGGAAATCAGGTGCTAAATCTAGAGTCTTAAAAAAACATCGGTACTTACCCGGTGCGTCCGTCATGTTCGCGATCAAAGCCTCCTCTCCCAGCCCAGAGTTCCTCCATAGCGAGTTGATGCTGGCTCTTCGGCTTGCCCTCGGCAATCCGCTTCTTCTCGAAGAAGACGTAAGCCGCGTAGAAGATGGAGCTGGTGCAGCTCCAAGCATTTTGGTAAGCCCAACTTCCGGCCCCATCCATAGTTCCATTCTTAGACAGGAAAAAGTTCATGCTTTTCTGGCTGACTTTAATAGCATTGCAAAACTCGCCTTTCTTCATGATGCCGTTGTCCAGAAGCTTGTTGATCATGTTCCTTACTTAGTTGCATTTCATGTCGATATAGAAACCCTCAGTTGAGATATGGGAAAGGTCCTGCTTATACGCAGCGATATCGTCGTCTAAGGAAGTTTCCGACTTGCGTTTCTTGCCAGCGGTGGCATTAGCCTTCGGGGCTGATGCAGGAGCTTCAGTCGTAGTCTTAGCAGGCTTTTCGACGGGCTTCGCATCCGCTGCAGGAGGGTTGGTGGCTTGGTTTGCCTGATTGCTGGCATCTTGAAGCGCTGGCCTCGCCGACTAAATTTCAGTTAATAATAAATCAGAAATTATGCTATTAGATGACAGGCACGCCTTACTGCAGGTTTGACTTTCACCATGGTTAGAGTAGGTATGTAAGGTATCTTTCGAAATTTGACTCGTTAATATGTTATGTTAGAAAGTACCTAATAGAAGGTCGCAGTAAATAATATTAATATGTTGAAAGCCAAAATGGAACTGGGGAATTAGGTCTAGGTTAGATACAGCGAGGTACCTGTTATACAAGTTATACAAAATATAGACGCAAAAGACGCGACAGTTTACTTTACATCATGATCGCAACGCGACAACGCGATGGTTCGTGCAGAACACGACCGAATACATTGACGTCAACTAAAACTCACTAATCCGTAAAAGTAAGACGATAGCCCTAAATATTTGCCCCACTAATAAAATGTTTTAGTAAATGTCACTTATGGATGGGAAAGTTCCCTTATACCAAATCATCAGGTATACCAAATCATCAGGGTTCCTATATTGGCGTTCATATAATACATCCCTAGGAGGTAGGTATCTTTTTGCGTATTTGCGTTTATATAATATATAATATAATAGGTACCTATCTAAGGTAAGACAAACAAAAATCCGAACCTAGTTTACAAGTATATCAAAATTCCAACACCCATCATCATCTCGCATAATATGGGATAGCCTTCCGTGCTGTTTATCTAAGGCGGCGGTTCTGCTGAACGCTGTTGCGCTTCTTCAAGCGGTAAGCAACTGCCCTCTTGCGCGCAGCAGGGGACTGGGTAAAAGCCGCCGAGCCTCCGAACGGCCCCGCGATCGCGTTGTTTCGGACTCGGACAATGCAGACGTTCTGAGCATCCCCGACGGTAGCATCGCACGTCATTCCCTCGGGCATCTTCACAGTCAAGGGGAAGTCGGTGTTGGTGGCCGCCGATAGTCCTAGGAAACCCACGCCCGGTACATCCTGCGTCACCTCGGCGGTTTTGAACGCGTCCGGGTCCTTGCCGCCCGAGGTTCCGTCAACAGCCGCCTCGATCGGGCCAGCGCCATCCTGGTTGATCTGTCGGAATGTCATAGTGATGGAGCCGTCGTCAGCACATGTGGGGAGTCCGGATGTGCTACCCTGGCCAGCAGTGGCGGCGACGAACGTTTCTTGAGGCGTTTCGCTTTTGCTACCCTGACCGGTTTTAGCTTTGTTGCCACCGGCACGGCCACCAGTGAGCCCCGAAAGCAAATCGCCTAGCCCACGAGGAAGAAGGGTGCTTTTCTTCGCTACGTTTCCTGGAATATCGTCCTCCACGCCTGTACTGGCAGCAGAGCCGTTGTTGGTCGGAGCAGCGCCTGTACCCATAAAGTTCTGGATCATGACGGCAGCGTCGATAGGTCCATTGCCTTGGGTACGGCCCAGGGCGCTTGCTTTGCCCGATGCTATTTCGCGGTCCCTAATGATCGCGGTATCGGCTTGTGACCCACAGCGGTTGGTGGTACAATCCCGGGGCGTGCCGTCGGCAACTATGTTTAATCAGTACGAAATACACTATCTCGAATCACCAGGCTGCCTCATAACATACCGCTGAGACCAGGCATTACCACTCCATTTGCTCCCTTGATATTTGTCACTAGTCCGTGGCCATAGGCAGTGGCGAGAAGGCCGGAAGTAGCAATAAGTGAATAACGCATCTTCGCAACTGGGGAGATTATAAACAGAAATTATGATGTTGAAATATGCCACCAGGGCTGTCCTCAAGACAATTAGAAGAAAAGGGCGAATTGAAAAAGGAGTAAGTTGAAGGGTTTGGTGTTGTGCTGATGAGAGTAGAATCATCTCCGAACTGCGATTCCTCTTGAATCTTATATACACCATCTTGGCCGTAGTGAATTGTTCGATACGAATTATTCGGCCTGCAGTTGGCAGTGTGTGTTTGTAAACAGGCCACTGCCTAACCTACCTAAACTTAACCTAACACAAACTATTCCGCTAACTTTGAGCCCAATACTCTCGTCCGAAGTTTTCGAAACGATAGACAAAACGCATAGAAAAAGCCTTGGAGCCAATCGCATTAAAGCATTGAGATACATCCACTTTTCATATCTACCTGGGTAACAGTCTCAGCTACCCCTCGGCTTCAAAATAAGAATTTAGACTCATTGGGGCTAAGCTACCTGGTATAAAGCTGCGTGAAGCTATATCGTTTCAAATTTTCGGGTCTCGATAAGTTTCCTAAAGGCGCTAAAAAGAAGCCAAAGTCTGACAGTTTTCTAGAATCGCGTCTAATATCGATACATTTCAATGCCTAACACAATGTTGAAGGTTTTCATTCTTGGAGAAGCAAGAGACCTTTAGCTAAAGCTACCTAGGTTAGAGGTAGGTTAGGTACCTTATACACTTATCGAACCCTTTTTTCTTCATCAGTATATCAAACACCTAGGGTAAGCTATACTCGGTTTTTAACCAATTTGTTTCCATAATGTTCGTCGGATTTTTACAACTTTTAATCGCCAAGTCTTTTTAACGCAACTACCGTTTGCCAAGAAACCGCTGAGGCTCCCAGGTTGAGACACTGCCGCAGTGGCTCAAACAACCCCTGGGGAGATCTGTTTTCTTGGAATAATGAAACTAAGAGAATTGGCCAATCGGCGAGAACTTCTTATTCGCAACAAGACCCTCTTTTGGGACTTGTTCCGAATAGTCTTTTCTATCGATCGAGGTGGGAATGACGTTACGGGCGACCCGACTTACACTAGACGCATTGTGTTCTTACACTCCACACGTAGTACCACACATAGTAGTATCAACGTGCGCAACTAGCGAGGTGCCTAAACAAGGAGCTACCCCAGAAGAGATCTATGTAAATCTCGGGAATCATTCACGATTGTTGGGCTCCTGGCCCATTCGTATCAGATATACTCAGCCCCGTTCACCATTCAGCCAGAGCTTTAGCTGGGGTCTCATTCTCCTGAAGCTTGACATAGTGGCGGTCTGGATTATACCAATCGCGATGCTTGCCAATTTTGCAGCATTGTTCTTAGGTGGGTTGGCTCGCCCACTATCACGACACTCCACTAAGCGCAGTATCAAATCGTACCTGACACATAGTATTAGGAATACCACCTTCTAGTAAACCTCAAACCAGCCTTATCTATATGCAAGGGAACCTAACGACGCATGTTTGGTATTGGCGCCCCTAGATATGTGATAATATTCTATTTTATTCTACTTAAAATATAGGCTATCCTCGATACATCCCAAGAAGGAGAGACTTGCGAATATACTACACAAGCTTGGTGCGTGGTAGCCACATATCATAGACCGGTTACTCTGTGCCGAAGAGGTCTTTGATGTATGAACCCCAAGTTTCGCTAGACTATACGCATGAGGCAATCAGCGCGAGGGGTTGTTCACTCACTTGTGAATAGTCAAAGAGGTATGTAAGGAGGCGGTAGCTTTTCGCGCCTCTTAGAACAGCTAGTTCATCATTCCCCATTGTAATTTGCTTTATCTACCCTATTCAACACCAGATTATTATCGCGCCTATTCGAGTACCCGCCCAATCGAGAGTCCTAAGTTCCAGAACAGTTGATCATGATGTTGCTATAACGACCAGAAAATGATCGTATTAACAACGCCTGCTATAAGTTAATTTGGGTACGCTGAGACGTCATTCTGCTTTATAAAATAGAGTTCTTCACAATGAGTCGAACCTCTACTCATAAACCCGTTACCGATACGCGACCGCATTTTATGAGCATCCCCGATCTGTCCCTTGCGACTTCCACACGGTAGTTCCGTTAGGAGTAGTTATCAAGCTTCAGTCCACGCCAGATACCACGTCACATTCAGCTGCTTTGGGAACTTCCCATTATCTCTGGCTCTCTAATCAAGTGCTAATCGCTCCTTAGTTGCTACCGAGGCCTAGGCAACAACGGTTAGGCTTATGAGACAGATATCCGCGGTCCTAATGGCTCTCACGACATACTATATTGTCCCGGAATCATGGCATTCTCTCCGAATTCTACTTGCAAAATTCCGCAGGATTCTCTTATCTCCGACCCTACTGACCACAACTCGTTCGCAGAAGGGGGGCCTTCGTTGTCTTTGTCCTAATTAGGAAACTGCTCTCTGATTGGCTCTACCGTCGTTGGGTTCCACATCATCACCTTATGACCCTATTCAAGGAGGCAATAGGCCGGATAGACTGATTTAATGGATGAAAAATGTAGCCGTAGAGATGAAGCCCGAAATTTCCATATGGCCTTCCCGGGCTTTACGGGAGCTGAAATGCCCAAAGTCCGCAGAGTCGTGAGATGATAAAATGGGTTATTTGTCCCAGTCTGTCCCTAGGTAGGTGCTCTTTATTCTATATGCTTCCTTATATCACCTACACTTGAATATTTTCCATCATTATATTCTAAGCTACAACTTAAATAGGTACCTGAGGTAATTCTGCTAAGACTCTCTCTCAACCATATATATCAAACATGACTTTCGGGGACTTCGTGTCCGAGCAACGGGCAAACCTCCCTATCCACGTTACGCCTGAGGCTTGCGGTGGGAAAACGTATATCGTAACGGGGTCCAACACTGGCCTGGGGCTCGAGGCCGCGAAGCACCTAGTTCGCTGTAAGGCTAAGAAAGTCATCATTGCGGTCCGAAATCTCGAGGCAGGCGAAGCAGTCAAGGCCGAGATCGAGAACGTGACGAAAATCCGTGGCGTCGCGGAGGTATGGCATGTCGACCTGGCAGACTTCCAGTCCGTCAAGGACTTCGCCAAGAAGGCTACCGAGTCGTTGGATCGTATCGACGGTCTGATTGAGAACGCCAGCATCGCGCTCGACAGGATTTCCATCGCGGAGGGATACGAGACGACAATCACGATTAATGTCCTCAGCACGTTCCTCATGGCGGTACTCCTGCTCCCGAAATTGAGCGATACGGCAAAGCAATTCGGCACTACGTCTCACTTGAGCATTGTTGTGAGCGCAGCTGGCTTTGCGTTTAAGGAGCCGTTCGACAAGGTAAAGGATGATTTCCTGAGGAAAATGAATAGCCCCACCAACGCCAATATGGGGTCGAGGTAAGAGATTCCCAATCTTCATAAATGATTACCTGTTATAATATAATCTTTCTAACGACTTATATGAATTTACCTAAGATATCCCGTGAGCAAACTCATTCAGATATTTGCGGGCCGTCACTTCGCAAAGCTTGTCCCGATAGAAAGAACGGGAGTCGCCGTAAACTTTGTAAACCCGGGCCTGTGCAAAACCGGGCTCAGCCGGCACGGGAGATTTCTTAATCGCTTGCCGATCGTCGGGATGGGCCTGGTGCTAGGAAGGACTCCCGAGATGGGCAGTCGCACGCTACTACACGGCGCGGTGGCTGGGAAGGAAAGCCATGGGTGCTACCTGTCGGTTTGCGAGATCAGGGAGTAAGTGCTTAACTAACCTAGGCCTATCAATTTCACCCTGTAAGTCTGGAGTTTGCTGACATACAATAAAGACACCAGCTACCGTCCTGGGTGAGCGATGAGGAGGGACAGAAACAAGGGAAGATCATCTGGGACGAGATAGCGAATGTCCTGGAGAAGATCGAGCCTGGATGTTTGAGCAAAATACTGTAATCGGGTGTGGGATTTGGTGATATGGAGTAGGAGTTCTCTAGACATAACTTAACTGAGATGTAGACATCGCTGACTTGATAGAAGACCCATCTCCTTAAAGAGTTGATTGGTGGATGGCTATATGAAATTCATAGGTACATATTGATTTGACGTTTCAGAGTTTAGCAGGGGTAGTGGGAAAGTCGTACGCCCACCTAAGGTTGATTAATATATTTAATTAAAAGTTCGATGGTTCCATAACGTGTTTCCTGGCCTTTCATGAATGGCTTTGATCCATGGAAACTTGGAGAGTATTTGACGTACGTCGTCCCAACTCTGAAGATCTAACGATATAGTAACTTCGCTTATCCTCCGCATAAAATGCTCGTCCTCGGGTAGGCCAGGTATAGTTATTCCCGCCATGAATAATATCCAGAGAAGAACCTCCTCCTCTTCCTTGCCCCCTATAAGTTTCTCTAGAACAAGCGCTTCTATTCGCTGACGAAGAAGAGGCAGATCAGGGACTCGATGCAGAATAGAGAGGAAGAAATTAGTCATAAGCATCAACAGTCCCGTATGTATGTCATTCTCCAAACTAATGCCTGGGCCTTTGTCGAGGGGTCTAATGTGAACAAGTCGATACCCAATGAGGATAAGGGTGTCATGGTACTTGTACCCATCCATCTTGATGCCATTATTCTCATTCTCATTAAGAAACGACGCGTGGCTCATAACATCTATCCAAATCTCCTGCATATCAGGACTTAGCTGCATAAATAGGGGCGACGCGAGTAACGCCGATACTCGAGACGCCCCAAACCTTTCGCGAAGCCAGTCTATAGTAGCAGTATCGGGTAATTCGTCGACGCCAAACAGCGTAGGCGATCCTAAATAAATAGCAAATTCGAGGTCGGCTCTGCATAGAAATTAGAAACTGATCGCTATGAGCAATGGTAATAAGATTTCTCACCTGAATATCTTTTGAGCAAGTTCCGGCTTATCCCTCCGAAGCTGCGAGATCCCACCGCGAAGCTCGACCATCCGCTGAAGCCCCCTGAAATGAATAAGGCTCTGTTGATACTGCCCACACATACGTTCGTACTGGAGCATGGCCACTACCGACGCTAAAGTCGTGTCTAATAATGCCTTTCCACCAGACAGTCTCTGATTAACTATCTGGAGGCTGTGTGATAGGTGACGCAGCCCTTCCGAGTAATTCTCGCTACTTGAAGTTAACATATTCTTAGCCGCGATGGACGCCGCCATAGCGCAGTGGAAATCTTCGGGCTTGTCAGCCTTGGTTTTCAAAGTGCAGGGCGCTCATGGATGGGGGAAAATTACAGGCTTCATCTACAAACCAGAACTGGATCCAGATCGACCCGGCTGTTGTGAAGTCGACGACCCTCCCGAGCTTGGGCATAGTAGGGATACTCATAAGGAATGCGAGGGCTAGACGACTGTAAGAGATATTTCATACAATATATCAAGTTAGGGACGTAACGTTTCAAACATCATGTTACCTTTTTGAATAATAATTCTAGATCCGGGAGTTGACTCGACCGGTAATGAGAAGACAGACAAGCTGTCGCCCACCTGCCGTTCTATAGTAGGAAGCACCGCATGACGGGGCTGCAAGGCCAAGAAGTCGTTGGGCTTATTATAATGGGATTCAGCAATGTTGGCCTTGATCGCGGCTCTTCTCCCCCGCGATGGGTGTTTTTTGCCGACATTCCGACCCTTCGCCGCCTGGCTACGGATCAACTTTCTCGTGCGGCGATCAAGAATGGCATTGTCGACGAATTCGAAGGGCATATTTTACCTATTTGATAGGGTAGGTTAGGTTTGGTAGGTCTAGGTTAGGTACCTACCTTATGTGATGTGCCGATAAAAGCTGACCTGGCCCGATGATAGATGTATAATATTGAATGTATAATATTGGATGAGAACGCACGCAGGATGAACAATGAGACTGAGGCGTAGATAATTGGTGACGGACATATCGGAGTTAAATCATGATCATCTCAATTGTGTACCTCCTAACCTACTAGAATGTAAGGTAAATTACCTGTGCCTAACCTAAGGTACGGACCATGCTGCGCCTTAAACAATACCGTTCTGGGTTCCTTCGCTACAATCCATGTCTCTAAAAAAGATCATGAATAAATACTATCCTCCTCGTCCCCATCCTCCTCTCCTTGACTTCGCTTTTCGTAATGTTCCCGCCTTAAACCCTGAGTCATAGACGCTACCTTGCGCACCCATTCGTCACGGTCCACCCCCTGAAGCGGGGCAGTATCGAGCGCAGCGTTGACTTGGGATCCGAACGGCGAGAGCCTCTGATACTGCGACGTCGACGCGTACGGCTCTTCTGCCATGCTGTTTAGCCGGGGCGACCCCATGGGTGTTCTTCTGCGCGTATCCCTCCCGACGTCCGAGCTGCTAGCTCTGCCGCGCGCGGCGTAGCGCGCCTGTCTCCTTCGCTCCTCGAGCTGTCTCTCCCGCCTCTGCTCCTCTATCCTTTCGATCTCTATTTCCCTGTCTTCGTACCACATCCGGTGGAACTGTTCTTGGTACCGGACTAGTTTAATTAACTCCTTACGAAGGCGCAAAAGCTGGCCAAGGAGGAAGAGCCCGAGACAGATACAGACGAGAGTAGAGGTCCACCAGAACAGCCGCCTAGTATTGTCTTTGATGTCGTCGAGCTAAACGCGACCCCGCATAAGATTAGTCTGGTGTAGGCGCGCGTTTAAGAATGTGTTGTGTTATCAACGCTTACCGAGTTCTGTAGATTGGTTCCATATTGAATCGCGCTATGTAAGACAGCCGATAATTGATCTTCAGCACCGTTCTCTTGGTACGTGACGTCGTACTCAGATTGGCTACGCATAGCTGCTGACTTCATTAGGCTGAAAAGGCACCTAAGCTCGTATTGTTTATTCTAATAACAACAAATGACACGGGAGAATCTTCGCTAAGGATTTCTCACTCATAAATGACAATAGGTAAGCTAGCTCGAGTTTCAAAGACAAGCACCTATGGTACGCATTGGAATGTAGCACAAACAAAGACTCGGATGAAGCTTCTCCTAACCCAGCTTTTCGCTTAGATTGGAATCCGTTTTCAAATCAAAGAAATTTCTAGAGCAACTAATAGGTACCTCCTAGGTACCTGTACCTAAGGGCATGTATGCCAATTTCACTTGACTGCAATATTTGGCTATAGAGAGCTTATGAATTCCATAAGCATAGAATCTGGGAGGACCCTATGGGAGAGGATTCGCGTGCCACCAAATGTCTTGATGTCAATGGTACCTAGTGCAGCGCAAGACAACTCGTCCCTCTTAATATGGATGCGGGCCTTCCTTAGGGTCCAAAGCTCATATTAAATAAACCTTACGGAGGACTTAAAGACTATATGAAATTCTTAGGTTACGATCATACATTAAAGATACTGAAGAGCTATTATAAAACATGAATCTCAGGACGACACGATTTACTTCGTGGTAGCTAACTAGGTTAGGTACCTAGGTACCTGATATTAGGACAAAAGGTTCTGGTTTCTAGGCCATTAAGATCGGAGGATAGGATAGAGAATGAGGTGCATTATACGTCGGACATTGTATTGGTCCATATCGTCGAAGTCAAAGTGGATTGGGGTATACAATATGGTTTAAACAGGACCGGCTGTTCTTAAAGCGTCGTACGACTTAGTGGGAAAAATTAGACGAATCGCCCCAGTTACGCACGAGATCTATGAATCGAGGACATTGTTCTTGAGCTCCAGAGAGAGGAATGCTTCCATTCTCCTTGATGGAGAACTGCTTCGCTGCCTGGTTGTGAGCATATGTGACGAAGTCAGGAGCTGACATCGGGGAAGTAGGTTCGTCCACTCTGAGTTCTCTAAAGACCGTTTTGATTTCCTCGGCTTGAGACTTGAGTGTGGCAACCGAGTCCTCAACTTGCTGGTCTTCATAGACATGGCCACCCCTTTGAGAGCTGGCTGCGCTGTCCGCTATGATGGAATCTAGGAGAAGTTGAGACCCCAGTTCTGCATCTGTAAGCTCGGCCTTGGCGACCTTCTCGAAGAATTCATGTATGTTTCTTGAGAGATCATGTCCTTTTTTCTGTCGTGCAGTGACATATTGATCGAGCTTTCTAATTTGCATATATGTTGTGAGCGCGTTGGTTTTGTCGACTTCTATCGGGACCGAGCCGTAGAGTTCCATCTGACGTCGAATGATGTCAAGCAATGTGCGGTCTTTCATCTTGGTGCTTCCCTTATTTTGGTCTGAGGGGGGATTCCTGCTTAGGTCCTTGGCCGGATCAGGCCTTGTTGCATTATTTATATATGTCAATGTGTCAAGAAGGGATTGGTGATGATAAGCTAGCATCTTGGTACGATCTGCTAGGACGGAGAGGCGGTCATTCATAAAATTAAGCATGGCATATGTCTATAATATAGAGTCAGTCGCGGACTTAAGCTTTAGCAACCAGATATCAACTTACATAACGGGACACGGTCGCATCGCGTATATTCTGACGTTCAGAACGCGTTTCGATCTTCCCTAGGATAGATTTAAGATATTCTTTCTCTACTACCATATGCGCGAGTGGTACCATCTCCTCCCACAGTGACTGGATTTCCGCATATACATCATCGCGCTCATCCTTAACAGCCTGTGCGTTTTCAGGTGGGAAAGAAACGCGCTTACTAGAAGTAGAAGCAGTTTCGAGAAAGACGCTATCTAAAGATGCACGGCATTTTGTAGCTAGCGACAACACGATCCTAACATCCGGTCAGTGGAGGTTGAAAGTTTAAGATACAGAATATACTAAACTGGTTTGCATGGCGTTTAGCTATTCGAAGGATCTCGTCGTCATCAACAGCATCGTTGCCTAGCTCTCCATGTAGAGCATTTAACCTACTGAGGATATGATCGTAGGATGCAATCGTGGATCCAAAAACTTGCTTCGGAGCAACAGAATTTAACCTTTCGTTGTTATCTGTCTCCGACGAACTAGTTTCTGTTTGATTGGTTCCTTCTAGTTGATCCGTATGGTGGTTTATTTTATTTTCTAGAGAGTGTATCTTCTTCATATTAGCTTTGAGAACTGCTTCAACCTTTGGGAGTAGTGCATACCTTCGATTTAAGCAGATCTTTTCTACGTGACAGTATAAGGATCTTCTGCTTCACTATAGATGCTTCATCACTAGATTCTAGTGGTCGCTGTAAATTGGCAATACTGCGATGTACATAGTCTTTGTATTTCACGAGGAGCTTCTCGAGAACGTTATTATATTGGTGGACATCATGAAGAGCAGCCTTAATCATGTCATGGTCAACGACCTTCTGACTGAATGATATATCAGAAAATATATCTGCTTCTCCACGAGATTTTGCTGATCCGTGTCCACGCGTTGCTGACCGAAGGGAGTTTAGACTGTGACGTATGTTAACAATATGGACATCAGAAAAGTGGCCTGACGTACTACTTCAACTCGTCCTCTGATAACACACTCAAGGGACCGTCCGATTCTGCCAATGCCATCAAGCAGGTCCATTCGGGAGTTAACTCGCCATAGATAAAAGACTTGAGCAGGTCTTTTTGACTTTCGCTCGTGGCATTTACAGCCCCGCAGACTTGGTTAAAGAGACGTATCTCAGCGTCCGACAGGGTCCGAAGACTAGCCATCTCGGGATATGGCAAAGCCAACTGTCCAAGTCAAATAGTTAGCTAGTGCTACCTAACGGAGGAATCATAAGTGTCGAATTTTATATGCGGTTATAATACGAGGTGTAAATAGGGGCCAAAAAAAAGGTTGAGGAAGAAAAGGGGTTGTGCAATGATAGGAGGGCTCCGGTGGGAGAGTCGAATTGTTAGACGACATACTGGGCTGAGATGTTTTTCAGCTTATCCCGGCGATTGAAATCGGGGCCGCGGACGTTCCGGTGACACGCCGTAAATCGCCGATATTGGAAACTGCAGCCGGCGTAGGTATGAACTGGATAAGTCTAGCCTCAAGGCTAAAAAGAAGTTGTGACATGAAGCTTGGGGGTTAATGTATGACGGGGTTGACCGCTTTCTTTGAGAAGCTTGATCTAGACTTGGAGTTGTCAGGTTGACTTCGAGGGATTATGATGAATTTTGCTAGGTGACTTAAGAACCATCGAAGTGCCCAATAACTTGTGGCTTGTTTCACGGTATCCGACTTCAGATAACGGTACGAAGTGGACGCGAAAATAGTGGAATGCCTAAATATTGGGCTTTGAAAGGATGTTTACTATGTACAGATGAATTCGCCTTGTATAATTCCCCACAGCTGACCGCCTAATTGAGTACCTAACCTAACCTAAGGTTAGGTACCTAGGAGGTACCTAAGGTACAAAAACTATTGTATTCTCCAATATATGCATTTTGACTTGACAATAAACCTGTTAATTGCAAACAAGCTTTGGACGTCACAGCTTACCTCTTACCTAAGGTAAGCTATGCCCGACATCCCTGACACCTGAAACTTTAGATAGGGTTACCTGGCCCTTGCATTAAAAAATGGATGTTAGAAAGTGACCAGTAAGAAAAATATCTTCTTTCATCACTCAGGTTCTAAAAGATACGGTTGACATTCTTCGCAAATTATCAATCTTCGGAAAACCCATAAAAGGCAGCTAAACCTACCTATCTTAGGTAAGGTAAGTACGTGATATTATCAACCAATTCTTCTTCAATTGGATTTATAGGGTATAACTGCTTCATGAATCTCCTGTATGAATTTATTTTGTAGACGGACGTCCTTGAGAAGATCTGACTGGAGCGCATTCTAGACGACCTTTTTTTTTTTTTTTTTTTACATAAGGGAAAGCCAATGATCAAACAGGAAATGCGCCTCTCAAAGCAAGGGTCCTTCCAGGCCAGAGCCGCAACCAACCGCTAGACAACCTGGACTTGCAGCAAGTTGCAAGGTTAGGTATAGAATCTACCTACCTAAGGCAAGCGTACTACCTATAGCCAACGTTGAGCCATGATGTCTACCTGATGAAGCCACCAAATTCAGGATATTTTGTGAACCCTAACATCAGGTTAGGTACCTGGTATCTGATTATCCCTGCAAAAGGGGATATCGGCAAGGCTTTGCCAAAATAGAGAGACATTGCGCCATGTCCATCTGCTCAAAACCTAATAGACGAACAAGGACGTACAACAGCAATGGTCATGATACTTCAATGGTACCGCCATCGGAATGATACGGGCTCACTGGCCCTCACTTGGGCTCAAAGATGAACAAGTCCAGATTGACAGAGATATTTTAACTCTTTGGTGTCAACGTCCAGAGCGGTGCGCAATACTGCACTTGTCTCATACGCTGTGTTTGCAAGGAAATGCTCCTGAATGGCCCACCTCCAAAATCGTACAACCGTTCAGTCCAGCGGTCAACCATCCATTTCCTAAAATGGAACACGAGCTCTGCTTTTACTGTGGGCTTTTCTAAAAAAAGGCAGGTCTTGAAGCCTACCTACCTCTTACTACTGCTTCCCCCAAACCTCTTTGAACGTTAGCTTAAGACTCTACCTCTTTCAGCCCAGCCCTACTCTTTAGAACGCCCGAATCGATTTCAATGCCAGATCTGGAAAACTACAAACTCACGTACATAATGCCAGATCTAGTTATTCTTTGGATTCTTTGGATGGGTTGTCCCAGTATTTCGTTTAGACACCGGCCATGCGTTTGTATGCGCATGTGACAACCCGTTTCCGCTATTCCTCCCCGTCACTATGTCAAAGTGACAGCAGCCGAATGTACCGACATTCAAAACCGCAACACCTAATGGTAACAGACGCAGATCAGCATTGAGCAGTGATGCCGTGACTGGGCTTCTTTCTTTTCGGCTTGTGTTCCTCAGCTTGGTGTCCATTCTCGTGACTGTTGTACTTACTAGGACCCGCCCGGTTGCCCACTTGCCTGGTCAGTACGTGGGACGTCATGGAACAGTATCTCCATGTCATCCTATCCATACTATGCCAACATGGCCGTGGTTTATCTCAATTCAACTATGTTTTTTTTTTTTGGGGGGGGGGGGGGGGTTCGTGCTGCTTAGGAGCTTGTGCAATTATGAATCTGCCATATGTTTCGGCCGTGGGAGCATAGGTACGTGACTTCGATTCAGCTAACAAAGTTGCTCAATCTACATTGAATTCGTACATAGTTACCGAATAACAAAATCTGCTACCAAACAGCCTATAACTATATACGTATATCTGAGCGGTTCCCTAACAAGCTGCTCAGTCGTATTATTGCTTCGAGATATATCATCATCCAAAAATCATCCATATCCACTACATGTCTTTCCATCTTCAATGTGGCTCTTGTAATCGATACCAGAGCAAACTAAAATATGAATTCACTCATCCAACATTTGTGTAGGGCTATACGTAAACCGGAAACGGTGAAACGATACCGAGATGCCGGGATTGGGTTGGCGTTTATTGTGTTGAGCCAGCTCCTGGTTTTTCCTGTTCAGATCGCCCTTGATCTAAACTCTATCAACCTTCCTGCCTCTATCCTGGTGATGCTTCTCCTCTCCTCTTCTATGATCATCGCCAACTACATCCACGGAGGAACCGAGAAATTATACATGAAGTATCTGTGCGGGCCGACGAACTTCCTTGGCCGGCATATGTCTTTCGGTTTTGTAGCATCTTTCCTATTGCTTAACAGAGACCACATATCTGATCCTATGGACGTCCCTAGGATTATTGGTAGTTTTGGTAAGTTACTATAATATCATTGTTCATCCCTAGGAGAGTCCGCGGCTAATCCAATCTAGTTACTATTACCGTTGCGGGTTATATCAGCTCCTACTTGATTGCGTTAGGCATTTACAAGCTAGAGCTGCGACTGCGAAGTATGCGAAAGAGAGTTCCCGATATCGAAAACGGCCATAGGCCGTGGCCTAGCCCCTCCGCCGCGTGGCCGGCACCGCCAACAGATAGGAATGCTATCAGACTTGATCGATTACCTCAGATAAGTGAGGTAGCTGTATCGAACGATGGTTCTTGGATGACGACTAAAGCAGCCAAAGGGGGCAGGGCCTATCAATTGGTGGAGCAGTTTGTACGTACAGGTCCGCTATGGATTTGTATGTTCTTGATTGCCGTTGTCGGACTTCCGGTATATTTTGCAACCGACTACGAAGCGCCGTTTGAGGCTCTTTTCTTTACCCTATTCTGGACCTCATCCGTCCAGCTCCAGAGGTCATTGAAAAGCTCATACAGTCTCCTGCGGCATCCGCGCCTGCGATCCATTGTGGTTATCTTTGCGAACCCGGTGTTGGTGACCTGGGGGATTGGAACAGCCTATCTCTGGATTAAAACCGCCTATAGAGAACAAAGTATCGATATCACGGTCACCGAATTCCGCCAGCACCGTACGTTGTCAGCAGGCATACTTGCCATTACAGAGGGCGGGAAGCTATCGAGCAACATTGGTGCTGGGGATCTGTCCGGGCCGATTCTGGACGCAGGCATTATCTGTATGGGATTTAAGATGTTTGAGTACCGAAAAGAGCTATGGAAAAGCTTGCACACGGTGTTAATTACGTGCGCACTACTTTCTGTGGCGAACATTTTTCTGAACGTTATGCTCGCCCGCGCGTTGGGCTTACAACCCGCCGACGCGCTTGCTTTTGCTGCTCGATCCGTTACCATTGCTCTTGGGGTGCCAGCGGTTGGTAATCTAGGGGGCAGCACCGTGCTGATGAGTGCGCTCGTTATTTTCGGTGGGATTATCTTCCAGATGGGCGGGGATTGGTTATTCTCACTCTTCAAAATCAACGACCGTGAGGGTCACGACGCCGCTAGAAATAGTACTACCGCATCTGTGGGGTCTACGGAGGCGTACGATGACAATGAGACACAAAGGCGGAGTGCTAAGATGGACAATGCGGTTGTTGCAGCCGGTGTAACTGTAGGTATCAATGCGGCAGCCATGGGCACGGCGCATCTAATTGAACGGGATTCGAGGGCTACCGCATATTCCGCATTATCAATGACGGTATTTGGAGCCATGACAGTTGCACTTACGGCGATTCCAATTGTCTCAGACACTATAGAATCATTAGCAATAAGATAAGGTAAAAACCTTTTAATTTTCGTTTAATTTTCAATCTCCTTTCAATTTTTATTTTTATTTTTCTCTTCTTTTATATGTGGCTCTAGTTGCCTGTGATCACGATGGTGGACAAGCTATGAGACTTTGAAGTTACATTGGGTTTCTGGCATAGCGAACATTACCACCTCCTTAGGTAGGTCACGATAGACGTACGAGAGGATCATACTTGGAATTTGAGCGTTTTGCTTTTTAGAAATTATATAAATATAAAGTCAATTTTACTTTAAACTCATTTCCTACGTGGTGATTTTATAGCCATCACCGCACTAGGACCGTGCCAGGAGTCTCACTTGAGACTCCTTAGAACAAAGGAGTTGTTCTGTATATAGCTTTGACTTCAAAGCCACTGTAGTTAGAGTTCCTTGCGGAACAACGAAGTTGTTTTCCCTACCATATGCTTTGCGACATGACAGACCGGCGCCGTCCGGCCAAGTCTTGCAGAGATGGTAAGAGGACTTACATACGTACGAGCTACGTTATGATCAAGAACCAGGGGATGGCGATGTAAGTGCATATCATGATTCTAGGATCGACATTTGAAGTTTACTGTACCACCGGCTGAACCGTGATCTGGTGAGATGAAATCCAGGAAAGCCGCCGCATCGTCGATCCCGCGGCGCACACATGCAGTTGGTGTCTTTATGTACGCGCTTGCTATCTCTTACGCTTGCAACGTAGCACGGCGCGAAGATATCTCATGAATCCTCGATTTACTATAGGTTGCGGCCATGTCATTCACCTTTAATGCCGCCTTTCAGAATACATATAATAAGTAGGTGAAAATTGCATCGGTCCTTCCTGTTAGATCGCGATCTGTATCTGGTCTGTACGAGTCTCCGTCATAGCTCAGGGGTATGGTAGTACTGATGGTACTGGAGGTGTGAAGGCAATAGGGAAAATAGGGAATTTCGGAGACCGATGCCATGGTAACAATGCCGAAGCCGTCAAGGGGAACTCTACCCGGCTGACATATGCCTGCGGTGAGACATCCGGCCTTTGGAAATGGAATTGGTTAAATATTTCTAAATTCCCTGCATAAGTAGGCACGTCAAGTATAAGACCTATTGCTTTCACGTTAGCATAGGTTCCCTGTCTCACTGGAAGTAGGTACAGGTAGTTCAACATAGCTTGCAAGCCGAGACACGCTTTAACTTCACGAGGCATGTGTTCTCAATGCGGATTGAGGGTTAATACGGCAAGTGGCCAACTGATAATTCATAATATATCATTACTTCGCTTTAGCATATTGTGTTGCTTGTTCAGAGAAGTTGTTATTAACACCCATTACGTGCCGATTCTTAGACTGACATCAAGAACCACAAAAGGGGTAGAATGTGTGACCATAGTCAGCTTGAGTAGGACAGTAGAAGTAAAGGTATATTTTAATAGCTATTAAATACGTATTCCTAAACTCCAGGTATCCATCTCAGATTCTGTCCTTCTCGTTGTGATAAGGGTGACTGGTCGGAACGGAAATATCAGATCACATGCTATTCCCAGGTAGGCTGTATACCTATAGATATTGAGCCATTCCCTGATGTGCTCCTTTGTCCTGGGCTAAAAAGGTTGTATGATTTTAGGCGTTGCGACAAGATCGTGTTCAGCGAGCCTATATATAGGTAGGTAGATACCACGCCCATCAGTAGCAATGATTCTACTCCTAAAATACACTTAGGATTTAAACTAATCTTTCGATTAGATGCAGTCCACTCGCCGTCTCTACGACACCGCTCATTTGGCCGGGTTGTAGTGCAAAAGCAGCCTCCTCGAACTCTTTTTGCATATCGCCCTTGCCGAAGTATCCCAAGTCTCCTCCCTTTCTGGCCGAACTGCAGTCACTCTCGGTCATAGCAATTTCTCCGAGCGAAACGGCGCCGCTCTTGATCTTCTGCTCGTGACCTTTGATAATCGCCATAGCCTCCTCCTTGGTTCGGGTAATTTCGCTCTCGCGCCAGCTCGCGGGCCGCCGGCTGTCACGGTGTTTGACTAGTAGATGAGCGGCACGGATCTTGCCCTCAGGATGGCTGACAGCGGATACTTGAGTAGAAGCAGAATGGTGTGTCGCCATGTATTTCTTTAGCTTCTCGGTATCGGTGCCAATCGGTGGCTCCCAGCGTGAGACTTTTTCGCTTGCGTTGAAGTAGTACGGGAGGTTCTTGGAGTTGCTATGGCGCACTTCCCAGTTGGGGGGTAGTCCTGAGTCGTCCTAACCGCAGGTAATATTAGCGACCATGTTGTCATAAATATGAATGAGCGGCAGGTAGAATAGGGCGGTCGTTCTCATCCCTTGTAACAAACTCAAGGTTGACTTACCATGTTTGACGGTTTGATACAATGACTACTATCAGGCTTATGAACAGCTTTTATAATTTATTTAAATGCTGCTTAAGCTAAGCTGGAGCAAATGTATATTACAGTCCAGAAAATATGTCGATCTAGAAGAAAGAGTGGATGGATTTGTTGTTCTTTACCTCCAGGGAAGCTTTTCAACTGGAGAATTGAAGTTTTTTAAAAAAAGCTTGTTAATTGAAGCTTTTCCTTCCAATGGTAATTAAATCTAATGGGGTGTAGATATAAGGTTTGCTTTTTTTTTTGTCCTTCTCCCGATATAAAAGGATAAAAAAAAAAGAAGTGACCGGCGACAATGATAAGAGCTGTGTTTGTTGTGTGATGATGTAGGTGAGTCGCTAGGGAAGAAATGAATTGGATACAAGTAAGTTAAGTACCTACGTAAGATCCCTGACCTTAGGTAAGAAAGATCACGAGGATGTTGTCCGGAGCGGGGCAGCGCTGACCTGACGACGGAATTAGACAAAACGTGGGGTGGTGAATGTATGAATCAGGATGCGAATGGCCGGATAGAAATTATATGGACCCACTGAGTTATTGGTTACCCGGGTACCTGAGTAGGTAGGAACTTGACTATTTTACTCAACATACCTATGTACCTTAGGTACGTCATGTAGGTAATGTCACGTACCTAATCATAGGTGGTAGATGATGAAGATAAGCCACATTCGTGTTAGTCATCCCCAAGAAGATACTTTCTCCGACATTCCGGTGTGTCCCAAAGCTCAACTTTGAACCCAATTAAGGTTTAGCGGCAAGGCTAGTGTTGCATCTAGAATAAACTATGCAAAAGCGGTAAACTTTAATGTGTGACTAAGATCTTTTTATCTTTTGATTGACAACAAGTTAAAACACATCTTTAATCTTCCCAACAGCGAAATACATAAGTGCAGCTAATTTCGTCAAGGACAAAACATTTCTACTGAAATAATCATCACCACCACCACCATCATCATCATCAACCACTTAGGTATTTGACAATCCATCAACTTCCCCAAGGTCTCGTTACACCCTATCGACATCGTCTACAGGCATCTAGTAGTATTAGAAACGTTGCACAGCAAAGCTGCAACATGTCGTCGCCGGCGCCAAGCAACGACGGGGAGGCCCCCAAGAACAACCAGGAGCAGATCACTTTCCGCTTCTGCGCAGAGTGCTCAAACATGCTGTACCCTAAAGAAGATGAAGATGCCCACAAGCTTCAGTTCACCTGCCGCACATGCCAATATACCGAAGAGGCAACATCTTCTTGTGTTTTCCGCAATATTATCAACAGCGCAGCAGGAGAGACAGCTGGTGTGACCCAGGATGTGGGATCGGACCCTACGGTCGGTAATCGTATTTTTCCTTCCAACCATCCCAATCCCCATCTCCACTCCCGTCTCCCTACTTCCGCCGATAGTAGCATAGCTGTCTGTCTGAGATGTGGCTTGACACTCCTCCATTGTGACCGGTGTGGGGATCCTGCATCAGTTGAGGCGTACAATCATTTCATTCGACACAACCCGGATTACGCCGCTACAAGAATGCTGAATTCCATCCGAACCGCCAACTGCTGGTCCTCCCAGGACGATGAAGGGAAGGCTGCCTGGGCCGACGCATTCGCTTCATGCAGTGAACCAGCTATACCGGATCTTTCGCCAGATAAGGATAGCCTTGCCTATTACCTCTCTGGCAATGGCTTCCTTACATCATTGGATACATTGGATGCCGATCCCCCCGAGGCCCTTGAGGACCCGGAGTATGACAGCATAACAACCTCTTACTCTGGTCTCATTCCTGCCCAGTCACCAAATGTTGTTTCATGATGATCTTGTTCTCTAGATTTGATGATTACATTCTCATATCTATGTCACGTTTTCATTTGTCACATATCTCAACCAATAGACAGGGGGCCGGGCGGGCAGTGGCGCACACAATTTCTTGGACTTTTCCTCGTCATAAGGCGGCCGACTCTAAGAAGCATGCATCGTATATTTTCCCTGTTCCGAATATGGTGCTGACGCCTCGCTTTCTTGGCATTTAGCTTCCGCGATCCAACAAAACCTGTCCTGTGTGCAAGCACGAAGAAGCGGTCTTCTTCCAGTCCCAGCAGCGAAGCGCAGAAACTGGCATGGTAAGTCACTCCCTTCTTCTAGTAGCGCATATACGAGAACTGGATATCTAATTTGTTACCGATAGAAACTTTTCTACGTGTGCTGCGAATGTGGCCACATATTCCAGTAATGAGGATCCTTGAAGTTTAGAGTTATGAAGGTTGGGTGGCAGGAGACACGCAGGGACTTCTCACATGACAACTGAGGTCATTTCGATATTGCATAAACCGGCGTTTGGAACCCTTTTCCGCGGGATTTCTTAAAGAAACCTCCCTGCAAGGAAAACTACATTTTAATTCGGCATCAATATACTTTAATTCCCACTAAACGTTTCCTAACACAAAGTCACATTTACGTATCATTCGTACTATTTTAAATCCGTGCTAACCCAACCCCTAAGTGAAGAGCCGAGTACGACTATTAAAGAGTTCCACTGCGCGAATAGGCGAGGTTTCCGTGAAGCGTGTAATGTAGTGCTTGGAGATTTCATAAATTCGATTGCGAGAATAGCCGGGGCCTCTCATAATGCGTACCAGCCAATTAGTACGACGCCAGCACGCCATGTCAACGCCTGCTATATGCGTGCTTAGTATATAGTACATCAGATGCACAACTCCTAATCGATGGACATAGAGTCCCTTGACTCATTCCATGATATTAGGGTTTTCTTTAAGTTGGCATCGCAGTGGATTCGCTGTTTCATACCCTCTCCATTATCATGACGCGTAGATACACCTCAGCTCCTCTTATTATGCATAATATCGCCTAGGCATGAGCGGGCGCCATACTCAAAATCTTGCTCCATCCTCGTCTCCTCAATTCGGCGCCCACTACGCCGTTCACACGGGTGCCAATAGGGTCTCCGGCCTTGTTGATGAGGACACAGGCGTTATCGTCGAAGCGAACGACGCTACCATCGGGACGCTGGACCTGCTTTCGGGTACGTACGATGATGGCGTGGCGGATATCGCCGCGCTTCACCTTGTTCGCTCCTGCGGCGGCGCCCATACCGGCATCGCTCGCACCGCGCTGCTTCTGGACGATGGCCACTATCCTGTCGCCTAAAGGATATGGTTTAGCAACCGGACATAGCCGAGAGATAATTAATTTGGGGGGTTGGAGGAGGGGGCTGTGTGTGATCAGAGGCGAAGTTAAAAATGGATGGATGAACCTACCAATTGTTGCGTGCCTCTTCTGACCGACTACTAGGGCGCATTCGACTATGGCGGCTCCCGAGTTGTCGATGCAGTTAAGCATCGTCTATGATTTCCCGTCGAGTTAATAAAACAAAGCACAAACACATTGCGAAGCTTAAAGATTAAGGTCATAATACCTTAAGTTGGATCATCTTGGCCGGCTTATATACCCTTGGTATAGGGTTCCAGTCCTATGTGTTGCGATGCGGCGGTACAGGTCACAAAGGTGATGAGGACTTGAGTATATTTTGTTTGAAGTTGAAAATTCGAGGCTCTAATCGAAAACGAAAACGGTCTAAGGCTGAATTTGCCAAGATGTACAGATCTGCAGTATGATTGGTTGCTGCCAGCTTCGATGTCCCTGACCTGGGATCTCCAATGTACATTGTACCCGAGGTTTGTGCAATGTCCACAGGTGCAAAAAGGTTACTAGCGTGGCCCTTTTTGTGATCTATTAGGTGGCCCCTGCGTTTAGCATGGAGGTCAGGGAGTGCACCTAATTTAGATAATTTGGGGTTGTTACCAGTGAAGTACCTTGTATTTTCCCGCAATTCTCGTTATCCAGATATGGATTTCGTCAGGTGAGGCTTACAAGATGTAGTGGCTCAGCTGCCTACCCACCACCTACATGTAGGAGGTGCTAAAGCAGGTTCAGGTAGTACACCCCCTGGCAATGTTAATCTGGCTAGTGGCTTTCTTCCCGAATTAATCGACTGATTGCATCAGAGGTTCTCTCTCCCCCGTCAGCCCGAGCTGATTGAATGCTGCTGGCAGCGCTGGTTGACCTGCCACCCACTTTTCCCACTTTTCTTGCGCTCTCACTTTTGCGCCGGCTCAACAGGGAGGCGGCACTTCACGCAAAGTCCTGATGGATTAATTAGAACTACACTACCTCTTTGTTTCTTTTTTGGTTTTTAGACTCGAGCTCACAAATAGATTATTTCAATTGGGTTTTCCTCTGATAATCAACGGATATTCTCTTTACTGTTCTAATACCTAACCTAGCTTCATCGTATTATTCAACCTTTCTTTGGTGTTGGTGAGAATTGCCGTGGCCAAAAAAAACCAATAATACCCCCTTCTCTTATTTCATTGTTTTTTTTCCGTCTTCAATCGTTCGTCTGGTCCGTCTCAACTTTCGCATGACGAAGATATATATCAAAAAGTAAAAAGTTCACATTTCCTGTCCTTTCCCCTTTCACGGGTTATGATAATAGCTCCAAACGACATCGATAAGCGTATGCGCTGGCGCCCTGAGGCACTTGTCAACTTCAAACTGCGCCCCCTCGACTGCATTTCAGCCCTGAGCATCCCATCACAATTAGGTGTCATTCTTTTACACTACTCACGTCTCATCTTACTTGCATAAAAAAGTCGGACACTCCTTAGGGCCGGAGAGAACCTGTAAATATCCAGCTGCCCCCAGGCCATATCCTTCGCATTACAACAACAGTAGTTCTTTAAGTTTAGAGCTTTTATTTTGGCTTTATACATACGTACTCCTGCATTGCAATCTTTTCTTGGCCTGGCTGGGTAAAGCTGTGTATTTGCAATGCCTCCCAATTCATCTGCTGCATTAAAGAAGCAGCAGATCACTCTTGCGCAATTGTCATCGTATGATGATATCCTCACCGATGCCTTAGTCGACCATGTAAGTGGAAAGTCTTGTCTCCGACATTGATGGTGCATTGAGATATGCGAAGGAGACTGACCTTTTACTATAGGCGTACTACTGGACCACAATCCCTAAGAACCGCCCATCTTATCACCCTTCGAGAGGAGTGAAAGAAGAGGAAATCACCAAGATCATTCAATCTCACCTTATTGTCGATCCGGATCTCGAGACTGCCGAGTCTAAACTCCTTGCGACAGACGGATTGCGCAAATTCCACGATGCGCTCAAGACTCCGAAAGAAAAAGCTGACTTCCGCGCTCATCTCCGCCGGTACATGCAAATCTACCTTCCGGACTGCCCTTTTGAGGTCAGCTCGACAAATCGATACACGATTGTTACTCACGAGGCGGCGGTGACTGCGCGCAAGTTTGTTAAGAAGGGCCAGCCGATTAAGTATCTATCGGGCATTCAGGTATTAATCACGGAGAAAGAGGAAAGAGAACTCTCGAAAAGAAAGAAGGATTTCAGCATTGTTGTCAGTGCAAGGAACAAATGTGCAAGTTTGTTCATGGGACCTGCGCGATTCGCCAACCATGACTGCGATGCCAATGCCCGTTTGATGATTACTGGCCAGGCAGGAATTGAGATCATTGCTGCTAGGGATATCGAAGTAGGCGACGAGATTACTGTCACATACTCTGAGAACTATTTTGGCGCCGACAACTGTGAATGTCTATGTCGGACTTGCGAGGACAATTTAGTGAATGGATGGGCACCGGCCGATGGCACTATTGCCGTCAAAAAGAGCATCGAGTCAACTATGGCAGAGGGTTACTCGTTACGCCATAGGAGACGAGATGATAGCTGCGCGTCTACTTCCCGAACTCCTTCAGTCACCCCTGACATCCGACCTCGAATCCTAAAGACGCGATCCAGGACGTTAAAGGTCGATTCTGACACCGGCTCTACTTTCGGGTCTCCGGCACCACAGGACATGTTACGCCAAAAGCGGAAGCGCGAATTCGAATCGCTACAATCACCACCAGTTACTCCCAATAAAAAGCTAAAGTCATTACAGTATGAGGTCGAGGCTCTACCTGTTCCTCCAACCTTGTCTAGACGCAGTAGCGACGAAAGTTCCGCTAGCACTACCTCCTCCGAAAGGGAGAGTGTGGATATGGTTCTAACAGATGTTACAACTCCCGAAGATGTCAAAGACCCCATCCTAAAATCACCGACACTAACACCTGCAAAACTATCAACTACTTCTCTTAAACAGGAGGATTCAGATGCGTCCTCACTTTCCGAAATTATATATAACCCTTCAAGCCCTGAAGCCCAAGACTCTATAGCCGTAGCACCATTGCCTACCGTCGAGACTGTAGGTCAAACGAGTAATGATATGATTACTCCCCCGTCCAGCCAAGTTGAAGAGCCGCCATCGGACAGCATCGTACTCCCAGCGGCGATCGTTGCCATTGCAGCTATCTCCAATTCGGCACAAGCTGCTACCTCTACCCTTGAGGAGGCGGAACTCTCGGTTTCAACGCAAGAACCTAGCCCAAAACGAGGTCGCCCCAGAGGTAGAGCGTCGAAGAATGAGCTTCCAGCCGTAAGCCACGCAGCTGAAGAGTCCGGACCTTCAAAACGTACTCGAACGCCAGGGGATTATACACTTACGCCAGTGCTACTTTCTGAGCCTAACACTGCCTGGATACATTGCACTGTGTGTAGCGAGCCATTTGTTCAGCAAAATGCTTATTATACGCGAAGTTCTTGTCCGCGATGCGAGCGTCATTCTAAGCTCTATGGTTACCAGTGGCCTAAAACTGAGAAAGAGGGTAAACATGACAAGGAGGAACGCATATTAGATCACCGTACAGTCCATCGATTCTTAACCGCAGAAGACGAAGCAAGAATCCGTGGACGAAAGTTTCCTACTGCGACTACTACAGCTACTCCCGAGAAGGAGACACCAGAGAAAAGGGGAAAAGGCCGACCTCGAAAGGTATGGTCTGAGCTAGGTTCGGACGATGAAATGGACGAGGACGATGACAGGGAGCTTGACAGCATTAGACGAAGCATAAGGAAACGGCAACCGAGTATAAAAGTCGCATGTTAGCATATCAGCATATAGTGGGTTTGGCAGCGCGGGAGTGGTTGGGTTAATTGGTTTATCTCGAACAACAACCCGCGGTCCCTCTATGGGACATGTAACTTCTACCCCCCCAGGCATATTCCGGCGTTTCTGTGCCATAGCGTTCTCATCATTCATCGAGTTTAACTGTATACATAAAGTAGTTGGTAGAAAAGATAGTTCCAATGCTTCTGTCTAAAATACCTACCACCTATCCAATAATGCACACAATAGTTTTATTGCTTGAGACTTTGTTTGGAAAATTGTTCTATGAATTGCCTCATGAATCTAATTGCTATATCATGAAGTAGATTATTAGGTACCTTAGTTAGATGTACAAGTGAGTATAGCATTTAAGCTAATGTCAATCATATGTAGAATGGAGATGTTGTGATATTCGATATCAAGATGTACTATGTAACCTGTTACCGCACCGTGTACAAGATGTTCAGGAGATACCTACCTCCTAGTGTGTCTGTCTTAGCCACACTTAACGTCATATCATGCGCTTCAATCCATCTTGTCATGTTTGCTGCAAACAAGCCCAGACAGCCAATCACGTCATAGTATTAGGTACATTACAACGTGTAGTATCCACCTCCTACCTAACCCAACTAACCCGGCTAACCCAGACCTAGAGGACCTATTTTGAGGAGCACAGGTACATCGTACCTGTGTATCAGACGTTTCAGGGGCTTTCTTAAAACAGCTTTCCACTACGTAGATTGCACAATAACGTAAGCCAGCTACATGGTTCCGTTTCTTCCGCGTAACACCATTCGACATTTGCTTTATTCTACACTTTACAACTTCTAGTTGTGAATTTCTGATTTGCATTTCACACATAATAAGTACAGGTAGGTAACCACGCTTATTTACTATTTAGCTTCCTACATTGGTACCTTTCTCTAAAACTATTGTAGCACAGTCAAAATCCCCATTTCACTAGCTTCCTAGCTCGATCCTATTCTCAAGCTTATCCCCACTTTGAACGTTACAATGAGCCGCTGGTCACAATACGATACAGACGAGGAACGCTTACCTGAGGGTATGCAACGTATCGGCTATGATGCCGACACGCAGACCTACACATTTCGTGATGCCGAAGGCACGATCTGGGAGAGCGCACCCGGTAATCGGTACGGTCAACTCCATCCCGTCAATACGACATACGCACCCTACGGTGACGAAGAAGCACGGGATGCAACGGAGCCACTGCATTCCCCCTCAAAGGGTCCATATACTTCGTGGCGACATGAGATGATGCCTTTGCTTAATTGGTTCTTATTAGTCGGTCTATTTCTGATTTTTATATTTTGGTTCATTGGCGGTACGACTAAGAAGATCGAGCCGGTTAATTGCGGAGAGCACAGCAGTCCGTACAAGATCAAATCAGGGGACACATGCTGGGCCATCGCTGAGGGGCATCATCTCCCACTTGATTCCCTCATGAACGAGAACCAGGGTCTCGACTGCGATAAGTTGCCCGTCGGTGGCACGGTTTGTATCCCAAGGGTCTAAGACAGTCGCTACACCAAAAGGGTACAGGGTCTTCTGGTTGTTCTAGGGGTTCTTGACACGGCAGTGTTGGCTCGTAAGACTGTTGCCAAAGTCGAGTCATTTGCTTCGTGGGTGTTTATAAATATGAGTGAGTAGCTGTGCTATCTTGCCCATCTAATTTGCTTCTCGTACTATGGTTTTATTCGGTAGCTATCGTAACTCTATGTCTACTACAAGAAGCCATATCTAGCTTTTAGCTCTGTGTACGGTCCCTTCTATCTAGATTCCGCGCCGTAATACGAGCCGACGATTGCCTTCTACAATGGATCCATCGACACGCCGGTTAGCTCTGTTGAGTGAAGGTGAAGACTGTCAAACGCTAGACAAACAAATTCTAGTCACAGGAGCAATCAATAATCGGATGGCATCGTCGATAGCTTTCCTCCATCGTTGACGAGAATAAACCCGTTACAGAAAGAACCTGCCTTGCTGGCAAGATAGAGGACAGCACCAGCCATTTCGTCATCGCCTCCGAACTTTCTAGCAGGGATGAACTTAGGATCGTCGGCCGTCTCTGTAGCAGGATCGCGTGATCCAATCAAACCTGACGCTAGCTCGGAAGGGAATACTATATATCTATTAACGTCTGAATCGCTAAAGGTTACCGAGAGGATTGAGGAACTTACGCCCTGGAGCCAGTGCATTTACTCTAATCCCATGGACGTTGAGCCCGGTGCTAGCGTGCTTGGTAAGATGAATGAGTGATGATTTGCTTCCTGAATAAGCAAGCGCCGAAAAGTACATTCGACTAAATCCTGAAATACTGCTGGTGATAATCACTTGGCTCTAGGGATGTATTAGCAAACGCAGTTGGGTACACCCAAGCCTTTCATACCTGGATTGAGGGAACATCGCTGCCTTGTTTCGTCGGAGCTCCGAATCCGCCTTCCAAGGCACGTTTGTTACCCGCGTCTAAGAGCTCAAGGAATGCAAATATGGAGAACAGTGTACCAGTGACGTTGACGTGGAAAGCGTTAGTAAACTCTTCCATAGAAGTATCTTCGAATAGAGTCTTCCGGAGCTCTGAGATGGACGCTCCCTTGGTCCAGGATGCCGGTGGGCCGATGATGCCGGAGTTAGCAATGAATAGGTTTACATAGCCGACATCTTTTGTTATAAAATCGACCGCAGACTGGAGGGATTCCTTGGTCGAGATATCGCATTGCACGGGAATGATGTTGGGGTGCGCCTCTGCAGCAGTTTCAAGAACCTCCCGTCGTCGTCCTAGTATATAGACTTTCCTCGCTCCAGCCCCCGCCAACGCCTTGGCCATGATAAGTCCGATGCCTTTTGACGGGTTAGACATGATAAAAAGAACATAGAAGGGTTGGAGACATACCGCTTCCACCGCCAGTGATGGCTGCCACTAGGCCATCCACCCGGAACAATCCAGACGAGTCCATTATAGCTACTTTGATTTATAAATGAAGAAACAATAGTTATCAACCTATCTTTATATAATACTTGCCCAAGATACACTAGATGAGCCGTGAACTTGGTCATTTATATGTAATCTAATAGCCTATAACAATATGGAACATTCCCAGATGAGATATATTCGACACGTATTTATAAACTCCGCAAAGTCCGGCAAGGAGGGGATGTCCGTAGCTCTTGAACCTTGAGGCAGGTTAATAATGCGGTCGCCCATGGAGTCGTCCGGGGGGACGTTCTTAGTAATGAGACTTGCAGCTACCTAGAAGGGCTACGGGTATGCAATTCTTGATTTGAAAGCAGAGGAGTAATCATTGCGAGATTTGAAATGTACCTAGCTCGAGATTGAGCATTGCTTTCGCCTGTACCTAAACCCCAAGTGACCTTCATGTCCGACTCTCAGTATGATAATAGAACCGCAGAACTCCTAACTTCGTGATTATGTTCTCAAGAAACTCAGATATGACAATCTAGTTTTCGATTGATTTTTGCTTACTGGGAGTCTTGCTCTAGAAGAGTGCGGGGTATATATTACTTGTGGTTATAAATTTGCTAAAATGACAACAGGGGTTTCCGTCAATTTGAACTACAACAATGATATTCTGTCTGGGTTTAAGTTGATAACCGGTATAGTTACGGACCATTATATTGTTTATTGGGCTACGGCAAGTTATATGAGCTTTATTGGAAATAGAAGCCCCTTACGAACGAAAGCCTCATCAATATAGGAGTACTGAATTATATTAGTATTTAGTATCGCTGTTCACTGCGTGGTCTATCTCCCCCTGTGAATTGGCATAAGCTGTTAATTGAATAATAGTTTAGCCGCCAACTTCTAACTCTCAGAGCGAGAGATCTGGTTTTATTTACGCTGTCGCTTTCCTCTCCTCGCCTATGAGTTACTTATTTGGGACAGATGTGAAACACGGCTCCCCGTCCAGTTCATCTGCCGATTCCGTCGTCTCGTCCGAACAACGTCGCAGATCCTCAGATCCTCGGAGTAAAATGACAGCATTGCATTAACGGCCTGTTGGCATTGACAGTCTGGAGACTGCCGATCTCACTCCAAGCACATTTCCGGCTGAAGTACACCAGGCAACACCTCGCCAAGTTTACGCCGCGTCGCCTTTCGCTTAACGTGTCTCCGGCTCCGGTTTTGTCATTGTGGGTTTTCCTGAATACTGCATCTCAACTTGAACTGCGTTTGATCTTCGTAAGAGTTTATCTGTGCGAGAGTTGGATGGACAGGTAATATTGGTTAATGGTCAGATGAACTTGGTCAGTTATCTGAGGGAAGAAAAACTACAAATAGCTAGACATATCCTCCAGATGAGCAAATAGTTCTTGACATTGCGAAAATCTCATCTTTCAGCTTCAGCTCCTTTCTTTCTTGTATAAATCTAGTTGCGACCTGGTGTTGCTCATTTTACCTTCGACTATTCCCTACCTTTGAATCAACTCAGACATCGTGGTCCGTCAAAATGGTTCGCATCAATACCGCTGCACTTCTAGCGTGTAAGTCTTGGTCTTAGTCAAAAAATCTTCTTTCCGCGCTCCATGATTGACCATTCTTATCTCGTAGTTGCTCTCGCAGCTCTGGCTCAAGTTACGCCGAACAATGCCGGTGCCAAAGACGTGGGCCAGGGCAACGGCCAGCAGTTTATTACCGGCGGCTGCACGTCAGACGCTGTAAGTACCTATTCTATATTAAGCTCTTCATACCTAGATAAGCGCGGTGACGACTTCGGGCACTAATCAAGTCATCTCTTCGATAGGACTGCTCGTCCGCATGCTGTGCCGAAGTTGAAACCACGGGCCTGGGCGTCTGTTCCAACGAAGTTGCGTCGCTTCAGAATGGGAAATTGGGCTGTGGCTTCGTCGATCCCAATGCCGAGCAGACTATCGCAAATGCACAGGCCCAAGTGAAAAAGCAGGGCTTTTAAGGCTGGATGAGGGCTGGATGAGAATGTTCTGCTGGTACCTATCGGCTATGTGTATTAGCAGTCACATCAATCAACATATGTCGTATATTATCTAGTGTTTAAGCGATTGCTCGCTTCACAGAGGAATTGATGTATTTATATTGAAGTGGTGCTAAGGAATGTGACAAGGTTCTAAAGGCTCCTAGCCCCTATATCCAAGTGTCTTCCGAAGCACCGGCGTTTCATCAGCTCGCCCTCCGTAGTTGCCTTCCGGTCTATTACCGGTCCCTTCATTCCTGCCCGATGGAACTGCTACAACCTACCCCAATTACGCGTAATTGATTTAGATCAAACTTGAAGCGTAAGATGATATGATAGCGAGAAAATATCCTGTTTGACGGGTCCGTATAATGCAGGACACGCCACTTCGGACCCCAACATAGGAGGTAATTACCCCTAAAAAGAAAACATAACCTCGTCTAAAAATAGGTAGGTACCAATGAAATCATATCTAAGCTACTACGATGCCAGTGTCAGATCAGGCCTGGGTGGCTTCTACTAGGTATCTGCTTATGAGGTACCGTCCATTTTTATCAATAGCTGAGATGTGGCGTTCCTGATTTTGCATTACACGACATTAGTTGGGTACATTATTATTACAAGTTGTCTAAGACACCTTCAGTGCTTTTATCAGCCTCTCTAATCCTATTATATGTGTTCCCTACCAGGTAGTCTACCCATCAATCAAAGACAGGTATCCCGCACAAGCCTCGAAATTCTTCAATGCCTACTTCACATGCAAACCTTACCTAGGTAACTTACCGAAATAGGTATTACGGAATCACAACTAAATAAGCCTTCACAGCACGAGCTACCTTTCAGCCAGAAGAAGATGCCCAATCACCGGGGATCTGAAAGCATTTTCGGTCAGTACAGACGGATTTTCACAAGTCCCCCCAAGCCACATAAAACTTCTTCACCTACGGCTTCAGGCCAACCTGTTACGACGACTAGGCTTGAAACCCTATTGAATGCGTGGAGGTTTTGGAAATTGGAGATTCTGTCTTGCCTGCTTGTGCTGGCATCGCCTTTAGTTATACTGGCTACGCTCTATCCATACGACAGGCGGCCTTTGCCCCAGTGGCCAATTCGAATATCAGTAAACACTTTACTTTCGATTTACTCAATGGTGTTCAAGGCTAGCCTGGGATTTGTGGCTGCTTCGTGCATTGGCCAGCTGCAATGGATTTGGTTCTCCCAGGAACGTCCAATCTATGATCTTGTTCGATACGACAACGCGCGCCAAGGTCCATGGGGATCGCTTCAGTTGCTTTGGGCGCAACGTATGCGTCAGCCTCTAACAGCTTTAGGCGGTATTCTCCTAATTTTAGCTGTCGGTATTGATCCTTTCATTCAGCAACTTATCGACCTTGACGATTGCAGTATAGTGGTCGACGATAGTAAGGCTATGTTACCCCGTACAAACAGATTTAATGACCAGCTTGAGGTACCAACGTTTGGGCATGACATCGACTCAGCAATTTCACGAGGAGTTACACAATTGGGAAGCGGTATATACCCCGAATGTGCAACTGGAAATTGCTCTTTTCCAGATGCTTATGGCACTCTTGGATACTGCAGTTTCTGTGAAGACTCGTCAGATGAGATCACCATCGACACAATTCACACACCAATCACAAACTCAACGGTCTGGCCGTATCCCAACGAAACCGTCACTATAAGGTCCAGTCTTCCTGAAGGAATATACCAAGCCAATAATCCGATGGACCTTGCGCGCCTGAATGTTACCTATTCTATCAACGTCTCCGAGTCCGATCCTTACGAGACATTTGGAATAGACGGAGTTGAGGTGGCAAAAATGAGTATATTCTTTGACGACGACGACGAGCTCAGCGTGCCAGCGAGACCGGAAAGGATGAAGGTCAAAATACTTGCCGGGAAAACGTCATTCTCCGATAGACATATTGACATGTCTACTGGACAGATTATAAAGGAGTGTGAAAACAGGACTTTTGCCAACACATGGCGCTGCAGGGGGTACGGGGCGGCTACGTGCGCAATTCAACCATGTGTGAGGATATATAATTCCACGGTGCAGGCAGGCCACTTATCTGAGAACCTGCTCACCCAAACCGGCGACACGGCATGGGGAAATCACCTTCCTGACAACATGGGACTTGGCATTGTAGATACAAAGTGCCTCACGCCTCAAAATAAAAGCACTATAATCAACCAAGGATACGTTATTGACGAATCACAACGTTGGCTTCCTTATAACGCTTCGTTTTATACTGGTGGCGGCGACTTGTCGACAGTGAATATATCTACCTCACTTCTTGCCCAGAAATGTTTATATTTCATGGACAATGGATTTGTATCCAGCTTTGGGCCTTTTGTAATCGGCGGATATTTCAACGGTGCTCTGAAAGGTGCCGGTGGTCATAACGGCAAAGACGGATTGACTATTAGCGAGTTCGACGGGCCAGATATTATACGAAGTATTTACAACTACGGTCGTGTCGACTTCGACCATATACAAGGCATATTTTCGAATATATCCGAGTCCTTAACTACGTACATTCGAACTAACGGAAACGAAAACTACTCAGAACCCGCCGTTGGGGAGGTTTTTCACTATGCGACCTGTATTCGCGTTCGATGGGAATGGATAGCATTCCCGTCGTTGCTAGTCTTCCTCACCATGGTGCTACTTATCTGGACCATATGTTCGAAGGAATCTAGGACCTTTCCGGCCTGGAAAGCGTCCCCCCTTCCTTGGCTTATGTATGGGCCAGACAGCTCCGGGCTTTTCAATAGGGACGAGTTGGAAGAGATAGAATACGAAACTGATGAAATGGAAAGGATATCTAGGGTAATAACAATTACCTGGAAGCCCCTACCTAACCCGCATATTCAAACGGATTAGTTGAATAGAAGTTCAGTTGATAGGGTTAAGGACATTTAGATATCAATGTTAGGTGCACATAAGTCAGGTACCTAAAGCATATTGTATATAGTAGTTAAAAGTCATTACTACTAATCTATAAGTCAATGATAATATTTGATCGAACAATCTTTTCATTTAGCGGTCTTTCTAGGTCCGAGAATGCCTTAAGATTACCTATTCTAGAGGTACTTATCATCTTCAGCGCAACTGTTCATTACCGTAGGAAATGACGATACCTAAGAATTAGGTACTATCAAGGTAAATTAGGAAGCAGATATAAATCGACCGGTACCGTTGTGGCGTAAGGGAAGAGGTGATACCGGCGTGTAGCATTAGGTAGTCGTGATTCTTATTGGCTCATGGCGTTTCTAAATATAGGGGGGAGGGATATCCTTACATGGATTTGGGATCTTATGGCTGTAGGTGCCCTTTAAGGGGGTGCCCGTATTGTCTTTTAGCGCCAATATATGTACTTCTAGAAAAAGAAAGTCACCCAGTGAAGAGCAATTTGACTTCTATTTCTCAAGTTTGTTGATGAGATTTGACTTGACATTTTAGAAAGAGAATGGCTTGGCTAGATCCGTATTGTTTAAAATACCTTACCTCCTATTATCTAACGCAGGTGGGCATATTTTGTGAGCACTAGAAAATCATTCACTACCTGTATTCTGCATGAAAATGGTCAGCTGGGTAGGGTGAATGGTTAGGACTGTCATTGTGAAAGAGGCGCAAACTCTGTTCCTGAGGTACTTTCAACAGGTGTGCAGTTTACGATGTACTGACGTGGTTTCGCTTGGATGGCCGCTAGATTGGTCCGTTTTATTAGGCGACCATGATTCTGTATGTTTTTATTGACCAGCGTCATTGTCGCAAACATGATTCAACGGCCCCTCGCACCAGTGCACAACACCATTGTATTGTCGCCCAAAGCATCTTCTAGACGCCTTTATGCCTAATTGTCTATAATTAAAAAAAAGAATCTTTATGTTGTCCAGTATGACATATGAATTATAACGTCGCTGGTTTTCATTTTGCCGAAAATACTACAAATGCACCCGAACGAGCCGACCTTCCGCGTGCGCTCTCGTTGAGGTTACATCATTTTGCGATAAACAAGAACGATAAAGAAATTCTAGACCATCATGGCGACGGTTCAAAGAAGCAATTATCTCCCTTACCTCCAACAACTTCTCGACACTCAAGGCGATACGGACGGCGTGGCTATAGAAAGTATATGTATGATCTGCCAGGATAACAGACTCGATATTTCAAAGAGTACCAGAGAATTTCCCGCGCCTATCCAACCTCCTACCAGGCCTCGGAAGGAAAAACCCCCAAAGGAAAAATCTCCCGATGAAAAGAAATCCCCCGATGAAAAATCTCCGGATGGAAATGCTTCAGAGGAAAACCCTCTAGAGGAAAAGAGTCCAGAAGAACAATCTTCAGAGGGAAAGTCTTCAAAGGAAAAAACTCCAGAGAGAAAATCTATAAAGGACTATCTCGAGTCGCATAAGCATCTTATCGAATATACAAAACATGGAATCGAACGAACTGTCGCACTCGCGTGTGGTCACGTTTTCGGCGACCGATGCATTAGAAACCTCTTGGCGAAAGGTTCGGATCTCGTCTGTCCGTCTTGCGGATATAGAATGGCATATCAAGGCTGCGGCCACGCCATCCCGCCGGCGCTGATTCCGATCGACGGCAACAATTCGGTTCGGGATACATTCCCTTTGACGATCCCCGAAGGCGCGCAAGACCCGCACAGCTGCATGGAGTGCAGATGGATACACATTCGATCACATATGCGGTACGCGCTCGCGGACGAGTGTATCCTCTGCCGGCAGAAAGCGCTCGCTAACGTACCGCTGGACGTGCCTGGGCACCGCACGCATCGAGAACAACATGTCAACTCCGGACTTAGGCAGGCTTTGAACGAGATCGTCACGCTTATTTGGCCCGAGTTTGTGACACGGGAGACAAACACGTCGCTGGCAAAGGCCTTGGCTGAAAGTGAGCGCCATCAAATCCAAGTTTCACTGTTAAATGCCATGGTTCTATCGGAGCTAGACGAGACAATTTGGTATCGCACTAAGGCCGGCAGGCCGACTCAGCTCACTAAGGAACAGTTGAGAAGGCACAACCGGGGGATGGCATCGATCGAGCAGACTCTGCTAGAATGGCTCATGAACTCTAGCCGAGAGCAGAGACGGATGTGGTAGATCATTCTTCTCTTAACTGTTTCATCGGTTAGGTACCTGGGGATTTTCGGCGTTGACAGGTAGGAAAGGGTAATTCAAGTCGGCAGGGTTTATAAATAGGTACCACTCTGTGTGTTCAATAAAGATACCAAGGATGAGTTGTTTTTTTTCTTTACCTCAGTATCCACCCCTTGGCCCCCAAGTCGTGTCCGAATGAACAAGGCAGCAACCTAGTTCTCCCCTCCCCCCGCTCGTCAGCCTTATGATTTCTCTGCAACTTTGCTCCAACACCGCGAGACCTGTCAGACCTTTTCAGTACTACGTATAATATATTGGGTGAGATGTCATAATTCAAAATGGGACTGCCAGCTTTGCCAAGGCGGCAAAGCGGCAAAGCAGTAGGCAGCAGGCTTGGAAAATCAGATATCTCTCCACTGCTTCACGAATGCTGCAGATATCGTTTAACTACCGAGCTAATATTACATGCCTGCATGCTTCCTTTTTATAGCCCCCCGTTTGCAAGCCACTAGTGCTACTAGGTGGTACAATACCTAGATCAAATAGTCCTAGGTTGCTCTAGACAATAGGTGAAACGTGACAATCGACGATATATCTTTTTAGGATCAAATTCGGCTAACATTAACATGTCGGCTAACATGCTGTGTGATACTGGTACCCAACTTGTTTCGAATTAGGGTTCAAATAAGCCAAAATCCTTCCTCTAAGTGTATAACCTTCATGATACGACCAGAAATAGACCTTGAGTTACGGTCACATTTCTTATGTTGCACTAGACTTTGGATCAACAACTGCGCCACAACATATGAGTGCTATCCTGGACTATGTATCACTGTAGGGATTAATTACATATGTAGCATCCAGGTATAGTATGTAGGCTGACAGGTATGTTGGTAGGCATGTATGTATATGAGTCGCCGAAAAGTTGAGAAAACACCTCTTTTTGCCTGCGTTCTGTGATCTCTGCTAGTCTTTCTTCAACTCAACTTCTCTATAATCTAAGCGCACTCCTACGACCAAAGTCTCACCTCGCTCTTCTTCCCCTATAATACCTACATTACCTAGGTATACTTTGAAGTCTTTCTCGCATTACGATGTTGAAGTTAGCTGCGCTCGGTGTCCGAGGCTTTCTGGTATGCTCCTCGAATATTTGCCTATATTCTGTCGGTGATATCCATACTAACTTACCCGCAAGCTTCTATTCAGCGCAGTGGTACTAGGCCTCTCCGTAACTCTTGCGAAGCAGCAAGTCGAGGGTGCGCCCCCTTCAGAAACATCATTTGGAAGCTTCTGCGGTGCGTTCGGTATACTGGTGTCGCTGGTGGGCATCGCTACATTATTCATCGACAAGATCCCAGCCATAGTGCCGATGATAGCAGATGGTCTTGCAACAGCGCTTTACCTTGCTGGTGCCATCGTAAGTTAACCCTTCAATGCTAAGTTTTCATGCGTATTTTCCCAAGAACACGTTCAAAGTACTGACGTTATGTTTTTCTATCAAGGCATTGACGATTGCTTTGAAGCCAATACCCAGTTGCACGGGTGACGATGACGAAAGCCGGATCGAAAGAATCCAAAACAAGCTCCTAACAGGTGGCTGCCGAACTGTTGGCGGTTTTGACGTATGTCCGGGTAGACCTGACGAAAACGGATTGAAGGGCCGATGCCAAAGGGTACAGGTGAGTTCTTGCAAGTTTTCTGTTACTTAGCTTCTTCCTAAGAAGTCAACTCCCCTAAGACGTGACACGGATCCGCCTTCTTTCGATTATATTATGTATGTCTAAGGATGGCATTTGCTGATTTCAAGCATTCTATTAGGCCGACTACGTATTCGAGTATTTAGCCTTTGCTTTCGGAGTCGCCATGATAGCTTTAACCTTCTTCTTCAACAAGGGGAAGGGAAGTAGAACCGCGACCTATGTCTAGGAACCTTACCTGCTAATTTAGGACTAATCATTTACCTATCTGGTCGGCCATGAAAGGGTATGGGATTGTTCACACTTAGGTACCTCCTACCTAGGTATGTATTGGAAGGGATGATGACGAGGAAAATGTCTTCCAGGATCCAATTATATATTTAGGATGTTAGAATAAAAAGTAAACGAGGGTGACAGAAATCCTTGTATTGTATTGTTGTGTTGGGACGGAGTATGGCAGTAGCTTCTTCCGAATGGCTCATCCCAACATGGGCTTCCAGTTAGATATAACCGTGCAAGAGAGCACAGTCGGAACTTCGCAGTGATGTGTTTCATCGGAATGTGGGCACCCGTTTGTGATATGTAATACCACACAATACAGAGCTTCAAACCCGGACAAACCGTTAGATTCTGCCCTTGCCTGCTCGGAATTATTTTTTGTCTTCTAAGAGTCGTGTTGGATTTCGATTCTGAGGGATTGCATTCCTCATCCCTTTCCAATTAAGACAATGACTGGGAACCACATATGATTTATTATATAAAGGCCATCTGCGCGCATGATTCTTATAACGTAAATTGACCTCCAGAGTCGCGTGAAGCGAAGGTCCAATTTTTCCATGTGCTCGACATACGCTCGACATACACGCGACTTTGGGCCTATCCGCGACGTTTGCACTACCGAATACCCGAGGAACATCTACGAAGCCAACTAAACAGTAGAGTTGCCAGCGCTGCTTGGCAAAAACATGGAAGATTTGGGTAGTTAATTAAGCGGTAATGAAATACTTTCCCTAAAGAGGAGATAATGATATTATTCCATATGAAGTAGGTATTTAAGACAATGTACCTACCTAGCATCAGGTATTAGAGCGCTATTATAGTCTGCTTCTTCGGGATATTCGCATCAAAGCGCATTGATGTGGACTAGACGTCAATGCTACCAGTTAATCTAATATCCCGACTGCTCGCACCGACATATAAATCATAATGGCCAGCTTGTACGATCCAACCCTGAGTGACCACGTCCCACACACTCAAATCACGCCTCGTAAGTTCGAAAGTGACCTCGGCGGATTCTCCCGGGGCCAGGGGGACTTTTTCGAACCCGCGCAGCTGCTTTGGCGGGCTGTTCGGGATTCCGACGTAGAGCTGCGCCACCTCCGCGCCGGAGACCTTGCCGGCGTTTGTAATCGTTGCGTTAACTGTGGCCACGATGTCCCATAACGCTTCGTCGTTGCTTGGAGTAGAGGATCCTTGCGGCTCCGGTGTAAGACCCAGGGGCTCAACTAAGAGCGAAGAGTAATTAAATGTCGTGTAGGATAGACCGTAGCCAAATTCAAAGCGCGGGGCTATGTTGTTCTCGTCGAAATGACGATAATCTACGTAGACTCCCTCGGTGAAGTCGCACTGTGGGCTTGTTGTGTTTGAGGGGCCGCGATCGCAGGGAGAGTAAACCGCATAATCGCTCTCATTCCTGGCCAACGTATACGGCAGCTTTCCCGAAAATTGGGCCTCTCCATAGAGGAGCTTGACGAAGGCTTTCCCGCTGTCCTGACCGGGGAGGTGAGCAATAATTGTCGCGGTAACGTTAGGATGCTCGATCCACTGATCGACTAGACGGACACCCGCAGCATGGATGACGACAATTGTGTTTGAACATTTAGAAGCAACGTTCAAAACCAGCCCGTCGCTAAAGTCATCGTGAAGTCCATCTCGGTCCCATCCTTCGGTAGCAATGGCATTGATAAAGACTAAGCAAGCGTCTGATGCTGCATTGACATCCGGTTTAGGTGAAGTTAAATCCCAGTTAACCCAGGTTCCATCGATTCTCGCCCTTTGCTGAATAGCGCTCAAAGGCTGTATGAAGGTTAGTCAGGTAAACGAGAAGAACTTTAGGTCATTTACATCATCTATATAAGCTGGCGCGTTGGCGCCGGCTCTTCCTCCAGTCACAATTGTACCTCCTTTGGCAGCTTGGTTGAAGTGACTCTTCGTGCCTAATACTGCTTGCCCCATTTCTGCGGAAGAAGTGTATCCTAGTTGGAAGAGAGTATCCGTGTTCTTAGTCTTCGGGATAGTAGCATCATAACCGTAAACGGACAGCATGGTCAGGCACCTCTTGAAAGGCAATGCTCCGTTATTCTTCACTAGGACATGTCCGGCTATCGCACCTTCTAGTATAACCGGCTTCGAATCAGGGTTGCGGGCATCGACTTGCTCATGGGGCAAGGTAAGATTCTGTAGCCCGAATCCGGGAACCGGGAAGTTGCTGCCATTTTGACCTACAAGGTACCATGCCGCAAGGATTCTATGTATAATTGAGCTGACTGATAACATAAAATTTGGATATAACAATTATCTTACCGTGTTGCCATATCTGTAACCCTGTCTTCACTTACAGTTCCGTTGTGAACAGCTTCGGTCAGGTTGTTACCCCAGAAGCCGCCTCCAGGCATAAGCACTAGCATCACGGGTTAGCAACCCCTATTCAATTGACAACCCATAAGTATAAGTTGTGGGGATATCGGTAAAACATACTGTCCAGCCCTGCATTCGCACTCTCGAGATTATGTTGAGCGTTCCAATCAAGGAGTACGAACCCATCAAAGGCAAGTTCGGTTTTAAGGACACCATTTAGCAACTTGCTGTTCTCGCAGCCGTACGTGTTGTTGATTCTATTATAGGAACACATAACCGAGGCGACACCAGCCCTGACGCCATCCATGAATGGCCACAGGTAAAGTTCATGAAGCGTCTTATCATCGATGTTCGCCGAGACAGCTTCAACACCAAAATACGGCCGTCTGTACGTCTCCTGTTCATTGGCAATGAAATGCTAGACGTTCGGTTAGCAATTTGAAGATGTGTTGATCCTGTGCATCAAGATTATACTTTGATATTCGCAATTACACCGGCGTCTTGGTGGCCAGCGATTGTCTCCGCGTTCAACTGCCCAGATAAGTAGGGGTCAATAGAGAAACCCTCCCAATTCCGGCCGCCTAAAGGAGTTCTTCCTAGCGGACCTGCATTGGGACCAAGCACGATATTAACTGATAAGATGTAAGTTGATTGTCGTAAAAGACTTAAAACTTTCTGCATATTAGTACTTACCACCTTTCGCTTTGAATTCATCGCCAATATAGAAGCCTCTCTGATATGTCAGATTCCTGTCCCAGCTTGCACCAACGTGAATTGCCGACGGGTATGAATTAACGAGGTCCGTAGCTCTAACCCCATTACCTGCATCGTGTAGACACATGCCAGGCCATCCCAGCCTCGGGACTGTTCCCGTATTACCAGCGCAGACATTATCGCCAACAGTAAAGCCGCGTGTGATATTGACCTTCTCCTCTAATGTCATCTGACCTACAAGGCCGCTGGCGCTGTTGTATGCATCGGCCCATCTGCCTGCTCCCTTCCCGGGTGCTTTTGGCTGAGGTAAGTAATCAATTCAACTTATTTAATTATTCAGGCTTATATCTAGACTTACGCGTAGGGAAAAACGAAGGCGATTGAGCATAGTTCCCTCCAGGACTGAAGGATGCAGACGCAACAACTGGCGATATCGAGAGCGCCGCTAATAGCGGAGGCAACATAGCGGCTACCATTTGAGAGTCGGCCTCAGATAGACCTATTCATGACTCGGCACAATGGTCAGGAAATTGAATTACACTTCCCTCAGCGCGAAAGCGGAAGCCTACTTTTTAAAGTAATACCGTAATCCTAGATGCTTGCTTTGCTTTGACATGGATCCAATGATGCTCCGCTCCACTAACTTGGCAATCCAGCCAGTGCGGCATAAGATCCCAGAAATCTTCACCGCTTTAAGAAATCGGGTTCCTTGTTAGTCCCCGGATTTACCATGTAAGTGACGGGTACTACCTTACATGTCAGCCATGTGTCCAACAACATGTTGGGGTTGGGAATACGACCCAATGGGACTTCATCACAAACAAATACGCAAACAAAGCACAGAGTAGCACTACGCTCACCATGACCAATTAAGCATTACGTATGGCCATGAAAGAAATTTCCAACCAAGGGAAAATTAAGTCTACAGTGTTAAGAAAGAGAGGTGCATGAGTACGAGTCTTATTACACGGAATAAAATAGGCAGCAGGTAGGTAGCTGAAGTATCATGTAGCAGTTTGAAGTAAGCTGCTGAATAGCTAGATACAATAACAGATATATCAGATATACAACTCATTAACATATCAACTATTATTCGAGAGTAATTTATTTACACTGATGTTTCCATCACAATAAGCTTCATATGAATAGAGAAATAGAGTAGATCGTTTGTACTTTTGTATAGGTATTAGATATATAGCAGAAAAGAAGAGAAAGAGAACCTTTGGAAAGTCTTACTAACGAAAGCTCCTACTAGAAACAACATGTCAATTAATTTGATTCATAATATTAGTGATACTTAGAGAGACTATAGACATATTAACTATCGGAAACTCGGAATCCAAGAATCTGCCCGAGATTCATTCATAACGATTATTAATTTATCAACAGGTCTTCGACGCCTGGGACTCATCAAGACAACAAACGTGGTCAGAATGCAATAAAGAACATTACTGCCTTTCGGTTTCGGAGCACTACGTAGTAAATGGTACATCAAAGGCTTTGTGTTAGTGACATGGCACGAACACAATGCCACCAATGCATATGAAGCAACACAGAACCCTTATGTAGCAAGATATAGATTGTTCCGAAGCTTCACAATCCTTTTCCAAACTCCTATAGACTGTTGCCAGCCCCATATATTTTCCACCAACAGCAAAGAAAATAAAAACACATCCTAATCAACTAACGATGGCACCTTTTTCTCTCAATACTATCATCCAGTGTCCAGGGCGAAGCTCTGCTGACGTAGGAGGTCTCACCGATGGTTCCTCTGCCTCTTGGTGCAAAGGGATATCCCCAAGGGAATACTCTCCCTCATCCCTTGATTGGCCACCTAGAGGGGGAAGTCTTGCACCTTGGATAGCGGTTTTTATCTGCGTGCCACCGGCTATAATTCTCCTGCTATGGGCTATATGGGCATGTGCTCATCGTAAACGTCGTGGTTAAGCAAAGCGCTCTCCGCTATTAGCTCCATATGTCCTCATAATACAAGCCAAAGATAACGGTAGCTGAACCGGGAATTAGGGCATACATATTCTCCGATAGTAGTAATATTGAACCAAGTTCTTTGAAATACGGTTACCTATGTGAACATAATTGAAGTTTAAATTCCTCCTAGGTATCTCTCCTGTGCGGGTTAATATGAGGGCAAGGTTCGGATGTGCACTTAAGGGACGGAGCATATACTATTGTGGGAGTCGCGTGGCCTTGTGTTGACATTATCGTAACTCGAATGATGTGTTTCAGTAGGGCCGCACCAATAGATCGACAATTGAAGAGAGATCGCGACGGCATGCTATGGATCAATCAAGAGGCAGAAGCGTTCCATAGCCTAGCCCTTCGCAATGTAATCAAATTCCACGTCGTAGTTTCCAGGTGTTGCCGCTCTCCCTCGGGTGTCGATCCTGAGAACATTTCGCGCATGTGTGGACTGAGACATACTGCAGAATCATAAGTCAATCCAATCCAACTACTGAGGATTCAGGGGCGGTAGGCATGTAGTAAAATCAACCCTACCCGTTCCCTTGAACTCATACCAAGGGCCATCCAGATACAAAAGGCTGTCAGAATCCTCTAACTATGTCAGAAATCTCTCTCAGCATCATCGAACAACTCTTTACTCACTAACAGTCACTCCTTTAGTTTGCACTTCGACTTTTACATTCCTTTCTTTTCGCTCATCAGCTTTCGTCTTTTGGCATTCCTCAGAACAACCAACCCATACCGAACCAATCATTCAAAATGCAGCAACGCGCGCTCATCGCTCTCATCACCCTGCTCGCAGCAGCAGTCAACAGCGCCCCCGTTAACGCTGTGCCGGGCGTTGGCGCACTAGCTGCCCGTGCCGCTCCCTCTCACGTATCCGGCGTCACCGCCGGCCACTCCGGCATCAAGGGCGGGTCGAAGAAGGAGCACAACTCGGCCGAGGGCGCGCATCAAGCCAGCCAGACCGGGCACAAGGCCGGGGGCGCGGGTCATGTGGGTGGACAGGCCGGCCAGCACGCCGTCGAGGGTAGCCACGTGGCGGGCCAGGCCGGACAGAAGACGCACGACGAGGGTCAGTTCAAGAGCAACGACGAGGAGACGGCAGGCATACAAGGGCACAGGGCCGGCATGCAGGACCACAAGGCGGCGCACGAGGAGCACCAGGCGTACGAGCACGGCAGCGAGGGCAGCCAGGCGAGCAACTACGGCGCGGACCGCAGCGCGTCGAAGAAGGGCGTCGCGCACAACAACAAGAACGGCGCCGACAGCGCCGACCGCGCCTCCCTCGACATGGCCGACGGCTTCCAGGCCGGGTTCCAAGGGTCCAAGTCCGGATACGACGGGGACATCGCCGGCTACGAGGGCTCCAAGCACGGGAAGCAGGGGTACCACTCGGGGACCCAGGGTTCCACGCACGGATTCGAGGGCTCGCAGGCCGCTGCCGAAGGATCCAAGATCGCGGGCGAGGGTTCCCGGTTTGGTTTCGAGGGTACTAAGGGCGCTTCCGAGTCCTCTAGGGTTAAGAAGGAGGGTGCCAAGGAAGAGAGCAGTCTCTCTGGCCTTCTCGGAGGATTCAGCGGCTTGGGTGCTGGCCGCTAATAAGCGTAAGTTCGCTGATCTCCTACCGCCTCTAGCATTGTTAGGTACTAACCTCCCTCCCAGGCCACCTCCTAGCTTTCTTTCATTTCTATTCGCCCAGTCAGCCGACCGCATCCTTCAACTGAAAGCAGAGTTTAAAAATTGGAAAATCTTGGGGTTGGCAGTAGTAGTTTAGTTTGGCAGCAACAGCTAGTTTAGTGTCGCGTTCCTAATATATGGTGTATTACTAGATCTGATTTCATTTACCATTTGCGTCAGCCATCACATCTCGTCATGACACAGCCACTCTAGGTAGCCATATCTTTCAGCGCATTTTGTCTTCAATGTCTAATGCAAGATAACCTCTAATTATATTATTGCAATTATCCTACACCTACGCTGTATGTTTATGCCCTTGTTATATTACTCCTTTAGTCTTCAGTGGTACTTCCACCCATATTATATCCCGCTTATATGCACCTCCCTTACTCCCCTAGTAAGCCTCTGAATCGGTACCGTTTCTACTTACACGGTAGACCTGCGCTGGCGATGTCAGCAATTAGAGTTTTGAATTGAGGGCCAAGTGTGTTGACAACGATTGACACATCAGGGGGTTCGGGCCATGCCTGCTCTTCCTGTCGCGTCAGAGCATCCGGATCCCAAGCCTCAGTTTTCGCGATGGCCTCTGTCTTTCCAAGGGCCTTTAATCCCTTGACATCTTTTCCCCTCCTGGGCGGACCGTTGGGTGTGTTTGGTGTGACGATGGTCTCGTCCAATAGGCAGTGCCAGCGCGTTATGTATACTCCTGGTCCACCCATACTCCCACACATTTCCTTCTTTTCGTAAGCAGCGAGGACATCTATAATATCCTGCATCCGCATAATTGATACTTCCTCTGATGTAGAGAGATACTTGACGTGATCATTGATGGACTCCCTAACGCTAGTCTGCTGGTCGGGCGGAAGTCCACTAAATAGGTCCTGTAGATTCCTATATATTTCTCCAGGCTCGCCAAGACCTTTGCCTTTACGAGTTCGCCGAAAAGTTTCTAGACTTTGTTTAGCCCAGTCCAACCACGTCTTCCGCAAGTCAGGACAGCCATCCGCGAAGTCATGCAGATACTCATAGGCTAGGTGGCGGTTCCGTTTCAATAAAGCAACGTAGTCTTCAACGGATGGCGGCGCAGTGCTGTTCTGTAATTTTCCGTTTTCTCGTACCTTCGGCTTGCTTGTCTCTATTAAGTCCGTCAAAAAGCTCTCGACGGAACTGAGATGTTTCCGTATGTCCACATTCTTATGGATGTCCCGAATCATAGGTTCGAAGACTGATACCACGTCCCGTATAACAGTCGTAGTTAGGTCGGGAGTTTGGCGACAGAGGACCTCCGTAATTTTCTCCCTATCTCTGATCGCAAGCTGAGCTGAGTAATATTGTAAGCATTGAGCATGCTGCTCCTCTGTAAGCGATTTTAGTAAGGACTCGTCCTTGGCCGCCAAAATAGCCACGATTATGGACTTTCCATCCCGCTTGCTCAATTCACGAGACGATTCGTGTTGGTCCCGAGATGCCTGTAGGTGTTCATCGATTGCGGCTAGGCACGATTCGCTGGGACCATCTTTGCTTCGTTTGATATTGTCAATTGCCTTACGAAATTCTCCGGTATCCCATTCTAACACTAGAGATATTATCCTGAAGATGGTTAGCTCCGCCGTTGTTGTATATAGCATAGCAATGCGAATATGGGTTACCTTTGTAAGAGATTCATCCCATCTGAAGCATTCTGCGTCAATCCAAGCCAATTCGAAATGGCGCCGACACTGACTTTTGCTAAGAATAATCTCACCATAGCATTAATCATGGTTCCGGCATTCCCAACGCGCAGTGTTTGACCGATTACTGAGTACGGGATCAAGCCATGGATGTTATTGATCAACTTGAGTAAATAGGGGCCTTCTGCTGAAAGAACAAAAAGGTGGTGGAGAAACGTAGCAATATAGATGATAGCGAAATTAACGGCAGCATCAACCGCTGGCGAATGATCCTCGAGATTTGCAGTCTTTGTAAAGTGATCAAATAACTCGTCAATCAGGTTCCCATAGACCAAATGCTGGACAACATCATCCCAGGCTTTAGAAATGTCTTCTGCTTTACGGGCGTCATATTGGCTCTGCAGGTTTGGTAACTCATCATTAGGTATGCCGTTTAATAAGCCCCTGGTGATGCATTCATGGATAACTGAGGCGGCCGACGCTAGACGTTTCCTACTTCCTAACGTCCCTTTATCGTAGCTTTCTGACAGGTCTGCTTCGCCAAATCTTCTCATTATACTTCGGAACTTGGTACTCCAAAACTCTGGGGGTAGATCTCTTACACCGGGGATGGGAAGAATTAGCCTGGTAAGGAGCAGCTGCAGCAATGGAGATGATGATTTAGCAACTCCATTTCTACCTCTATTTCTACCTCCATCTTTACCTCCAGCTCTACCTCCAGCTCTACCTCCATTACTCGTTTGGAGGCAAAACGGATAGCCATATTTCTCGATAGATTCGGGATACTTAAAGCTCTCGGCTTCCGAGTAAGTCTCGTGATGAACGAGGATGTCGACTAAGGCCCCTAACTGCTGCGAAGATAAAGCTGTAGAAGACATGTTTACCTTGGGTACATAACCTAGGAAAAGGAGCGACGAGATATTATGGACTTTGAAAAAAAAAAACCGAAAGCTGAAGAAATGAGCCTTTCTAATTTACCTGGTATAGAATTTATTTAAGTTGATGAATGCATTGCGACGTTTATGATTATTGTAGGTACCTGAGGTACTTGATCGCTACACGTACCTCTAGATTAGGTACCTACCTAGGTACCTATCTACCTCCTAAAGTTGTGTACCTAACCCAATTGGCTTTATTAATAGCGGATGACTTCTAAAAATTGAGGACGACTTACTGACGTCATACGGAATGAGTGGGCTAAACTCGTACGCTGTGGTACAAGGGTATACGTAAATTAGTTGTGATGTATATTCGACAGCTGTCAACTCCGATGTATTGCTCAGATGCGCTAACTAAAAGCTGCATTAGGTGCACTTTTACTTTGTTGTGCGGTCGGTAGCTGTAGGCTGTAGCTACCTAATGCATGTTTCCCGTTCCATGGCATCATGGTGTTACCAATTAACGATGCAAATTAAACACATTTTTATGTGCTACCCCAGCTTAGTCTAGATATAGCTTAGCTGAAGGATTAAGAGCATGTGAGTAATTAAATATTGTATAAGAGGTAGGTACCTAAGGTAGATTTAGTAGCTTCATATTAGGTACACAACAATGGGTCTTTTCAAGCATCAACTATTAGGAGTACCTAACTTAGGTGCGGCATAAAATAAACTTGTGAAAAAAAGATTACGATTGTACCAGATTGAGACTTATGGAAGATAATGGCTGCTGGTGCCCCGCTTTCATATTACATAATGCGTTCGCAATAAATAAAATTCAGCCGACCATCTCCCGCAAACGCTCCCGCAAACGCCCCCGATCTACGAATCGTAAAACCTGGTCCAAACATTATTCATCGTCATAAACTCAAAATGACTTTTGAGAACAATGCCACCAGGCCGCGATGATATTAATGGCTTACCCCGGGATATATATACTGGGGTTCTCCCTGTAATACCGTCCGATTTAGGCCCGGATAATCCGTCTCGTAGTAATGCCGCAACTGCCGCATCCGCTGCTGGTGTCCGAGCCTTGAGCGCCCAGGCTATCGCTTTTTACTTCAGGGCTCCCGTCAAAGCTTTTTTCCGGACTCGAGTTGACTATCTTGCGTATGCCCGTAGCGTGCATCAGGCACAAACACAACTATTCACCGAAGCTGCTGCTAATAGTCATACGGCTTCGAAGCTAGGCCTCACCCTTAAACAAGCATGGATGTGGGCACGAGGTACAACACCAGGCTTACTCGCATCTGTTATTCGACAACATGGCTGGAGCGTCATACCCGAGCAGATCCTCCCACCTCTCATAGCAAATGTTGGGGTTGGGGCGGTATTGTATACTAGCTACCTACACATCTTGGCTCAGCTGCATGAAGAAACGTCGAGGGCACAGAAGAGAGTATTTCCCCCACCAGACCCTATCCACACATTTACTGCCGGTTTCATAGCCGGAAGCATACAAAGTGTTGTTGCAGCTCCGCTTGATGCCATCCAAGCGAGATATGACCATCGTGATCTCATGTCTGGCAACGAAAATGGGAAGCCGAGGAGCATGTGGACGTTCTCGGCAGAGAAGCTTAGGGAAATAGGACTGCGAGGAGTCTTCGCAGGATGGGGTTTATCTTTCTTAAAGGATAGCTTCGGTAGTGCCATTTTCTTCAGCACTTTCGAATATGTCAAGGCTCAAGGGTTTTACCGCTTCATCACGTGGTACTATGGAGGTTTACATCCCGACGTTGTTGATGTGTTGGCTCAAAAGAGGCCACCCACTCGCAAGAGCTCGCACGACAATGCTATGAAGGATGGCAGCCGTCCAGTTGTTATCCGTCCCCACTACGCAATTGAGCCGATGTTCCTGCTATTCGCTGGCTTCACGGCCTCGCTCACTCAGCAGCTAATTCTCCATCCGTTAACCCATATTCAAGTTGAACACTGGGATCATCTGGAAGACCTTGACGCCAAAGCGGCAAAGTTGAAGAATTCAGAGACTACAAACCCCGATAAGCCAAAGCGTAAGTGGCGCATGCTCAGAGCTTATTATCATGCCTACCAAGAAACATGGAATAAGTGTATGGCGGAAGCAACTGCAGAGGGCATGGGGTTGACACGATGGCTATACCGTGGGTTCTGGTGGAATACTAGTAAGTCCTTCCCACCCTAAATATGCTAATGTCTAAGTCAGATCGACATGGAGTAAGATCTAACTACATGCCTACAGTCCGACAAGTACCGAGTACTAGTGCCGGTCTAATCATCTTCGAGTTAGTCCGACGTAAATACGGAAGTGGGAATGAGCCTGTGCGAGTCGCGAAGGACGATTATGAAATTCTTTTAGAATAAGTTTAGATATTGATTTCCAGCGTTTTTTTAGCTTCAGATACAGGGTAGACATTCCCAACTTGGCTTGAGGCATACTCTAACATAGCGACGGGACGGACGTACAGCTTTTCAGCATTTCCGATGTAGACATAAATCACGCACACGCGACTCAATCTATCTACCCTTATTTCCAGCACTGCGGATAAATGGTTCAAGAGGAAGGACCTGTCCTTCCGGTGTGACGCCTTCGTAGATTTCTGTCCAGCGGTATTTCCAAGCCTCGGGGGTCGGCCAGGCGTTTTCTGGGTCCCGCAGCCACAGACGTAAAAGATGACGGCTGCATGAATGGAACGAATCTCGTCAGCAATATGGAACAAGACACGTTCAGCTAGACAAATTTAAGGTATGCTTACCGCTTTTCGGCCGTGTCAGTGAATCCGTCTCTTGCGTGAAAGATGGCGAGGTTATTTATGTACTGGATATCTCCTTTTTGAAAGTCGGTATTTACGCAGTACTTCTCGCCTAGGAAATGAAGTGTATCGAGAGCCTCAGCTTGGGCCTCCGTGATAGGCGGAATGTCGGCGCTGCGCGGAAGAGCGCCGAAACCGACGAAATACCGTCGGCCATATTGTAAGGCGACCCGCTCCGGTGTTGAGTCCGTCGCAGGGAAGTGATACAGCAGCGGCCTTTCTACGTACTGTTTTTCGGCCTTTTCGAATCTGGGTTGCACACTGGTTATTAGTGGAACTGAGATATCCGTGCTTATTCGACGGGAAAAACACAGCTCAACTCACACTTCCATGTCCCAGCTCTGTGACAGAGTATGGATGAGATCCGGACGAGTAGCAGCAATCTCGTTGTATACCCGCCACGTGCTCGCTAATTTGCTGGCACCCCCCGCCGCGGACGTCTCGAGGGCAAATAGAGACACGATATCGCCGGAGTCCGTATGGAAGACCTGCTTGTCGGTAGTGTAAGCCGGACTGCCGATGGCGCCGTTGTTCTGTGACCAGCTCAAATCTTTGATGTGACTAAGGACCACGTCGGCCTTCTGGCCGTTATACTTGTGATCTTGTCGGCCGCGCAGCGCAGCGATATGCGCGGAAATGCCCGCATAGATGATGACGTTTTCCTCCCGGGAGTGGTCGTCGACGCGCAGACCACGGATGACGAAGAAGCCGTGTCCGTTGTGCAATTCTGCAGATAAACGACGTAGTTCCGCATGGAGGTTCGGGAGCGGGAACGTCTCTGCAGTGAGATGACCTAGCGACAAGCCCAACCCTATGGGAAATAGTGATATTAATAAGAGCCCACGACATATATACCTAAACCGGCAAACACCACGGCTTACCCTTAAAATGGTCGACTGCCCTATCTATCTCGTTAAGCTGTTCGTTATTTAGAATATAAGTCCAGTCATATGTGTCTGCCGCTGTTGCACCTTCCCAGACTAAATCTCCCTTTAACTGCGCAGGAAACCCTTCCGGAAGCGTGGTCGGCAGATTCCCCTCTTTGAGCCGACGAGCCGCCCGGGCCTGCCACTTATCGTAGTCCGGAGCATACGAGATATCGGGTTGACCCGGCGGGGCAGGCGCTTTCGGCGTAACGTACGTTACGGTACTTGTAGCCATGCTTGGGTTAGGTATGTGCTCTTCTCCAAATCACAACTGGATCTCAGTTAGATTGACTTTATCCCTTTTCAATCATTTGTTCAGCTCAGGTACCTAATATAATATTTCTTCTACAGTCAATATGAAGTTGCACTCATGTAAGTGGGATAAATGAGCAACATGACCCTAAAATCGCGTCATTTATTGTTCTCCAATGCGACTTGCGACCAATTATACTCTCGACGTTGATAACGGTATTTCAAAATCGAGTTACTCGATTTAGGTATGTATTCAGTCTACTCCTTTAAAACTCATGCCAGTGTGTAGCTTGAAGAACTATAGCTACATCTTCCTAACGCTGATAAAGGGTTACTGAATAATGCTTCTAGTACAGGTACTCCCTATAATTACCTATATATACTCTAGCCCCAATGCTGCTCGTCGCAGTCATAATATACTATACAGTCACCAACCCGAATACTTGCTTGTTTCCGAGACTCTGGAAAGAAGCAACACAACATAAGCTATCCATACACCCATACTCCCAATGAAACTTTCCAAGCAATAACACCAAAATATGCTTCTATGAATAGCAGCCGACATTTCCTTCGCGATTAAATATCATTGACCTCAAGCCTAGTTAACTGACAGCTTCACAAGTTCATCTTAAAATTTGAATCGGAATGCGTCACGAGAACCGCCTAAACGGGGCTTTTCTGGATCCGTCGACCGGAATTGAAAGAGATTCCTGGTGGAACAGTTAGGTCGAGTTGTGAATCTTTTTTTAGTTGGGCTGATCACTGTTATATCAGATCTCCAACATCTTGTTGCGGCCGGCGCTCACGCTTGAATTCCACTTTGAACTTTGCCACCTCCTTATATATGCCATAGAACGGATGCGTCGCCAACCCTATCGTGCCTGTTATTGTTAGATTGGCACCCAGTTAGGACTATATCTGGTGTAGCTGATGGAAGGTGATAGCGTAAGACTAAACTTACCTGCAGATATCTTGAATACAGCACTGCCGAGTCCTTGAAAGAACCCTTTGAAAACCCCAAGGAAACCTTCTTTTCTTGCACACTTGTAAGGTAGCACGAACCAATCCGTGAGACCGTCAAGAAGTCCATACAAGAAGTACTAAAGTAAGCCAAGTCAGAATCGGTTGGTCGAACGTATGCGGCCATGAGCACTTACCTGGACGGCAGCAACAATCGACGACGGAAAGCCGGTGATCTGAGGCCATTTCCGAACGGTCTCGTCTTTGTACAGGGTCGGGGTGAAATGAAATGCCTTGGCAAAGCCGTGGCCGATGGTAAAAGGAATCTTAAGCGCGCCGGCAATAATCAATCCCACGCCTCGAAGGATATCCCAACACGCCGTCCAGAACGGATGATACCCTTCCTCCTCGACCGCCTCTTTCTCTTCGCGATGATGCCTGGCAGTGCTCGCAGGCACGGGCTGCTGCTGACTCTCCAAATACGGCGAGCTTTCGTACGCCTCCTTGACGGACGCGTAGGACGCGCTTACAGGCGGCTGGCGGGGCGAGCCGGCGTCGATCGTGCTTCCAGCGAGGTCATCCATATTTGCTATAAATTTCATGCCAAAGTCTCGTGTTCCCGTCACGGACATCTTGGAGGTGGTAGCAGAGGGTGGCCGCTCCATTTTTGAATGCCTCGGGGCCGGCTTACTTGTCTGGAGAAAAAAAAGCCAACGCAATGCAAAGCTACTGGTACCTAACCTTTTTATCCTGCTGCCTTGAGCTAAGTTCCAGGTAGAGCTACCTTACATGCAGGCTGGTCCGATTTAAGTTGACAAGCAAGCAGCCTTACGATTAAAAAAAAAAAAAAAAAGGGGGGGGGGGGGGAGGGGTGGTACCGCAAGTATTAAAAATAAAAATACAATAACAAACGAGGTTGGAGGGAAAAATGGTCCCCTGAAAACCACACGTTTTGGCTTTGGAGAAGACAGGCCGGAGTGTAGATCCGCTTAAGGCACCGATATTATCGCGAGGATGATTGGCTCAATAAGCATCCATGGGTGCCAGCCTCGGTGGGAGACGCGCTTGGTCCAATCGGCTCTCTGATGAAACCTATCGTGGCGCAGCGTATCATCATCTGCTCTCTCCGCCTATTTTTTCAACAATACGATTCTCTTTTGATTTGTCTCCAGGGATAATTTGTCAAGCATTGCTGCCTATGAACTCACTTCCACCAAGCTATCTCACCGTCAAGTTGGCTGATGGTTAAAGGATCAAGACCCCTACCACGTAGGTCGCCGTGACAAATTCGGTGCCGGAATTTTCTCCGAGAAATGAAACACCGATACTTCTGATAAGCTCACGAGCTCTTCTCAGAGCATGTATGTCATATCGTCAGACTACCTCCTATCCATATCAATATCAATGGATGACCGTAGTCACTGGGTTAACCCGTCAATCTGCTACGACCATCAATTGATTCAAGAAACACATATTGCAAATATTACTGGATTATGAATTATAGTTGCAACTATCCTCCATTAATTATCGTTCTCTAGGTTACCTAGATCAGGTACCTAATTGCTACCGTTCCGTTCCGGCCAAGCATCGTATAAGCCCTCATGCACAGTCACATCTCCGAACGTCACTTCTCCATTACCGTCGTGGAAGAACCGGATTTCTCGCGAAGCAGCATACCAAGATCTATCAAGCTAACGTTAGAACTTATCACCCACGTATATCAAACATACGGAGGGGGAGGTGTGGAGAGTTGAGGTTAGATAGTAGGTACTTACCGAACCCAGGTGCCTAACCCGAATCTTTCATTGGCATGTACTTCGACAATGGCATTATCCACCACGATAGTCAGCTTCAAGCTTTCGATCTGGTCCTGCTGGCCGTCACTGCCATCCTGCGCCAAGTCGAACAGACGTAACCGACCCGCCTCATTGGTCGTATCGATCCCGTCAGTCGTCTTCGCCGCAGCGCTAGAGTTGCTGCGGTCGACGACGATAGACTCGTTGGAGAACTGGTAGTAGATGGTCGTGCTCTCGTAATCGGAGGACAGGATCTGGAAACCCGCTCGCAAATCGCTCCCGCGGGAACCCTTGGGGAAGGACAGCGTCGCCGTGATCACGTAGAACTTGCTATCGGGGACCTTCTGGAACGGCACGACGCCCGGCTCGCTCAGGGTGCGGCCCGGCTCGATAGTAGCGGTCGTCGAGGCGTTGCTGGTCAGGGCAGCCAGGGCCTCGCGCGCGATCTCCTGCTTCAGGGTGACGAGCTCGACGACGCCGGATTGGTTGGTGGAGACGACGCGCCACGACGCGGTCTCGCGCACGAGCTCGTTGTCGACGACGTTGCGGATCTTGCCGACGCTCAACTCACGCGGGAGCAGGAGCGCGCCGGTCCAGTTCTGCTGATTAGTCGGGAAGGGCAGAGTCCCGTAGAAGTCTCCGGTGAGCCAGAGGTACGAGAGGAACCGGTCGGGGGCGCCGCTTTTCTGGGAAGCTTTCGAAGTCGCGGGCAACTCCTTGCCGGCAGCGGCATATGCGGACCTTCCCCAGTCAAACTTCCCAGCCATAGTAGGTTGGAATTTCACCGTTCCATTTTCAGAGGTGGAGATGTTGCCAGCTGCCCAGAGCATGTCGTGGAATTGCGTGAACTGGGGCACGATTGGCTCCGGCGACCATTCGACGCCTAGTGTCGTGAAGATTTCGCCTTCGACATTGTACCCTTGCTCGTCCAAGCTGAAGACGTTGCCGACCTCGAAGTTGAAGCCCCAGCGGCCGGCCCAGTTGCCGTTGCCCCAGGTCGTGTTGGCCGGCTCGTGCCACCACTGTCCCAGTTCTTCCCAGTACTGGAACTCCGGGTCGTGCTGCCGGTAGAGGAACTGGCTAGGTCCATCTCCATGAATGCCTCCAGAGATGACGACGTACCAAGTCCCAGGAGCGCTCCCAAGTTCGGCGTCGAGCTTGCTGCTCTGGAAGACATACGGGTCGCGGAAGGCTGTCACATTGGCCGCGAAAGGTGGTCCTGAGATGACCGGCCCTTGCTCAAGCTTTGCGAAGGTGCGGCCTCCGTCGCGAGATACCGCTAGGGATTGTGTCTCGCTTCCCCGCGTGTATGGGATGGTGAAGTGGATCGGTAAGTAGCTAACAGATGTATATAAGAGAGTAGGCTTGCCGTCGATACCGCTGGGGATGACGGATCCGTCAAACACCGCGAGCGGGTCATTCTTCCCGCCCTCTACTATGAACGGCAGCCCTTCCGGGTTTACATCACGATACGTGACAAGATCATCGGTCGTAGCGCCTGCAGCACCAAGATGTAACCAACCGACGTGAAAGAGCCCAGTTTCAGGATCGGCGTAATGCATACACGGGTCACCTATATGTCCTGTTGGTGGGAGAACGTGTGCTTTGGGTCGCCATGTGTCGAAGAGGCTCCGATCTGGAAGAGTTGACAAGTTTGGTGGTGGCGCATTGTAGTCTATACCTTGCCGTACGGCAAGAGACCCTGCCATAACAGCTGGTGAGAGCTTCATCGTGTCTTGGGATGCTGAAGATGAGGCTTCGTCAAGATGAGCTTTGAGTCCTGAGTGATTAGGTTAGGTACTTAGTGAGCCCATCATGCGTAGCCATTTCAAGTATTTATACAACAATCCATCGAACCTCATCGACCCATCGGTCAAATACCGGTAAATTATTCCCACTACGAGGTTGTGATGTGACCTCGAAAAGCTTGGAATTTGGAGATGGTTGTGGGGTTTGCGGAGAAATCCGTTCTGGGGGGTCAAGGATGAAGCCAGAGATGTGCGGAGAACCACCTGGATAGCACGGACGCTAACTACGATGAATATAGCTTCGGTCTTATTCACCATCTTTCCAATGCCTTAGTGCTTTAAAGTCTCGCCATTAGAACAGTCCATGAGAAGACTATTGAGGGCTGGGCAAGAAACAGCTCCGCAGCATGACGATGGTAATCTCGGCATAAATCCGATATCGTAGATGTTGAATTTTTCTAGAATGTTACAAATCTCCAGTTCCTCATACGTTACTGGACGCTATGAGTTCCACTTCTGCAGCGGACACTCCGGGTGTGAAGGGGTTGAAATATAACAGCCTGGAACACCAAATATACATGGGTAGGTACCTATATACAACGTACATATTTACAGATTACTGAACATGGCGTGATTATTTTGGCCTGAGGAAAGGATGTGCTTCGGTATTGAGCACATAGTCGTCGAGATTAATGACATCAGGGGTCGAGAAGAGCAGGTAAAAGTATTTCAACGTCTCTGCGAACCAAAAACTCTGTACTCAGGGGTCAGTACTACGGTACTCGGGAGGGAAAAAAAAAAAAAAAAAAAAAGCGCACGTCCATACTTACCTCCATATAGTCCTCTTTCGGCAATTCATCCGCCATGCGGGTCACGTCCTTTACGGCCGCGTGAGTCCCCCGATCGGTCTTAGTTCCGTTGGCGATGGCGGTGAACATATCCCATCCTATGTCTTGCCAAACTGTGTTGCCAGTGAGGCGATGCATGACGAACACGCTCTCTATCGTCTCTGGTCTTAGGATATACCGAGGGTCCTTGGCAGTGGTAAACCCAAGAGGAAGATGGTCCTTCCCTACAACATCGAAAGTCAGCAGACGTTGGTTAATAGACGATGGCATAAATTCAAGTTGACTACTTCGAGGAGTACTACGAGAGAAGAGAGGGAGGGCCAAGGAGAGATCTAGTGCTCCAACTTACACTCGGGTCTTTTCTGCTTCTCCTCGTCAAACCTTTTCTTGTCCCACTCGCAGTCGTCAAACGACTTGCAAGCTACCATATTCAGCCGTTCGGGCATCATCCCCGTCGGAAACGCTCGATACCCGTACACGCAGCCGAGCGTCAACTTTGCGCCAATATTAATGTATCCTGGGTTATCAAACAGCTTCCCACTCAGCGCATAAATACCGCCAAGGTAGCAAGCAAGATGCTCAGTTTCTTCGTCTAAGGTTACCTCGCCCGATGCGGATACACTGGCACTACTAGCGATAAGCATCTCCATGTTATTAGGCACCATGGGTCTAAAGAGCAGGTTTGTCTTAGCAGCCTCTAGGAACCCCTTAGACATCATCTCGTACTTCGGCTCCGTGCCTCCCAGGAGAGCATACTCCTTGGGAAGATACTCGTATAAGCTATCAGCAGATCCGGCAAGAGTGTACGAGTTCCCCGTTACAACGTCCTGGGTCCTCATAGAGACGTACGTGGGCCACAGTCCTGATATTAAAGTCTGGTTTTGACCTCTGTAGAAGACGTCCATCACCCTCGCGGCAGCATCGTAATATTTGGGGTCACCTGTGAGCTGCGAGAGCCTGGTTAGCTCAAGGGACAGCGTCCCCGGAGAGGCAGAGACGACGGAAAACTCGACAGAGAGTGGCTTCCCTGTCTTGGCAGCTTCAAAATCGATGAAATCCACAGGCATCCGATTTTCCGTGTTGAAAGCTACGTAAATCAAGTCTCCAAGTTCAACAGCTTTCGCACGTAAGACATCCCGCTTGCTAAGGTCGTACGTTGCAAGTAGACCCCCTAAGTAGCGAATGTTCGTCTCAAAAGTATTAACTCTGGAAGAAGTTGACCGACCAAAGTCGATCTTGGAAACTGCATCGACCGCCTCGTCAAACTCCTCCCTTAAACCCAAGATCCATAGGGTATCGAGCGAGTCGACTAGAGTCGCAGCCCATCCGCTGAACTGGTCCTGGAAACTCTCAGAGATCGGCTTTAGGGCATCCTTCATCCACGCGTACTTTTTATACGCGGCCCAATCCTCGAGGAAGACTTTCTTCACCTCGAGGCGTCTTGCTTCCCGAACTCGTTTATCGGCAGACGCCTCGGAACGGAATTGAGCCTGAACAGGAAGACGACGGGGCTTTCCCGCCGGCAAAGGAGTTATTTCCTCGGCGGGATAATGCAATGGGACGGTACTCCAATCGAAGCTACTTCGCTTCAATTCGATCGGGAGAGAGGTTGTATCACTGTTCATGTGCCGTTCGAGCCTAGTGAATTCGGAGGCCCACAAGCCCGAAAATGAAGCTGAAAACATCCACCATATCGCAAGGGCGCCAGCCAGAAGTATCAAGGTACGTCTATGCTTGCGAATTTGGTGATGCATTCGCATTATGATACAAGACCTACGTAGCCAGACGCAGGAAGCAAATTAAAACAACGCAGATATCGCAGGAAGAAAAAAAGGCAACAAGAAATCAAACCATGTTTACAGGAATGCATTTCTACCTACCTACCTAGGTAGGTAATGTTAGGTAGATCTGTTTGCCGATACTACCTCTAACGTGTCATTTCCTTCTTTCTTAGCCAAGGGGGGAATCCTTAAACTCAACAATAACAACCCTAAAGACACGATCCGAAGTACTTCCAAATAAGTGTTATTTCTAAGCGTTTTCAAGTATTTTCCAACATTCATAAAGCTTCATAAAGTTTTATCATTTCTTACGAAATAAGAATCGGCAACCGGCCGGGGGTCTAAGGGGTCAGGGGGTGCACGGAACAGGTACTCCGCCAAGGAGAACACGAACCACGTTCTTCGTCCCGTACCAGGCGATTGGACCCACAGGACCCATCGGATCGGTCTGTCCCATTTCCTGTTGAATAATCATAAATGGCGACATATCAGAAAGCCGAATAAAACATCCAATTCTAGTTCTGGTCCTGCTACCTGAAGATTAACCAACGCTGTTTTTTTTTTTTTTTTTGGTCCATCGTACGAGGACTTGCATGCCAAGCCAAGGCTTCATGATCCGTTACCTTGCTTTAGATAGGTATCCTTTAGAGCCGAGCCCCTCCGTCGTCAGGTACTGACTACCTAAGGAATTGGTTTGTAGTTGCGTAGATTTTGAATTATTCACATGTTTGTCTGAGGAGAGGTATTCAAGCAAGGTACCTTATATTAGGTACCTATTCAAGAGAATAGGTACTTCAGAAACCATGAACCTTAAGTTTGGTAAGCATGCATCTCCTTCGGACTGGCTCTGAAGTCCTATGGATGGACAAAGTAAGGCGGGCTTAGGCAAAATAACTACCACCCCTGGTCATCTAAGAGATCAGCAATTGCACCATGGACTAGATCCCCGCGCCGAGGGTATGGGGATCAATTTTGCCGGCATTCAACTTTGCGGGGAATTCCCGCCATATGAAAGGACGTATACGGGCACAATGTGAGAATTACTTCTTAACCGACTCTTAGAGCATGTTGGTCAGACCTGGAAAATAGCAAAGCTGGTGTAGGATAGGCAATAAAAGTGAATAATAATGATCATAATTCGTAACGCCATCCGGGCTTGTTTGTCGGTGTTAGTGCTCAGCCCCAAGACACTAGCTGAACGATGTGAGAGGTCTTGCTTAGAAGGATTGATCTCGGACTACCTCCATGCGTTAGTAGCCCACGATCCATCGAGTTTGCCAACAACCCCAGACGTCAAATATGTCGAGAACGAGCAGATAATACCACTTGGCGCCGGAGAATGGCATATCGTGGAGTCGCTAGGAAAGTACAACCACACGTTCTCGGATCCTGAGGCAGGACAGGTCGCGACCATTACCACGATCACCGAGAATGGCGTTGGTGCGATTTACCTTGTTCGTCTCAAGGTGGAAGATGACGGAAGGATAAGCGAAATTGAATCACAAATCACACGAGATTCCGATGGCGCAGCGCGCTACGAGGAGCGAGGCCAGCCAGAAGCCGTTTGGCTCGAGGTTGTTCCGCCTGAGGAACGGATTCCTCGAGACAAGTTGATCTCACAGACCAACAAATATTACACCGGCATGCAGGGGAACGACCCCAAGGGCGACTACAGTTTCTTCGATAAGGAATGTAATCGTCTGGAGGATGGTCTTCAAACGACCAACGTCAAGACTGGTGACCCTTACGGTCATTCGAACGATACAGTGTTTGCTTCGCTGAGTTGCGAGGAGCAGTTCCAGACTGGATTTCTTGGATTTGTCACAAGGATCCGAGAACGTCACTTCCCTGTAGTTGACGAGGAACGTCAGGCAGTGTTCGCTGTCACCACTCTGGATCATAACGGTACGGTGAAATCGTTGCCTAGCGTGAATGGCACATCGTCACCAATTCCGCGTTACTTCGAAACGCCTCGTTCGTTAAGAGCAATGGAGGCATTCCGTTTGCGCGGCGAGAAGCTTTATCGCATCGAGATGACGCTGATTGAAGTTCCCTACAACATGCGAGCGGCATTTCCCGAGGTTCCGCCTATAGATGTTAGCGGGCCCGGCACAAACTTCACCACGTACCCGATTCCATGCGATCAAGTCTGCCTCGAGAATGTTATAGGAGATGTCCTCATGTCGATCAGGATTCACGACCATACGCGTTTACCCTTGGCGAAGGGAATACGCTACTCCGAGAATGGCCAATTCGTAGCTCTCGGAGACGGCTTGTGGGAGACCTTGGAAGCAATCTCATGGACGGACAAGTATGGAGCAGTGTTATCTGATTCCAAAAGCGGAACGGCTGGCTACTGGGGATTCAGTACGGAACATAATATACCAGGCGTGCTTTCTCTACGGATAAAGGTTGATAACGGCCAAATAACGGAACTCGAAGCCCACGTAGTACGTGGAGAGAGTGCCGACAGTCGTGGAGGGACGGTAACGCTTATGCGCCCGCCGCTTCCAATCGAGTGGGAGGGCAACACCACGAATCTCCTCAATCCCATATTTCAGGAATATAGTGCAAATGGTGAGATTTCTCCGGAATTATTGAATTCATATTTTGATGGCCTAGAAAAGCATTCGAGCGAGGGTGTTCCATTTGCTGAAGGATGCATAAGGCGCGACAACTTTGGCCAAGGGAATCTGACTTGTGCTGATCAGTTGGAGGGGAAAGGATCAACTCCAAACGGACTCTCTAACACTACAACAACAGTGCGTGATGGGCGAATACTTGTTGCAGATAGCAAGAGAGGAGTCGCGTTGGCCGTAGCTCTGGTCGATGAACCTGCCAACGGTCCTGGTCCACTGTTGCCAGCAAGTCGCGTTCCGGGAACTTACATGATTCCGCAGTTAATCAAGGTTGACAACGGGTTGATTTCTCATATTGAAAGCGTTATCAAATGGGTTCCGTTCGGATATACGTCTGGATGGGGAGAGAGGAGGGCGAGAAAGGAAATGGTGATTTAGAGTTGTTGTTTTCGTGTACATGTTTAGAGGTGAAAAAGTTGAGAGAATGTAGGTCCATACCTGGTATGAGCTTGCCTAAGATAATACTAGGTACCTGTAACACAAATGGCCCTTATGGAGGCCCCGCACCCCGCACCACCTGGCCATTACATGGAAGCTACAGCGACGGACTGATAGAGGGGCCATCCTTGCAACTTTTCAGGCTGGGACAGCCCTAAACATTCTTCGCTGTACATTAGGTACCTAACCTAAGTACAATACATCTTCAGACCTTTAAACCTCCTCAGACCAGTCACCAATAACAACATTAGGTTATAGGTTAGGTACCTCACATACGTACTACTACTTATTTAGAGAACTTTGCAAACAACTTCTTCGATATCCCGAGACTTCAAGGTCTCAACTCAAGCTCAGCATGCAGTCCGGAATATCTGGTATGATATTACTACTACCCCCTTTTCTTCAACTTGAGAATAACAGCTTCCCAAGATACCTAAGCTTACCTCTTTCGTGAACAACAGCCTCCCAAGAGCTGGTCACCCAGTTCAACAAGTTCTTAGCCGACCCAGCACAGTTCGGACTACTCGTTACCATCACCGGCGAATCCCTAACTCCATCAACCACCATTCAGCGGTCCTCCCTATCGACCGACTTCGATTCCGACCTACCCAAGCTGTCCCCTTACCTGAAACCCGACGAACCTCTCTATGTCATCTTGCGGAGATACGACGCCGCTCCATACCTAATAGCTGTTACCTATGTGCCCGACACGGCCAAGGTTCGGCAGAAGATGCTGTTCGCGTCGACGCGGCTGACCCTTGTGCGTGAGCTGGGGTCGGATCACTTCCGCGAGACTATCTTCACCACTATGGCCGAAGAGCTGACTGCCGAGGGCTTTAAAAAACACGACCGCCATAACGAGCTCGAGGCACCTTTAACGGAAGAGGAGAGGTCGTTGGGGGCGGTCAAACGAGCTGAGGCCGAAGCGGGTGCTGGTACTGGCGTTCGTGAGATCCACCTTAGCAAGACCATGAACATGCCTGTCGCTACCGATGCGCTGGTCGCCCTAAGCGCTCTAAGCCGTGAGGATGGAAGTAGTATAGTGATGCTCGTAAGTTTCTATTACCCGCTAAGATCTCAGAGTATGATGAACTAATAAAGATATAACAGAAAATCAATCCCGAGAGCGAAGTTGTAGAGCTAGTACAAGACTCATCTTCGCCTTCCACAATCCCTGAGCTCGTCAATACTATTTCATCCACCGAGCCTCGTTTCACATTCTTCCGATACAAAGCTACACCCCCGAGCGGAGGAGAAGAGAAGAACGTGATACTATTCTTTTACACATGTCCCGTTTCCGCAGCTACCAAAGCTATCAAGTTCAGAATGATGTACCCGCTTATGAAGCGTGCCGTGCTCGAGGTGGCTACGAAAGAGGCTGGACTTAATGTCGAGAAGAAATTCGAGCTCGAGGATCCGAGCGAGATCACCGAACAGTCCGTTACGTCCGAGTTGTTCCCAGAGGCGGAAGTTAAGACAGCTTTCAGAAGACCCAAGAGGCCCGGCAGGTGAAATATCTCAATACGAATTTGATTAGATCAGACCGACTAGTATATTAGCGGACATGAACTTGGAATTAGCGAGAACCTATAGGAGATAAGGAAGCAATGCGATTATATTTCGCTAGATATCCTGATATGATATGATATGATATAAATATGACACCAACACGATTAAAATTCCAAATGGCCAACGCGAGATCTCCCCTCCATAGTAGCCATGCTACTACAATATCGCACACAGTAACCTAGATGATCCTACTCGCCAAGACAGGTATACATACATCCTCTCCTATTCTTCGTATCTACTTCCCGACAACAGACTCGGTCCGCTCTCCTCCAACTTATCCTTTAAGAATTCGTACACGGTAAACGTTACAGCCTGGCCCGGCGCAACACGCATTATCCTCGGCGTGATGCCCTTGTAGAACGCGTGGAAGCCTTCTTGTCTACATCAACGTGTTAGCAAATAATTTTCTCTAAAAAAATATATAAGAATTAAAAAAAAGAAGAAGGGGGGGAAGAAGAAGAAGAAGAAGAAGAAGAAGAAAATAAACTCACTTAAACATATCCATCGCAATCAAGCTAATCCTCTTGAACGCCGAAACCCCCTCCTCGGCCGGCGTCTTCTGCAACCGCGTCTTGATCGTGTCGATCGGCGCATTACTCAACGGGCCCATAGCGCCGCTCACCAGCCCGATAAGCGTAGTCTGCCAGCTCGGCAGCGAAGCGGCTCCCCCGTCTCCGTTCCCGCCTCCCGGCGCTTGCACCTCCTTCTTCTTCTCCTGCCACCGCAGCAGCACCTCCCGGAAATACGTGTACGCGGTGAAGTTGACGGCCTGGTTGGTGCCCTGGCGCAGGGCCGTCAGGCTCACGCCGCGGTACAGCGCGCTGATCCCCTCCTCGCGCACGACGGTGTACAGCGCGTGCGCGGCGTTGCGGTACTTGGGCACGTCGAGCGGGTCGGCCATGCTGTGGTGCTGGGCCTGCAGGCGGATCTTGACGACCTCCATGGGGGTGACGACGGCGACGGCCTCCGTCACGCCCGCCGCGAGGCCCGCGATGAAGGTGCATCGCCCGGACACCGTGTGCGACTCCGAGTCCGCCAGCATCTGCTTGTACGCCTCGAATGACGTGAACCGGATCGCCATCTTGGGCACGATCCCCGTCAGCACCGCCCCCAGCCCCTTGTACAGCCCCAGCGGCGTCTCCCGCCGGACGATCTCCGCCCCCGTCCTGATGAACCCCCGCTTGGACGCGCCGGGTTGTCGGGCTCGGCGCGAGAGCTGCATTCGTACTTTTATCGTGTCTGAAAGACGACATTAGAGATTAGAGATTGGGTTGCTGTTAGCGAAAGGGAACGGGGGCCGAGAGGGGAGTACGAACCGAGAGGATGGCACACGAGAGCCTCCATCATGCCTGCTCCACCTCCAGCTATTCGATGCTTGTCAGTACACGGTGGAAATTTAATATATTTCAAGAACAGGTATGACCCAAGAACGCACCGATTAAATTTATCGCTGCGGTTGGCGACGACTTGCCATCCTTTCCTCCTACTTTTGTCGCCATTATGTTTTATCTGTCCAGGGCTTGCGCCCAGGTAGTATATTCTGATATATGCTTCCGTTCGTGACTGCGTTGTTGATATTGGTCGAAACACTATAGAGCGCTCTGGAAGGATAGCCACATGTGATGGCCGTCACCAACGTGCTATGGAGTAAGTAGTATATTACCGAGGGAAAACAGGAGCTAACAAAGACAAGAAGTACTTGGTATACGTAGTCAAGCTTCAAAGAGACAGACACGTGAGAGAGAGAGAGAGAGAGAGAGGATAAAAGAAGAGAAGAGACCTCGAGCTACGAGTATAGCAACGCACAAAGAAGAAAGAAGGATTGCTATAGGAACTAGGTCAAGATAGCTAGCAAGTCCGACGAGTTGTACGGGGTATTTGTGCGTATAAGAGACTTATGACTCATGGGAAACAGGAGAAGCAGAACAGCCAAATTTCCAAGAAGGATCCCGAGTCAGGAAGTCGAAAGCTGGGATATCTTAAGTACTTATCTTAGGTTAGGTAGGTAGGAGGTACCTACCTACCCATAGTATATATATACATATATAAAAGAAAGCCAGGCCTGATGTCTCCAGGTACAAGCATTGCCGAGCTCCAAGCTGACCTGACCTACCTTGGATACAGGTAAACCCGTCATACCGGAGCTTCGAGCAAAGCAAGTGACTAACAATACATCCAGCGCCTACTTGAAAAGTTCCGCGGCTGGGGACGTCGAACGCGCCCATCGTCGAATCTCGTGCTTCATCACCCCCATCCCCTTACCCCCTTGGGTTTAAGCTGCGTGCATGCTACTAGGTACCTGTAGTAGAAAAAGGTAATTTTGCTGTGGGGTCGAGGGGGCTAGATCGACGACGAGTGATGACAGCAGAAACCTTAACATGTGTAAGTGTGTAAGTGTGTAAGGGTGTAAGGGTGTTTGCGCGCTTCCCCCTTTCGTCTGGTCTAGGTGCGTGTGTGAACGGGCTGCCGGAGCAGCCCTCGTTCGGGAAACCGGAGCTCCAGTTTCTTGTTAAAGGATTAGCCATTGAACGAACTAGCGGCCATCAGGAAGTTTGGATCTAAGCCCCTTCGAAAGGGCTTTCAAGCATCCCAATTGCTGTTTTTATTGGTCAATCAACAAATACCAAGGGTATTCTTTTACCGTAAAATTTCGCTTTTTCCAGATTCGAATTCTCTTAACCCGACAGCTGGAATGTTGACAAGCTCCGGCCTGTGATCCTTAGCTGTGACGTCGAAAAAGGATCTGTTTACCGACTGAGAGCCGAGCTTGTGATTTTGCGGGGGGGAAAGGCTTGGGCCCCTGGGGCAACCAGACTTGACAAGGATTCATCCCACAATGATACCTAGGTACGTACCAAGAACTTACGTAGCGGCGTAGATGAGTTAGACCTTGTGGTCCATATCGGATACTACCGGGTAAGAGATGCTATTTGGTGTCACTTGTAGTCTTTAGTTCTTTGAGGCTCTACATAGCAGCAATACTTTTGGAGTCTATCGACATAGTTAATCCTTCACTTGCCGAGGTTAGATATACAACTGGAATGTTACTTGCTCTGGGCCGAGCCTTTTGAGACAGTCATTCACCCGATACCGTAAAGGAAACCTTTTGAAGCTGGGTATATGTCAGCTTCAGCCGCGGGATGTAGAAAACCGCCACTTATAAAATAAGTAGGTATGTAGTCTATGTACAACTCTCCTCACATGCAACATACAGCAGTCAGTATATGTGTGGGATATGATCACATTATTTGCCTAATAATAACCATATCTTTTCATCACCTTCCACTATTGCAAATCAGATAAAAATAATTTTCTTAAATAATATGTTGGACCATGTTGAATAAACGGTGTCCCATCTTAACCCTAAGCACCTAAGATCCATCCCTATAGCACGCCATATCCCTGCGTTGCCCGATCCTTATCCAGTACGCCTTAAATTTTTGTAAGCATTAGACGCCGACCCTCCTGGATACCGTAAAGCTTTCATTAAATAAGCTTCGCCCACAAGCTCAGCTGATTTTTCGTCCCTTTGTAACCGGTTTAACTGTAGTGGTATATTTGAACGCCTTCCGTAAAACAGATCCGCTATGAAATCAATGGATGAATAGTGTTGATGTGAACAGGGGAAAACCACACGTCCTAGCAATGCGCCATAGCTTAGGCAGGAGTGCCGAACTCCTCAACTTCTGAAGGTTCACCTTCGAAGCTATATAATCGCACCTCTCCATCTTCACCTCCGCTGGCCATCCGGCTATCACTGAGCCCGACGCAGGTTACTGGCCCAGCATGGCCAGTAAATGTTCGTTCGCACTTGCCGGTTCGAGCGTCCCATACTTTGACTACAACGATAAAAAAAAAAGAGGTTAGTGGATGCTTCAAAAATCGTTTCAAATTCAGTTTCAAGCTCTTACCTGTTGCGTCGTTGGCACTAGTAACGTATCGCAAAGAGTCAGCCGCAAGTCCCCAGATACCTTCTACGTGCCCAAAGAAAGTCCGGGGACTTTTTCCTGTTGCCGTATCCCAAAGCCTCATAGTCGCGTCAAGAGAGCCCGTAAGCATATAGCGCGGAGGTAGTGGTCGATCAGGGTCGTTCTGGAAGATGGGACCATACATGGCCCGCTCCTCATCAACATCCTGGGTACTTGGAAACGGAGAGGACGAACCGCCCGGGGGAGTAGCACTGCGGTTGCTGGCTACAGAGGCAGCGTCGCCATCTCGGGTCGTCTCCTCTTCAAATTCGTAATCGTCTGGGAGCGGAAGAACTTGTTGTACCTGTCCGACATGACCCTCAAACGTCTTGATACAAACTTTGGAGTCAAGATCCCATAGCTTTACAGTGCAGTCGTCGGAGGCGGAGAGAAGGGTACGCGAAGCCACATCGATGCGAACATGGTTGACCCAATCGCAATGACCGCGTAGAACGTACGACTGTTGGGTTTTGAAGTTGAATATCTTGATGGACTGGTCCATCGACCCAGAAGCCAGAAGACCACCATCCATATGTACAGTTATGACACCACCTTGGTGGTTAAGGGTATTGATACAAGCGCCCGTTCGCCAATTCCATATCTTGACTGTGCCGTCCAAACTAGCCGAAACAAGCATCCTATCGTCGAACTGAAGGGCTCGGATTCCCATCGTGTGACCTTCGAGCGTCCGGATGACCTCGCCTTTTTCGATATCCCAGAGCTTGATTCTTGAATCGTATGAACCCGTAGCAAGCATGTTGTCGTCGAATTGTAAGGCCGTTATACCGTTCGTGTGTTGTCCGCCAAAGGTCTTAATAGTACACCTACCATACCGCCAGTTAGATCCAACGCGGTATCTCTCTCGGTACAAGTCCTTCCACGGCCTAAACTTCTGAGTGCCCGTTGATGCCTTATCTTGGTCGCCGACACCGTTGACACATTGTCGCTTCGAGGAGTCATTTTCATCATCTTCTAGGGAGGACGCAGAACGCTTGACGACAGTCGTGGCAGAAGAATCTTGCCCGTTCGTCAACAGCGCCCGTTGGTTGTTGAGGTTTGCTTGATGTTGGATTTTCCATTCCTTAAGCCGTTTCTTCTCTAACTTGGGAAGACCCCATTGACACTTCTCGCACTTGCGTCCGATATGTTGCTCACACATGCGATGCCACACAATATCGTCTCCGGACAGCTGGTTCCACCTTCTGCTAACCTGGGCGGCCTTGCAAAGAGAAGAGCAATCAAGGTAGCATAGGATTTTCAGGGATAGCTCAGTTGGTAAAGCAGAGAGAAAATCTATTTTCAGTTGTTCGTGAACCTCACGACACACAGTAGACAGTTGAGGGAAGCAGCACTGAGTAATGATGCCTTGCAACATAAGCTCACGGTGCTTTGCGGGTGCGGCAGAAAACAACGACCAAACATTTGTAATGGCCTGTCGATCGGCAGCAGGTAGTGTTTCGAGTTCCTATATAATAGTGTAAGTATCGGTGGAAAGTAACGATGATATATATATAGGTATATATATATATATATATAAGTAGGAGCAGGTAAGGATCATACACTTTGGATTAGACCCATCTTGGTCTCGTCAGCAGCCCTACGGCACTTAGAATCCGGCCGGTGTCGGTAACAGTATTTACTATTGGGGTCCTTTGTCTTGATGGCGGCCATGGAGGGAAGATCGGGCTTTCCTATAGGTGCGTACAATCCCGGGATATGTTCCCTTAAAAAGGGAGTAACAGACTGGCTCATAAGCTGTTGGGACATATTGGGCAGGCGAGAAGAGTCTTCTGCGTCCTCGGGTCTTCGTCTGTCGCAGTTATCCCTTGACGGTTTGGATTGTTCGGTCGATGCGGCGGATATTGACTGTCTTTGGGAACGAGGTCGGTTGGTGGTGGTGGATATATTGTTCAGATCTGTCAGTGGGATGTCGTCTGGGAGGAAAATGGGACCATCGTGTCTTGATGTCGGCTCGTGGCCGTTGGGCATCGGTATTGGTGGTAGGTTGTCCATGATGATAGATGATGAAAGTTGAGGGAAATTAGATTGGTGGCCGGGGGTAAGGACAAAGCCCTGGTAATATCTTATTCGAATTGCACCATCGGAGAATGTATGGTAAGGACTACGGTGAAACGCGGTGAGATGGCGTGCTTGGTCGATGATAAACCATACAAAATGGGATATAGGTCTGCGCTCGTTTCCTGTTCGTTATCCGCCCAGTCCGCCCGGTTGTCGTAGACCGACGGGATGTCGCAGATCAAATCCCAAGACTCAAATTTCCCCAGGATCCAATACAAGCAAGCAATGCCGGTTGATGGTTGATGGGTAGACGGCGTGGTACGATGCGATGCGATGCGATGTACTAACCCTCTACCCTGTTTAGTTTCCCTTTTCCTTTTCTTCCTTTCTTCTTTTTTTCCTTCTTTCCCTTCTAGTCTAAACCTAACGCAAGGTAAAAGTATCGATGGCCTCGGTGACCAAAACAAGCCGGCGACGTAAAAGAGTGACAAGGCAATTTGCACGTCAAGTAAAGCAAGATGGCGAAATCGGCCCCAAGGTGCATTGACTTGGTTCCCGTGATTCCTTTTGGCTTCCCTTGTTTCCAATGGTTTGGCTCTGGCTGGTCCTGGCTGGTCTAACTGGTTGGCTCTTCGAAGCGGTCAAAAAAAAAAAAAGTGGTGATTGTCCCCTAAGAGCCAGCCAGCCGCCAAAGCCAGTGCCAAAATATTAGGTCTTGCTTTGTTCACCTTTGCAGTGCTTTGGGGCCCGAATGGCGACATTTACTAGACCGATAACCTTCCGAAGTACCGGGCCCCACCACGGCTGTCGGGACTTTGATAACTGAGCAACTTACCTAAATAGGAATAGCATGGTGGGGTCTGGGGTAGGTGCTCCTTAAAATAGACCTTAGTCCGGTACCTGAAGCCCTTCAGATGCATTAGTAGGTACCAATGCACCTTACCAGCCTACGTAGGGCAGTCTACCTTATTTCTCGTTTCATCTTCTTTTTCAAGCACTTGTCCTGAATTGGATATATCGACCTCTTGCTGACTCAGGACGAGAATTGCATCTAGCCATGGCTTAATGAGGCTCTTGCGTCATGAAATTAGACGTCATAGGTACCTTGATGGCCGGAGCTCCAAAAAGGCCGAAAAGGTCATAAAAAATTTGATAACCATACCTTGTCCGACATACTTTCTTATCTACGGGACTCCGACAGCCGCCAGCCCCCTGTGGCTTGATTTCGCCATTTTCACGAGATCTTTCGTCGTTTGCGTAACAATACAATATATCACCAGCAGGATTCAGCCACTCCGCCACTGCCGTCCCGTAATATACATCGTAACATTCAATCTAGGTACAAGATTGGACATGTATCTAAGTCAGGTACCTAACTACATGGTATTGTCGACCTCGACCTCGACCTTGCCCCTGAGCACGCAATCAGTCTATAGCGTGCTATATTTCTTTTCTATATTCTCTTTCGTATTTATGTAATAATTAATTAAATGATACCATTCAGCTCTCTTAAGACCGTGGGGCCCTTTTCAATATTGCAAACCCCCTATTTCGATATCTGGAATCGTCGTAGCTCAATCACACAAAATCACAACTTATATTATAACAACATTCCGTTAATAATTGGTATACCCCTTAATAAGTGGAATATAAATACAGCAACACTGGCTACTTTCTTTCAGGTAGATATTTCAGTAAGTCACAGTATTATGCTAGTGTCAGGTATTTCTTGAATTGACTAGCCAATAAACCCGAACCCTCCTTGTCGTATGCTACGTTATGAACTACGTTTAATATACATTAAGTATATTTGACATGTACCTAATGAAAACTCTTTCGTGGAGGGTATAGTTGGTATAATAGGTGCTTTGATTCTATAACCACTATGCGATATATGAGGTCGACGGATGATGCCATTATTTAAAATAAGAGAAACTAGTCTTCACTAAGTTTCAAACTCAAGTCGAGACCGGGAATACATAATGGGTGTATGTTTCTGTCGGGGATATGTGGGGATATGGGGATAGACTGGGTAGAGCTGGGCTCTACCGTCCATATAAAGGGTAGCCAGCCCCCTCGCAAGAGGATAGAAGATCAGGCGTTACTAGATCACCGGTCATAGCCTGACATCGGGACATCATATAGTGCTTCGACTTAATATATTAGGGACCCTGTTTTCTGTAGGCGAATGGCAATACCAATGATACCTTGTTCTCTATCACCACCGTCGATTTACGCCGTCTCCGAATACAAAGATCCCTTTCGCTAAACCGGCAGACTCCTGACTCTTGGTATAAACATGCCTAGGATATGAGGTAGGTAGGCTGTTTCGTATCTGCAGAGAAAGTCCTGCAACGAATGGATCAAAAACAAGATGAACTATACCCCATATCCCTCCTCAACTACTTTTACTAAGCATGATCTAGAAAGACGTCATGAATTTCGAACTAGTCGATAGGCTTCGTAAAGGGGGATGACATATCTGGACTAACTGTTAACAAATGACGCGGTATCTGATATAAGTCTTTATCCTCAACTATAGTGTTATATTAACAGGCTTGCTACAAACGATCTTGTAGGTTATACCTATCTCAAAAAGATGTTCCGGGCCTACTTGAATGCAAACTTGAGGCATTATAAAGCCACCGATTTCTGCAATAAACCCTCTTCTTTTCAAGGTGAGAGTTGTTGGTTCTTGTGACAACTAGTCCCAATCTGTCAGAATAATCCCGTGATGGTTGTCATACACAGAGCGAATACTACAAACAGTAACAGTGCAGTAGAGTGATCTATTAGCGCTTGGCCTTCCAAGCATCTACGATGGCGCACAGCGCCCCTATATATACTGCTACTTCGCGAACGTGGCTGGCGCTATCCTTCAGAGCAACTAGAATTGCCTCTCGGAGATATTTTAGCCCCAGTCATGCACACACACCTGACACAATCATATACTGACTCTTATTATTCTGGCACTCTACTAGTAGGTCAGGCTTATTTATAAATATCCTAAAACTTGCGTTGGCTATGCACACTAGTAGGAATTGTCTATCTATTGCCAGACATCCCAGTCGAGATGTAGGAGGGACGGGTACCTGATTCCGTCTTTGGCAAGCCCCACGCAGCTTAATTCAACTAGATTACCAGGGTAATTCTTCAATACGCCGCAGTTGGCGAAGTCAACCTGCCATTCCTCTAGCATGGGTTCCTGTGGGGTCAGAAGTTTACCCATACGACGTTACGTTGGTGCACAACCTAATGTTAGATCTCAATTCCTACTTCTCATCAAACCGGAGAAAGATTTAGTTCTCTTCAACTTAACTTGAACATTTCTCCGATATGATTGTAATGATCGTCGATTCATATGCCCTTTTGTCATTCTTCAGCCCCTTTTCCTGACTCCAACATTTTCCAATTGACCCACTCTTCGTAACTAATAGGCTATCTTTCGTCTGCCGACTTGCCACCATCCTTTGAAACTGCATCAGCGCTATAATTCATGATTTAAATCGAAATTCGCACATGTTCTTGTTGGTTTGCATAGCTACGGGCATGGCTGCGTAAAAAGGTGAACAAATGTCAGTGTATCATATTTATGAATATATCTACTTGGAAAGCATTACCGAAGCTATTAGTTATTATCAATAAGGAACTTGAGAGGAGATAAACTTGGTGGCGCCACTAAGTTGTTAGTTGATCTTGCTTTGACTGGAGATATACGAAGGATCGCAGCAGCTTGGTCGATCGTATGTATCTACTTGGGCGACTGGGTCTAAATGGATCTTCTCTTGGAATGGACCGCTACGACAGCGATGCTGAGCTGATCCTGTTGGGGCGAACAGCCTTATTAAAACCGAGGCTGAATCTATCGCGCATTGAACCCCTGTCTACATTTATTAAATATAGCGGCAGCAAAGTCAATATTTATAATTATTTCCCTAATCCAACATAACAAATGAAAAAAATCAAGACTAGAAAGGAAATGATTTCCCCAGATTACGAAATTCCTTCTTACCTTGCTTCAAATGCCGAGCCAATGAGCCTTGGGTACCTTTTACCAAGCACTACCAAATTCATTCAAAGCTTTACACGAGTTTATCATATTTTCGAGGTCAACAGCACCGGTGCCGAGTCGGAACAAGCCACGTTGCGATGCGCCATGTTACATAGTGGTTCGTATCATTAATTGATACCCTTGAGGTCTTTTGTTATGCCAAGCTCCGCCCGAGCTTTAAGTTTCTATTCTCGCTCCAACATAAAAGATGGATGAAGATATTTGTACTGGAGAATCATTATGAAGTAGCCTAACAATGCCTATTCTGGAAAGCTTCACGTTCATCACCGCGGAGTTCTGATGTTGGGCTGAGATTTCATTAACATGGTACGAGGAAGAGCGTCACCGCCATGACATGGCCATGGTGATAGACCGAGATAACTTCAAGATCTATACAAGGGTACCTTTGGATATCGACTCTAAGGTTCTCTATATAAGAGAGCTACCGGCACCTCCTCTCAGGTTAATATAATTCCACACCACAGACGAGTTCACGATATCTTCCACAGTCCAGTCAATCATTCAACCACAGCAAATATCTATCAACCCTCAACTCGCCAGTATGCACGCCTCAGTTGTTGCGATTGTTTCCGCCCTTGCTGCCTCCGTCGTGGCTGTTCCCGACATTGCCGCCCGCGAGGTTTATGCTACCTGGCCTGCCGACAACTTCGAGATGAAGTGCTTCCACCCAGTAAGTAGCTCGAAAAGAACACTGCCCTATTAACGTCCACTGACTGATGATATAGGGCGGCTGCACTGCATCTTTCAACATCAACGCCCCTGCAGGATACTACGGAAATGCTCCGGCATTCAACGCCATTTGCAATCCTCTCTCTGCTGTACGTGCTTTTCATCGTTCTTTTCTTATAGTTAGCTGCGTCTTCGGAATTCTTCACCGGGAAGACTTGGCAACCTTCTAAAGTATTGTTTCTAACTTATCTACCTATGCTATAGGAGCAGGATGGCACTCCCAACTGCAAGGCCGTGACCGATCTGGCTGCCGGCTCATATGTGGAGTCGCTGTGGGAAGAGGCCTCTACGCCTGACGGTGTTAAGCTCACTGTATTCCACGTATGGAACGAGGGCGAGACTCGATACAACGCCTCCGGCTCCGTTGAGTTCCCGTCTAGCTCTACCTCATTTGAGGTGCCTGTGACTTCGATCACCGCCGTCTTGTAAGATGGGTTCGTGTTGGAATGTGAAACGAGATAGGATCGCTTAGTAGCTTGGAGCTGCTCCTCTTATAGAGCATCACTAGGATAACCTTTGGTTCGGAACTGCTGTCGAGGAAATCTAGCTCCTGATTCTTGTTGATTTCCATTATAGACTTGTTTGATAGACTTAATACACTACAGGTTACCATATAAAGCCGACCATGCTAGATTATTACAGAAACATAAAAGCCACTAGAATTAACTTTAATATGTTGTAAACATTAGAGGCGTTGGGCATTACGGGTTATTTTCGCTCTTTTGATATTTTACCTAAAGCCTTAACAATAAGTTAATACGTAAATTGTAAAATCCGTTGTATTTTGGTAGAGGGATTAGAATCATTTCATTCGAAGATATTTCCGTAACTCAAGAGGGTTAAATACTAAATTCTATTCGATGTAAATATTAACTTAGTGACTTCTTTCGAATCACTCCCCTAATTCGCTATAAAGAACTTACTAAGGAAAATATGGAAAATGTTGTTACTTTGTTACCCCTGAATGGGTTCAAAAAAGTAAAACCCCCCACGTGGTCATGTGCCCGATGTCGCAGTTTCGGGGATCAGCTGAATGTTTATCAATCAGATAAGATCTTCCTGCGCTGAACCACCCCTGTCGATTCAGTCTTACACCAAACAACTACCTAACCTACAGGTACCTAACATCCAGGGACCTAACATCGAGGAACGATGTCCGTCAACCAAGTTGATCAGGACTGGGTCCTCGATCTCTTCAGGGAAAGCTTGAGGACATCGAGTCTCCCTCTCGGTTTAGACGACAACGACTTCTCTGTGTCGTTTAACGATCCTCCCCCGGTGAGAGGTATCCCGAATGATCCCGAGAAGCTCCAGTATTTGCGAAACCTAATTGCCTACATCCTCGACGGTCGTGCTATTGTCTACACCTACAACATTGTTTTATTAGTAGTGCTTGTGGTATTTACTTTGCTTCACATAAATGAGAGGTTACGGGAGAAGTCTAGATGGAAAAGACTCGAGCAGGGCTTCACTACGGCTTCGGAACCACTTAGAAAGACGGCCGACGATTCCGAGCCTACAAACGAGGCAGAATCTTCCTCTAGTAGTACTTTGGAAGGCTCACAATCGTCTCACACCACACGTAAAGCTGTCGATGCTGATGTAGAGAGTCAACCTCTCCTTGGATCGAGACGGCGTCGTCCTACCTCAGCAAGAGCGGGGAATAATGTCGCTAAGCGCTTGCGATCCATGTTGATGTACCAACCTGGGCCCATCCCATTCATTAATCGGACTTTACCGTCGAACGGAACCTCTCTCTTCGTTTCGGCCTTTCTGGGTCTTAATATTTTCTATCAATTCTACCGCGTTCCCCTCGATCCAGATTATTTTTTTGCTTTCGCCGATCGAGCCGGTATAATATTTATCGTCAACTTGCCCCTTCTTTATCTCCTAGCCGCCAAAAACCAACCCCTTCGGCTTCTCACGGGACACTCGTATGAAGCCCTCAACATCTACCATCGCCGCGTTGGCGAGCTGATGTGCTTCGAAGCAGTAGTGCACTTTTTTGGAATGCTTCTTTGGCGGCTCATTCTCGAACCGCCTTGGTTGAGGAGTGGCAGTTTCTACGCTTTTATCACCCACCCATTATGTCTTTGGGGTATCGGAGCATGGGTATCATACGAGTTACTCTACTTTACCTCGCTCGGAAGTTTCCGTCAGAGGTGGTATGAGCTCTTCCTGGTTTCCCACGTATTCCTTCAAGTCGCCGCTCTCGCGTTTGTTTATATGCATTTCTCCACGAGCCGGCCGTACGTACTTGTATCACTGGCCATATTTCTCCTTGATAGGCTCGCCTGGCGCTTGTGGATGAAGTCTGCACATTTCACAGCAGACATAGCAATATTAGAGGACGACCAGACATTACTCCTCTCTATGGACTGGGACATACCTACATCTAAAGCTCGAGGATGTCTCAGTTCTTTGGGACAAAGCATCCGATACGGTTGGCGCCCAGCCGACCACGCGTTTATATCAGTCCCAGTACTTGGTCGTAGCCATTCTCTCCAAGCCCACCCATTCACAATCGCGTCCGCTGCACCTGTAATGGATGACACAGGTTCGCCAAGCCATGCTTGGTTAAACTTGTTGATTCGAGTACAGTCCGGTTTTACCTCTGACCTTCTAAGCCACGCGCGCCTAAACTCCAGGGTTGCTGTTCGCCTAGATGGGCCTTATGGATCCCAAGACCCCCTTAACATGCTAAGGTCGTGCGAGAATGCTGTCCTCATCGCTGGCGGATCCGGGATTGCAGTTGTCTTTCCTATGGCGTGGGACCTGGCTACTACCAAATGCGGGGGGAGGCAAGTACATTTGATATGGGTGATACACTCCCGAGCCCAACTGTCCTGGATACCAGAAGAGCGGATCACTGAGCTACAGAAGCTTGGAGTTCATGTAGCCATCCCGGAGCCGACAATCGAGGCTGGCAGGCCGGACATCCCCGCCTACATTACCGATCTGACCAGCTCTTCTGAGGGTAGGGTTGGGGTTGTAGTCTCTGGACCTGATGGTCTAAACAGGGCTGCAAGGAATGCATGCGCTGACGCCGTCAGATCAGGGGCTGATATCCAACTTCGGGTAGAGAAGTTCGGTTGGTAAGGAACGAGGTTAAGCATTTGATTTTTATCGGAAACTGATGGCTGGCGTTTTTTATGATTACATGTGAAATCAGTGGAATAACATAATACATCTGATAATGATTGATATTGCAGGTGGGTTTTGGATAGATTAAGATCTAGATCTAGATCTAGGTAGGCAGATGCGAGTGTGCGTGCATTACATCTTGAGATAGATCGCTCTTTTTAATTTCCCTAGGGACATTTTATATTTTCATGTCGAACGTGAATGGTTGCCACGAAGCATTTAGTTGGAGTGTTGATACTAGATCATAACTGAGGAATTCTGCAATCATCACCATGTCACTGCTTCACATTGTAACTCCATAGGGGAGTTCATGTCATTAGTTGAATTTTCATTCATATTCTAAATATTAAATAGTTTATTAATGCTCAAAGTTGCCCACGCTGAGGGCACCTGATGGCCGGCTAGGTGTCTCTTATGGTAGATTTACCCTATCTACACCATGAAATGATAGGATGACCACACGGCCCGGAGTATGCACGGGAGTTCTTCCGTAGCACCAAGGATCAACGAGTAATAGTCCTGATGTGTACCAAGGAAGGCACGCCGCGGTATGTCGATTGGGATATCTGCCACGGGCTTAATCGATCTCCTGTATCAGTGAAGCGCACAATACACTCTATCTTGTTTATACCCGGATTCCGGACTTTCTATAAGACGAACCAATTTGTGTAGGCCTTCAGGATGCCATGGATATATAAAAGCGATGATTTCGGAGAGTACCCAACTGCTGGCCATCATCGAAAGATCTCTCTTGTTTTTAAATTGCCTGGCTCTCTTGATTTGCTTTGAAGCCTCCTCAGCTGATCCTGCAAAACTCCGAAAGTTCATTTTTTGTTCGTTATACCTAGCCTCCCATCCCATCCCATCCCATCCCATCTAAACAAAAAACTTAGCCATGGGGAGAAGCTCCTCTCCGCAATCTCTGAAGATGAGATTTCCAAGATATATCGCGTTGTCGACGCCTGTTTTCCTCTACATCTTCGCAGTGGGCTGCTTGTGGGGGCATTTATACCGGAACGGCTACCTCGATGCCCTGCTCCGGCTCAAGAACGAAGGGCCACACCACCTCCCGGGCTCCGAGAATGCCATCCGCACTTTCTATACGGGCATCGGTCCGCTGGACAAGCTTGTGACGGTGGGGGTTGTTATATTTGCCAACGTCACCGACGGGAGCACCCCTGAGCTTTCTCTTTACATTTTCCAATTTTGTGGACAGTACCTTGCTATGCTTGTCATGATTAACATAGAGAGCTTAAGGGCTGGCAACGCAACTAATTTTTTCTCTTTGTAAGTCTTTCTCATGAATACCTTGGTAATCCAAAGCGTACTGACGTCTATGCGACAGATTCTCTTTATGGGGTTTCTTCATGCAAATAACAAGCTATGGTTGCACAATGCCCCTTTACGTGGCAGCCCATTTATTGAATTTGCCCACTGGCGATGTGGCAGGAGTAGGACTTTCCGAGGCAGTGCCAATATCGAAGCTATCGGAGCTAGCGGTGCTGCCGCAAGCATTCATCCTCGGCTATGTTATACCAGCAACACTCATGAGCGTCCCGATCTTTTCGAACGCGACGCATCAATGGTTCGTCGGTCTATGGCAAGGTTTCCATATATTCATCGTACTTTTCCAGAAACTGCTGGCGGCTTGGGTAGGCCAGAACAGACGACTTCTCGACGTTGACAAACGTCAGAAGTGCCCACCTGACATTCCCACCAAGTTCCAGGATTCTTCAGCTTGTAGGAATGAGAAAGATCTGCTTGAAAAAGCCTATCTCTTCGCGTTCTCATGGTGTCTTGTCTCCCATGTCGTCACATTCATGTTAATCGCAGCAGTTTGCATAGCCCCCTCTACATTCCCCCCTCATTTACGCGAAGCTTGGACAATATCCAAGGTCTTTTTACCTACCCCGTTCTGGTCGTCCGAGAAGATGGAGTCTATGGCAACTGCAATGCATAGCTTCTTCGCATACGACCAGTATGTCGGCTTGATAGCGTCTATCATATGGTCGTCTGCTCTATATGTGAAGTCGAGAGAACTACCTATGGGAGCGAGGGCGTGGGCTAAGCTAGGGTTCACAGTCTCGGCGCTAACCTTATGTTCGGGACATGCCGGCGCAGTCGTGTGGTTGATGTGGAAGAAAGATCAGCGATTACTATCGAGACGCGAGAAGGGCGTTTGAGATTGGATGATATTAGGTAACCATTGAATTGACTCTTGAGTTGACGCTTTACGTTATGCGCATGAAGAGATAAGGGATGGTGAGAACCCGAACAATTAAAAAAGCGAGCTCAACCTCTTTGTTATGTCCAATCTTCAACTTCATCTGACGCTAAAAATGAGCATACGTGGAAACAATGTACCAAACTAATTTGGAAGTTAAGAAATCGACCATAGGAGGAGCTGGGCGCAGCCTTTTCGCTCGCCAGGACTTTGCCCTGGGTGATCCTGGTGCTATTGCTCGAAATACCGCTTCTCGCCGAACTTGATATGGATCATATGGAGGATACTTGCGGTTGGTGTTTCCAACGTGGTGCTACCGAATGGGCTTATCGAGATCAAGAAGTGTGCTCGCTGCTATCGAGTAGGATATTGCTCGAAGAGTTGCCAGAGTAAGGCTTGGAAGCGAGAGCACAAATACGAATGCCCTGTCCTGGCTCCGAGCATTCGTCCAGACTGTATGTACCAACCATTTCTTGTATCTTTTCATTTTTTCCCTCCTTTTCCTAGGAAGCATATTAGTCCCGAAAGCTAGAGCCCTCATAATAGGATCGGTTTTTTGCTTTTTCCTTTTCATTATGTTGCAACTTTTTAGAGAGGTATGTACCAACCAAGAACAAGCACTAACTTTTGGTATCAAGTGCCTCTGAGCGTACGTGCCGTGATCAACCTGCTCAGTCGCCTGAAAGATAGTATAGACATAGAAAAAGAGCATATCATTGATATTCTGAAGGTCTGGCCGGCAGCTAGTGATGACAATCAATCATCTAGAAGATATTCGTCGGTTAACTAGATAAAGAAAAGTATGATGACTTCCATATGCTCGCCAACGCGGCTTGGACCTATGTAGGAAAACCTTCCTTCGACGTAGGCTCTCTGCTCGACTTTGGCGACTACGGTCGCGGGTTCGATCCTTTGATCTGCAGTGCGAACCATTCCTGCACCCTAACGTGGTACGCGTCGGTAACCAGCCGAGCACGCTGTTGCGTGCATCGAGACCGATTTAAGAAAGGTGAAGAGATACCTTTCATGTCATATACCGAAACGACAAATCCGTTTTGGCTACGACAAGAACATCTCGGAGAGTTATGTTTTCACTTGACATTGTTCCAAGCGTACGAACTGTCCGGTTTCTCCTGAAGACGCGTTCGCGGAACCACCACAAGTGCTGTCTGAGGAGTACTGCAACGTGGTAGATGAACTAGTAAAGCGCCATAGAGCCGAGCTGGCGAAGTTTTTAGTTCGGACTGTCGAGTCCAGAGCGCAACTCAGATTTGCTGCGATACAGGCATCTGTTTTTTTCTGTGTCTGAAAGTAGCTGCTCTAAGGAAGAGGACCTTAGAGAGGCTCTCCATATGTGTATCGATTCAGGAATGTGGACTTGGGCACGGTAGCCTGTGCCTGAGCTATGTCGTCGATTATTCGGTGTATACATGGAGTCTGGCGGTCTTTACAAGTCGCTCAAATTAGGGTTAAAACTCCTTGTCGAGGTAATGCCCACCTAAAATTTGTCTACAATCTTCTGTTCCGGAACGATTGATCCTCGCCGAGACGTTAGCAGTAATGGCTAATGTTAGGTACTCTCAGGCCCAATGCACCCACAGACAGGAAGTGAACTTGCTAAATATGGATTGGATCCAAAGGTCATTTTCTAGGGTTTAATGTTTGAATTACGTAGGTATATTCCCCAGATGTACCGCTAGGTTTCACCATTTGGCAGATTCGTAGAAAATTACTACGAGCAAGTCAAAGCTCGTGAGTCCATCAGCGAAGTCAAAGTTGAGAAGCAAGTAGTAACGGCCTGGCCGAAAGTACAGAAACTTTTGAAGGTATAGATATCTTGAAGCTATGTGATGAGAAAGAGGTCGTAGGTTGCACTGTGATGTAAGATCATTGATATCGTAGGTACCTACCTAGGCTCATATTAGCTGTATGATTTTGATTTAAGATCAAGTTTACCATGGTTAGATAGGTACGTAAGCTATATCTTCTGTTTTGAATTCGCGGAGAACTTGTAGAGGACTACTTTCACTGGTAAATTTCTGTAGGTTAGAAGGTACCTTTACGAGATTTGAAAATGGCGAAGATTGTAGCTTGCTTATGGTGGAAGGGTACCTCGAGAATATCTGAAGAGGATGCGCACGTTAGAACTCGAGACTGGAACAAAAGCTGCTTCCCAAAACATCATAATTCGGTGTACCCTAAAAACAAAATATACAAAAAAATGGCTCCACTAGATTCTGTGGAATAGTCGTAACCGTGTCGTCGGAATACGCACTGATCAATGTACACCGCTGCAGTCTCGGGTGGGCATCATGCAGCTCATGCCGATGCGGATGTCGATGTCAGTGTCTGGTATGTCGATCGTGATCAACAACTCTAAACTCTGGAGGCGACGAGACTCATGTAAATCCCCCACAGCAGTCCCACAAAATTGAGGAAGACGATCCGTCGTTCCACGGGCACGCAGCTGAAGCTGATGATAGAAGCGAAGGGCCAAATCTTATAGCCGGCAACAATGACAGGGATCGTCTCTGTCCTGATATTGTGCGCGATCTGTGCCATGGACTGGTTCTTAAAAATACCCATGAGTATGAAGAACGCGACCGTGTTGAAAATCGCGCCGAGGGTGATACAATCGATGAACCATTTGGCGAAAGTGTTTCGCAAGTTCAGCTTAGGTGCCTGCTCTTCTGGATTCCCTCGCGCTCGAACATCCTCTCCATCTACCCCTTGCTTTTCAACATCGCTAATTGATTTCTTTCGTTCGTATGCGGGAAAGCTACGCTCTAGCAGCTGCTGCCACATATAATTCGGAGGAGCACTGATAAAGGTGACGGCAACGAAGCGGAGGAAATTGGCGAAATCGAAAATAAAGGGGCGTCCGTCTCGGTATGCTTCAAGGAATTGGGCGAGAATGTTGGATGCGCTAGAGAGACCGGCCGCGGCCAGCGTGGCTTTAGTCATGGGAGAAGGCATCTTGATTTGTTTGTCTGTTATTTGGATTATTTTCAATCGGGACGAAGCGTATATGATGTAATGGAAGAGGAAGATGAAGAGGGAGATGAAGACGCAATGCGATAGGAAGATGTTGTAAACGAATGATGGTTTTGCATTGAAACACTGGATGAAATCGACATCCGGTTGAAATTCACGTAGATCTAAGGGGTTAGTTAGCGATTAGCAATCTAGAAACAGCGATGTATTGTGTGGATGCGATGTGGTAACGGGAATTTATGGATTTCTTATTAAAATTTGACGAGTTGGTAGAGATCGTCGTTCTCATATGTACGCATTAATTACATGCATCGGAGTCAAGTACCATTATGTTAATATGGATGAGCTCAGTGAAAATTGAGGGGTAAAAGTTTAAGTTTCATATTATAGCATTAGAGGCGGTATAGCAAGATGGACCAACATATAATTAAGAGGTAGGTAGTTTTAAGTTCTGTTCTATTGATCTTGATAATTGATAATTTGATTTGGACGAATATGGCATTGTTGAAGAAGCATAAAAGAACCCGGGCAAGCTTCATGTACGATGTACCTAAGTGGATCTTCGGATGACGCGACTGCAGGTGCTTGTCCAAGATTTAGCTCGTCCAGGGTTTGATCTTGACGCTAAATTAATATGTAATTACAGAGAATTTGATATTCTTATAAAGGATACGTACGTACGCAGTAAACCGTACCTCTCCCGCTCACTTCCCTGCTGCCTATGAGATCCGCAATCGAAACACACAAAATTCCCTATCGCCTATGAGTTGTATGAAGTTGAAACCAACGCCGCCTAAATATGCGACATTGGTGACACCCAACATATTGCTCATATGACAATATTTGAGACCTTTCTTGCCTAAATCTAGGCCCCCCCGCTACCATTTTATTCACCAACACCCTACTCAGCTGCTAAGACGAGGCGGTTCTGCCTTGTTACTAGTCCTCAGGTAGGCTGTGCCATCCATTACCGTGTCCCTCTTTTGGCTAAGAGAGCTACAGTAACCGAGTAAGAGGATCCGGTGGTGACTCAACTTGACCCAACCATTCTGGCATCTAACCAATCATCTTACACGCTTCAAATCCCGTGGGAACCGGGAGGTATGGCATCAAAAACGACATCGGTTTCGATGACTCCCTCATAATAGTACTGATTATTACCATGATTCATAGCTATATAAAAGTAGACTTTATAAATATATAACTAATAGGCACTATTCTCTGAATTTCTGTCTCTCTCCATATTCTAAAGTGGTGTTTTATCTTTACCGAAATACTCACCACCACGCTACCAGCGCCCTGCGCGTGGCATCCATTACATCCTTAACCCTCGTGACATTGCTTTTGCTTTTGCTTTACGTGTTCCTAAATTTCTGCAATACCTATTACAATAGCGAATAAAGATTACTATAAAAACCCTTATAAGCCGACCATCTTCATGGCTGCCCTCTCATCATCTCTCTTCCCTCCCGACCAACCTTTCCGGCGGCACGCGCCTCGTCCATGTCCCGAACCCATCAGATGGCGAAGTCGTCAAGAGCTACAGCAAAGCTATAAACGATCCTCGAGACACGACCAAGTCAGCCGGTCTATCAGGGTTCACAGATTCCACGGCAGCCGTGTCGTTCGGCAGCGAAGACCTCGCTCTTCGTATCTAGCATGGGGGTTCGATGACGAGGACAACCGCCGCTTGGCGGCCGATCCTAACGTCAAGCTGCCCTCCGACTTCAGCCGCTTCAAGCCCCGTCTCGAACGCCAGGAAGCTTTCCGAGAACCCAAGACGGCGCAAGGATTCTATTCCGACGTGGTGGAGGATGATTCCGACTTGTATAAACTGGGCCTTCTATACGACGACGAACACACGCGTGGTTCCTACTTCAGCTTGGACGCCATCGTGCACGATGAGCCCATCTATTCGGTCCGCCCGGCGAAGCGAGCACGGAAGCAGCGCCAGGAGAAGTCTCATTTCCCTCTGGATCTCTCGTACGCCTTGATAAATCGGGACGTAGATGTCGGGCCTTTCTTGGCTCCCGAGGTCCACGAAATTCCCGTTCCCGTCGAAGACATCTCCGCCCCTCAAGATAAGCCTAAGCACATCCCTGCTCCGGCGCAATCGTACATGGATGCAAAACTCCCGGTTATCCACGAGCTCCCGGAGAGCTCGTCGCCTTCATTTCGAACGGCGGCCCCGGAGGCCACCGATTTCCCCGATTTAATATCCGATTCCGAAGTAGACGCAGAAGATGAAGAATTGCATGGCGACTGGGCGTTATTAGACGATGCCGATATTCTAAGCAATGCGGATGCGGATGTCAGCGCGGAAGATATCGTAGACGCGACCTCCGTCGCCGGCGAAGTCTGGGTGGTGCTGGGGGACGGCTCGTAGCAGGTCCGCACATGAGATTCCCGAACGCCCCAGGATCTCGACCTCGGATCGCAGCGTCGCTGCGCGGATTGGCCTTCTATATACCCAGCACCAGCCCCCGGGCTCCGGCGTCATCGAAGGTGGAAAACAGTTGTGTGCTCGTGGTCGAAAAGACTTTGGCTACTCGAGCTCGCTGTTTGCGTTTAAGGTGCATCAAATACGTGTGTACACTCTTGTATCCCCGCAAGATGTCGTTGCATCAATATGGTTGTTCTTTTTCTACGTTGGGTTTTCTCTGGCATTGTTCGGCGCATTGGTAGTATTAGGTACTGATATCCCCTGGTCAAGGTTGGCGTTGAAGCTTTTGATATGGCTTTATGGGTTTCATATATTTAACTATATTCTATCATAGCCGTACTCTCTACGGTGCGTGCGTGTCAGTCTTCGAGCTAGCGCCGTTTACCGTAGCTTTATTAAAGCTTATTAGTCTCATAATCAGGGTTTCTCATGTATATGTGCTAAATTTGCTTATTGCTGCCGTGACAATACCTTCTGTTAGTAGTTGCCCAACGTAATTGTACCTAGGTCCAATGTCACATGTCACATAACATAATGTATAACTGTATAGGTACTATATATACTTCCACCATTAGTGGATCTTATACAGTAACCTTAACAACAACAACCATAATGATATTATGACATCTAATAGGACGAATTGTAGGAGCAACCGACTATTCGATTACCTTAGGTACTTATACATATGTGTTGGTTAGGTGTCATGGGAACTAACCGATGCATCCAGGCACTACAAGCCGGTTAAAAACGACGATGCGTTGAAGCGTTACCTCGAGCAGACCGAGCGCTGCTATAGCATTCTCGAAGGACAACTGTAGAAGACCGGCGGTGATAGCATCTGACATGGAGGAATCACGGCAGTAGACTTGCATTTCGAGCCGTGGGTGAGACAGCACTCGTATGCGCAGCGCAGATTAGCCTAGATCCATACCCGACGGTGAAGAAGTGGCTGGAGAAGATGGATAGCCTCAAAGAGATCCAGGAGGATGATAGGAAGGGAAGATCAAAGAGGCACCTAAACCATAAGTTAATACCGAAAACTGACCTTACATTGCCAACCTTCGCTACCTTCTATTATCCGTACAACCTTGTGAACCTAATAATCTTTAAAAGGGGATAAGCCCACGCCGAACGCCATCCAAGCACAAACCTGATCATCATATCCTCCCAAATTCAAATTCAAGCCGGATCATATACCCATCTGAACGCCTCCCATGCCCTAATCCACCTATTCTACGCCTAGATATTACAGGCCTCATTTCGGACCATACCTTTTCTCTGCAGCTTCCACCACGCTTCCCTCAAGGTCTGGTGAATTTCCAGCCTCATATTGCCTGGTGGATCTGCCATCACGGACGGGCATAATCTCCCATCTAACCAAGGCATCATCCATACCCGGCCAGAGGTCTGTAGGTAGATATTCCGCAACTTCATGTCGGAATAATTCACGCTCCTTGCGGTCGGTTTCATAAAGCTTATCGACACTTTCCTTCGCTTTCTTCCATATGCTTAGCACCTTCTCTTGCAACGCTCTGCGCCGTTCGACTTCGAGGATCAGCCCGTCATATGAGTTGGAATAGCTCTCGTAGAATATGCGCAACTCGTCCATCTCGTGTAATTTCTCCCGGATTGCTGACTGTTCTTCATCCCACCTATCGCGAAACTCCACCTCGGCCGAAATGTAGCTGGGGAGTCGTATTCCAATGTCTTCTAGCACTCTAAACGCGTCGATCGTTGAGCGATAGACTGTCTTAACTCGATTCCTCTGGCTGTCGATGGTCGCAAAATCGGCCTCCATAGACTGCAAACGTATATTGAGTTCTCGAACTACGTCGTCGACTTCCGACGCATCTTGCATGACAACTTCGAGCATCTGGGCACGTTCCTCGGGCGATATTGGATCATCCTCGGGCATATGTGACTCTTGCTCTGCAATCACACCGGATATCGATACGTTTACACCACTTTGGGAGTCTACCGTTTCGGCAGCTTTGATCCTTGCCAGGGCTGCTCCACCTTCCGTCGTCCTTACTGCAGTTACGCACAGGTCGAAATGTTTCGTCAGTGACGAAAGAAGCTCGGCCATAGCGTGTGAATTATCGATCATCGAGGAGAAAAGCCGAGGCAGCAACCGCTCGGAAGACGAAGCCGAAGGGGACGGAGGTAGAGCGCCCGAGAGGGTCTTACTAAGTAATCGCATGTCGGTATCGAAACGGAGCAGATCACCGTCAAACGACTTTTGGATAGTCTGTTGGAGGGTTAGGTTAGGTTAGTCCGGTATAGACTGGGAACTGAAGGGATAGTGTGGCACAAACCTGTAAGGACTGAATATTTTCCTTCAAAGCATCGTTTATCCCTTCGACCCGCGCCTCATCTATGAAATCGAGTAGATTCTTTTTACCCTCGCCAGCTGGTCTAAATGTACTATCTACGGTCCTGTCGCGCAGTAAATTTATAGTGTCTTCAAGTCGACCGTGGGCAGCATCCAAGGTTTTGATTATCTGCTTAAATTCGCGATTCCCGTTGTCGTATGTTCGATTCATGCTCCGTCGTAGATGCTGTAGTAGTCGGATCTGTTCATTTATACCCTGCCGAATGAATCCCGACTGCGCAGCTAGAACAACGGATTCTTCATGAGCTTCTTTCGCCAAGTGAACGAGTTCATTAGCGCGTAGCACAAGGGCCATGGAGTTGAGCGAGCGTTTGGCGTCGAGAAGATGCCGTACGAGGGTTTCAACGGATACCGAACCGATGGAACCGGGAACGCCATGTTGGGATGTAGGGCGAGAGATGGACGAGGATGAGTGTGGACTGGTGATAGATGCCATGTTGAATGATCTCAGAATCAGAATTGACCTAAGGGCTTTGGGTCCAAGATATCAAAGCAGCTACTACTTGGAAGCCAGGGGCTAAGCCAGCGTCTCTACATTCTTGGCTAACAAACGAGGCTGTGAACAAAATGGTACGTGATAAATGATGAGGGATAAGGAATAAAAAGTTGTAGAAGAGAGGTAACTTTTGAATAGGTACCTTACCTTAGGTAACCTCTGACAGATTGGATAAAACCGGGGAAGCTAAAGTTAAGCTCAGGGCGGTTCATAGCGTGCGATAGCGTGCGATAGCGATATGCGGACACCAGGTCTAAGGAGGTATGCAAAGCTACGGCGAACCGTAATGCTGGATCATAGCTGCATCTTAGGTGAGCAAATCACGGCTCAACGAGCTCTAAAGTGCCGATGTACTGTATCACCCCACATGGAACAAGTGGAACAGAACAGTGGAACAGTCAGTGGAGCGCTGTTACCAGCTCCAGAATACATCATACAGCTACTATGTACAGTGCATTAGCTACCAAGCCGAGCTATCGCTTGCCAAGCAGCTCCCAATGGTAAAGCGTTGATAAAAACCCCTAAATTCATAATAATAGTTTATCCATTTGTATTTCATGACAATTCCACGTTATTTCTTCACCCGAGATTGCCGTGCATTCTTGAGCACTTCTTCATGTTTTCTTTTTTTCTCTTTTCGAGGTAGATATCATGTCTTTCTGTATTAATATAACAGGTAATGTTATGTCCACAAACAAATGGATCAACTGTCTACGAAAGATATCAGACGGAAGCCTGTTCCGCCGGTAGCTTTACAACCATCGGTTCCTCACACAAGTGATATCCTTGACGATCTCCTTGATGACTACTATCTAGAACCAACTGGACAACCCGATCCTCATCACCAACACCCACTACCTACCATTCAAACTAAGGAATTAGAATTAGAAAACACTCCAGCTGTCCCTCCACCTCCACCATTTCCACCTCCTCCACCCCTTCCACCTCTTCCACCAAGACAATGGTCCATTCCTCTCGTTTCTAGTCCTTCGGAAATATCACTCAACTCTAACGTCTCTACGCCGGAAGCTACCAATTCCGCTCATTCAATATGGAAGGCGGCTGTAAATGAGACCATTTACTTCGCTGGTGGGCTTATATCACACCCTTTCGAGTCCACTAAACATTATAGCATTCTCCGCCATTCAGCCGGCGTGGTCTTTTACCGGGGGCCGTCTACGAGTATCGCTATTACTGTTTTTGCAGATCAGCCACTGCCAGCTGACCGTTCATTTTGGTTGCAGAGAAAGGGCTTCTCCGGAAATATGGGCATGGCCGCCAGTGCTCTATTACGCACTCAGGGAAACTGGATTGAAGTGACACCCTCGTTCGCAGCTCTTCCTTCTCAAATTCCTCAGTCGGATGAGCGAGCTTGGCAAAGGGATATCAAGAAGTTTCTTAAGAAAGCGGCATCCCACAAGCACTTATCTAAGCAGATAGTTCGCGAGACCTGCGTTATTCGGATTCCCGCCTCAGCCGAAGATGGGTACTTACGTATCGTCATGTGTACAGGCGAAGGGTCAAAGAAGACGCTTTGTCCCTCGCCTGTTTTCCGCGTAGCAAGTACGTCATCAGACGTGAGCGTGATGCGTGGTGCAAGCCTGACAACCATGCCTATCGAACTCGGGTTGAAAGTAGCATCCGTAATAGGCCAGAATGCTGTGGAAAGGTTCATCGGACCCGCCAGGGATCTCATAGAGGCCCAAATTGAGAAATACGGTCCGGGGGTTATAACACAAGAAGCTGCGCTTATGGCGTATGAAACCTTTAATGAAGAAGAAGAAGAAGAAGATACATTCAAGCCGTTGCAAACAGAAGGAGTACTAGAGGTGCCTCCTCAGATAGTTGGCCCTGATAGTGGGCCAGAGAAACCGTACCCAATTCGGTTTACTGGAAAGATAATCCAGGGAACTGGTAGAGGACGAGCTGAGACCGGAATACCGACAGCAAACCTGGCCGGCGTACCGGAAGACTTACTTCTACGCCTCAGTGGTGTTTATATCGGTTGGGCTGCTATTCGACCATTGAAATTGAGCGATGAGATATCGCAACCCTGGCACAAAGCCCTTATTACTGTTGGACCTTCGCCATATGCACCACCTAAGGTCGTATCTAAGAATGTGGTTAGAGTTTATATGATCAACGACTTTGGCGAAGCTAGATTTGTGGACGCCAACCTCAAGGTCGTGCTTATGGCATTTTTGAGACCCGTATCGACGCCTAATAGCACCCAGTTACCTGCAGAAAGTACTGCCACCATCGCACGGGATATCGATATTGCTGTTGCGAGTCTTAGTCGCGAGAACTGGCAGTGCGATACGACTCTCCGCAGGGTCAAGTCGGAGATGAGCATAGCAGAGAAGTGCGTTGATATGCAGTTGAAAGTGCAGAGGCGAGTCGATAGTGTTCCGCTGCACTTGGCCGGAGTACGCACCGCTAGCAGCGAGCTTAAAGATCAGGTCTATGGTAGGGGCGGCTTATACATACGACGATGACAGATTCTGGCTCGCCACATCGCAAACGTAGTGGGCGGCGAGATAGAGCTTATTATTTTTCAAACGACGTAGGATCTTTAATTTCTATTTTCGCTTCTTTTTTCCCATTCATGAAGTAGGGAATTTTCTATTTGGGGGCATTTCAGCGTGTCGGGGTCCTGCGCTGAAGACTAGGCACTTCAGAGAATTGGAATTCTGGAGGTTCATTGGAAAGCAAAAGAGGCGTTTGCTCTACTGAGCTTCAACTTTAATGGGCAACAGCGGTTTTCTTTCATTCGGTCGTTCAATCTCGGAAGCCAATCGACCTAGAGCATGGGGAGTTTCTCAAGCCCCGAATAATCGGGGTGAAATAATACCTATATAATCCGGACAATGGGTTCGGCATTCCATGTCTTACTTATCTCATGAAGATACTATTAGTAGTAATGCTAATATTTCAATGGATGTATTGTACGATGTCTCATTTAAATATCCGTTACAATAAACCCCCATTGGCAAATATGCCAAGATGTCTAAGACAGGTAGGTAACGTATGACACCGATTGAACGAATCAAACTAGTTGAAGGCTTCAGCCTCTTTCTGATTCAGGCGAGAAGATATCTGCAGCATACATGTTCAGTATTCAAAGATTCAACATTTTAAAGCTGTACTAAGTCAGGGACCTTTTGAAGCCGCTGCTTATGTTATCTTGTTCCTGGATTGCTTCAATATAAATGGGTACATGGGTCCGTGGAATGTGCTCGATTCGTCGGGTCTAGAGTCTAGACTTCAGGCCCAATTTGTTTAATACGGAAATGATTCCCAAGTAGACAACCTAAGTGGTAGTTATAGCCGCGCTGTAGTGGTATCAATAGTAAGTAAAACCTTAATAGGTGATCTCACAAATCTGCATAAGCCTATAATACCTAGCAGAATGGCTAAATATTGGAAAGAATAGTACGTTGATTGGTAAGACATTGTATGCATCTCCACTTTTGCTTAGTATACCATTTGGAAATATATAGTACTCTTTTTTACATGTGGAATCTCTATGGGATAAAAACCTAGGTACCTATATGGAACCTAGGCTAAATCTAATGCCGGGCCTTTATACATTAGGTACCTTAACCTACCTATACCTATAATAAAGACGCCGAGTCCAAAAAGCCATCTTTCTCTCCGTCGACCGGCGATTTCGAGACTTATCCGTCTAGTTGCACTGACGTTTGCTTTTTTTTTTTTTTTTTTCCCCGGCGGCTTACATTAGGTACCTAGGAAATGGCTACGTCTTTAACTCCTCCTTCCGAGGATATGCAAAAGAGTAACTTCGCCTCGTCAAAAGTTACTAACGATGGAGACGTTTCTTCCGAGCGAAACTTCACCGGGGAGGAAGACGAAGAGGAGCAGGAGCAGGAGAATGTTGTCGTGGATACCCTCGCGACTCGTCGGGCTTTAGAGCGACGGCTTAGGCTCAAGGTCGATCTGCGACTTTGTACTATCGCCGGCATACTCTGTTCGCTCAATTTGCTCGATTCGGGAGTTATTAGTTCGGCGTCGGTGACGTCTATGCCGTCCGACTTGGATCTGACCGGCAACAGGTTCAGCGTCAGCATATTCATCTTCACCATATCGAGCATCGCCTTCCAGCTACCGTCGACGTTGGCGGTGCGCACGTTCGGCCCGCGTTTGTGGTTCTCCTTCATTACCTTTTGCTTCGGCCTTATTACCATGTGCACTGCGTTTATCCAGACCTGGCGCCAGATGATTGCCCTGCGCGTGCTCCTCGGTATTTCCATGAGCGGTATTTACCCCGGCCTGACGTACCTGATCTCGACTTGGTACCCGAGGAGGGAGCAGCAGACGCGCTTTGCCTTTCTGCAGACCGGCGAGGTGGTTATCCTAGCCACGGGTAGCATCGTCAACTTCGGACTTAACCAGTTGGACGGTAAAGGTGGTATTGCGGGCTGGCGCTACATGTTCCTGGTGCAAGGGCTGATCTCTATCGTCATCGGATTCGTGACGTATTTCTGGATGGTGGATTTCCCGGAGGAAGCGCATCGATCTTTTTGGTTCCTCACGCCGGAAGAGCAGGAACTTGCCGTCGCCCGCATCAACGCCGACCGCAAAGACGTTGAGCCGGATACGTTTTCGTGGGGTAAGGTTTTCGTACACGCGCGGGATCCGAAGGTCTACGGGTTTGCGTGCATGTTCTTCCTCCTCAACCTAGTATCAACCGCGCTATCGTATTTCTTGCCTATTATTCTGCAGAGCGGTATGGGATTCGACGAGGATCAATCGATTCTACTGTCCGCGCCGCCTTACTACTACGCAGTTATCCCCGTTCTCCTGTCCTCCATTATTGGCGATCGGTTCCGCATCCGCGGCCCCGTTATTATCTTCAACTGCGTCACTTTGATCGTAGGCTTCTGCATGCTTGGATTCGCCGAGCAGGTCACTGTGCGCTACGTCGGGACTTATCTGGCCACCGGCGCATACGTGAGCAACTGGGCGGCTCTCAGCGCCTACCAGGCTAACAACATCGCCGGTCAGTGGAAGCGCGCGTTCACCGCGGCTGCGGTGACGGCCCTGAACGGCGCCGGTGGAATCGCGGGGAGTTTTATCGTACGGTCCCAGGAGGCGCCGCACTATACGACCGCCGTGTGGGTCTCGATCGGGTCGCATATCATAATTATTGCCATCGTAGGCGCTTTCTCGGCCTACTTCTTCTTTGCGAATAGACTTGCCACCCGAGGGAAGATCCTTATAGAGGGCGTGGAAGGCTTTAAGTATACGTACTGATATCTGAACTTTAAAATGCAGTGTATTAGAGCGGAGCGCTATGGTTGGATACATGTTTTTTTATCACGGCAAGGTCCTGGAGCTTCTTCAGAAGCATGGCTACCTCCTATATAAACAACGACGTAACGCTTTACGAATAATGTCACCATCTAAGCTGCCTACCTAGGTGCCTATAAAAGTAGAGTCATTGAGAATTGATACCTATTAGATGATATAAATCCCCGAGTCTGATGCGGGTCTGATAAGATTACGAATTGAAAGATGACAATTCGCGGTGGTGAATTCCAACTAGAAATATCTCATGACTATCATCAAATCATATGGCCTGCGCCTTATTCCCCTTGAGTCTATCTTCGTGATTCGTCGTTAGTCTTTGAGGCCAGCTCAAAGAGCACATAAGGTGTGCTGGTCTCCCAGTAGCGGTGGAAGATACCCCTGATTATTCGTCGCAATCAAATCGTTCCCGTTCGCACTCCTTCTGATCCCCCAGGAGTAGCTCTTTAGCCTGCTCGCGGGCGCGCCGGTCTCGTCTGCACTCATCGCGCGGCGACCTGCGAGCCGCACCCGCACCTCGTCGCGCAACCACGAGCCGGGCGAGCCTCCCCACCGCGACGAAGGTGCTCAGCAAAGCTTTCGTTCCCGGACCATCCGACTTCTGCCGATCTCTTCTCTCGACTTCTTCCTCGGCAAGAATATTATCAAAGTCGGTATTATTATTATTATTATTATTATTATTATTATATCTCGGTGGCTCGTCCTTGCTATCGTTGTCGCTGCTCGAGCTCACGACTCGCTCCGGCCGCGACACGCATTTCAGGGGGCCGTTATATCTCCCGACCCAGATGCTCCCGTCGGACGTGTCGAAGAACGTGTACTCCTGGTCGTCGGCGTCGTACCCGATGCGCTTGACGCCGTGCGGGAGGCGCTCCTCGTCTGTGTCGAGATGTGACCAGCGGCCCATTTTTTTTGGACTTCCTTATAATAATTATTACTTAAAATTCCTCACAAAAGTTCTTTTGTCCGTCAAGTTCTCATTCTGCAAGTTGGGATACCTTAGATACCAAGTAGGTATTCGATGAGGCGGATGACGGGGCGGTACTATGGAATATTGGTAGTGGCACCACTTGTTCAGGGCGGGAGGATTGCGGTAACCGCCATGCATGCTTGGCTGGATGGATGGCCAATGAAGAGGTGAGGCCTATATCTCGCATACGGGTATCTTTCATAGATGTGGGATTATGTGCCCATACCGTAGGTACTACATGACTTCTTATCATCATACTGCGTAAAAAGGGGGGCTTACAGACATCTATACATTCGCCTAAGAAAGGTGTAGGATCTGATACATCTTGTTGTCCTACAATTATATGAAAGCCAGTGTATACCCATATATCGGAACGAGTTCTCCTTTAAGTATATCATATTATCCAGATTGATGTTTGTTTACTAAGATCTTTCACGGTAAAATAAAAATACCGAAAATATTATAAGCACTTGGAAAATACAGCCCCCAAACCCGGACTGTAGCTTTGGCTAATCGCCAAGAATTCAGCTTGAATGTTTTTTTACCATTCGGTACTACTGTCTTATCTTCCCGCTGAGCGAATAGGATATCAAGTTTTTCATATGCCTGATAATGTTTACATAGGACGACCTATAACTCCCATTTACCAACAATGATAATGAGGAGGAAGAACGATATATCAAGGATCATGGAACTGTACGGTATATCAACAAGAAGTAGTGATTCGCACTTTATGCAGGAACGCTTAAAGCAGGCTGATTTCCCCTTTTGATTATGCTTTACTTTTTTTAGGCGTCTAGACTAGATTCACCCAGCCTGCAGCACCAGTTGGCCACAGCCAACATGATGTGCTACAAGCAAAACCGAGTAGCTGGCTTTAGGGCTGTTGGGAGGTCACGATCTTTCGGGAGGTAAGGGATACCCAAAAATAGCGTGCTAAACAAACGCAGTTAATTTCTTTCTCGTTTCCCTGGTTTCGTCTCGAATCGGAGAATTCTTTTTGAGTGGCGATATTATGAAGTCTAGACGTACGGCCACGAGAAATCTACTTCTATAAGCGGGAGTCGGTTCCCCATGCCGAACTAACGTAAGAACCTATAGTTTACCAGAGAACTTCCCGGCGGCGTTTCACACGTGATTTACATGTCGGCATCTAGGTACCTTAGCCGAAAATAGTAGCGTGATCGATGTAGCAGAAGAACTTGGGACATCTAGATCTTGTATTGGTTTCTTTCAGAATTGGGCCATACCAAAGCTGTATTGCCAATTGGTAATATTATGTTTGCGTTGACAGGAAAGTTAATTAGTGACATACCTCGAGAAATGAGGCTCAAAAATACAATCTATCCCGGGACCCTACGAAGCGTACTGTAGAAGTCTAGATCCATGCCGAACGTGAGGTTTCTAGGATACTCGGCATTCAGGGGACCGCAACACCTAGGTACTTTGATTTAATTAACTAGGTGCACAACCTGTCGGCCAATACTACCCAAATCACTCAGGTTTGCTAAAATTGATATTAAATGAATTTGCTCTTGTATGCGAAGTTTGCGCCACATAACGCAGCCAACCCTTTGCCGACAGGATGGATGTTACCTCGCAGATCCTTGGGCTTCATTAGGTAGGTATCACTGCTGTTTGTGCTTGCAGGAGGTCTTTATAACTTCCAACAGAGATATATTAATAAATTGTACCTAACGTATCATTGGCTTGAAACCCTTACCATCACAAGTAGGTTCTACGTGTTATTAAAGCAGCAAGATGACTGCTGTATTTCATCATTAACCTGGCCGACCAACACACTTAAAGACATGATCCGCAATATTCCTTTAGACTTTGGCGTCCTTTTCAGGCCCCCGCATTCCCCTAACTGCGCTACCTCGTGGGAGTCTACGTAAGAGTTGTTACCTAACTGGGAAGCCAAGTCGTGAGCCTAGGCACATGTAATTGGTATTCTACTCCAAGATTTCCCTTGGCATTGTGATTTTTAGTTATGTAGTACTAATCCCACAGCAGACTTCTCTGTTGTCAGCGTAGACAAAGAGCGAGTCTTGGTCATTTGCTATGAAATATTTTCCACGCAGCCAATCTCGGCACCGTTTCAACAATGGATCGATTCCTTTTCGTGTAACTGTAGTAGCCATGCCAATGATAGCTAACACCCTTCCGATTGTCAGCGTTCTGTAATCTCCCTCTGAAGGATCCTCGCTCGGTCATACCAGTCGAGTTTAATCCCACGTTTTTCCTTTGGTTCCTGAGCAGCAGCAAATCTAGATTCCGATCTACTAAACAAGAAGGTTTACCTTGTACTCGTCGGCATTATTCCATCTTGTTAACTCCGCTAATTCATCAGCACCCGGGGCGTTTTCTTCCCCATGCGCTAAGTAGAACAACCAATAGTCAACAAGGTATTTCTTTTCAATACCAGGTAGCTACCTAACCTAAGGTAGTTTGACACTATCTACACACAAGCTTAGGTAGACACTAGTAAGGTTCCTCGTTCTTATGCACAAGGAAGTTCTGCGAGTTACCCCGGCTAACCCCTCGTTCCCCAAGCTCTTCTCCCCACGGGGGTTCGCCCCGTGACAGCTTATGGCCTAGACTAGTCGACGTCGACCAGGACTATAAAAGCAACACTCCTGGTTACCCCATCTACTTCTATCATTCCTCCCTGTTCGGGCAAGTAACTAATATGAAGGCTTCAATCATGGATCGCGACCAAGAAAAGGCGGACTTTGAAGTGAACCAATTCGAAGGGGAAAAGGCCCAATCACCAAATATTATCGATGATGGCATAGATGAAAAGGAAGGGAAGAAGATCATATGGCAACTCGATCGCCGGCTAGTCACCTTGGTCGGTGTCTTGTATTGCATCAGTCTTATGGATCGGACCAATTTGTCTGCTGCTGCTATCGCTGGAATGAACGAAGAGTTGCATCTTGTTGGCGAGCGCTATGTGAGACTTATTTTACCCTCAAACATATTCCTCACCTTATTTTGCTAATCAATTCCCACTTCCAGTCGGTTGTGACCCTGGTCTTCTTCATTACCTACATTATATTCCAGCCCCCGTCGACTGTTCTTATCCGTAATATTGGCCCACGCATCTACCTGCCGTCCATTACTTTGGCATGGGGTGCCGTCATGATTGGGTTCGGATTCAGTCCTACGTACGAAGTTCTCCTGGGTCTCCGACTGGTACTTGGTGCTTTCGAGGCTGGCTATTTCCCCGGGTGTACATATTTGCTGTACGTATAAACACCACTATAGCTTGCTCTCTTCTAGTCCTTGATACCACTTGGAACTAATAATGGCTTACCTGTAGGTCTACGTGGTATACTCGATGTAAGTTTCAATCCGCACAGGCCACATAGCACCGGCTATAATGAGAAATATATATCTAACAAAAGGGATAGTTGAGATGGGAAGACGATATTCAGTCTTTTACCTTGTTGGTTCTGTTGCTTCAGCTTTCTCGTAAGTAAACTCTCAAGCTGCCAATTCGTCAGCAAAGCCTGCAAAGGGGCGTTTGTTAACTGAGGACGTCCAGAGGAATTCTCGCATTTGGTTTGATGCAACTGGACGGCAAAGCGGGCCTTGGTGGTTGGCGATGGATCTTTATTATCGAAGGTATTTTATAACCATCGGCATTATGAAGTATGTCTCGAAAGCTGATCAAAATTCCGTCTAGGTGTCATAACATGTCTTCTCGCCTTTCTTGGTTTCTGGCTCTTAGTTGACTTCCCCGACTCCAAGCGAAAGTCTTGGCGGTTCTTGAATGAAAGACAACGCGCGTGGGTCGTCATGCGAGTCAATGCGGACCGCGGCGATGTAGCAGTCCCCAAGTTTAGGCTCAGTCTGTTCTTAAGGAGTGGTCTAGATCTAAGAGTCTGGTGAGCTTATTTGACTAGCAGCAGCACTACTTCTTCCGTGACGATATCTAGTACATTGAGTTACGATGTTTTAGTAGGTATTTCTTTAACTAACACTTCATTAGGGGATACGGCTTGATCGCCTTCTGTACAAATACTCTTACCTATTCGTTGGCCTACTTCTTGCCCCTTATCCTCTATACAAATTTGGGATTTTCACGCGGTCAGGCTGCGTGCCTCATCGCCCCGCCGTATGCGTTCTCCGGCTTTTACATGTACTTCATGGGCTGGTTCGGAGACCGTTACCATCTGCGTGGCCCCGTCGTGGTCATTAACTTCGTTGTCGCACTCATCGGGCTCCCTATTCTCGGATGGCACCCCACGAGCGGCGTTCGATATTTTGGATCGTTCCTCGTGACGGCCGGATCGTCTGCCAATGTTCCAGGGTCGCTCGCGTATCAAGCCAACAATATTCGGGGACAATGGAAGCGAGCTTTTTGTAGTGCGTTATGGGTCGTAGGCGCCAGTATTGGCGGCATTGCTAGTAGTTTGGTCTTTAGGTAAAGTTACCGCTTTGCACTACCTACATGCTTAACTCATACTGATAATAAACTAGGTCACAAGATGCTGCTACTGGGTATAGACCTGGATTGTATGCGTGCATAGCATGTTGCCTGCTAGCAATCATTGTCGTCGGCCTGTTAGACTTCTCCTTTTACATCGATAACAAGAAAGCCGACCGAGGAGAAAAGCAACTTGAAGTAACTGATGTGAGAATCCCATTTCTATGAAAGCTAAATTCAGAACTGACATATTATATAGGAGGGACCCCAACCTAACTTCCGCTACACCTATTAGAGTAGCGTCCTATTTTGTCTCACCCAAGAAGTGTCAAAGTGTGGTAACTTATATAGTCTAGGAGGAAATTTCTTGAAATAGTACGCTACCTTAGGAAATTGTGTAAATATTATTCAAATGTTTAGGCCTACGCGAGTTATTCTATTGCTAAGGCATGCCATATGGCTTTTTAGTACAACTGTAGTTACGGATGGGCAGCCTTAAACTAAGATTCCCACGATCCAAGAGCGACAATATTTTAAGACTTTCTTAATATTATAGCGTTCCAAGTTGAAGTAGGAACATTAAAAAATTAAATTTGAGGGACTTTTAGCAAGAGAATGGAATACTTACAGTGATCTACCATTCTTATCCGCACACTTCACTATAACCTCACCAAAACGGACCAAGTTGACTCTACGATTAAACTACCTAGAAAAAGAAAGCAAAATCTGAACTTGAATTAATTATTTGATGCTTAAATTTATTGCTTCTAGTTTTTTAACTTCATCTAAAATGTCTTACGTTGAAATCGATTCACTAGAATATTCTCTCCACCAAGAAGTTTGCTTATTTGTTAGAAAAGATTATATACCTCTGTCCTCAATTCCTACACGATACTATATACCATATTCAACGTGAATTAACCCAATGATGTCATTAGTATATGGAACCTGTAAATTTGTATTCAAGATGACAATATTCATAATTTTACGATTTATTTTAGTATACTCTGCCTTGGTAAAGACTCAGGGGTCACGAACGGAGTTATGAACACGTCTGCCTTCGTTCTCGTTCTCGCTCTCGTTCTCAAAGCTCATAACCACTATATAAAATAGTGTCAAGCGAATGACTCACATACTAGACAGAATGTAATAGTCTAACTAGGATACTAAAATCCTAAGTTATGCGTCAGATAGAAGTCCGCACAATACACCGAAATACTCGGAGCATACTCCGTTTATTTCGGCATATTAGTTTGGACTCGGGGATAACAGCAACATCAACCATATACGTCTTATGGCGACTTGAAAAACTATTTAAAGTCTTGTATCACACTGCTCAAATTGATCTAGAGAAATGTATATTACTTAAGTAACTATCTTGTATTCTTAGGTCTTCAAATTATCTAGTCGTACATTACTTTGCTTTAAGAACTCAAGTTCTCAATATTCTTTTTGGTAGAGTTCCTCCCTCACCATGGCACCCTTAAGATCTGTTTCCGAACTTGCATCCATAATCGAAAGAAACACACGAACTCTAGAAGATGGAATGAAAGGATCTCCTGGGGCCCAATTCTCTGTCTCGTTCGGAGCACCACCGCTGGTTGGCTTGTCCTCTGCACTTGAGGGTACCCATGATGAGCTCCTGGAGACGATCGAAGAGTTACGAGTCCGACTTCAAGGTCCAATGGGCTATTTCATATCATTTATGCTCCCGGCGGTATGTACTTACTACCTACTAACCTATCCTTGGTTCTGAAGTCGTCGTAAATGTGCTAGGTTGCTAACTCGCGTGATGAAGGCCGCGGCGGTAGCTGTTTTCAAAGCTTTATATGCATTTGACATCGCCTCTCATGTTCCTGTTGCACCCAACGCAGAGATATCGTACAAAGATCTCGCAAAAAGCTGCGGTATTCCAGAGGACGATACTCGTCGCATAGTTCAAACTGCTATCACTTTTCACATTTTCGAAGAAGTTACTCCCGACGTGTCCGTCAAACACAATGCCATCTCATCGGTATTTACCTCTCCCGAGATGAAGGACATATTAGGTCTATATGCTGAGGAGCAGTTGTCCGGTGTTGTCAAGCTCGTCGAAAGCATTCGGAGGTTCCCAGGCAGCGGGGAACCCGGTCACTCAGCCTCGGTATTAGCTTTCAGAGAAGAGAAAGCAGTGAAAGAGATAGGCATCAACAGAGAAGAGATTGCTGATCCGACCAAGAATTTCTTCGACTATATTGCCGAAGACGAGAAACGTGTTGCCCGTTTCCGATCAGCCATGGGCGTGTCTACCAAGGCCCCAGGCTTTACCTCGTCATACTTTGTGAAGACTTTACCGTGGGCGGACAAGGATCAGTGTCCAGAGACTGTTGTGGATATTGGTGGAGCTGGTGGTGAAGTAATCCAGAGCAGTATGATCATCCCGAAGCCAAGCCTGAGTCCCTCCAGCACCTTAAGTACCTTCATGGAGGTACATATATACTGAAATATCAGCCTTACATGAACCGCGACCGCCCTTTCTACAATGTTCGAGTTTGAGGTTTTGCTAACCACTGACGTTGCAGTACTACGTGCCTATCCCAACGTCAAGAAGGGTATGGTGCTGGATCTCCCGGAAGTTATCGCCGACGCCAAAGTCCCCGAGGATCTCAGCGACAGACTCGAGTACAAGAGCTACAACTTTCTCACGGAGAAGGTGACACATGATGCGGATGCCTATGTATTTCGCCATATTTTCCACGACTGGAGCGATCAGTACGCCACAAAAATCTTTAAGAACTTGGTTCCAGCTCTCAAGAAGGGTAGCAAGATCTGGCTCGCCGAAGTTGTACTTCCCAACTTGAGTGAGAAGGACCGGCTAAAAGACCGGCTGCAGAGGTTAGCTATGGATTTCCCCTTAAAGATTATTTCTGCCCGATAGCGTCTAACACGGATCCCAGAAGCGCGGATATCCTCATGAAATCAGGATTCAACGGCAAAGAACGTAGCAAGCGAAATTGGGAAAGTGTCCTGGCTGCATCCGATGAGAGGCTTCGGATTGTAAGCATCGCAAAGCCTGAAGGTGCTCATGACTCTGTTATTGAGATTGTGTTTGACGATTGAAACTGGTGGATGATGAAATGTAGATGTGTATGAGCACGGATTTAGAACGTTGTACCTTTGTAAGTAACTGTAAATTAGAATCTAGAAGAGAACTCTCCAAGACAATTATTTTGCATTTGTTGTGTGTTGCGATTTGTGAATACTTGCTTGCTATGGGAAGAGTGTATTATAAGAAGTACCTATCTTAAGGTACCTTAGGTACTAGGCAGGTATGCAAAAGAGAAAGACGTTTTTTTTTTTTTTTTTTTTTTTTTTTTTTTCACAATCACTCATGCTCAAGAGAGAGCAAAGGAGCACTTACCTAGTATGTGGTACCTATGTACAACATATGCATGAAGTACTTCGGTCGTACCAAGCGCCCCTCAATTTATCCTTATCGATAAAGAAGCATCTCTCCCAAAAAGTTTCAACTCTGCATCTTGCTTGTGCCTGGGAACTTTTCTCAAGCATCAAACAATTTCGCTTCGGAGGATAATGCGAATTTACCATCGCATTTCAATATGGTTGCCGAAACTGAGGTGCGCGACGCACCAACAGGTAGCCCTGAGGGCAATGGACCTCAAGCTACCTCCAGTCTACCTGCAAACTCAGAATCGCAGGCCGATTCAAACACTGCAAAGTCAAACCGTCGCGATGACCGAAATTGGCACGCCAACAAAAAGCTCAACTCCAACGGCCGACGTCGAGGCCATGACTCCCACGGAAGGGGCAATGGGCGCGGCGGGGACAGGTAAGCCTTAGTTTCAGCAGAATCACTCTACAAATCCGTACCAATGCCGACATCTAACTAGTCCCCAGTCGTGGACCTAAAGATAAGCGCGAGCGCAACGAGAAAGGCTGGCAAGAAAGGAAGCGTAGGAGAGTCGAAGAGAATGGCAATGGTGTAGCAAACACCGAGCAGAGCTACATGAATATTCAGTTCCCCGAAGAGGAAATCGCAGCCGAAGAGCGCAGGCCGAAGCGCAAAGTCGCCGTTATGATTGGATATGCTGGTACCGGGTACCATGGTTTGCAGATCAATCATAAGGAAAAGACGATCGAGGGAGATATATTCGCGGCGCTGGTTGCCGCTAAAGCCATCTCAAAAGCCAATGCCGACGACCCCAGGAAATCCAGCTTTGTGCGATGCGCGAGGACCGATAAAGGTGTACACGCCGCCGGTAATATGATTTCTCTCAAGTTGATCATTGAGGACCCGGACGTTGTGAAGAACATCAACGATAATCTGCCGCCCCAAATCCGCGTTTGGGGTATCCAACGCACAAACAATGCCTTCAGTTGTTACCAATCATGCGACTCCAGATGGTACGAGTACTTGATGCCGAGCTATTGCTTGTTACCTCCTCATCCTGAGAGCTACCTCGGCAAGAAGGTTCTCGAATCCATCAAGGAAAAGGGCCTCGAGGAAGAATATGCGCAGCGTCTAGGCGAAGTCAAGGATTACTGGGAAGAAGTATACAAGAACGACATCCAACCTATTTTGGATAGCTTGGATCCTAAGATCCGGGAAACCGTCATACGGCGCATGCACACATCCGATGAAGCATCAGGCGGTAAAAACTCAGAGGAGGAAGGGGAGTCCAAGCCTTCGGAAGAATCCACAAACAGCTTATCTGAGATTAAGGACGGAATGGCTGTGGATGAAAAGCCTACTGATGTACCCGACTCAGCAAATAATGCTTCGGTAGAGAGCTCGACTGTAGGAGAAGAGTTAGCCACAGAAGCGGCAGAAGCGGCAGATACACCGATGGCTGGGACCGAGAATACCAATGAACCGGAACCTGCCAAATCCAAGGAAATCCATCCTGTGGACAGCGCCCTAAAGCAAATCAAAGCTGCGTACATAGCCGCAAAGAGACGCTATCGAGTCACTCCCGAGCGACTGTCTCAGCTTCAACAAGCACTCGATCGATATATCGGCACCAAAAACTTCCACAATTACACGATCCAGAAGAGTCATTCCGACCCCTCGGCGAAACGCACCATCAGATCCTTCGTCGCAAACCCCGAGCCCGTCCAGATCAACGACACCCAATGGCTTTCCCTCAAGGTCCACGGACAATCATTCATGATGCACCAGATCCGCAAGATGGTCGGCATGGCCGTCCTCGTCACGCGCTGCGCCACCCCCCTATCGCGCATCGACGAGAGCTACGGGACTGCTCGCATCAGTATCCCCAAGGCACCTAGTCTGGGACTACTCTTGGAGCGGCCCGTATTCGAGAACTACAACAAGCGCGCCAGGGAGCAGTTAAACTTAGCCGAGCTCGACTTCAGCAACTACGAGAAGGAGATCCAGGAGTTCAAAGACGAGCATATTTACCGCCGCATCTTCGAGCTAGAGGAGAAGGAGAACTCGTAAGTTAATTTTCTTTCCTTTTTTTTACCCCTTCCTTTCTCTTTGTTACCTATAAGGCGTTAGTAGCATTTATATATATACCTTGTACATACATCTGACGCTTTACTAACACGAGTCTTTCTAGGTTCCACACATTCTTCCATCAAATCGACAACTACAAGGAGGGCTACTTCCTCTGGGTCACTGCGGGAGGTATAGAGGCGGCGGAGCAGAGGGTTGGACAAGCAGAATCGATACCTAAGGAACTCGAGGAGGAGCTCGGAGATGATGGGGAGGAGAATCCGGACGAATGCGAGGGCTGATTGTACCCTGTTTATAGAGGCCGGTTTGCGTATGCATGACGTATGGTATTATCCAAGAGCTAGGTACCTATGCTATCGGCTGGAAGCTAGGTCCATCTAATTCCATGATACAAATTCACAAATAAGAGCAAGGAGGAGGAATAATCACGTCTTTGCTCAGAGAATAGTCTGTATATATATTCAAAGACTTAAATGAGATTGTCCAACCCAAAAGAGAGGTAATACGTACCAGCATCGGTGACTATCTGGTTTGTTCAATCCTATCCATCTCTAGAGCTTATATGGGTTGATAAAGCGGCAGAAGGGTATCTAAGTCATTGCCGCATCGTATATCCGCCAACTCCCTTACCCAACGCAGTCCACAGTTAACCATTATGGGCGCACGTGCAACACCTACTTAGAGCCAGTGCTCTTGGCCTAATTACCACCCTTCTTACCACCCTTCTTATCTTGCTTGACCTTGACCTTGACCTTCGCCTTAGTTTTGTCGACAGCGCCAGTCTTCCGCCCAGAACGCCTCCTCGTCCTCCTCGTACTCCTAGGGGCGGGGGGAGGACAGCTCACCTCCGGCCCTGGCGGCGTTTTCCCTGCGGACGGCGGCCTCGCGCATCTCGAGGGCCTGGTCGTACAGCCGCACGACCTCCGCGGCGCGCTTGTCGAGCTCGGCCTCGCGGGAGTCGTTCTCGCCGGGCTGGCGCAGGGGTCCGCGGATCCAGAGCGCTTTCATCTCCCGGGTGATGGCCAGGAGGCCTTGGATCTCGGAGATCTGGTGGAGGGGGGGAAGGGGGGGTGGGGGGTTAGCCGGAATGGTCTGGTAAAAGAGAAGAATACGAGAGGATTTGGTATGTTAGGTAGCTAGGAGGAAGAGGTGCGTACCAGGGCAGCGCACTCGGTCTCCATAGTCATGCGGTTGAGCGCGGCAAGCTCGAGGACATTGCCGCTTTCGGAAATAGGTGCCGTGGCAGCCATGACCATGTTGCGGAAGTGCGACAGGATCTGCGCGATGGCGCGGTTGTGACGGTCTAGTAGCATGCTGTGGTTAGCTTTATTCTGCTGTGATTTCTGGCGTAGTTTTCTGGCGCAGTTTTCATTCTTCTTTGGGTTGGGGTCCATGATGATAATAATGTCGTTGTTGTTGGCCAAAAGATCAGATCCTTCAATGAAGCAATTGTATGTGGCTGTTATCGTAGCCTAAAGTATATGGATGCCCATGCGGTGATGTTACAGTGCTATGCATGCAGGACCATGAAAGAAAAAAGTGCGATGAAAAAAAACAAAAAAACGAGGCAACGTACCTAGAATGCTAGAATGATCCCTTCGATTCATTTTTTCTTTTACTACGTTAATGGATGCTTTGAAGGGTAGTGGCCACCTGGAGTTGGAAAGAACAAGTTGTACGCGATCAAGGCGTATACGCGATGTTTCGGCAGTGGGGAATTTTGTTTTGGATTCTTAAACCATTGGAGCTAAGGTAAGAGCATATAATAATTCGTGATCCGGAAAGCATAAATTGCGTGTAGCTCTTTCTTCTTATCATTGGATTAGATACGGCTTCATGTTTGATTAATCTTAGGTAAGGTAAGTTTGTTGTATGTCAAAACGCACCTGCGTCCCTCCATGATTCCAAGTCACTGCACTTAAGACTTTCCCCATAAATTAAAGTTCGAAGCCCGTGTAGTTCGCAGTGTCACGTGACCATCATACATATACCTACCTAGGTAGGTACCTATGCATTATACATCGAGGTACGTATGTGTATTTCAGTTAAATGCAATACTTGACTCAAGTGTTTACTACCTAGGTACCTGTCACAGGAATACGTTGATTGTTGTTATACTGTAAATAATATATCAATATTTTAGCTGTGGCTATAACTTATACCCTAAGCCGTACGTACTACAGGTATTTCGAATTCCAAATCAACCCAGGCTCCTGCTGTGAATCGTTTTCAAATGCCACCCATTGGATATAACCGAGTCACCAAGACTTTGCGCCAACCTGGGTACCTTGACAAAACCTGAATACAAATACACGTTTTTTCTTGTTTTCAGTATATGTCCCACATTCAAACTTGTATCCCTCAAGCATGATAGTTAAGTCAACATATGTAGCAACTTAGTGATTCCCTCACAAATCTTCTATACTGCTGTTATAACCACTAGCAGCTCCACCGGCGGTCGCTGCTGAACTCCCAGTAGTTGGAGACCTTTCCGACCCCCTTATGCTGCTGCCTCGTATAAGTTGGCTGACGTCGGGAAGCTCGTCGATATTCTCGGGCGATATGCTACCGCTGGCGTCGTATTGCTGACCGCTATCAGAGTGTTCGTCTTCCTCGTCATTTCCAGACAAGTCAATATCCGAACTTGGGTCATCTTCTACAATAGCTCGTCTACTCATAAGACTTTCCGATTCCGAAGAGCTATCCATGGATTCGTCGTCGTCGTCGTCGTCGTCCAGGTCAGAATCTTCGCCAGGAAAGTAAAATGTAGGCGGCGGAAGAGGTACGGGAGATAGTCGCAATAACTTCTCTGGAAGGTATTCTATTTGGACGACGTGTCCACTAACATCAAAAACCTGACGTGGTGCTGGTGAGCTGGTTGTCATGCTGGCTAGCTTGTTAATAATAGAGTCGGTAGTCTCTTGACTTAAACGTTCGACGAGTCTCAATTGCACTGACAATGTTTCGTCATCGTCACCGAAAGCACTATTGCCATCATCGTTTACGCGCTTTGGTCGCCGTGTCCGCGCGATAATTACAAAATGATCCTCGGGATAAGTACCCCCTAAGCCACTGGCTTCGAGATTTATCAAGGGAGTATGTTGTTTGGTGTCAGACCAAGAGAAATCAGCTTCGATCTCGTCGTCGTCAGTCTCAGCTGAAGTTAACTCTGGCGCATCAGAATCATCAACGTCCATCAACGTACTGCGAGCCTCAAGAGTAGTACTGAGTGGTCTGAAAGGAAGCAATGACCCTGACGTAGAGCGGCTGAATTGTGGGCGGGTGTTACCGAGGCTGAGGGGTTGCATGGGTCCCTGGTCGGCATTGTCTCCCGATGAGGTCATATCATAAGTAGCGGGGGATACTTCTCCATCTCCATCTCCAAAATCACCCGAGAGGTCCGTACAGAACGGTGCCCCGCTATAGTAAATAATCGCACCGTCGCGGCGGCGTTTACGCTGAGAAAGACCTGACACGCCACTCTGTCCCCAACGAGAATTTAAACCTCCCAAATTACTATCCTCCGGCGGTCCAAACGACGAGCCCGTCTCGTCTCCCGCGGACGGTTGTTCATCGGACGAAGATGTTTGGTGATGGTGCACAAATAACGGCTTATAGTGGAAACTCTCGGATGAATTGGATTGCTGCACGCCAAGACCAAATTTTGATGGTTTGTGCACGGTGACGTCATTTCCAGATCCCTGCGTTTTCTGTTTCTTCCTTTGCTCCTGATCGTTCGATCCGTCCGTGTCGTCACTTGATTGGTTGCGCTGCGAGTTGCTGCCACTGTCGCTGCTGAACTTGGTACCTTCAACTCCACCCCGCCACCGAATTTTTCTTCCGTCTGGCGACAGCTGGAATTTGGTACTCTTCTCCGACACCGCGCTCCGAATGAAGGCGGGGGTAACGTTGAGGATATGCAGCTGCGCCAAATTGCACAGCAGATTCAGATACACCCATCCTTCCGCATCTGGCGACACATCCCTTGCAGAGAATTGTTTCTGTGACTCGGGCGCTACCAATCCCAGATGACGTATATAGTCCATGTTCTCTGACGGTACCTGTCTGCGGTCAGGGTCCAAGTCGCGTGGCCTAGTCGGGCGCTGTTCCGGTGGTAGCATTGACATGTGCGGCGATGTATTGTTACCGCTCTCATTCGCGCGACCGTTGCGGTTACCGGTATTGTTGCCGCTGTCCCTTGGATCTGTTTGGTCACCGTTTGAATGTGAGTTTGAGTGTGAATGCGAATTCGACGCAGACCCATTGTCTCGCGAGCTGCTCTCCTTTTGACTAGAATCTCGCGGTCGGATTTGCGCTTCTCTTATCGTTTCGTTCGGTACTGCTATTCTATCGCTAGTTCCTCCCATTTGTACGTCTTCAGCGATAGGCTCGGGTACTTGTGGTAGCAAGACACGCTCTGCTGGGTTTGCCATCTTGCCTGTGAAAAGATGTTCAAGTCGCTTAACAACCAGCTTCTTCTTCTCCTTTTCGGTCATGATGGTAGGTCGCGGCCATAAACCTTCGGGAATATCTCGTAAATAGTTCTGGATATTCTGTTCGGATCGTTCTCGTGCAGCCTTAGCCTGACCGGGAAGCGACGGAACAGATGAGCTAGCCCCAGCCGACATAGACGCATAAGCAGAGTCAATGGGTCTCGAGTTAGACCCAGACGACGATGACGCATGCTTAGACGCTGATGAATGGATGTTTTTCGACTTGCCTGATGTCTTCTTTCGACTTGAGGGTCCGGTACTTGATCCCTCGAGACTCGTCGTAAAATCCCGCAAGGTAGCTTCCAGCTCCCGCTTCTTCCTGCTGGATAGGCCATGAACTTTGACTTCGAATAGCTTATCCCTCCGTAACGAGCCAGGTCCCATTTGCTTGTACTTCTTTAGCTCTTCCTTTAGTCGCTTGTTCTCAACTGTTAAGTCATCGATTACGGAACGAAATTCATCAACACTCTGATTGCTATGTGCCAATCCCACTGGGCGGGTTCGGTATCCGGGACTCTGCATGGGCAACCCATATTTGGCTACTTCTTCATTGGAAGATTCCGTCTCTTTTTGAAAAAATGGGGCCTCGTCAATATCGGTCGTGAGCATTGCTTTTTGGTTTGAAGACTCAAACCAATTCTTCGGGTCGCTTAAACCTGTTTCATTGCTATCTCCAGAAGAATTCCTTCGCGGCTTGGAAATAGCTGAGTGGATAGGTGGATTGGTTGTCTGGGGTTCGCGTCTGGAAGCATTTCTCGCTTGTCGGTGATATTGCAACGTTATAGAAGCTTCGGGCGACTTTCGTCTCGGATTGTTATATGTGACATTTGGTGCAGTGGGCGCGTCTCGAGAGTCGGCCATGCTGCTCGCGCTAATACCTTCGTGTGCTGGTATAGTGAAGATCAGGTAAAAGCTTTTGATATTTCATATAAATGAGTAGAGGGGGTTTGATAGCGACATAGTCGTCAGGTAGAAGCGTGTTCTAAATTCACAATATGTCAGTGCGGCGAGTAAAGACAAAATGATTTCACATAGAATGCGTCTTAGGAAGATTGAGGAATGATTGTTGTAGATGAGGAGGGTGGACAGCACATCGCGGGTATTTGTGCGAAAGCTGCAAGCGTATATTGGTTGTAAAGAATGAATGGGTCGATAACAAGTGACCAAAATAAGTAACCAAGGGACCTTGCGAGAATGAGATGGAAACCCTTCTGCGAGATGTTGTTGTGATGCATTTGGGGGTTGCGGTGACCTCCAAGGGTTGGGATTCGTGAAAAGTCGACGATGCAACGTCATACCTACATGCAGAGTTTCTTCTCCCTTGGTCGAAAGGTTTAGTTCGTATTGAAAGTGGTTGAATATAGGAATAGTATTGGCCCGGGAGGAGATGGAGCGGAAAGCGAGCAAGACTAAAAGATGAGGGACATAAGGGTACCTATAAGAGTATAATAATAGATTAGGTATAATAGATTATGGATGCATGCAATTATTGAAGATGCTTCGTTGAATGCACTCGCTTATTTAGGAACTTGGTGGTAGGGTAGCAAGTCTGGACCTTGGTTCTCCGAATGGCCTCATTTACTTTGGGAAATAGTTCGTTAGATTTGGAGGGAGAGAAAAAATATTTTTTTTTTATTCGGCTCCCATCTAACGAAATTAAAATAAAAAAAGATAATATGTATTTTTAAAAAAGAAATACGATACGTATCGTATTGTACTGTATCGAATTGAAAATAGAAAAAAGAATGACATGCGTATCGAGATTCATGAAAGTTACGAGAACAGCAACTACCCACCGTAGGGCTTGTCAAGCCCCCCCCCCTTTCGCCGCCGGGGTTACCTTTCCTCGCAGGTTCGAAAAGGTGATTTAGCAATTATTACAACCGATAGACTTGGAGGTGCTGCAGTCTCTGGATCGAGCGTAACCTGCTAGCATCGTACAAAACGAGGTACCTTTTTTTTCGCCGATCAAGGGTCCAGAGGGGCCAGACGCCAGTGGCGTGAAGTTAACGGTTGAGTCAAAATCTAGCCGAACTCTAACTGACCAATTACAACTAGGCAGTAGTATGTAAGTAGGTAAAGTTGGGTTGCTGTGACAGTCTGGCTAGGAGATTCGAAAATGAAAAAAAAAAACGAAATAATATCTTATACCTTGAATAACTTTTTAAAGAAAATCGCAAAAATTGAAGAATAACCATTTTTATTTATATCGAGTATCTTTTTAAGGGTAATTGAATATATGTATTTACTCGTTTTTAGTTTGCTATCTCTTGAGTACAAAGGTCCGGGCCAAAAGTCTTGCACATGCCAAGCTTTGCCAAGCTTTTAACGACAGGAATTTAACATGCACGATTATAATAGCACTGTATTGGCTTAGTACTAGGTTTGGGGGCGGATAATGGCTTGTACGCTAAACTTTAAGGGGCTTACCACTATAGCCACAGGGGAGCTAGCTGCTATTGGTAGATCAGACACCGTATGGCCTTTTTTTATTGACACATACTTCGTACCTAAGTGGGTAGCTTACCTAAGCTATGATATGCAAGACTTTTGGCCCGGACTTTCTGTATATATTGATTGTTTTTCTCGAATCCGCCCGTCTGGCTGTCGCACAATACACACACTAAAAGATACATCTTAGGTAGGTAGGCTGTAACTACCTCGGTACGTACATCAGGTAGTAGAGGGCGTGTATTGAAAACGCTAACGCCCCCTCCCCCTACCTAACCAACCCCTACCATCAAAGGTAAGGTCGCAAAAGACATGGGCGTCTGGACGGTACCTGACACACACCTAACGTCGAAGTAATGTGCCGGACAAAAAGAACTTACATAGTATGGCAGTTCTAATAGAGCTTTGGAGCTCTTTGAGAGGTAAAGCTACTTGTTTCCACGAGTTGTGACCTCATTACGGATCCGTAAACCTCGTTAGGTCGATTAGGTCAAAAGTCGTACGAGGATTGACCCGAAAAGGATAAGAGTGTTTGTAAAATCTCGATCTGCCATTTCTTAGCGGATCTTAAAAGACTTACAGGTTGGTAGTACCCGGGTGTGGTACCCCCTGCCTTTAGTTGTCTTTAGTGGATTGGGTGGTCCCGACTTTCACCTGTGCAGCTACACCGAGCCACAGTGGCCAACTTCTGGTCCCGACTTCCATGTGGATGATTAGAGTATGTACCTAGTACAAACGGTCCCTAGATACATGGACTTATGCAATATCTCATCAGTCTAATCGTCAGGTGACCTTTTGGTTGAAAAATAAAAATAAAAATAAAAAAATGAGAAAGATTGTGTACCTAGATACCTTGGTACATCCTATACACTTTGCATACCTATAGGTACCTGGTTTACTCACCAGAATGTATGTGCCGAATCGGATGTTCCGTCATAAGCCGGTTTGCCTTTTGTCCAACCTTGTGGAACGATTCAAGTCATCGGCAATATGATTAGTAGAGGGAGCAGAAGTGGGTCACCACTTTCCACGATAATCATTTTTTAATTGATATATTATAGGCATCTCCTGCTAAAGCCTCGGAAATTCAATCTTCAAACACGCGACTATCAGGCGGCTCCATCCTTCTCAACTCAAAACCAAAGAGGTATTAAGATGAATCGAGAATCGAGATCACTGGGGTTTTATGGGCACTTCACTTCTTACTTCGCAAGCTAGTAGGTTAAGTAATCTTATCCAAGATCTAGATCTTCTTCTGTCTTCTGATTTGCGATATCATGCGTGCTAATGCTAACGCCATCAGAGGACGGGGATCGCTCGTTTCGACCAATACGCATCAGCATGCATGCGTACTACATACTTACCTACCCTACCTAAGGTATGTAAATGGGTCACCCAAAAGTGCCTAATCTGGTTGAAGATCGTTATCGGTGCTATACCGCAGTCTGACTCCAACTAGGTATCTAATTCGGTATTAAGAATCTCTGCGTGAGTTACGCCGGAGTACAGTTATCGCAACACGACGGATCTCAGTAGATAGGACTGATCTAACCGTTCGATGAGTACATAATATTTGTCTCGTCTTATCAACGTTGTAGAACTCTACCTTGGTACGGTTTAGATATCAATTGCCCCTTAGACCATTTATATCCGCCGCATTTATATCCGCCGCGTGGTCTAGAACCACCTCTCTGGATCTTTGCCGCCCAGGCGAGCGCAGCTCTAGGAGCTCCCCTTGTCGATACCACCGACATGCCTGCAAGCGACGCCGTCTCCCCACAAACATCCGCACATCGCATATGATGCTGATGTTGAATCGTCCAAAGACCAAAGTACTGACTCATTATCAAACCTTGAAAAGCATTCCGCCTAACGAAGAAACTTGATCAGAAACAGTTCTTATGATGAGAGCAGAAGTTAAGTCGAGCCTCTCGAGTAATATCATGGCTTCGGCTTGGCGCATTGCGATAGTCTTCTAGTATGCACTAATTTCAAAAGTGACGGTTTTTCAATAATAATCCCGACATGATACTGCTTATCAACCATCTCAGGAAAGCCTTATACTCATCTGCATAACCGTACCAATAGGGCATCATAGCGACACTTCACGCATCTAAGATTTTAAACGATATTGGGGTATGCAATAAAGATTGCATCGATCTTACCTACCTCATATCTTGAAGTCTCGATGTCCACTAACCCCCATGAGCATCTCACCCAGGCAAGCATGTTGTTCATCAATTCCGAAAGATAACGTGGCTTGAGTAAGAGTGTAAGTCATGACGTAGATTGTAATATCTAGGTGACGATGGAAATCATCAGTGGCTGAGTCTCAACTAAGAACCTTCAAAATTCAATAAGTGCTACATGACTTCAAACGTTAACAAAGCGAGTATGCGGTTGTCTCGTGTATACTATGTAAACAATGCTCGTATGAAGTGGTCTAGAAGATTTCGTCATAGGTATTCGTTAACTAAGTCGCTAATCGGACCATGGGGGTAATCTTGTCCCGTTACGGCCCGCATGGCTCTAGAAAAAGAAAAAAGGGGGGAAGGTTTGAATAAGTTCAACTCCACAAGCCTATTCAACTATCACCGTTCACTTCTTAGCCATCTCCTCTATCGCCTTCCTAAGCTTCGGTACTTCCTCGCTCGTATACAGACTATCCACGAATTCCAAGACGTCATCGACAGATTTACCATCTTCGCTCATTGTTAAGATCCAAACATACTCATTCTCATATAAGTCCACAGCCGTCTCGGACCTCGATTTCAAATGCAGCACGGCTTTGCGGGTGACTTCGTCCACAATCGGTTCTCCCTCGTCCACAATCCGGAGGTGGATTGCCGGCATCACGGTATTCATCGTCGCGATGAGCTCCGCGTACTCGGCGTTGCTCTGCGGCGCGGACTTCAGCGTGTCCGGGGCTATTCTGTGCCTGCATGTAGGACTGCAGTATCGAATGACTGATTCGGGCGTGAACTCGTTGAACGCCTCTATGAAGAGTTTGGCTGTTTGCAAGAGCTGCTCCCTCGACGGTGGTGACATGGGGTGCGGATTTCAACGAGCTTCGGGTAAGAAAAGCTTATTGGTTTTTACCTCTTAGCTGATAATGACAATTCAATTATTTAAGTACAAGTACTCCTTATCAGCGTCAGCTAGATGTGCGAGGCTTCTCATTTATATAGACCACATTATATACAAGGTAATCTGATAGTCTCTTCGCCACCATGTCATCGCTCCGTCGGTAACCTCGAGCTAATCTCCGTCATGACACAGTGACATGTTCAGAGAATTTAATTGGTTGGTCCGCAAAATATTTGCAGGGGTTTCTTCTCATGGCAGCTTTATACCGATCACTTTCGGTACGCTCGCAACTAGTTAATATCGTAATTTATCACCGCTAAAGCCGGATGGTGGTCGGAGATATTTAAGCATTTACGATGCTTTTTACGCTACGTTACCCGGCGAACGACGTCCGTTACGGCTGGAATAAGCATATTATAAAACCCGATTATCATATAATATGTAATTTTAAACTTATATATTATAATGGGGCATTTATTTTATATAATTTTATTTTTTATATTTTAAATAATTATTTATTTTAAAAAATATAATAATTATTATAATTTTATTATATTATTATAATTATATAATAATTAATATTTTTATTTTTATTTTTAATATAAATATATTAAAAATTTAAATTAAATTAAATTATATTTATTAAAATATTTATAATTTTTAATTTATTAATTATTAGTAAGTACGTACATATGGTAAAAATAATAAATAAGTAAAATAATAATAATAAGGGTGAAATTAATGTATTAATAATATTTAAAAAAAAGAATTTATTTAAAATTAATTAATAATGCGTTATCCTTTTATATAATAATAATAAATATATTATTCCTTTTTTTTATATTAACATTAAAGCACTTTATTTTTAATAAAATGCTTTAATGTTAATATTATGTAACTGTTATTTATTTTATTTTCTTTTCGTAATTAATTAATTGCAAAGTTAATTACTTAATACAAAAAATCTTTAAAAAAGAAAATACGTTAATACGTGCTTATATTAATTTAAAAATATATTAACTTATATATAAACCATTATATAAATAAATTAAAGTACATATATATTAATTTATTTTTATATTATTATATAATTATATTAATATATATATATTTTTATAATAAATTAAAGTTAAAATTATAATAATTTTAATTAAAAGTTATCCTATATATTAAGCCGTATTAATATATATTATATTATCCCACTTTTAAATTAATTAATACTTTTTTATTAAATATTTTTAATTAAAGCTAATATTTGGTAATTAGTTATAATAATCTGCTATTATAATAAGTTAATACTGTTTTTTATTCTTTTAAACGTAAATTAATTTAATTACTTTTTATTAATATTTTTATAATTTTATTTAATAATATTTTTATTATAATATTTATTAAATTATATATATTGTGGATTTAATAAATGTTATTTATTTCTTAATTTTCGTAAAATTGTTATAAGGTTATTAAATTAATTATTAATCTTTTTTCGTTAATACTTTTTATTTATATTAAGTACTAATATAAGAAAAAAGAATTAATATATAAAATAAAAGAAACTTTTAAAATTAACAATTAATTTAAAATAATATTAATAAAATAATAAATAATAAAGCTTATATTAAAACCTTATATTATTTTATAAATTTTATTAATAAGTACGTTACGGATAATATATTTATATTTAATAAAAATTAATAAATAATATTTTTAATGATTTAAAATTCGTTATTTTAATTTATAAACCTTTTATTATTTAAAATAATAATATAATTAATTTATAAATTAAAATCCTTATTATTTGTAAATAATTTATTAATAAAAATATATAATTATAAATTTTAAAGATTTAAATTAATATAATTAAATCCACGTAATTAATTATTTATTTACCATTTAATTTTAATATTAAAAACTTTAATTTCTTTTAAGTTAAACTTAAAGTGCTAAATTATTATTAAATAATTAAAGGCGGTTTTAAGTTAGTATATAAAAAAATATACGTTTTTTTAAGCTTTTTATTCCATAAATCGTTTAATTATATTCGGGGATTTTACATTTAATAGCGCTAGCTTTTTAGCTTATTCTTTTTAAATAGTTATAATCTTATAGCCTTTATTATAAATAGTAATGCAAGAGTTATTAAAGTCTTTAATTCCGTTATTTAAAATCTTTTAAAAGTACATTTTAATTCCGGTTTTAATAAGTACTTTATTTTTAGCGGTAAGAAATTCTATTATATTTATATTTAAGGTATTATTTATTTAAAAGCTAGTAAATTTAAAAGGATTTATATTTATTATTAATAAATAAAGATTAAATATTAATAATTTTATATATAATTTTTATTAATAATAATATAAATAAATTTTAAATTAATAAATATTTAATTTTACAAAATTATATAATAATTTAATAATATATAATAACGTTTTTTTAAAGTATTTATTTTTTAATTTTATTAATAAATATATAAAAATCGGTTTTTATATTAATATTTTAAATTAAATATAAATTATAATAATATCCTTTATTATAATTTTTATTTTTTAATAAAATATAAAAACTAATGTTAATATTAATTATTAATTAGCTTTTTAAATGGTAAATGTATATATTATTATAAACTTTTTATTAAAATTATTATATTTTTGGATTATTAAATATGATTTTTCGTATAAAGCAAAAGTGTTTTTGCCTTTAATTTTACAAATTATTTATAATTTAAATATTATTATATTTTAATATATTATTATATTATATATTTTAAGTTGTAATATATTTTTATTAAAAAGAATATTTAATTTTTTTATATTTAATGCTTTATACAGTTTCTTTAATGTAATTATTTTATTATTTACTTAAAGTTATAATGTTAAAGTAAGGTTATTTTGTTTTTTAATGTTAATATATAAGGTAATAATATAGGATAAATTATTAGTATGTATAAGATCTTTTTCCGGGATGATTTAATAATTGTTAAAGTTAAATATAAGTTTAAATAATTTAATTTTAATTTTTTTTAATGGAACTGGATTTTCTTTAATTTAAATATAAAATTTAATATATAAATTTTAAAATATAAATATATTATTTAATATATTTAAAATAATAATAATATTTTTTTTAATAATTGTAATAATTTTATATAGTGTTTTTTAATTATTTTTTTTCCTATAAATTAATACTTTATTACCGATGGAAAAAGATATAAAGAAAGTTACTTTGGTGTTAAGGCTGTTATAAGTATTTAAGGCGTCCCGTACAAAATATTGCGATTTAATTTTCTTAATTTCCGTTATTGTTTTTTAAATTATTTATGCTTTTTAGATTTATGTAACAATAAGTGGTAAATTTATATTGATTTTAAAGTAAGTGCCGAAAATAAATAAGGTTAAAATAAAATTATCCGGATTAATAATATTATTAATTATTTTTACAGTTATTTAAAAATGTAACGTTTTTAAGTTAAAATCCTTAAATTTATTAGTAATAATTTTATATACTTTATGAATAAAGCCGTGGTACTTTTTAACTTTTTTAATAGATTAATAAGCTTTTATTAATACTTAATAACAAGTAACTTTTATTACTTGTGTTTTATTTTAAAATTTAAAGTTATTAAAATTTATGCCCGTATTATAAGAAATAACGTTAAGTGATTTAAAGTAAATATTAATTTAATATTTTTTTAACGTTTTTTACATTTTTTTAACAATAATATTCTTTAAAAATTACGTTATTTAAAAATTAATAATTATATTAATAATATATAAGATTAATTATTTTTTTAAATATATTATATTAATAATTATTTTATAATTAAATTTTATATTTAAATCTTTTAAAGTAAATTTAAATTATTAAAGAGCTTTACTTTTAATTTAATAATAATAATAAAATTTATTAATTTTTTTAAAGTTATTTATATTAATATTATAATTAATTTTATTTAATAGGTTATATAATTTATTAATTAATAAATGATTAAAATGTATATATAAATATTAAAGTTTTATTTTTATAAAATAAGTAATATTTTTTAATTAAAATTATAAATATCTCCATTTTCTTTTAATATTAATTATTATATTATTTTTATATATAAATTAATTAATAATATTATTAAAATATATTTTTAATTAATTTATATCTTTTAATAATAATAAAAATAAAATATTTAATTTTATAATATAAAAGTTTATTTTATTAAATAAAATATTTATAATAATTATATTAAGTAATTTAATAAATAATTTATTATTAAATTAAATATTAACTTTTTTAGCGCAAATACTATTTATTTTTAATTATTTGTTTAGATATTCTTTAATAAAAGCTAAATATTAGCCTTTTTTTATTATAAATATTTAAGTTATTCTTATATTTAATATAATTCTTTAAAAAAAGTTTTTTATATATTAATTTAATATAAAGATAATGTTAGATTTTAGGTTATTCGAAAAAAGGTAAGTGGTAATATAATAGTAAAATGCTTAATTAAATAAGTATATAGTAATTATATATAAATTATTATTTTTATTAAGATTTATTATCGAATAGGCTATTTTATTTCTTTTATAATTAGATTTTAAATTTAGGTTTTTAATTTTTTTATAATTTGTTAAAAACGTTATATAGTTTTTTTTTAAAAAAGCTTTATTTAACTTTTCATTTTTCTTTAACTTTTTTTATTTATATTTTAAATATTTAATAAATTAGTATTTGTCCTTTTTATATATTTAATATTATTATTTTTAAATTTTAAAAGATTATTTTATATTATATTTATTTTTTTTATTATTATAATAATATTTATAATTAATATAATAAATATGGTTATTATTATTATTATTATTATTTTTATTTATTATAAATTATTTTACTCTTTTTATTATTGTAATAAACTTATACTTAAGTTTATTAAAGTGTAATAATAAGGGTTTTAATTTTAAGTAAACAGTAATAATATAGGTTAAATATTAATAAAGCGTTAAAAGTATTTATTAAAAAGGCTTAAAGTCCTTTCCCTTATATAAGTTAAATATAAGATTTAAATTAATAGTTAAAGAAATGTAAATAAATATTTAAATATATAATAGTTTTAAATATTTTATAAACTTTTTTTTTTACTTAATGTTTTTTTAAAGGTCTTATAAATCTTATAGTTCTTAAGAATTTTAAGGATCTTATAT